GGGGGGGTATCTGAGGCAACAGGGGCAATTAGAATTTCTAGCATGAAAAGAAAAGTATCGCGTCGAACTGACTATAATGTGTGCAGTACAGTATTTGCATGGATGTACGCATAGACCAAACCCCTGATGGAAAGTGCTCCAAACGCACTCTATGCGTGTATGCTAATCGAAGCCCGATATGAGATCCTCGTCGACATCCTCATTGGAGTAGGTGGTAGTGATAGTGAATCGAGGAAACAGGTCATTCAACTTAGTAACGTCATCTCTCAAGTCCCATGAGATGTTTGTAAAACGCGGAAGACGGATGAACTTGAGCTTGGGTAATGAGTTGCTGGGCCAGCTCTTCATCTCCTTGCGGAACGCCGCAACAACGTGATAGCACCTCCACTGATAATAATGGCTACTGTATAGGTCCCCCGTAAATGTCACTTGCTGAACGTTGCGGCCTATTATTCGCGGGACACACTTGTTGTAGCTGGTCCTCGGTTTGAATCCGAATACGGTGCACCAAGGGAGAGATATCCTCTCCAACTTGGCCATAGTGCATAGATTCTGTAGTGTTGCCGAGAACGTGATGACCGGTGGCTCATTCAGTCGATGGCGGTATGGTGCTGTCTTTGCTGTGATGGTTAGGGATTCCAGCGTCGCACAACAATTGGCAATGGCAGTTGCGATTGCCTCGAGATCCATGGATGAATCGCCGACGTGAGAGTCGATATTCTTCTGGAAGAACCAATGATATTTCAGCTCTTTCAGATTGGGGACAGCAGAGAGGATCGTCCCTAGACAAGACTCGCGGACCCTGAATAGTTGAAGATATGTCAGGTGTACCGGGTCGGGCGGCGTTGGGAAGGGCCAGGAAAAGTAGACAGGGTTGTCGATGGAGATGGAGAGACACTTGATGTTTGGTAGATAAAAGAGCCCAAGTGCGTCGCGGGTGTTTCCTGGCCTTACAAGATCTTGCGATGCCGATCTCCGGGAAATTGATACATTGGAAAGGGACTTGTAACTTGGGAGTTGTCGTATCGAATCCGGCCGATGTATCTGTGCTTTCCGGGAGTGGTCACGAATGGCCTGCCAGATCGCGAGGCCGAGAAAACGCATGCTCGTGGTCCATCTATGTGAGAGGAAAAGGCTTTCGAGGTTGGGAAGCAAAGAGATGAGGAGACCAACAGCGGCATCGGGACTGTCCAATCGAGCTTTGTGAACCCATACCTCTGCAATATCTGGCGGCACGCCTATGGACCTGATGGCCGTCGTCACCTTCTCCCAAGGGAGCACTTTCAGGTGCCTAAGCATGCCATGTACAGGGTAGGTGATGATTGAGAGATGTGATGCCTGGTGGCCATTGAGGTTCAATGTGGTGATGTGGGAGCATAGAGCGGGCCTCTCAAGAAGAGTCCGGAGTAGCAGCGCCAGAGGCGGGCCGTAGTCATGGGTCCATGTAATTTCGACAAGGGACCAGACGAAAGCCTCCGCTATTTCATGTAGACGCCGACATGTCTTGTACAAGCTGCTAAGCTCTGGAGGTTTTAGCAACTCGAATATATCTAGCAGGAGTTCCGTGGGGAGGTCGGCAAGTGCCATTGCTTGTTGTCGGTAATATTGATTGCTCTGCCGATTGGATTTGGATCCCATGAAAAATCGTATGGCATGGAAAGACTCAAAGGACATACATATATGGAAGGGAAGGATGAAAAAGTCCTAGTTACACGTACCGTGACAAAAAGGCTTCGCCACCCTCATCATGATTGACTGCCTCAAGAAAGACAGACGCACGTCCATCGTCATATTACATTATGATAAATACGCCCGGTCGACTTATACTATCCGCCAGTCGCGATAGTGGAGCTCCCGTTTTCTATATATCACCGGAACAAATCAGGGTCATTTGCAGAACGCTTCTTACACAATCATCGTCGCGAGGGTCGGACAGCAAAGTTACTTTGTCTAGGCCCAGCCTCTCTCTTCATGCTCAGACAATACGAGGTGCCATCTGCTCCTCCAGATTCAAGCCACGAACGGGCAGATCCGTATGATAGGTCGATAAATGTATCGGCTGGAATCGCCCCCCGACGCGAACGCCATGCATTCCCCCTTACATCATCATGAGCTTATTTGACCCGAGGCACGCACGGTATCCTGTGAAATTTCGCCAGTAGTAAAAGGGTGGCTTGAGTGGCGGACTTAGTTCTATTAATTTCGCTCTGTTAGCTCGTCGACAAACGTCGTTCTGGACCATGGTGTGTGCTACCAATTTGGTATCGTCATTGGCAATAGAGTTGGCCACCTCGTTCACCGGTGACGCACTTAACCAGGTACGTATATATCCGGCTGTAAGACCCAGGGAGAGCCATGCCATCCTCTTCAACACCCCAAGAGCCAAGATCCAGCAGCACTGAATTGGGCTTCTCGAGTCTTCCTTATGCCAGAATCAACCAAGGCGACTTGATCGTTGGCTCCTGCGATGCCTGGCGGGTTTGCCGACCGAGATTTGTAACCAGCGGTCATGTAGGTCTCGAAGCATTAGATTAAAAGCCGATTCTACCCGTATCAATGTCAAAGTACTGAGATTTAATTGACTGAATATATAAAGACATGTTACTCATGGCGTACGGATTTTGTCCTTCACGTGTGTCATCTCCATGAGCCGAACCACCGTTACATCCTCTCACAGGGCACGGCCAAGATGGTCCCGAACCCCGGCCTCTTCTAGGACCATGATACCACCCATGGCGCAGCCCTCTGGAGAGGTCCCTGATCCCCCAGGATGCCGAGGTGCATCCCATTATGCATTAAATAGAGCAGGGGGTTAGCACTCATCTCAAAATGCGGAGACTGTACGGCAGCATGCGCGCATGCGTACCTACGCCGATGAAAGCCATCGATCCAATGTCTTGGACGCATTGTAGGTAACCACCATCAATGTCAATGCTACAGCACAAGTTCTCCGATAGAACGAATCATGGTTACAATTCGTCAATTATAAGCAGGTAAATTACTTATATATATATATACTATTTTGATAAATTAAGGGCCCAAGCTTCCGACTTAAGTGTAGCGTATTCTCATCTCAAGTATTGATAGAAGGCATCGCTCGGGTTCTCCAACCCTCATCTTGCCAGATACGCAACGCCTCTCCTTACCTTTCCCTACGTGCTGAATGTGTAACTATGTAATACTTGATCCGGATGGCGAGAAGCTTGGCTTTCTTTGGATAGACGTGCAGCTCATGAGCCTCAAGCTGTTTGTCTCCTTACCATATATAAGTACTGTTGCACATAAATCCACTTCTTCAACATCTCTGTGGCCTACGTACTTGTACTGATTGAATGTAGACGTAGAAGTATCAAAATCGTCTCAGCTACCAAGTTTATGTACAGATATCAACCTCACTGCATCAAGTTGTCACATCGTGATCGTCATAATATGTGCACCACCTGTCGGCGTCGAATCTCACATGGGAAGATAGTAGATGTAATATTTGATCTTATATACGAGCCAAAGCTGATTAGCACTCCTCGGTAGGCGAAGTCACCTCTGAACGTTTGGACACGTATCCCGATCCGTTAGAGGCCTCGGCCTGAACAAAGGACACGCGACCGGAAAGAGTGGCAGAGGTCTCGAAGCCGCTCTTTGTCACATTTCTAGAAAGGGCGAGCGCTCCCTCCTTCTCACCAGAGAAGATGTGCCACTGCTTGTGCTCGGTAGCACCATTCCAGCTCATGTACACCTCAGTGTTGCCATCATCGTTGACACACGCGTAGACGCTAGGCGGGTCACTGGGCAGGCCAACCCAGGGGGACTTGTAGCCGCGGTAGCTGAATACAGTGCCATCGCCGTTGCCGAACTGCATGCTCATCAGAAGAGTTCCGTTGATGCCAAACTCTTTCATCTTGGGGGTGGAGCCATAGCTCATGAAGTGGTGACCATCCGGCAGAGGCTGCAGGCCGCCTTGAGAGGCGGAGTAGATGGTATCGTTGGGGTCAATGAGTTCGCTGACCAGGGTGGCCTTGCGCTGCTTCTCATCGACCCAGAGAATGATACCGGTGGTCTCGTTGATACCATAGGTGATACCCGAGTTGTCGTTGTTGAAGAAGCTGATCTCGACGCCGTCGTCCGTCTCTCTGCGAATCCGAGCATCGTGCTGATACCTGAAGGAGATATCATTCCCAAGCTCAAAATCGGCACCCGAGTCTCCCTATAGTTTTATTGAATGTTAGAGGCTTGGATCAGACATGGGCAGATGTTTTAAAGACAGTAGGACTTCAATAGCTCACCTGAAGAGTCCACTCAACACTGCCATCGGTGGCAATCTTGAAGAAAGACGAGTAAAAGCGCGAAGAGATGAGGTACGAGCCGTCGGCAAACTTGTCGACGGAGTTGATGTGGAAATAGCCATACGGCAATGTCCTGTTCCGTCCGTAATCCTCGAGCGGGTAGAACTTTTGGACGTCCTCCAAGGGTATCTCATCGGTGTGGTCAAGAGCGCTCCAGCTGTAGAGAATCTCGTTGGTGACAACGTCAATCTCATAGAAGAGAGAGTCTGTCACCCAGCCATCCTTGGGGCCACCGATAGAGCTGAGGTCGTACTGCGTGACGTTGTACAGGGTAACCAGAATGGTGTTCTCGAGAGTAATCTTGGACTCGTGCATATCAATCCAAGAGTACACACCCGAGTCGTCGTACCCGCCGATGGCCGTGAAAGTGTCGTCGTCGGAGGTCACGGAGACATTGTAGATGTTATCGTAAGAGCTGTCGTAGATCTCGATGATTCCGTAACCAAAGCCATAAGGCTCGCTAAAGTCGATGCCATTGTGGAACACAAGGACAGGCTCGCCGTTGAGGAACTGGGGCTTGTAGGCGCTGTAGCTGCCCCTGGGGCTCTGCCAGACGAGTTCATTGTCCTCGGACATGATGAAGAGGCTGTAGTTGTGGCCTGTGGGGCCATTCTGGTCGAAGAAAAAGAACCCGGGCGTTGTGTCTCCATGCTTGGTAACCTTCAGGTCCGGAGGCTCGAACGCCGAGCTGCGGTACGATTGCCACGGCCAGGAGGTGTTGGAGGCAGCCTGGGTAACGATTGGAAGGCCCAGGCCAGCGATGAGACTCAGCACAGCACGCATTGCTTCTCACAGATTGTACGCTCGCGCAACAGGAAGACGATTAAAGAAGGGCGAGGAAGAGCAAGGTCGGTAATCAACACCCTTTTTTTCCACTGGAGGTTGGGAGGAGGGGGGGGGAGGTATACTGGCACGAATTTATACATTTCTGTGTATCAAATCTTCTCTCCTCCCCCTCCAGCGCGATTCCGGTCAACCCCATCCTTAATGATTGACTATCACCTGGCGCGAGGGGGCCTCTCCCATGGCCATGATCAGATAGGATGAGATACATACATGTAAATGGTCGTTGCATGTCCACCCCATCAGTGGGCCCATCCGGTTTCTCGACGGGCATTTTCTGGGGCCAAGCGGATCCTAAGCACCAGCCATGGGATAAACAAGGTATAAAACAGTGACGATCTCGGGTACAAGGGAGATACATGTGCGTATACATGCACATCGGCCCATCGCTGGACGCGGCCCTGAGAAGCGAGGACCCTCGCCTGCCCTTGGCGCAGCGGGATGCAACCCCCAAGATTCCTGTCCTTCGGTCCATCGGACCTTGGCATTCTTCGAGTTGCGTTCTGGCCTTTCTGCAGAGAACTAGCCGATATCGCTACTTGGACCGAGAAACAATTCCGCTTCACCATAGATGATTCGTTTTCAAGTGCCAACTTGAGTCTGTCTCCATGGTACACCCAATCTTGCAATATCAGTGCTGCAATAATCACTGTGCCAAGTGGTGGTTTACGGGTGCCTGATTCTGCTTCTCTGGCAGTCTTTCTATCACCGGCCTTGTTGGTTTGTCTAACGACCAGGGCTATTCGCTCTTGGTTACCAACCGGGCATGTTCTCCTATGGCGAGTGTGGCATTTCGATAGTAGACCCAGTACGTGTTATTTACCGAGCTTCAAGCTACGAGCAAACTTGGCAACTTGCGGATTGCCGAGGATGCGACCAGTAGCGACGCGAGCCGGTGCTAAAGTGATCGGCAGTGTGTTGAGGGGGGCAAAAGGCCCCATTCCCATCTGTACAAGTACTCGTACTCGTAAGCCAACATTTACGTGTAATAGTACAGTTGCCGTGTAAAGGGGGCTGTCATTTTGAAGCCTTGAGGTTCAGTATTACAGAGGACGTGTGTGCCTATACGATAATATTACTATATATGAACAGCTCAGACATAGGAATAATAGACTACACATGATTGTCCGTTACGTTCACCGAATCGCTCAAATTCTCCAATATTCTCAGTGGCATGATCCATGTGTAAGAAAGGATTCTAACGACGCACGAAGTAATGTACAGACCTACCCTTTCCCACCATGTTTCTCAAAACAATACTGATAGTACGGAGTAATGGGGCCCTGAACCACGGCACTCGGATATTACCACAACTGAATCTTTCCTTCGAAGGTGGGGTAATAAGCCGTTAGCCGAATCACTGAGCGCTCAAGAAGTGCGGTACGAGAAAGTGACGGAGTTGGTACTTGCCAAGAGAGCATCCAATTTGCTGTTATCCGCAGTCAGCAAGGCTCTTAGTGCCTCGCATGTCTATATATCTATGAGATAGTAATAGTACTGCATTGTGCTTCCAATATGAGGCATTTCCGGGAGCGACCTGACTTTCACCAACAATCCACTTCAAGCTTGATGCTGGACGCTGGGAAACGGAACATGGACAGAGTATTCATCGTATGACTCGTAAATGGATATATGAATAAGAAGAAGAAGAAGAAGAAGAAGAAGAAAAGAGAGCTTGATACTTGTTTAGTTTGCTAGTGCGTCGAGTACTTAGCCTGGCTCTACCCGTCTAATCTTTTATGTTGACATGATTCGCCGAGGTGAAGAGTTTTGTTTCCAATAGCATCGGCGATTGATAAGATTGATGGTATTAGCACCGGATATATCGGCATGGGTATCGGGACAATCGCGAGTCCCACTACGAGACAGACAAGTAAAGATCCAAACCAGGGCTAATAAAATAGAAGCCACAAAGCCGGCATAGATACATCTTGATTGGTGACGGATTTGGCTTTAAACGAGGCACTTTGCATCCAACCATCATGGCCCAGGATGGCCTGTATTTATTGGAACGTGCTATAGATGAAGTGTTGCTGAGATAGGGTGTAACTGAATCGTATTCCGTCTCCCCCCCCCCCCCCCCCCCCCCCCCTCTCGATACTTCATCTCTTTCTCATCTCAGGACAGTCTATTGACCGGCATTTACATGCTCTTAATTACTCTTGGGAGCAGATGGCGCCGAAAGAGGGTGCAGCAGCTGCCGGAGTGATTGGAAAAGGTCACAAGAGGATGAGAAGAACGGCAACCATCATTAATATGTGTTACAAGTAACAACCAAAATAGGACTACTATTCTTCTGATCAAACGGAATTCTCATTACCACGGCTGATATTCATTCAGTCGTCTTAATTCAGGGATCGAAGGAGCCTCGACACTTCGACAACCATGTCTGCTAGTGGTGTGGTGCCTTGATAAAGGCTACAGTGTACACCGTATCCGCTGTGCATGTAGGTCCCCTTTTCCCGCCTTAGGGAAAATACAATGGTGCCGAGGACATGGGGATTTTCTGTGGTGGTAGTAGGCTAGAAGTATGGCGTGCCACCTTCATATCTCTACCGACGGCATGTGTCTTTTCTCTAATCGGCGACATTAGCCTATCAATCAGCTACAATGCCCTGCTCCACGACTTCATCGAGCGCATCGTGCCGCAGTGCCATCGCGTTTTTCCAGGGCTCATGTCACCGGGGATGAAATCAGCCGGGCTAATCAGGTACCAGGCACCGCAGATATTGGCGCTGATGCCGAGGGGGGCGAGTTGGAGAGGATACTAAACCCGATGAAGTACAGGTCGCATGCCTGTTCATTCTGGAGCACGCTGTCTCTGTCTCGCGAAGCTGAAGGTCACTCAGGGTACTTGAAGGGAAAATGATGTATGCACTTACATGGTTAGGTCCATGGCTCCCCCACTGTAGAAGTCTTGCTCGTTGTCAGTCCAGAGAGTCTTTCATATATATGATGAGCACAGCCCTCCTATTCTGATGCTTACCTCTATATGTCTTGGGCAGTTTGGCTAATTCTAGACGTGCGAGGTCATCGATGGAGTCAAACGTTGCTGTAGTATGGCCTGTCACGATTCGCCATCGTTCAGTGATATGCGAGTTGAAAATAGATCGAACTAGATGTGGAAGCGGCGACTCATGCTGAATGAAAATGAAACCGTAAATTGGATCTAAGGATGAAAGACTAATCACACGAGTTGTCATAAGGATGGAACTTGGGAGAACGAACATAGAAGCTGTCTTTTCGTTCTTTGCGACTTTGAAGTAAGACAATGACTGGTAGCCTGTGAAACACGTATTTACAAGCCGAAAGCTATCAATGTCTATGTTCAGCTTCCTAGTGCCGACATCTACCATCTAAACTTACATGTACGATTACAATTTGCACATTGCATGGTTCAGCACATCGGATAGAGAGTGAGGGGTAGCTCTCCCGACTGGAACGATGGACTGCATCCACAGTCGCCGTTTTGATCCGTACACCACACTAGATAACGAGATTCTGATCATTTGTGCTCGGTGGTGTAAGAGGTATTACATGTAGTAACTACCCAACTTTGCCATTCACCTCCCTCTTCCTACAAAGTCAGGAGGCAAGAGCTTGCCGCTACTGCCTAGACAGCAATCAGAGCGGCCTAAGGCTCTTCCTCTTCTTCATGAAGACGAGCGGTAATAGATAAACAATAGCATTCTCAATGCTGCATAGAGCATCTGATCTGATCACTACGGTCTAATATTCTAGTGTATATACATAAGTTTTTATTGCCACATTGAATTCATAATTTCACGTCCATTTTGCATGTCCCTTGGGATGGCTAATGATGTCGCCGCCGCTGTCCAGCCCCGTTCACGGCTTTGAGTTCTATCGAGCCCTCGTCGCTGGCGCTCTCACGATGGACTTCGACCTCCTCTGTCTTCAGTACGCCACCCTGGCTCGAGGCCTCCTCCACGCGGCCCTCCCCACTGCCAAGGTCTTGGAGGGCCTCCTGAGACTCGGGCCGTGTCGAGTTGGACGTGACAATGACCAGATTGCCGCCGTACTTGGATTTGAAGCCGCACATCCTGGATCGTCTTGCGTCCGCATCTGTTGCCGCGTGGCTTCTGAAGGCATCACTGCCTCCAAGTTGGTATCTATACGACAGGTCCTTTGAATCATCTCTTTGACTCGACCGGAGCTCCAGAAAGAACATCCTCCTATTTCAAGGTTAGTCATCTACTAGACCACCACCGCAACATCAGGAGAAAAGAAAAGGCCTTGGCTTACAAGATAGGTATCGATATAGCCATGATAGACGCCGCTGGCTCCGATAGAGTCCAAATCGTGAGGTCAACACGGTCGTATGTGATGTCGGGACTGGTCATGTTGACTACCAGTACTGCCTTGACGATACCAGTGATTCCGGCACTTTGGACGCAACTGTTAGTAACGAACGGTCATGAGGGAACAGGTATCTCGGACGCGGGATTTGTCCAGCCCTTCACATACATTGCGCCCAAGCTCATGGCAACTGCCACTCCGATCTTCTCGCGGAGTCGCATGGTCATTCCCATGATTATCTTCCAAGGTAGAAGGGCCAACACAAAGTCGAGGATGGCTGAGTAGTCTGGGGGGGGTCAATGTCAGCAACTCAGAGGACTATAAACCCATCTATCTGTTCCTAGAGCCTGAGGGTCTTACAGGCAGCAAAAAGCTGGAACTTGACAAGCCGGTTCTTGTCCCAGCATGTGCCAGGCACTTTGCGATCCCAAACCTTTGCCAGTGGGGTGCATTTGGCAAAGCCAAAAATCCACACCAGGTTCATAGAAATATTTATAGTGATGATGGCGAAGATGAGGAAGTACTGTATCCACCTGTCGATTACAATCCGATATAATGTGAGGGCGAACGACGTCTTGCTGGTAGTGGTTGCGACTATTCCGAACAAGGCGACTAGGATGGTGCACTTGTTGATCTCCCTCAAGTTATCGTCGCTAATGGTCTCTATGTGTTGGCCAAAGCCTAGAGAAACGATGTATGTGTTGATAGACACGGATATGACCAATGATGTCTGTACCGGATCAGCCAAATCGCCAAGCATTTCGGGGATCGGGGGAGGAAAAAGGAGAAAAAACTTGGGGAAAAGGGGGGGGGGGGGGAGCAGCCGAGACACATACCCAAGATGCGATCAAAATGTAATCATCCCACCACAGACCTTTAGAGCGCCACAGTTTGCAGTAAATGCGCATAGCCAGCAAGATACCAGCAGCTGCCGCCATCGACCAGCAGCAGGCAACCAGCCGAGCACCCCTATCATCGGCCATGGTGGTAGGATGCCGAAGAGCCAGACGTGATGACTGAGGATATGGATGATGTATGTCAAAGACCCCTCGATGGTGAAAGGATGCCGCAGATGAAATCCACCACACACACACACACTCTCTCTCTCTCTCTCTTTCTCTGCCGGCTTTTTAGAACATTGCGGAGTAAAACTTTTGGTAAACTAACGGCAGTGCAACTCAAAGTTAGCCAAGAACTGCGCTACATATGTACCGAGTACTAAGGAAAGCCGGTACTACTAGCTGCCCGCAGATCGAGGCAAAGTGGCTGCTTTCATTTTAGTTTTTTTTAGGTTTCCGTTTGGGGTTGCGAGCCGACCTTGCTCGAGTCTCGCTACTACTAGTACCACATATAGACTAGCAGATCTGTCCATTCTGCTTGTACCGTTTACTGAACCATGCATCCTCCGCTTATACTAAACCGGTGCCTACTCGGCATTGACTATAAGCGGACCGTAGCTGAACTAGTCTGCGTGCATCGTGGTTTCTAGCAACCTACTGTAGCTAGCAGTTCCAGAGACCGGCCCAGCCAACAACCATGCCACCGCCTAGTTAGCGTGCATCCTTCGATTCCATTACGTGTATGAATCTCTTACTCCGTTGCAGTATAGCAGGGGCTGAATAATAAATCTACTCGTATTATACTACTCTCAACCAGTCGTGAACGAGATACTAATGCCAAGTCTACCCGGGCCCGAGACCTGATTCTGTCCCATCCCAACCAGCTTCTAAGACACTAACGCTGCTGTGTTATGGACGCAAAAGGTTGACGTAAAAATTCTTCAAGAATCGAACAAGAGTCACGATGCGGCGGCGAGGTTATTGTGTCTTATCGGCCATAGTGATGTAAGGCCAAACAGCATACGACGAAGGGAGAATTCTACATGCACATACAGAGTTGAATGTACACTGCCATAGATATATATAGCACTGTACTGGTACGTATTGTTGCAACAACTGCAGGCGTACACCTCACTCAAGGCTTACTGTCTACACTTTCTTTGACGATCCCTTCTGTATTATGTGAACATAGACACCTTGCCATTGCCCATAGCCACGCTAACGAGTGCGAAAATGACGCTTCCGTGGAGCGTAGCCTATCGAGGTGTGATACACGGCGGGTGTTCGACTTGTACGGTGGGTGGTTCAGCTCTTCACGTACCCGTACTCCGTACATCTGTACTCCGCGCAGAGAGAGACATGACCGTGACATGCAGGACCCCTGGGTTTGTGTGTCATTTGTTGGGCGAGTAATGTAGTGAGACTGCTGGCACGGCGGAGTTATCGCTGAGCACCGTTGTCGCTAATAGCAAAATTATGGCGCATTCTCCATGCGCCATTCGCGAGGTCGGGGGATTCGCATGAGCAGCACCGCCCCTGCATATATGTGTGTCGCGCTCTCTGAGTTCCGCAAGGTCAACAAAATTGGCAAATCACAGAAACGCCAAGGACCCGGTTGCTGCACAGTGACCGGGAAATCTGCGAGGCAGGGGTGAGACCAACATGTTCCACTGCAGCAGCTGTTCACTGCGTGCTCGGTAAATAATCATCTCTGCAAGACTCGATGCTATTATCTCGTTACGAGTAACATATCAAGGAGAATCCTCTAGACATTGACACATAGCATGATCTCTTAGTGATGCGATCTCCCCATAAAATGGCATCGCTTCTTTCGCTTGCCAGCCCAGCCCTGCTCCGAATACAGATTACAGCTCACCAAGTTTCTAACAGTAATATTACTAACTCGTATAGCCTAGAGGATGCTCCCCACTCGTACGGAGATCCTTACTATATAAGTTGAACTACGGCGTCGTAGACTCCATAATAATAGGCCAGAAAGTCCTCACGCCTGCTTACAGTTGGTTAGTCTGGTTGATGGATATGGAAGTCATCGCCGTTCTGGTCAAGGCCGAAGCAGCCATTTCCCATCTCCTCCGCGCGAATAAGGAGTCACATCCTGCGTCGTACTCAAGAGCTGTCAAATTTCCCGACGTGGAGCAAAGAAAGAAGCCGTAATCTTCTAGTGGCTTCACGCAGCTCAAGCAGCTACACAACTAAGACGATAAACACAACGGTCTCGTCGGTTGCGTCACCTCGCATACCCGTACGCCCAACACAAGCTTGCTACCACGGAAAGTCCAAGTGTCTTCTTCCTCCTCTCGACAATCATCCTCTCATTCTATGAATGTTTTGTCTGCTAGTATATAATAGTTGCTTGCAAGGTTGAAGATTGGACGTGTGATGGTGTGATGAGAAAGTCATCATCAGTATGTACAGATGAACGACAGTGAGTACAATACGGTACATGATATATATCAAGTCACCCACTCGTACGAGTGAGTATATTATATGGTCCACGGGACGGAAATTGGGTAGTTTACGGTTACTAGAGGGAAATACATGACGGCACAGATAAATGCTTGAAGAACGTCAAAGACCTTGTTCCCACGCAAAAAATAGTACTAGTAATGATGTACGAGTAGTTTTAGTTTGGCCGTCACCCACACGGCCTCAAGCGTAGCTGGAAGTAATATTCTTCATAAAAGACGATCCTTGCAGATTTTGCACAAGACACGCCGTGGTGTCCATGCAAGACTTTGAAATGCGTTCTCCTGCACGTGGACTGCTTCTAGCGCTCCTCTCCAGTCTAACCCTGGCGGGAGTCGCGAGAGGGAATTCTGCACCTTCGGCTCACCTCAACAACGGCACCTATCTGGGCGTGAACAATGCCCAGTACAAGCAGGACTTTTTTCTGGGAATCCCCTATGCGCAGCCCCCAACCGGCGCTCTGCGCTTCGCACCTCCCCAGCCACTCACAGAGGCCTTCAATGAGACTCGCGATGCTACCGAGTATGGCTCTATATGCATCGGCTACGGATCCGATACGACCAACATTGGCACCCCGGTGTCGGAAGACTGTTTGACCCTCAACGTCATTCGCCCAGAGGGCACCAAGCCTGGCGATGACCTCCCTGTCGGCATCTGGGTCCATGGTGGTGTGAGTCTTCCCTTTCCTGCGAAGCAGCCGTGACGCGGCCATTGCTGACCGGCGTGACAGAGCTACGTGATGGGCGGCTCGCGTGACCCGAGATATAACCTCAGCTACACCGTTGATCAGGCCGTCAGCGAGGGCAAGCCTATGGTGGCCGTCTCCATCAATTACCGCCTCTCGTACTGGGGCTTTCTCTTCAGTCAGGAGATGGAAGATGCCTCGGCTGGCAACATTGCCTTCAGAGACCAGCGCCTGGCTCTCCGGTGGGTCCACGACAACATCGCCGCCTTTGGCGGCAGCCCCGACAAGGTCACCATCTGGGGAGAATCAGCTGGCGCGCGCTCTCTGGGCATGCAGCTGGTCGCATACAACGGCCAGGCTGGAGGTCTGTTCCGCAGCGCCATCCTCGAGAGCGGTAGCCCCGTCGCCGAGTTTGTCGATGCTGAGACCTGGCAGCCCTACTATGACGCTGTCGTTGGGAAGACCGGATGCTCATCGGCTAGCGACACACTCGGCTGTCTCCGAAACCTGCCCTGGGAGACGCTCAACGGTATATTTAACAGCACCACTGCGTTGAACGTCACTGCTCCCAACTTTAGCGCCGTTCTTGACGGAGACTTCATGACAGCCCAGGCAACGCAGCTACTGCGGGAGGGCAAGTTCGCCCACGTCCCACTGCTGCTTGGCAACAACTTTGACGAGGGCACGGCCTACGGCAAGCGGGGTATCAACACCACGGCTCAATTCAGGTCCTGGCTGACGACAACTCTGGGACTTGACAGCGCCCAGGCCGCCAGCATTGAGGACTTGTACCCTGACGATCCCGCGCAGGGTGTCCCCGAGGCGTATCCCGGCCGCCCCGCCGCGTACCCCTACGGTCTCCAGTGGAAGCGTGTGGCTGCTGTTGCCGGAGATTATCAGCAGCACGCTGGTCGCAGGCTCCTAGCCGAGACGTACTCTGGAGCCGGACTAGACGTGTATTCTTACCTGTGGAACGTCTATGTCAATGGCTTGGCCCCCGAAATCGGCGCCACTCACTTTCAGGAGGTGGTTTTTGTCTTCGACAACGTTGAGGCTATCGGCTACTCCCCGAATCCGTTTGAGGGCAAGCCCGACACCTACTTCCAGCTCGCCGACCTCATGAACAAGATGTGGGTGTCCTTCATCGCCGACACCGATCCCAACCACAGCTCCTCCCCGAATGTTTCATGGCCGCTGTACACACCCTCAGCGCCCCAAAATCTCGTCTTTGATGTCAACAGCACCAACCTGTACTATATTCACGCAGACGACTATAGAGAGAAGCAGATTGACTATCTCTTGGAGTCCGTCTTTTAATATTGTGGGAACTTCCCACTAAAGCATTGCATGGGTTCCGAATTCGACCAGACTACATATAAATGTTCTTCTGCCTTTAGATATACGCATTAAAATAACAGATAATAGATGTATATGCTCAGCTACCGGCACCCTTTTCCCCTTGGGCGTATCATGATCTATACGACACCTGTCCTTTGGACCAACGATGTAGAACAGGATAGTAAGACCTGTCCCTGTGCGTCTGGTGGTTTGTAGAAGTAGAAGCACTCTGCTTTTCTCCGAATTATCCTTCTATGGTGAAGGTTGAAGCGGAATGCGGCCCCAGCCCATTGCATCTCCAACGATTGCCATCAGATTGCGGTCTTGAGTGAGAACCAGGTTCCCAGTAGCTGTGCCCTTGCTGCAAACAGGCAGATCCCTCCAATAGCGAGGACGCCGGCAAGGAGTCCGCCAAGAGCCTGCAGTCCCATCTCTTCGATCATTGTGCCGTTTGCAGGGATGGAGATCATCAACGCAAAGCTTACGACAAAATTGACAGAGCCTGTATGTAAGTCGGTCAATATAGGCTTATTCTCTCAAAACACGAACAGTACTGACCGTAGTAACGGCCATACTCCTTAGCTTCGCATGTTTTGCTAACACAGACTATCAATCGGCGTTAGATCATGGTCATTCCAACAAGTCAATGGTACGATGCTTGGAAGGTACACCCCCATGAAGCTTACCAGGCAATATTGATAGAAACGAGCCTGAACAGAAGCCCCATAGGGCTGAAAAGGCATAAAGAACCCTGCTATTGCTGCCGAATGGCACAAACATGACAACGAGCAGGATAAAGGAAACCGCAGTCATGACAAGCAGAACATTGAAGTGACCAACTCTGTCCCCGACCGTTCCCGGGATGACTCGGCCGAACGCTGAGGCGCCTCCCACGATGGAAAGCAGCGTATAGCCAGACTCAACCGTTAGGCCAGCGCCGGTAGCTATGACGGGCAACAGACCAGAGATCCCACTTATCACGAATTGTATCATGAAATATTCGGCCGCCACCAACGTGAATGCAACAGACCTGAAGGCTCTGAAGTCCAAAAGGGAAATCTTTTTGGGCTGGACCGAGGGCCCGGTGGGAGACGCGATGAGACGCGACAGTCGAGTGTAGGGCACCAAGCAAAGGATGGCTGGGGTCAATACTCCAATAACGAGAAACCCAATTATCCTGATGGACCACGCCCATCCCATCTTGGGCAGCAGCGAACGCAGGACTATGGGGAAGATGACGGCTCCCACAGAGGATCCTGTCATGGACAGCCCTACAGCCAGACCTTTGTTGCGGACAAAGATCTTGCTGACGACCGTGACGCCAATCGTACATGCGATAGCTAGCGAGAGACCTCCAAAGACGCCAAAGCAGAGCATGAACTGCCAGTAGGTCTTGCACTCGGCAAACATGAAGAACGTGGCAGACACAGAAACAGCACCAATCACGCTCAGGATCCGAGGCCCGTGCTGGTCGATCAAGGGTCCCACCTGGATGGAGGCAAACATGCCCAGGAACATGTACATCCCGGTGATCCATCCCACGTCCCCAGCAGAGTAGTCCTGCAGCTGGTTCAGGTGTAGGTATGATTGGAAAGTCCCGACAGATTGCATCATGCCTGTGACTAGTCAGCGGTTTCCCCCCCGGGCCGAATGCGTTCCATTGGTATCTGTAATTACCAAAAGTTGGTATCATGAAAAGGAAGCTCCCCAGCACGCAGATCCATGCAGAGACGGTTGATTCGATGTCGATCGCAGGAGTCGACACTCCGTTTGCCCCCAAAGGGTGTTGGACCACATCGGGAGTGGCCGAAACGGCTTCGGTAGCCTTCGCGACCCTTGCCTCTCTCTCGAGTCCAGTCATATTCGAGACGAACCTATCTCTTCAAGTGCAACGCTCGTCAGTGTTTCTCGTACCCATCAGCGTACGGCTCTGAGTATGTATAGATGCTTCATACCGTATAGACGCTCCATGGAGGACTGATCAGGTTTGTTTGCCCGACTGATGCAAGCCCGGAATCGGGCTACATCCAGGTCCGTATTCGGGGAGGCGCATCCGAAAAGAGTGGCGCTAATGCACATCGTGTACTTCCACCAAATATTTACGAGAGATTCAGACGGCATGAATGACCGGTCGTTAAGAATTGCCTGAGTGGTATCGCCTGGGTTGTATCGGTGTAGATGCATGAGGTGCACATACATGGACTTCAGATTCCGGTCAAGCTTGGCCATAGAGATTCGGGGCAACCGTATAGATTGGGACCTAATCATCTTACACATCGTACTCTTTCACAGATGTCATCGAAGAGATTACACGTACAATCGAGGGGGGCACGATCGATTGCCATGTCCGACACCTCCGCGTTTGTCAACAGATCACCCACAGTGGGGCCCTCGGTCCTGGGCCTCCGGGTCTCTGGTTGCCACGTTATGGTGGGACTGAATAATAGGAGATAACGGGTATATGTGTGTATGTGTCCGTGGTGTCTTCTGCAGGGATATAACTATGGTATAGATACTTATAGGATCCTAGACGTATAACTATTCTCATATGGAGGGAGGAGTGCTAGGGAAGTACTTGTACTACGTCCCTATCTAACCCCGCGACTGATCTTGACACTGTCCAAAACGTGGGGAGTGCTCTTGTTCCCGTTCTGGGCCCCCGCGTAAACGGAAGCTGGAAGCGAAAGCGAAGGGATTAGCAAAAGCGCCGGCCCGATCTCGGCACTCTATACGCAGATCCGATCATCAGGCAGTTTTCTCCTGGCTTCCCTACATCTTCATATAACATCTTCATATAAGAAGGGTTCTCTCATTTCTAGCCATCAAGTTCTGTCCTGTTCAGTAATTACGTCCCGTGTTTCGAAAGCTAGACTTGAAATGTTGCCGATCATGAAGATTGTACGTATTCCACAGCACTGCGTGAATTGCAAAAAAAGCTTTAGAAAGCATATTAGAGTGAATGCATAACTCATGTGAGTCTGGCTTGCCAGTCTATAAATGTCGCGGTTACGGTTCAAAGAAAAAGTGGCGGCAACACCAGCCCTTCGCGCGCAGTTATGATTCGAATGACCCAAGTGAAGGAATTGTTGCTGTTCTGCGATTTCGTCCGAGCTTTCACGAGAATGTTGATTGTGTACTGGTGTACTGGTATGTGGACGATCGGATAAAGATATCCAAAACAGTAATATGATAACCTACTGACCCGATATTGATTGTGATTGTGAGACACAGCAAACGGCGGTGAAAACCCCCAAGCTTCGTGCATGGCATTCTATATGCCTAATGTGATAAACGAGAGAGCAGTAATGCAAGCAATATCTTGACGGGACATCTAGCACCGAGCCAGTGAGCCACGGAGTACTGGTGCAATGCTGTGTGGATATGACGAAATAAAACCGGTACCTTCTGGCTCTGCAATAACTGGGAGGAAGCGGGGTATCATACTGATAGCATTATGGCATCGAATGATGGGTGTAAGATTATTAATGACAAGCCTCTCATCGTCTCATTACAATATCGCTTCCATATTCTGTCAAACGTGTTCCAGTACCTGGTCTCGTGCTTATATTGCCTTGTCATGTTTGTATCGCGTCGTATATAACTTGTGAGTCTAGGCTTGCCCCACGGCCTGCTTTCAATATATCCACGCCGAATGGCTGCTTATAGACGGGGACAGTTTCGCTCGGCATCGCCAGTTTTCTGGATACGAGCGGCTACCAAGGCAGCAACCCCATCTTGAGCAGGGCCCACTGGTTCGTACCTTGGAGCTCTCGGGAACAGTCGAGGGTTATCGGTTCCAGTCTTCATTACTTCTAGACGATGTCCTTACAGTGGGGATCGATAGGCTCAACCATACTCCCATTTACAAGATATTACAGGACGTAACGACCCCCGGTTGACAAGACATCTGATAGTTAACCCAGGTTTTGCCGCCATTTCGCGCCGCCCGTCATGGCGCCCGAAATTCCCAACTCGGATTACGACTTGGAGAAGACCTTGGAGACAAAGGTTGGCCTCCGGCAGGGCCTCACGTCGTACGGCGACCCTCATTTCTCTCTGTTCCTGCGCAAGGTGTTCATAAAAGCACTGGGATACTCGGAAGATGCACTATCGCGGCCAATTATAGGCATCGTCAACACCTATTCTAGCTTCAACCCCTGCCACGCCAACATCCCGCAGATTATCGATGCCGTCAAGCGCGGTGTTCAGCTCAATGGCGGGCTTGCCATAGATTTCCCGACTATCAGTATACACGAGTCCTTCGCTTCGCCCACAAGCATGTATCTCCGAAACCTGATGAGCATGGACACCGAGGAGATGATCCGTGCTCAGCCTTGCGATGCCGTCATTCTGATTGGAGGTAAGGCTTGTTCGCATCATGCAAGTCGGAGGAACGCATGACTGACCTTTCATTCTCAGGTTGCGACAAAACAACCGTGGCTCAGCTGATGGGCGGCATCTCTGCAAATAAGCCAATTCTGCACATTGTAACAGGTCCCATGATGCCTGGAAGTCACGAGGGCGTGCGCATCGGGGCCTGTACAGACTGTCGTAACAATTGGGCTCGTTACCGCGCTGGTACGATCGACATTGAGGATATATCTGCGATCAATGAGGAGCTCGCACCCACGGTGAGTAACATTCATGCTCAGTCTGAGAGTCATCGTCGGGAATGAACACGCTGATAGTAGTATTATGAAAGGCGGGAACCTGCGGCGTCATGGGCACTGCCAGCACAATGGCGTGTATCCTTGTTGCCCTGGGCATGATGCCTTTTGCCGGCGCCACTGCTCCAGCAGTGTCATCGGCTCGACTACGAATCTCGGAGGAAACCGGTAAGAACGCGGTGGCCGCGTGCGAGTCTAGGGAGAAGCTACAACCCCAGAATCTTCTCACTAGAGAATCCTTCCTCAACGCCATCACCGTCCTCCAAGCCACCGGTGGCTCAACAAACGCCATCGTCCACCTTATGGCCATCATCGGCCGGCATCCCAAGGTGTCTGGCACCATCAGTTTGGACACAGTGGATGAGATTGGCCGCAAGACTCCACTACTGGTCGATCTGAAGCCCAGCGGCAGCAACTACATGTCCGATTTTCACAATTCCGGTCCGAAGGCCCTCAACAAGATAGCTCCATGGTACGAAAACTGACGGTTGACTTTACAGGCGGGATGCTTGTTCTGCTCCTGGAGATCAAGAGCTTGCTATACCTGGATGCGATGACGGTTACGGGGCGAACGCTTGGACAGGAGCTGGCCATCGCGAGTCCCTTCAAGGTTCCCCGGGAGCTTAGCGTTATTCAACCGTTCTCGGAACCTCTGCACCCTGCCTCGTCATTAGTCGTCATGAAGGGCAACCTAGCCCCAGGCGGTGTGGTGATGAAGGCAAGTGCATCCAAGTACAAGCATCTCCTACACCACACCGGGTCGGCTGTCGTGTTCTCCAACTCAACCGACCTTGCCGAGAGAATAGATGACCCGAACCTAGAGGTCACCAAGGACAGTGTGCTGGTCTTACAGAACATTGGCCCTGTCGGGAACCCCGGCATGCCTGAAAGTGGAATGATCCCTATCCCTAGAAAGCTGGGTTCCCAAGGCGTCCTCGACATGCTGAGAGTGTCCGATGGGCGCATGAGCGGTACTGCCGGAGGCACGATTGCGCTCCACGTCTCGCCCGAGGCGGCTGATCCCTCGTCAATCCTCGGTATCGTCCAGACCGGCGATACCATCACATGTAACGTCGAGAAGCGCCTGCTCCAGCTTAACATCAGTGACGTGGAGATTTCTCGGCGACAAGCTGAGAGGATGAAAATCCTGCAGGAGACGAATGCACCGTGGATCGAGAGGGAGGATATGCGAGGCTACCGGGGACTGTACATGCGAGAGGTCAATCAAGCTCAGTCCGGCGCCGACTTTGACTTTTTAACAGCGCGAGGTCCCAGGGCGAAAGGCGCATCGGCTCAATAGGCCTCTAGTGATGTTATAGGAATGAATGCTGCGTTGATCGTCCATAATAATAAGGGATTGATGATCAGAGGATTGGTTCGACGCAATCCGAGCCAAAAGATTCTAGTCACCGAGTAACATGGCATCTTGTGTCATGTTCCAATGAGTTGGTATAGTTCAATGTCTTAAACTATCTCGTTCAAGTGCTCCAGCGCCGATGAATGAGGCTCACCTTGAGAAGACTTGGGAGAAAACACCATGGATCATCTCGTCCCTACTTGCCCATTGGTACAATGGCGGAGCACGATTCTTTCGCCCACTTTGAAGAAAAGGTGGCCCTCATTACTAGAATAGGCCAGGCAGAGAGCGGTGGAAATAGCAAGAGGATTGTGTAGGAGACAATAATAATGTTTGGCCACCTAAATATTCTTGTCAACAACGTCGGCCGTTCGGAACCCGGGTGCCTAAGTGAGCATCCCTCCACGAAGAAGCATTGACTGCCTCGATCTCGAATTATCTAGGAGGACAAAACACACACGAATCTCGAGAGGAAGGATTTTAAACCAGTGTTGTTGATATATTCCCACTGTTGGTCGAATTGATATCCAGTATCTAGTACTGATATATTATCCATTCTTATCGTCCCCGTTCGTTCAATCGCTGGGGCCGCCGATTGTCGACTCTAGTTGCCTAGTCATACATACTATTTATTACCCATGTATCATCAACTGTAATTCCAATGTAGCACTAATACTCGTAAGTATTACTCGTAACCGTACAAGTATTGATCGTCAGTTCAGCCACCTTTGGGGATAGCGACACTACGAAACACACATGTACTAACACGGAAACCAAATTTTACCCGAGGTGCGGAGTATATATGTAGGCCCGTCAGAGATAAGACGCCCCGCTGATATGTATTTACTCGTCCAGTGGACTGGTCCTGTCCCATCAGACGCCGGCTACATCGACACAATCAGGTTCTGGTGGCCTTATCTACATGAATACAGTGATGTTCAGAACAGGCCTAGTACAGCTTCGACCTCACACCTGGGTCATCACTAAACATCGTTGAGGGTATGAATCCCTGTGTCTCCATGTATATATCTATGTATCGACATGAACACAGGACAAGGGAATGGTAAGCGGCAACGAACTGGTTGTTGGCCGTGCAAAGGTAAGATGAATACGACGTGTGGTGGGACCGACTGTCACTACTCCCTGTGCTAATTGAAATTGTCACTCCAGACCGCAAAGTGAAATGCAATGGCAAGTACATCTCCGTATCCCGTTTTGTATGGTCTTAGACTGACCGTTCGCACCAGAGACCCGACCCATTTGTAAGGCTTGCGAGCGTCTACGCCTGCCCTGCCAATATGGGATCAGGCTCCTCTGGCAGGAGGAGGCTTTGTCAAGGGGCATAGCGTTGGGTCGTGCAGGTGAGCCAGATAAAGTGACGGCCATTCACGTTGAGTGCTTGACCAAAGCTGATAGATATCAAGGCGTGTGGTCGAAGAAGGGCAGAGCCTCAACCCGGAAGCAACATGTGATCACCCCATCCAGACTGCAGAATGGCCGGCCGAACGAAGATCCATATTCCCCTGTTCAAGTTCCGCTAGCTAAGGATTGGATCTTCTTGAACTACACGTACGATGACTTCCAGAACACCTCGAACACGGACGGCACACACTATGGTGCCATATCGGATGACTCTTTGCCTTGCGTGAACCATTCCCTTTGCCAGACTGTCAATCTCCCCACCACTGCCCGTGTCCTGGAAGAGTCCGATCGGGGGTTAAGAGGACCCTTAGCCTCAGCTCATCAAACGGAGTTCAATGATTGTCAACATGTCGTATTTGAAGACGATGGCCTTAGCGTGATGTCGTCGCTATCGGCTAGGAACCAGGCCGAGATGGGGACTGGGGACGACGCTGTATCTGCGTGGCCTATTCTCCAAAACCCGCCACCTTTCGCGTTGGCAAACAACGAAAGTTATCTGCTCGAATACTTCATCCACGGGATCAGCCCTCGGTGTACAACTTGGCCTGCGGATGATGTATATGCGCGCAACATCTTGCCGATATGCATGACAAGCGTACACAAGCCAATATTCAACATGATCATGGCTGTCTCGTCCCATCAGATTTCAATACTCAACAGGGACACCGGTTCTGGTAAAAATACGTGGATATACCATGGAAAAGCGCTACGTGGTCTCCACACTGAGATCGGCCAACTCCAACGTCAAAATGGCTTTTCGACCGATTGGGAGCAGGTCATTTCTACCCTAGTCATGGTCACCTTTTTTGATGTAAGTGCTGAGTATTTCGGTCGTTCCATAAACTTCTGTTAGGGCTCCCATTCCTGACCTACGTCTAAGATATCCCATAATAGCGCTTCTGCGTGGCGTGTGCATCTCCATTGCGCCCGCAACATCGGGAGCCTGTTACCTCCGCTCGAGAAACTATCAACCAGCCAGAAAGAGCTTTACAGATTCTTCTGCGCATACTTTGCACATCACGATGCATTGAATCGCACTGCTTCTGCCTTGTCAGATGCTCGGGATCGCCGCGCAGCGAAATGGTTCAAGCCCGAACTTGGGCTTGACATGACCGTTATCGACCCCTTAGTGGGATGCTCTTACGAGTTGGTACAACTGATTTCGGATATTTCTGACGTCGCCGCGGAAGTTGAATGTCAATCTCCCAGCTCTTGCATACAGGAGACAGATTGTTTATCAACATATAGCCCCAAGCAGCGGTTAAGCCGAATGCAACGTCGTGACAGCATCGAAAGGAAGCTTCATACTCTGGCACAAAAGCCCCCGAATGCCTCGGCGCCGCAAAAGAATGTCGCCAACAACTTGATAATTACAGAAGAGGTTGGATGTATAGCCGAGATCCGCCGGTTATCAGCTTTGATGTATTTGTATTCCAGAATCGATGGTGTGCCACCCGGTCAACCACCCATCAACCGATTGACAGATCAGATCCTTGCTCTCATTCCGAAGATTTCGCTTCGCTCCCACGCCTTGCTCTGGTCCCTTTTTGTAGTAGGTACAATGGGACTTAGCAAGACGGAGGGCGATTCTGGTAGGAAGTTTATTCTTGAGAGGTTGGTAAGTCTGCAACATACTCGGGAGTTGGAAAATGTCAAGATCGCGAGAGGAGTTGTTGAGACCGTATGCAAAACAAGAGATTTGAGAGGCACCTCAGTATCTGGCGGTTGGAAAGATATACTATACGCTGGGGGAGAGGGGTTGAGTCTCTGCTGATATCCATCACTTGGGCTGGTGTTCACCTATACACAAGCCCTATGTGGTTCTTGGGAAATTGGAGCCAACGTAATCTGTTCTTGTTATTGTCTAGACTAGGAAACAGGGCGAAAACACCCTGCTGGCCCCCTCTTGAAAGCTTTCTCATCTCACTCGCAGTTGGCGGCTTAAGTATTAGTTCCTTTACATCTAGTGTACATATCTGAAGTTCTTTTGCTTCTTATCCGTCAGGTCCTGGTAGACGTCAAACAATTCATCGAGACTTTCTTCGTTGATTGTCTGCGCAGGACCGTACTTTTCCTGTTTCTTGCGATTCTCCCAAGACGCCACAAGGAAGTAGAGGAACATGAGAGCCATGGCCACGCAGTAGCAGACAAGCATGGCGACGGTACCACCTGTATACGCCGGTGCTTGGTTGGCTCTGAAGGTCTGCGGTCCGATAAGATTTCCTGCACTATAGCCCAGCTGCATAATGCCATATGTAACAACCTTCTTGGTGCTGCCGGCAGTGTTAGCCTGTGGAAGGGACACGCCACTAACATATGGGCCTATAGACATTGTTTTGTTAGTTTTGAAGCTCTGGTCATGCCGATTGCAGTAGCAGTCATGTACGTACCCCAGTAACAGTACATCATGTACAGCCCAAAGAGTTGACCTCCCAAGTTGGAGCGCGGAAGACCATAGGCTAGGGCCGTTCCCAGGAGCGGAAAGCAAATGGCAATCATGACTACAAAAGTCCGACGTCCGTTCCATTTGGAAGCGCAATATGAGGCGATACAACCCGAGAGTGTTGAAATCACGCCATTGGGCATAGAAAGTAAGGCTGACGTCTGGGGGTCAAACCCAAGGTTGTTGATGATGATGGCACCAAAAGTGATGAGACCTCCGTTAGGAATGTTGAGTGAAATGTTGAAGAAGAACATTATCCATGTCTTGACATCGGAAATGGCCTCTAGGGCTTGGTCCCACTTCCACTTGCTGCCTTCGATTCCGGTACGGTTTTCGGCAAGTCGCTGAACGGCATGCCATCTCTCCTCGACAGTAAGGAAGCGGGCATTCATCGGAGAGTCTGGCAAGAAGATGAGCAGCACTATGGAATAGATACCGTTGATGGACCCGGTGATCAAGTAGAGGTATTGCCATCGTGCAAGAGGGGCATCTCCTGGAATCAAGCCCACGACCCACGAAAGAAATCCGTTCACGACGGATGAAAAAACACTTAGGATGACTGGGAGCTAGTCAGAAGTGAACATATACTCACGCCAAAATGGGAACCGTATACATGGAACATCAGATCAAACTTACTGGCATTTCGGATGGGCTGCTCCGACTTCTTCCAGAAGACGGAAATAATGAGAGTGGTTCCCGGACTAATGATTGCTTCAAACATCCCCATCAAAAACCTAAGAACCATAAGCCCTGCCCAATTATGGCAAGCAGCAATGCAAAGAGTCATCAGAGACCAACACATTGAACAGGCACTTAGGTACTTGGCTGCGGGAAGACGGTGGATGAGATATGAGGACGGCCAGATACCGACCAGCATCTAGCAGCAGAAAAGAAATGCATGTTTTGTTACAATCAATAATTCCTCCAGACAGCAACGGATTCAATAAGATATATTAAACTCACCCCAAGAGACAGGATGCTTCCCAGCCAGCTGTACTGCTGACCAACGAGGCCATTATCATCGCTGAAACCATATAGCTCTCCTGTAGCCAGTTGGACTTTGTCCACAGCACCCAGAAGGCACATAAACAAAAGCTATATGAAGAGGTGTCAGTCAGCAAGAAGGCTGATGAGTATGTTACAGCAACGGGTGGTGCTGGGGCTTTGCCACATACCAATGGTATCATCCAACGGTCAATTTTCCGGACAAGCTTCTTTTCCTGGACTGGGGTCATTGGTGGAAACGGGCCAACAGTTGATAGAAAGTGAGCTGCTGGATCCTCAGCAGCGGGCAGGTCGACTTGGGCCTTGTCGATGACTTCCCCATCGGCCACGCTCGGCGTAGTCACAGGTTGCACATCATTGACATCTTCCGACTTGGCCACTTCAGGAGCCATTGCATGAAATAGTCCTGTCAGCAATGAATGATAGTTAGTGGCAGATGGAACTTGAAGACGAGTAAAAACAGCTCAATGCCGCCGAGAAATCCAGGTTTATCGAGCGTCTTACCGGACGGGGAGCTGTAGGGGGAATCATCGGAAACTTTATAACGGCGTTTAAAGTAACAATAGGTGAAACCAAGAAGCTGACCTCATGATAGCTAATCTGGGATTATTGCTTTTCTGAGATAACGCTGGCTTCGGACCAGGGATATCGACAACCCTCCAAAGTTGAAGAGTGTGTACATGTCGCCTAGTACACTCGTGTGTACATGATAATTGACGGCCGCCCAAGTTCATTGGCGGAGGACTCCAAGGAAGGTCGATGCGACGAAGTCCTGCACTAGAGTCTGGCAATCTACCGTTTTTGCGTTGAGAATGGTATCAATGGCATACATGTAGTTGTGGAGCTGGGATGGCAACCTGACCAGACATGCCATATCTGGCAGTTGTCGCTGACGATTGGTGCATCGGCCGAGGCAGATAAGCAGATGATGCAGCAGTCGTGAGAGCCATGATACGGGTGACGGATTCATATTGGCCTAAATATGAATAGTCGGCTCGACCTTACGCGTTGGGACATATCCTCTAGACCCTGGTCGCATCGACCTTCCTCATGTTTATCGGCTACTAGTATAGCACAGGCTCTGATAACACAGAAGACTCGATTGAGCAACAATCATTGATAATGGAAATATAGAGACAGCAGGGAAAAAGTACAATGTAGCTTTGATAATATTTCCCCATGTTCCGGAGTATAAAAGATACGGGGTCTAAATACCACTTGAGGGTAAATGGCGTACACCACCATATTGTCACCAAAACTGAGGTCAATTCGATAATCTCCTCTATTTTGGCAACACTTCAAAATGGGTTCCATTCCAGCCTCTACACCTAAGGGCATACGATTCGCTATAGGTATATTCACATCGTTCTTCAACCGTTGTGACGGTTGCTAACCTTCCCTCCCAAGACCGTGGTGGCACTTTCACGGATGTGTGGGCAGCGATCGATGGCCAACCAGACATCGTCCTCAAGCTGCTGTCAGTCGATCCAGACAACTATGCCGATGCCCCCTCTGAAGGTCAGTCAATTACGAAGAATCACGAAGACTATGTTGTTTTCGTACATGAGTAATGTTCAACTGACGGATGTGCCCTCTGTCAGGAATTAGAAGAGTGTTGGAAAAGGTAGGCAGGGTCCAGATCCCGCGCACACAACCGATTCCTAAGGAAAACATCGAGTCTATTCGCATGGGAACAACTGTAGCCACAAATGGTATGCACCGGTCCTCCGCCTTGTCTCTGATAAAGACACAGAATTACTGATTCAGAAACACTAGCCCTTCTCGAGCGAAAGGGCACAAAGCATGCATTTGTGGTCACAGAGGGCTTCCGTGATTTGATTGAAATTGGTCACCAGTCGCGACCCAAGCTATTTGTATTGGACCACCGGAAGCCAAAGACCTTATATGACGAGGTTGTCGAGATCAACGAACGTGTCACGGTTGAGGGCTTCGAAGAGGGCCCTGATGAGCTAGAGGTGCCGGATAAAGAGACGAACCCCATCCTAGTGGAGGGCTCGACTGGGGACATAATGCGGATCATAAAGCCCCTAGATCACGAAGAAGTTAGATCAAAGCTTTCTTCTATCAAGGAGAAAGGGATTGAAGCCTTGGCTATTTGCTTCGCCCATTCTTATCTCTACCCTCGCCACGAAGAGGAGGTTGCTAAGATTGCGGTAGACCTTGGCTTTACGCATGTTTCCACATCGTCAAATGTGGCCTCCAAGATGATCAAGATGATCCCTCGAGGCAGCTCAGCCTCTGCCGACGCTTATCTCACGCCCGAGATCAGGAAATACGTGGACACCTTTGCTAGTGGCTTCGACGGTGGCAACCTGGATGGCGTGAGGTGCGAGTTCATGCAGAGCGATGGCGGCCTTGTCAATTACAAGTTCTTCTCTGGGCTGAAGGCCATTCTGAGCGGTCCCGCAGGTAAGTCTAGGCATTTCCCCCTTGGTGCATTCAGCGCGATTTCAGTCGTATGAATTTCTGCTAATGCTTTCAATTCCCTCTTCCAGGTGGCGTCGTTGGATATGCCCGAACTTCCTATGATGGAAAGACCCCCATTGTTGGCTTTGACATGGGCGGTACGTCGACTGATGTTTCTCGCTACGGTGGTGAGCTCGAACACGTCTTCGAAACCACAACGGCAGGCGTCGCCATACAGAGCCCCCAGTTGGACATCAACACGGTCGCAGCAGGCGGAGGCAGTATATTGTTCTGGGAAAACGGGCTCTTCAAAGTCGGCCCAGAGGTATGCGTTCAATGATCTTCTTACATTGCGGATGATACCTTTTCACAATACTATGTACTAAACACCCCTCTCTATTTAGAGTGCAGGTGCCCATCCCGGACCTGCATGCTACCGGAAGGGAGGGCCTCTGACCGTCACGGATGCAAATCTCATGCTTGGTCGATTGCTACCGGACTATTTCCCTTCTATATTCGGTCCCTCCGAAGACATGCCGCTAGACATAGCCATCACACGACAAAAGTTCTCCCAACTGACAGAAAAGATCAACATGGACACCGGACGGTCCATGACCCCAGAAGAGGTGGCCAATGGCTTCATCGATGTCGCCAACGAGTCTATGGGCCGCCCTATCCGAGCTATCACGGAGGCTCGTGGCCACAACACAGCGGCCCACAATCTGGGTGTCTTTGGCGGAGCTGGCGGACAGCATGCCTGTGAGCTCGCGAAGAAGCTTGACATCAAGCGTGCCATCATTCACAAATACTCTAGCATTTTGTCTGCCTACGGAATGGCCCTTGCGGAGATCATCGCAGAAATGCAGGAGCCGAGTAGCGACGCGCTATCGGAGGAGTCCATGCCACGGATCCATACCAGAGTTGAAAAGCTCAAGACTGATGTTCGGAAAAGCCTCTTGACACAAGGGGTTGAAGACAAGGCAATTCGATTTGATGTCTATCTGCATCTCAGATACGAAGGAACAGAAACGCAGTTGATGATTCCTCAGCCAACAGATGGAAGTTCCGCTACCGATTACAGAGTTTCTTTTGAGAAAGAGCATCTTAGGGAATTGGCGTTCTTGTTTCCCGCTACGAGAAGGGTCCTGATTGATGATATCCGGGTCAGAGGAGTCGGATCCAGCACTGAAGTCAGCAAAGATAACGAACGCCTCTCTACCGAGCTACAAGAGACGACATTCAAAGCCGTCCTGAAAACTTCGGCGGCCCACACTGTTAGTAGCAGCTCTTTAGCCCGTTTCCGATCAGTAGGTTGCTAATAGAAAGGAAACTACAGTCCCAAGTTTTCTTTGCCCCAGTGGGCTTTCTGACGACTCCAGTCTTTATGCTTGAGAGTCTCACCAAAGGAGATGTGGTGAAGGGCCCTGCTGTCATCATCGACCAAACACAGACCATTGTTGTTGTCCCGTCTTCCAAAGCCTCTATTCTGACGTCGCATTTGGTTATCGACCTCGAAGATGAAGAGGGTGTTGCCAACACGGATGCAACCGAGCTCGTAGCCGACCCTGTACTTCTATCGGTTTATGGCCATCGTTTCATGAGCATTGCGGAGCAAATGGGTCGCACATTGCAAAGGACCAGCCTTTCTCTCAATATCAAGGAGAGACTAGACTTTTCGTGCGCAATCTTCGGTCCTGATGCTGAACTCGTCGCCAATGCTCCTCATGTCCCCGTGCACTTGGGCAGCATGAGCTACGCTGTCAAGCATCAGGATACACTTCACAAAGGAAAGCTGAGACCGGGAGATGTTCTGGTCTCCAACCATCCGGAATCTGGAGGCACACATCTGCCCGATATCACCGTCATCACTCCGGTCTTTGAGCCTGACGGAAAGACCATATGCTTCTACACTGCTTCGCGAGGCCACCATATGGACATTGGTGGCTTGAATGGAACGTCGATGCCTCCCGACTCCACCACTCTGTACCACGAAGGTGCCGCCATCCGTTCATTCTTCCTGGTGCGAAACGGGGAGTTTGATCAGAAGGGGATATGCGACATTCTTCTTGAACCCGGAACCCACGAAAAATGCACAGGATCGAGAAGATTGGAGGACAATATCTCTGACCTGAAGGCGCAAATTGCAGCAAACAACAAAGGGTCCGTTCTTATTCAGGCTCTCATGAAGGAAAATGGCAAAGAAGAAGTCCACTTTTACATGAGGAAGATCAAAGAGAACGCCGAGAGGGCTGTGAGAAACTACCTCAAAGAGACGCGTAAGAAGTATGGAAATAAAGCGCTTACGGCAGAGGACTACATGGATAATGGATCGATAATGAGGGTTTCCATCACGATTGATGAAGACGGCACTGGAATATTCGACTTCACCGGCACGACGTGCGAGATGTTGTCAAACATGAATGCCCCACCGGCCATTACTTACTCGGCGCTTCTCTACGTCTTGAGGGTTCTCATCGGCACGGACATACCCCTCAACCAAGGCTGTTTGAAACCGACCAAGGTCATCATCCCGAAGAACACTTTTCTGAACCCTTCCTCGGAACGCGCAGTCTGCTGTGGGAACACGTTGACCTCGCAGCGAGTCACAGACCTTTTGCTAAAGGCTTTCCGTGCCGCCGCTGCCTCGCAGGGATGCATGAACTGCATGGGATTCTTTGGGCGTGGTGGCGTCGACGAGAATGGAAAACCGCTCCCCGGTTTCGCCTACAACTACGGCGAAACCATTGCTGGAGGTGCTGGTGCTGGACCAACCTGGCATGGTGCTAGCGGTCTGCATACGCACATGACCAACACTCGAACGACAGATGCTGAAGTCTTGGAGAAGCGGTACCCCGTCCTTGTCCGGGAGTTCTCAATCCGAAAAGGCAGCGGAGGCAGAGGCAAGTTCAACGGAGGTTGTGGCGTGGTTCGTGACTTTGAATGCCGCGCTCCTCTTACCTTTAGCATGATCTCGGAGAGGAGAGTGACTCGGCCGTATGGCATGGAAGGCGGCGAGCCTGGTTCTCAGGGCGCCAACTACTGGGCCCAAAAGCAGCCCGATGGGTCGTACAATTGGCTCAACTACGGACCTAGGGGCCAGTTGGACATGGCTTACGGTGATCGGTTCGTGGTGCATACCCCTGGTGGTGGTGGCTGGGGAAAGCCGGAGGATACCGACGATTCTCAGGAGAATGATGAGAGTATCGAGTTCCTTCCCAGGGCGAATGGAAGTGTCAATACCTTTCTGACAGCTCAGCTGGAGGCGTAAACATGCATCTTGTTCAAGACGAAGTATCCATCAATGCCACATCAACAGTACTAAATTTCTAAAAATATCCGGACTCTAAGATCCTTTGGGCGCTAAAGTACACGTATTAGAGCTACTGTTATCTCGGTTTCGGCTTGTGATGCAGCTGTTGGTCAGCAGTGCAATCTTGTTGGCCAACCTCGTATATTATATGTACTTCGTTGCGTGCGTCACAAAGTCCAAAATATGCGCTGGTCCTAAATGGATTATCAGCTCAACCAGATGTATACAAAGTCATTACTCCTTCACTTTTGTTCTCATTGGAACACATGTTGGCCTGTTTTGGAGCCAGGTTATGCATTTTCTCTCCTCTGCATGAGCGTAAGCCATCATAGCGACCCGTCTAAAGCAGAAAATCAGCCACGGCGAGATACTTCGCCTACTTTCCCGCATACGACCGTTTTTATTGGCAGTAGGTATCTGCAGTGAGACATACTTCGCCAGTCAGGTACTGTTCAATTGGTCAAGAGGCTTCCTTAGTAGGTAAGCTAAGAAAGATGAAGATGCATGGGCTAAATCACGAGCCATAAGCCATTACACTATCTACTTTGCTTTGGACTCTCTAGGCGCCTTTCACATTGAAGGAGTAAGGCACACTACGTGCGTGAAGAACTTCGTGCAAATAGCTATGCAATATGTATGCACCAATATATATATAACGAAAATCACGGGTGGGGGGATTGTGAAAGGTTGAGCTTATTATCCACTCTCTTCGAATATGACACTGTCATCGCCATCCGAGCCCGTCACAGCCATAACGGAGGACATGCCTTCTTCGTACACACAAGATGATACATGTCTCGGAATCGCCGTTGACCATCGTCTCAGGAAGCTCTTCAAACACATACCAGATGGGCTGAAGGAGAGTTCTGGCCATGTCACGCACATAACGAATCGAGGGCGAGCGTTGGACCGCCCACCAGCTGAAATCCAGGTAACCGGACAGCTGGCTGGTCCGGCACGCAAGGGAGGGATTGTTGTTATGCTCCAGCAGCCCTTGAAATATCATCCGTTTGAAAATGGCATCAACAATGTCATCGAAGAATGCAAAAGCCTATGGGCTCTGTCCGAAGTTTTCAACAAAGTCTCGTGTGGATCCCTCGACATCCGCGACAACGTTTCTGTGGTGGATATGCTACCCTATGAATCGAAGAAAGCAAACAATCTACCTCGTAAAGAATTGAAAGAGTCTTTTCAGACATCTATACGGGTCATTTGCGAAAAGGAACCTCAAGTACTGCTCTGCGCCGGGAAGGTCTGGCTGTCGACCACAGGCAGCCGGGATAATGTGAAGGGATCGGGGTGGAGCCTTGAGAGCATCAAGCTAGGAGAACGGTTCGATAACCAGACATGGTGGAGCGCTGAAACAACAAGAGTCCGTCCAGAGGGTGGCCGACTTACCACTATTCGCAGAGTCAATGGATTCCATCCAAGCTATGCCATGAACTACAACCCGCACGCCAGCATCCTGAGGCAGCTTCTCATCTTGGCCGTGGCTGAGACTTGTGGGGTCCAGGGGGGGAATTGGAAAGAGGAAACATGGATGTGTGACATTCGGAACAAGTGTAAAAGCCTCTCTCGGTCGCTAGATGGTAAGCACGTTTCCAACTCTATACATGCACCGGCTCTCTCTTTTACTGATACGGAGCTTCTCAGGCTCTCCCACCCAGCCTTCAGGCCTTCGACGGAAAAAAACCACTCCATCCTTAACGAATTTCCAAGAAATATACTACGATGAGCTTCGTGAGCTCCAAAAGTGTATCGGCGGACTTGAGCAAAATATACGACAGCAGAAACTGCCCGAGTATAACTACGTACTCTCGTCGGGGCTAACTGAGATATGCAACAACCTTACCCTGATATTTCAACATATGTTCATCGAGGGTCAGCCTAAGAATAGATCTGAGAAGAAACGTGCACTCCGGGAAGCAGGTGATATATTGACCGAATTTTTAGAAGATATTCTTCAGCCTGCAACGCTTTCACGTGGATCTAAGATTATAGAGATCATACAGGGACATATGATTTTCGTCTCAGACGAAACAAAAAAACTGACGGAAGATTGGGGATTCCTGGAAAAGATTAGCCATACCTTTCTCGCTCTAGCTCTTGATGTCGAAGGACTGCTTTTTGATATTCTAGAGAAGAAGAAAAGTCCGCTCGGGAAGACTGATGAGGATGATATCTTGTCTGGAAAACTCCAAAGATTGAGCTTAGGTCCAGTTCCACAGCGCATTAGATTAGTCAAGGCGTTGCCTGAGAAGCAAGTCTAGTTGTGGTACAAGATGTACTGGCACGTGATACAGATGGCTTATTAGCAAAGGTGGACGAAGATTATATTTATTTGAAAGCTCAACCCTGTTTTTTGTTTTCTTTCCAACTACATGAATGAAAAGAAGTAGCAACCCAACTCGAACCCCTCTCTTTCTACTCGAATATAGTCTATATCAATTCGGTATCTGCATTCGTTACGATGTCATGGTCTAGAGCTGCCAGATACAAACGATTGATGAATATACGTAAACACAAAAGAATAAATCACAGCCTATGAGCAAATTTATTTCTCCAATTGACGCATCGGTCAATACACAGAAAAGAGCCCTTTTTATTTCGGCCGATTTACCTAGGGCTGCAAGAGCTTGAGTAGGGACGTACAAATACATATTAGGATAGAGGAACCTAACCAAAAGCACTCAAGTGCATCCACAGCCAACACTGAGCATGTTAGTTAGATATTAATACATGCAGTGTTAAAATGTATCCTTTCAGCTTCCCCCAGCACTCGCACTTGACCGACTCCCTCAGATATTCTTCACCTGAGTTATTCCGGTCCCATTTCCAATCTCCATGACTCTTCCAATTGAAATCAATCGCATGACCGACTCTGCACTTTCTGTAGTCAACCTTTCTGCCTCCTGAACGGCTCTCTCTAAGGTCGTCGGCCGTTGCAGAATACACGCATAGGCGTCGATACCGATTGTATAGTTGACCCTAGCCCCGGTGCCGATGGTCCCCGCAATGGCAATGACAGGGAGATTGTGCTTCTTTGCACGTCGGGCGATCTCGCCAGGGATCTTGCCCATCGGTGTCTGATTGTCGATGCCGCCCTCAGCCGTCAGGACAAGGTCGCATTCGTCAAACAGCCCTTCTAGAGACAGGTACTCCATGACCAGATCGTATCGTGGCCTCAGCTTGGTGCCGATAAGACGCAGTCCAGTGCCTAGGCCGCCGGATGCTCCGCTACCGGGAGACAGGCCGACGTTGTCGTCCTGAAGTAGCGTGCCGGCCACACGGGCCAAAGCATCCATCGCCGTCGACAGGCGCGCTATTTGTTCCTCGGTAGCTCCCTTCTGTGGGCCAAAGACGGCGGCCACTCCGCGGGGACCACAGAGAACATTGTGCCAGTTGACAGCGGCCGAGATGGGTAGGTTGCGCAGTTTCGAGTCAATCCCGGAGAGGTCGATGTTGGAAAGCCCTATGAGCGACTCTCCACCCCCAGCCTCGGGAATGATATATCCGTCTCGGTCAATAAGACGAGCACCCAGGGCCTGCAGCATGCCGGCGCCCCCGTCGCATGTTCCAGAGTCTCCACAACCCACGAGGAGCCTTTGGGCACCAGCTTCGATCGCGGCGAGAATCAATTGCCCGACACCATAGGTGGTCGTGATACCGGGTTTTCGGCAGTCGGGCGGTACGAGGCTGAGCCCAGCCGCCGCCGCCATCTCTATCACAGCTGTCTTTGGCTCCGTCATGGTAGACGTCTGGCCGAGGATCCCGAAGAATGACTCTACGGGCTTACCAATGGGGCCGGTGACCGAGATGTTGTGGATGGTACCTTTGGTGGCCGCCACCAAGGCTTGGGTGAAGCCCTCGCCCCCATCGACGAGGGGGACCTTGCGGACAAGAGCGTTGGGCTCGACAGACAGAATACCAGCCTCTATGCAGTCGGCTGCCTTACCGGGCTGAAGGCTGCCCTTAAAACCCGAAGGGCAAACGAGGACTCTGACGCTCGGGGGCATTGCAGCAATGGTCATAGTGTACAGTAGGAGTTCAGTATCTCGGATGATGATTGTTTGTTTGAACAAGATCCCGAGGGAGGCTAGTATATGCATATATATACGGCGCGCCCACGGCCTCAAGGGAAGGCGTTGTATGGGAGGCAGCAAATGGTTACGGATGGAGTGGTTGCAGAATAAGGTAACCGGATGTGCACAGCAAGGGGTGGTGGCACACGTAGACCAGACAACATGGATATCACGGATACAGGCAAGTGACTTGAAAGACCTTGGATTTCATACATCCCGAGATACCACCAAAAGCACCGTATAAGATGACCTCAACTCAAGCACGAGTCGCGCCGTTTGGCTACCATCAATGGCAATGATGGAGAATACGTCATGGTGGCTTAGCTATCGCACAAACTTCTCAGCAAAAGTCTCAATGCGGGCGGAGTCGGGGAAGACATATTACGGCAGACGAGGGCTTACAACTAATTATATAAAATTCCCTCATACGAAGGCCTCCTTAATGTCACTGCGTCTTAGCTGTGAACGTCGCCTCGGTGTGGTGAACAGTGGTCAGTGTATAATACTTCGCCGGTTAGATTGGGTACTGTGGCCCAGCTATGGAAGCCCTCTTCCCAAACCGAGCAAAAGAGGTATCATGATATACATTCCAGATTCAGTATTTACCATTCAATTAGTGTTTGGTTAGTTACGTCTACTACACTGTATGTGATCTCAGATGTCTCCGTCTCATCGGACCATTTTCCTGTTCGCGTGACTCGATCCTCCTTTTGGTTCTTGCGGGATTAATATCAGAGGTAGCACGGCTAAGAGCGCACTAAATCGTGCAGGTATAGATTCAACGAGAGAAGACACGCCGCTTACTTCTAGATGATAGACGTTCATAAGTCCTTGTATAAGACATTGAGTTTGCATTGGTCCCGGATGAAGGTAGGCATACCCCACTCCTATTTTCTCACGAACTTTCAAAAGACAGAAGATGGAGAAGCAGGTGAGCCTGTCTTGAATGATCTAGTGGAAGTTGTGTTCAAGTAGAGAGCCCATCAAGTTTATTGATGCTTTTTAACGTGTGTATATATATTCGTCGGTCACTCCTTCGACAAGATATCTCTGTGGATACAGGGACGTAATTACATATGTATTGGATATCATGTCGCAGTAATATCGTATCGAAGACAACCGGGCCGGTCGGCAAGTGTGGGGGATGATTGGTACCGACGGAGTGAAGATCATGCACATGTTTGCCTAGCTTGTTGACTACGCTCAAGGTAAGATCTCTTCATGTTCTAATTGGTGTTTTGGATGGGGATTCAGTCTATTAGACCATTGAGATGACCACAGCTGGTCATTCTCGGGCCTGAGTCTACAACACACCAACTTTTGTGCCACTACATCCCGGTCCAGATTAGTTCAGAGTGTTGGCCGTGTATCATTCATGCTACCGGTTAGCAGCTGCAATGGCATTCATATGTCTCGTGCACTGAACCGTGGGTTTCTCAACGCTGGCAGGCCGGCAGGCCGGCAGGCCGGCAGGACTGTGGAAAGGCACGCGACCGGTTTCCAATAGTTGACAGCGACTACTGTGAAAATGACATGAACTGTCAGATCTGAAGCCATTCCAAAATTGACTTGTTTCTCCCCTCCTCTACTCTGTAGTCTGCTGAATAATATAGACACTGATCTTTTCCCGTGTTTTTCAGCATAGCGTTAGCCATAGCAACCGGGCTGCTCTTTTCGTTCTTGTTGTCGTTACTGGCCCACGCCAGACACTCCGAGCACGTTTTCAGGTGCTCATGAAGTGGCTTCTCTCTGAAATCAGCTCTTGTGGTTAATCAGTCATTGGGAGGATTTAACTCTTCTCTCTCTGCCTCCAGCCCACCAAGCAGCTTTGTTTATTCGCCGTCAAGATATCAGCGAATCCGGCTGTCACACCCCAAGATCACTATCTCTTCTACCCAAGATGGAACATCGACAGTGCGATCGGCATCCAGGAGAGGTTGAGAGAGGAGTTGAAACAAGATCAGTCCATGAGAATGACGTCCAGGTTGAAACGCCAAGTGCTTCATCAGACAAGGACTTTGAGTCAGCAGCTCCGACCGTCACTGACCTTGTGAGTCCCCTTCCCCTTTATCGCTTGCGTTACACATACACGGCCTCAACTGACATCGACTGGTTACTGTGATCGAGGTGACATGGAGTGGCCCTGACGACCCTATAAACCCTCTGAACTGGTCAAGGAAAGCAAAGTGGACGGCAACCATCCTGGTATCGAGCTTCACCTTCATCTCACCCATAGCGTCAACGATGCTATCCCCATCCCTTGACGACCTTGCAGACGAGTTCGACACCGAGGGTTTCGAGACATACCTCATCATGTCCATATTCCTGCTAGCATATGCTGTCGGTCCCTTTATCCTCGCACCTTTATCAGAGATGTATGGCCGCGTCGTCATCTTGCAGGCCTCCAACATGGGGTTTCTGCTGTTCAATACGGTCTGTGGATTTGCTCGCACTAAATCCGAGATTTTGCTCTTTCGATTCCTGAGCGGCTTGGGTGGCGCGGCGCCACAAGCGGTGAGCATTTTTTTTTTCACATTTTTCCTCGTTATTTCCGCTCTCCATTCGATGTGAGACAAAGAGGCGTTGTTGACTCGAATCTGTCCTAGATTGGTTCCGGTGTTCTGAGCGACTGCTGGAGTGCAGATGAGCGCGGGGCGGCGACGGCCATGTACAGTCTCGCACCGTTTCTAGGCCCCGCTGTCGGTCCCATTGGTAAGACTCCATACATTGCCAAGAGCTGGGCGCCAAGAAGGGGAGCGTGTTTTTTTTGGGGTTATGTTCTGACCCTCTTCTATCTCTTGTAGCTGGTGGTTTCCTTACTCAGTATATGAATTGGCGATGGATCTTCTGGGTTGTTTCAATCGCGGACGCCGTGGTGCAGATTCTGGCCTTCTGCTTCCTGACAGAGACATACCGGCCTGCAATCTTGAAGAAGAAGGCACGAAAGCTGCGCCGATCGACCGGGAATGGCAAGCTTCACACTGAAGCTGAAGCTGAGGGAACCTCGTGGAGACATCTATTCGGCAAGAGCATCATGCGCCCCTTCATCATGCTGACGACTCAGCCCACAATCCAGATCACTGGTCTCTACCGAGCTTACTTGTATGGGCTCATGTACCTTGTGTAAGTCACATGGTTTTGACCGCGGGATTTCGTTGAGATGGCGATCACTAACAATGCTGTATGCAGTCTTGCCTCCTTTCCCACAGTTTGGGAGGACAGGTATGGCCAGGAACCTGGGCGCGCCAGTCTTAACTACATTTCACTGGGTGTCGGCTTCGTCATAGGGCTCCAGATATCAGGCCCTGCCATAGACAAAGTACGTTGACACCCTCTGCCGTCGAATGCTTTGCATGCACCCATCTGTTTGAATGATATTGTTCAAAGTATTTGACGCTGACTGCGTGTGATATGCAGACATACAAGTACCTGAAAGAGCGACGCAACTCCCCCGGTTGCCCAGAGTTTCGCATACCGCTCATGTTCCCGACCGCCGTCATAGCGCCCGGCGGCCTGCTGCTATACGGACTGTCGGCGCACTTTAGAACCCACTGGATCGTGCCCGACATTGGGGCCGCCATATTCGCCATGGGCCTCATCCTCTCGTTTCAGTGCGCCCAGACGTACATTATCGACTCCTACGAAACGTACACGGCCAGCGCTGCGGGTGCTTCGGCCTTTATCCGCACCATGGCCGGGTTCAGTTTCCCTCTGTTCGCTGACGGCCTCTACGAATCCCTCGGCATCGCTGGCGGTAACGGTCTTCTGGCAGGTTTGGCATTCGCCATCTGCCTCGTCGCGTCGACGGTCTTGTGGAAATACGGTAAGTGGATTCGCAAGAAGAGTCCTTACTGCGCTGGCTAGAGACAATGTCGGCCTTGTCGTTGTGAATGGCATATAACAACACGCCACATAGTAATTAGTCCTTAATAGCCGTGTCCATCCATAAATGTATGTATCCAGTAGAATTTAAATCGTGATAGTGGAAGTGAGTTTGCCATTTGTCACACTTCGGCTCACCTAACGTGAGTAGTGGAAGGAGTGCAGTAGTAACTGGAAGAAATTTTCGCCTTCACCCACGGTCAGCCCCGAATAGCCATCGAGGTTCTCTATCCGGCTGTATACTGGAAGTATACGGTAGCGTCAGACACTGTACGCACATGGTAGACCACGCGGGCCCATCTCATGTCTTGGAACATCGTGAGGGAAGACGTGACAGAATACGGGAGACCTCTTCCTCACACCCAAGGCAAGCCTCAGATTGTAACGAAAAAATATAAACGCCTGTCAGACGTCCATCGGAACCCACCCCATCCGCACGCCCGAAGGCAGACCGCAGACAGGGTTAAGATCATCAAATGAGACTGCAAGAACAGCTCATATACCATCTCTATACAGCGAGAGCTTGTTCTGAAGAAAAGCAGACACCGTCATCCTTGCGGACAATTCGAGAGGACCGGAAGTTTTCACTCTGGGGTTCCGAGGATATGCACTCATCAACCAGGGTGGATTCTGTGGCTCTTTTAGGGAACCAAGAGAGGGTCGAATACTATAGAAATGATTCTCCTGTGATGGTTGTTAGCAAGATGTTTGCTTCAAGGGAGGGAGGGAAGCCAAGCAGTAGAAGCATCATCACGATGGAGATGGCTCTACCGTATAAAGGGGCCGGTAGTAGGGGGGGGTAACATACTGAAGTATTGTCGACGTGAAGAAGAAAAGAAGGAAAAAAAACAAATGGATGGGAGGGAGGCGGTCTTTTATAGATTTTGTGGGAAAGCTCAACTCACCGCCTTCAGGCTTCATGGCAGAAATTTCTCCACTGCCTTTTTTTTTTTTCCTCTCTCCTTGGTTGCGGACATAATTATACGATTTTTGCATTGGCCTCCACAATCAATTCCCCTTTGGCAACGCTGCGGGTACGAGTATTAGATGCATTTCCATTATGGAAAACACCAGGTCTATCAAACCACCGCAAGAAACAGGTACCCAGAGTACAAGAACCAATATAACCTGGAGGATGCGTATGAGTGGAGTGTATCAACTTGCTGTTTACTCGTACAGTCTCCATCCATCGGAGTGGCCGCCCAGCTGATAACAATGGATTGAGTCTACCGTTGAGAGAACAACGATAAGCTGGTTCCAACGGCGGAGGGTCCGAGCTGATCAAAGTATCTCCCCAGATCAATCATTCTAGATTGGTACGGTGATATACTCTATGAGAGATGTGGGGTTCTCAGCCATTGTACAACATATTAGATAGCAGCTGCCCGCCTTTGTCTTGGTGTCGTCTAGAATTCCTCTTAGGAAGATCCAGAGAAGTGTTCGAGGGCCTTCGATATAATATCGAAAATCAAGAAAAGAAGGTTGCGCTTCGATATACATTCTTCTCCAACTTCACCGAGGAGAGAGCCGGCTACTTGTATCGATACTGCTTGATGCAGAGTCCTACCATGGGGGTGATGAAACAAGTGACCCGCGCCCTAGCATCGGTCGCACATGACAATCCCGTCATCGCAATCATCTTAGTTGTCGTCATTGTCATCGTCGCCCGTTCTGTATACCGCGGCTCGCGACTCCATGGCCTCTACGCGGTACCTGGTCCCGTCATCCCACGGTTGACCTCCACCTGGCTCAATTACCACGCATTCATCGCCGACGAGTGCACTGCCGTGCATCGTCTCCACGAGAAATACGGCCCCATCGTCAGAACGGGACCGAACAGCGTCGACATCGCCGACGGGGCGGTCCTCGATACCATTTACATGGAAAAGGGCGGCTTCTTGAAGCCAGAATTCTACCGCAACTTTGACATTGACGGCCACGCCACCATCTTCACGAGCACAGATCCGAGCTACCGCGCCCTCCGGGCCAAGGCCGTTAACCCTCTGTTCAGCACAGCCAATTTACGGGGCGGGGCGAGTCTTCTCGCCGCATCGTCCCAGGGCTTCACGGAGCGTCTACGCCGCGAGACGGCCAGGGCGAAAACCGCTGATGGTAAGGTCAACATTCTTGCCCTCACTCGCGGCTTCGCCCTCGACTCTCTCACCTCGTACCTCTTGCGACGGCGCTACGGCGCGACCGACGAGGACATTGTGAAGCAGAATGGCGAGGCCGAGTCGAAATCTGGCAAGGCAGGGGACAGTTCAATGTCTGCGTCGTCAATGGTGGACTCATTTGTGGGCGTTGGCAAGAGCTGGTACCTGCCTATATGGGCGTTCCAGACATACGAGCGCTTCATGGGTACAATACTACCCGATCCCCAGGTAGATCAGAGTATGGCTTGCGTCGACACCTTCCTCAAAGGCGTTCTGGATCAAGCGAAGCAGGAGGTCGCGCAAGAGACAACTGCTCAGCCGGCCACGTCCTTTCCCGCTCGTCTGCTCAAGGCCGGCTTTTCTGACAGCGAGGTCACGGCACAGTGCAAGGATCTCGTGTTTGCCGGTACCGACTCCACCGCAATGAATCTGGCCACCATCTGTTTCATGCTCTGCAAGCACCCAGCCGTGTACCAGGCTCTCCGCCGAGAGATCCTAGCACAAGGTCCGTCGCACCCGGATCCGAGTTCTCTCCCGTACCTCCAGGCCGTCATCAGAGAAGGATTGCGACTCAGCATGGCGAACCCGACACGCCTGCCCCGGCTTGTCCCGGCGGCAGGGTTTCGCTACGGGGATTATTTCCTGCCGCAGGGCACCGTTGTGTCTTGCACACCGTTTGAGCTGCACCTCAATGGAAAGGTTTTCCAGGATCCGCAGGAGTTCAAGCCTGAGCGTTGGCTCGACGATGCTAACCCCAGCGAGGAGATGAAGAGGGATATGATTCCGTTCGGTCGCGGTACGAGACAGTGCATCGCACGGAATCTGGCAATGACTGAGTTGAACACTGTCGTCAGCAAAATTGCTGCACAGAATGCCCTTGAAGGATTGAAAAACGTTGGGGACAGAATTGAGATTGGGGAGTGGTTCAATAGCTATGTGCTCGGCCACAAGATAGAGCTTTATGTTGACTGAACATCGATATATTATTAGCATGAATTGCGATAAATCTAGGGTAGGGACACAGCTATACCATATGATAGTCATGACCGATTCTTCCAAACCTTGATGTGCATGCCTGTTCGTTTGTACTGTCTTCTGATCCCAACGTCGGCATCTGCTGGTCATATCTCCTTACAAGATCTCTCATCGCATCAACGAGCCGCTCCTGAATCTCCAAATCGAGAGCTTGTCTCATAGCCTTGGTGAAAAATGCCCCCCAGCTGGCTTCCCCACAGATTGAGGCTAGCTGTCGGCGTATGTGGTGACGTGAAATCCAAACTTCCCGGCAGGCGACGCGCTCCTATATTGCAGCGCCGATAATAGAGCGACAACCTTGCAGGGATCGGGGATTATATCGGCCATGTCCCTAGACCCAGAGAGGGACATGTCGGTGTTTGGATTTGTCGTGTAAGTCTGAAAAGCAATGGGCCTTGTTGAGGGAAGACCGTGTTGATTGCCCTCATTGAATGGTACTCGCCGAGATTGAGATCGTCGCTTATGCTTTAGTACAGCTGGGTCAAGATGTATGGATGTCCAATTGCTTCGGTGCAGACTGGAGATGCAAGGGCGAATATTTGGCATTTCTCGATCGTCTGGCAGTTTATGAAACTCCAAATTTTGTCTCGCGCTCTTGTTGAAACCCATGATCACGGTTGATTAATGCTACCTGTGCGACCGCGAAACCCTGGCAGTCCGTGTACATAGTGGAGGGAAGTAAGATGATTAAAAAGGGTCTACGTAGTAATAGTAATAACAATAATAGCGGTCAGTGTTATTACAGATTATACCCGGTAGTCAGAGCGTATATACTCATGATGAAGCCTTTAATACCACAAACGGTAACTGAGCAACGACTACGCCGCATCCCTATTATAAGATCGGGACTCTGAGAAAAAGAGGCAAAAAAAATCTAGCTATATTCTTTTGATTAGTATTACTCAATAAATCTCTTGAGGCTGACAAGCTAGACTACTAGTAAGGTCAGCCCGTCACAACCTACTTCCATTAACATAGCCCACTTACAGGTCCTAATAGACCCTGGTGGAGGAAGTGAAGATTTATGCATACATCGAGGACAGCATGATAGACATTCTGCATCTATGATATATTACATGGCAGTATTACTCGCGTCGTAATACTTTGTAGAAGGCGCTATATCATGTCCCATATAGTTCGTTCAGGTAACTTTCCGTTACTTTCCTGATTCTGCTAGTCCTCCGAAACGTCCCTTCTTCCGTCCCAAGTATTAGTGTAACAAACGTCGAACAGCAAGTTTCAACCACCTGGTTGAAGTTGCACGACAAGTGCGGGCCTGGCGTTACGAATCTACCGGGAGAGACAATAAATGCCTCAATCATGTGAAAATGTCACAAGATTAGACACCAAGATGGAAGATGTACCTGTACCACCAGCCCACAACCACCATGCAAAGAATAGGTGTGGGTCATGGACCGACACAATTGCCTCTCTCCTCTACCCAACATTCGCCATCTGAGAGGAAGACAAGAGAAGAGACGACACACACAATACACACACCTGTTATCCCCTACGAACACGCGGGAACGTGCATATCCAATGGTTTCTTCGCGGCTAGATCGTGACGAATCCACTCTGTTAGCCCTAAAACTGACCACAGAGGCCGCCCAGATGAGGTTACATGTCGGCGCAACTCTTGAACGGTCGCACTGTGCGAGGAGCCAGCTTCAGTGGCAGCTACTAGGAACGAAGGAAGCCATACATGTGCGTAACAAATAACACGTCATCCTTGGCATAGTATATTAAGCTTATTACAAAGGCTATGTTGAGAACTTTGATCGCCATTCGGGGAAGCTCATACTCAGTGTCGAGGGCATCTTGACCATCAGGGGAATACCGACATCCTCCTCCTTCCCCAGGTCTGAAGCCTCATGGACGACGTTGTCAACTTCGAAGAAGCCTAGTTTCCGGTATAGTCTTTCCGCTTGGGGGGACGACTCAAGGTAGATTGGCAGCCGCAGCTGCTCTGCCAAGTCGAGTCCCCACTGTGTCAACATTCTCCCGGCCCCTCGCCTTTGGTGCTCCTGCTTAACGGCTATAACGTGACAGTCTACAATTAGTTGTTAGCTTCAGTGTTTTCCTTTCTTTTTTTTTTTCTCCTGAGATCTTCCCACCATCGGTCTTGGTCAAAGCGTAAGCACTTACAGATATGAGGCCTCCTTCCCATGATTTCAATCTTCTTCTTCCAAAGTGGACCGAGGATCCTTTCCGCCCTCTCCTTGTGGGTACCCTCCAGCCAAGTGACACCGGGATCCTTGATCTCTTCGTCGGTGCGCTCCTGCATGTAGAGATCCCAAAGACCCATTCCAATCACCTCTCCAGTCTCAGAGTCGATGCACTTGACAGTGTACTGGCACTTGCTTTGCTTCCAGTATTCTGCTGTGCTTTCCGTGTGAAGCTTGCGGAATGACTCGTCCACCCCGCTGGGAAACAGGATGTCGATGATCGGTTCGCCCTTGAAGGCTTCAAAGTAGGCGTCGTAGACATCTTTGATGTCCGGGACTAGCGTCGGCAAACATGCGAGACCCATTGTGCCTTCCTGTAGCCTGAGAATTGGATGTTTCGTGGTGATTGTATTATGTGTTGCAATAATAAGTTATCCGAGTGTAGGGGGTATGTATGTTACTTGGCGGGTTGGCACCGGTATATTTATATGTCGCCCCAGAATATGAGGGGCATCCCTCATTCTTCATACGTCCGTAAATATTCGAGCTTCTTCTCTCCTGATTGATAGTGAGGAGCCAAGACATTGAGTCAAAAAAACAACCTTATTGTTCTTGAAACTAGCGGCCTACATGCAGTTATGGCGAGCCGTCGTCCTTGGCAGTGGCGGTGATGCCGTTTTTGGCAAGATTGTATGCAAATCTCTTGTTGGGTTGATGCCGGATAATCAAGGAACAGGAGGCAACTTCCGGTCAGAGTGGAAACGGAGTGGTGCGAGCAGTAATAACGAGGATGGGCTAGACGGGCACTAGAAGTCGTACTTCATACCTCGTAGGCTACTTGGTATCGATGTACATATATAGGGGCCGGAAGATGTTATTTCGTATTCCCCTTAGCGGATACATACTACTTACTACACTTGGTGCGATTCCATCTTCACGGTGAAAGGGAAATTACCAAAATAGGCAATGCAGCAATGTAAAAGAATAGTTGCCCTTTGTCTCGTCCTCCACGACTTAGATTTGGCTTACGTGTGTAAAAGAGGAAATTACTCTAGACAAACTCTTCATTTACACCAATGTGCTGAACCATATAGTAGATAATTCCCTAAAGCTTGGTTCAAAGTTCTTGGAAACCCCGGGGAAATTTGCTCAAACTTGGCGATAACTTCAATGGCAAGCTGTGCCTGGACCTGCTGTCCCCAACCAATGGACATGCTCTTTGCTGGCCTAGGAAAGTGTTGGCCCTTCTCAACATGTAATCCCAGAGTAATAAGACCCAAAAGTAAGTGCCAGGCAAGGTTTACTCTTCGATATGACAGTCGCTTAGGTACCTGCCATTGGCCTCGTAACCCGCAAGCAGTTCACGAACAAGTTTTTGACTCCCTTCTTCGGCAGGGCGAGCCATGGTCTGTTCAAAATCTTGAAAACTGGTTCACTAAGCTCGCATTCCAGGTTGAATTTGCAAAAACTCGTGTTCAGTGTGTTGAAGATGCAGATACCGGCTGACCTCTCCGCAAACGCCCGCACGATTTAAATCACAAGGAGCTTGGTCAGATTGTAACGATCAGACACGTCGGCTTCTTTAGGGTTGTTAAGCCAAAATACTCCCTCTGCCATGTTCAAGTTAGTTTAGGGACGCTAGGCGGTGAAGAGCTTTTTTTGGTATCACATATTGGGCTGTGCTACCGGTCGTACAACTGGACTCGTGAGATTTGGGAAATATGAGAACATACAGGAAGAATGTACTGATGGCATTCATATCGAGCATCCTCCCAGTTCCTCGCTCAGACCGAACTTTGTCATCATTATGCCAGCGTTGGCCAAAACACCGTCGATACGAGGCAGGCTCAAAGAGCAGTTGGCGATTGTTTTTATAAACTCATAGCTGTCCATGTCCAGATACCAGACCTCGATTGCAATCTTGGACACAGGCTTGAATGCAGGGAGCCCCGCTTTGGCCACTTCACATTTCTCATCGTTGGGCACGGCCATGCTCAGCTTTCTGACGCCGAGGTGATATATATGCCGATATGACTCCGTGCCCAGCCCGAAATTTGCACCCGTGACAATGTAGATGTGGCCCGAGAGGTCACTTCGGTTTCTTGGTATCGGGAACTTGGCGCAGTACTTGGAGTTGACGATGGAGGAAATGGCTGTCAGTGGAGACATTGTCAAGAGTATATATGGTTTTCTATGACAATGCTAGTATATAATATAATAATAGAACTAAGTATCGAAATAGAGTAGGCGTATAGCGCTATTCCCGATGTTTTATAGAGGCATAACGTCGACTGCTCGTTCATAGATGACGCGACCCTCATTATGCAACGCTGTACAGTCGAGATACTCTACCTCAAGGGCCTCATGGTCCTACACAGACGCTTCATCCGGTACTGGCCCTGGGCGGGTAAATACAAGCCCTCGCGACGCACCTGCGTCGAGGAATCCCCTATGATGCTCGATTGTCAGGCTGAACTATATGAGGCTTACCAGCCAGGATGGAAATTGTACGACGACAGGTGAATCTTTTTCGGGCTTCCTAGTCAGGAATTTCTCCTTGTCGCCACGGCCATTTGTCTGGACTTGTCTGTGCGCATGAGGGCCGCAGTTGGGTGGACCAGGTGACTCGTCGGGAGATCATGAACCGGGAATACCAGGCTCCGCAGACCTGCGGTTATGGCCCACAGATTGCGTTTCCTTACCTGAGATGCAAATGCCATTCTTGCCCTAAAACTCATGCTTATCAAGATTTCAGAAGCGAAGTCTTCTCCAGCGCAGAGCCATCTTGATCCCTTGGCGTTGAACAGCCCGTGTTTGTGGACACCGAAGTGCTGTATGCAGACACAATATCAAACATTATTGATCGGTTTGACAGTCAATTGACAGTCAATTGGGTAAGTTCAGCCGAGTTATTGCAACCAACAATATGTATCTTTACGCGTGTGCTATAGGGCTACTGGACCACTACTTTCACATCTTGGTTCTAGATGCATGAATTTCATGAAGAGGTTCTCAAACATCCCACGACCGTTCGAGAAAGCATACTGCCCGTTGCTTCGATGGCATAGAAGTTCAGGTCAACGTGTTTTGCAAAACGCCATGTGCAATATTTCTAATAGGCCCTGGGCGTGCTATCTTTCATGTGTTGTCACAGCCGCATGCCCTCGCCGCTTCTCTTTACCAATGTCCCGGTCTAATTTCAGACTTCAACGCTTAATCAAGCCATCTTAGGAACGGTTTGCAGAGTTTCCATTGTCCGTTGTTTATGCCATCCAATAACCTGCCTTGACCCCCTCCTGGGCACTCACAGACGCACTGTAGCCAGCCAGGCATCCCTCCTCGATATAATACCTGAAAAACCCAATAGCGCGGTTTTTGGTGTCCCGTAACACTGACCCACATGTACCATCGGGAGGAACATGAGGGTGATCCCGAATCTGCGAGCCTCCGGTTTGGCCCATGAAGGCCTATATATAGACAATGTAAGAAAGGGACGCATCGGTTGCGTGGAATGAAGTGTCGCGCTCAAGCTTGGCCAACTTCATCATGATAGTCCCCTCCATCTCGCCTGTGAACGGGCTGTCAATGAAGACCATTTCGTCCAAGTCAATGCCATTCCCCTCGTTCTCACCCAGAATCGTCGTCATTTGATTGGTGACGCCGCTGTCGTTCTCAAACAGCTCATTGGAAAACAGGACGTCGTCATTGAGTTGAACGAAGGCCACATCTGTGAAGCATATTTCCTGGACAGCGCTTCCCAAAGGCTTCTTCCAGTCTCCGGGGAAAGTTTGCAATATGGCCCCATCCTCTCCGATATCACGAGAAGCAGCTGTCATGAAGCGTTGCCCGGAAGCGTTCTTAACCATGACGCCCGAAGTAGTGGACACATCCACGGAATGGGTGTGGATCATGTAGTTTGTACTGGAAATCATGACGCCTGGTCTCAAAGCATAGTAGGCAATGTCGTCCTTCGTTCCACGAAAAGGCTGGGGCAAAGTTTCTCGGCGTGATTTCTGGCGCGCCCACCCAGGCCTGTTAACCTCGTGGTCAAAGATGTACCCGGTTATACACTTTGCTAGCTTTCCAGGGAGGCGGCTTCTTGCGACGCTCATGTCTGTGTCATTCCCCAAGACCACATAAAAAAACCTGTCGCTAGCGAACATAACCTCGACCAGGTCAGTTTTCAGATGGTTCCCATTGATGTAGGCGAGAAGCTCAGCAGTTACCGTCCGCAGGTCCTCACTGCTCAAGGCGCCGTTTCTCCCGTCCAGAGTCTGACCGATGGATATGGAGGTATTCCCGCGTCTCGAGACCTTGGTCGAGAATGGGAACCCTTGGCCCGCGGTGCAAGTGGACAACGTGATGGGTATACCGCCCACGGTAAGAGGCCATGGTTCCGCGGGAAGTTCGTTGACGGTGAAGTGGAGGAATGGCCGAGCCCGGTCCTCTCCGATTTCAGTGGTATTTGGAAAGATGCTGAAGAGCAAATTTCGCACGGACTTGTTGTTGAGGATATGAAGTTTCTCATCTCTGAGGTTGAAGCCAAACGTGCCTGTTATTAGTGGAGGGTGATGACCTCCAGGGAGGCAGGGATCCCGGTTGAGAGTGCAAGAGCTCTGGGAATATAAATGCTTGCGCAACACAAGCAGTGCTTCCAGGAATTAATTGCCTAGGGGCAAAGGGGTCGGTTGGAATATGACCGGCAGTATTTTGCTCGAGTGACGCATGTGAGTCTGGGCTAAACATGATCAACGAACTCTTTGGTGAGGATAGTGCAGCGGAGGGTGAGATTCCACGCTTCTTCACAAGCGATGGGGTGCCCAAAGGCTGAGGCAGTATCGCAAGGGTACGGATATTGGCCATGGTTGATTTTGTGGCCTTGTTGGTGATAGACAGCTGTGAGTGAGCGTTGCAGTCCCTCCTGGCGACTTCCCCTCTCTCCTTCTTTCTTTCGTCTCTCCTCGCTAGGGAAGGAAGTCCCGTTGAGTCCCGTCCACCTTCCTCCTCACTAAGGGAGGGTGTGCAAGGAAGAAATTGTCAGACAACGAGTCTGCGTTTCTCTCTATCTAAGGGACAGATGCGTTTCTCACCGTTGAAGTAGTAAGTGCTTTTCTCGTCTAGCTTCTCGTGACAGGCGCGTTTCTCTTGTGCCTGCTCCCGAGGAATAAGTGTTGGTCGTTTCCGTAGGTACCAGCGGTAAATGCATGTGTTACGTCGTAAGGCGCAACCGCTAGACAAAATAAACCAGGAAGTTTGTTTATAATACAATTCTATCCGTAGTACTTCTGTTACCTATGCCACCCAATATTATATGACTAAGCAGCCAGAGGCTTCTGCCACACTCACATCTATAGATAGATTTCCTCCTTTTCAATAAATCACTAAGACACACACTCATCCGACCTAGGACATACTCGTAGGTAGAGACCACTGTATTCACGTCTACGGGTCATCGTGTTGTCGCCAGCAAGAAGCACACACCCTATACTTCGCCCATTGAAACCACTTTAGCGTCTCTCACGAAACAAGTTTAGCGTCAGTCACTTTACGCGCTTCAACGCGTCGAGACGCGCGAAGGAGATTGGCCCATTCATCCCTCGCACTTTGCCTCATTGCCGCCCTACCAAACTTCCCTTGATCAACGTCAGAACACCCCTCTTTGTGGTCCTCGTTTGACCATCACCGTCTACCTCTTTACAAAATTTTCTGTACGAGGCACTGGTGATATTGTCTTTCAATTAGATACCGGCATACACAGAGAACCCATCATGAGGTATAATATACCCCTGAATGTTTTGCTTGCCATTCGCAAGAGCCAAGGCTGATCAGAACCCTAGTTCTCCCCTTCGCGACAACCCCTCGTCCGCAAACCGAGGGGCGCCTCCTCGATTCAGCCGCAAGCGTTCTCGTACCGGTGGTGATGGAAATGGCTCATCTATCGGCATCAGCTCCAGTCCTATGCCGTCGTCGCCCCCGGGTCCCGAAGACTTTAGCATTGCCCACGGCGGAGACGACGAAGATAACATTGACGAAGAGCCCGAGATTCAGGACGACCTGGAAGACCTCGACGAGATGGCTGATGACGATGTCGATCTGTTCCGCGAGGGCTTCGAGGGAGACTACAGGTCTAAGGAGGACGACGCCTACGAGGGTGTTGGCATCGACGACGAGGGTGATTACGGCGACATGGACCAGGCTGCCAGGCGGCAGCTCGAGGCACAGCTTAACCGGCGTGACCGCGAAGTCGCTCGTCGCCAGAGAATCCCCGCCGCCTTTTTGCCCGGCGACGATGAGGATGGCGACATCGACCTCACAGCCCAACCTAGGCGTCGCCGCCACCACTACGACGAGGACCCAGATGAGGATATGGATGCCGACGTCATGGACGAGGAACTGTCGCTCGAGGCCCTGGGAGATGTCAAGGCGTCGAGCCTGACGGAGTGGGTGTCGCAGACCGCAGTGCAGAGGACCATCAAGCGCGAGTTCAAGGCGTTCCTGACGTCGTACACGGACGCTTCCGGATCCTCAGTCTACGGCAACCGTATCCGCACCCTCGGTGAAATCAATGCCGAGTCTCTCGAGGTGTCGTACGAGCACTTGTCAGAGAGCAAGGCCATCCTGGCATACTTCCTTGCTAACGCGCCCTCGGAGATAGTCAGCCTCTTTGACGAGGTGGCCATGGACGTGGTGCTGCTGCACTACCCCGACTACGAGCGCATACACTCAGAGATCCACGTGCGCATCTTTGATCTGCCCGTGCACTACACGCTGCGCCAGCTGCGGCAGTCGCACCTTAATTGCTTGGTCAGGGTGAGCGGCGTGGTCACGCGCCGCACCGGCGTTTTTCCGCAGCTCAAGTACGTCAAGTTTGATTGCACCAAGTGTGGTGCCACGCTGGGGCCCTTCCAGCAGGAATCCAACGTCGAGGTCAAGATCAGTTTCTGCCAGAATTGCCAGTCGCGTGGGCCCTTCAACGTCAACTCAGAAAAGACGGTTTACCGTAACTACCAGAAGCTGACGCTGCAGGAGTCGCCCGGCACCGTCCCCGCCGGTCGTCTCCCTCGCCAGCGCGAGGTGGTGCTCCTGTGGGACCTCATCGATAAAGCGAAGCCTGGAGAGGAGATTGAAGTGACGGGCGTGTACCGCAACAACTACGACGCACAACTCAACAACCGCAACGGCTTCCCCGTCTTCGCCACCATCCTCGAAGCCAACAACGTGGTCAAAACGCACGACCAACTGGCTGGCTTCCGTCTGACAGAGGAGGACGAGCAGGAGATCCGCCGCCTGTCACGCGACCCTAACATTGTCGACAAGATAATCAACTCGATGGCGCCCAGCATCTACGGACACACGGATGTCAAGACGGCCGTGGCTCTCTCCCTGTTTGGCGGCGTGGCCAAGACGACGCGGGGTTCCCACCACGTGCGCGGCGATATCAACGTGCTTCTGCTTGGTGACCCCGGAACGGCCAAGTCGCAGGTACTCAAATACGTAGAGAAGACTGCACACCGAGCCGTCTTCGCGACGGGTCAGGGAGCTAGTGCGGTCGGTCTGACGGCCAGTGTTCGCCGCGACCCGCTGACAAGCGAGTGGACTCTGGAGGGCGGCGCGCTCGTGCTTGCCGACAGGGGAACGTGCCTGATTGATGAGTTTGACAAGATGAACGACCAGGACCGCACGTCTATCCACGAGGCCATGGAGCAACAGACTATCTCGATCTCCAAGGCGGGTATCGTGACGACACTTCAGGCCCGGTGCGGCATTATTGCTGCCGCCAACCCCATCGGCGGCCGATACAACAGTACCATCCCCTTCTCCGCCAACGTCCAACTCACGGAGCCCATCCTGTCGCGTTTCGACATCCTCTGCGTCGTGCGCGACACAGTTGAGCCCGAAGAGGACGAGCGTCTGGCCCGCTTCATTGTCGGGTCTCACAGCCGCAGTCACCCACAGCAGCAGTCGCAGCAGTCCCAGACCCAACAGGACTCCATGGATGTCGAGAATCCCTCGGAACAAACGCAGACGGATACGCTGGCGTCCTCCAAGGTACAGGAGGATGAAGTGCCCCAGGAGCTTCTGCGCAAGTACATCCTGTATGCTAGGGAGCGTTGCAGCCCGAAATTGTACCACATGGATGAGGACAAGATTGCCCGTCTATTCTCCGATATGAGGAGGGAGTCGTTAGCAACGGGAGCGTATCCCATTACAGTCAGTCTCTTTTCTCTTACTCATCATCTCCATTCTTTTCATCCACCTTTATTGACAAGAAAAACAACACAGGTCCGTCATTTAGAGGCCATCATCCGCTTATCGGAATCATTCTGCCGCATGAGACTCTCAGACTACTGCTCAGCCCAGGACATTGACCGTGCCATTGCCGTCACGGTGGACAGCTTCGTTGGCAGTCAAAAGGTCAGCTGCAAGAAGTCTCTTGCCCGCGCATTCGCCAAGTATACCCTTGCCAGGCCGGGAAAGGGTAGAGGTTCAGGTGGGAGGAGGCCGGCTGCTGTCATGGCATAGATGGTCTACTAGTCCGAGCTACTATTATTAGTATCATTGAACCCGAGGGAGCGAGTTCGGTGGGAATAGGTTTTTTTTTATTTTGTTTCGATTTCGATGGGAACGAGGTGTAGAATGTAATATATACGACTCAGATGACGTCATGTTCTTGCTATTGGGGTTGTGGTCTGGTAATGACAATGAAAACTTAACTTAGGATGTTGTATCTCATTTTCAGGTTGCTCGTGAAGAAAAAGTGGAAAAGTGGTATAAGTGCTTCAAGTCAACATGATTCCCAATCTAACATGCAGGGTATCTAAAAGAACAGTCACCGCAAACAGATCAACACCATGACAACACAACAATACAACTGCTTGAGCCCAACGACATTCGCCCATGACTTGTTTTTTACTACTCGTACGGTACAACTCATACTCCACCCCCTCTCTCGCACATCGAGGGGGACCTTTGTTTTTGTACTCTCCTCTCATCTTGCCTTGTAGCTTTGATATTGGCTATCCTCTCCCGCCCCTTCTCAAGCCCTGCCGTCCACACCACCACGAGGCTTCCCCATGCTCTTGTGCCTTTATTGCCGCCTCCGCTGCCGCCTCCGCGCATGTACAAAGCCCATGGCGCGTCGTCGCCACCAGTACAACCCCAAATGAAGATAGATGAACCCGAAACACGAAAAAGACAGATCGGGAACACGATGCCCACCAGGGTCTCTACCTGAGGAGACCCCCCTGGTGGTTCGGGGTTGACGGCCATATCTTTTTTTTTCCATATGAGACTGCAATCCACACATGAGACGTAAATGAATTGCAGCATCCTTGTTCCAAGCTTACCACGCAATAACAGCACAGCTAAGAAAGAAAAAGAGAGTCTTGTGGGGGTATATCCGTCGCCTGTGTTCTTCGTAATCTTCATACCGTCAAGAGAGGTCCAACCTGACGAGTGTTTTGATATTTTTGATCCAAACCGGGGCCGTGATAAGTGATTCCATAATCCATTCCATTGAAAAAGATGTCGTCAGAGGAAAGTAGGATAGCAGACAAGCAAAAGTCATTGACGTCCTGTGCACTGCATGCCGCCAGCCCTCCCCGACCACCCAGGGAATGAGAATGGGTTTTAAAGTGGAAAAAGAAAAGAAGTGTGAGTAAGATGTAAATGAGACAGAACCGAGTACGCCGCAAGGAGAATCCAGAATCCTCAGGAGTTAATATGCCGAGTCGTGATGACGGACCATGAATAATTCGACCGAAGAACCCCAAAAGAGCCCAGTAAAAGAAATAATAAAGGAAAAATAATTGAATGTCGTTTCGTGTAGAGGCGGAACGTGTCGAGAGTGATTTGTTCGACGGCATAGAAAGTTCAAGGGTGTAAAGGCAGGAGATAAGACAAAGAGAATAAATACTGTAACCAGTAAAGGGGAGGGCTGAAACGCTTGCCACGCACACAAAGTCATGGCAGCATCGTATACCCTCCCACGATATTAGCCCGGCTGACCCTGGCTAGAGACCAGCGAGACAAGGCCACCCTATCTTTTAAGCCACAGGGGCAATGGGGGCGACAGGAGCGGTGGCGGCGGCGGCGGCCTGGGAGGCAGCAGCGGCAGCAGCCTGAGCGGGAACGTTATTGAGGTCGACGTCGGCCTTGATCTCACCGCCAGCACTCTTCTGGGGGCAGTCGCGCGAGATGTGGCCGGCCTCACCGCACTGGTAGCAAGTCTTGCCGGCAGTGTTCAGAGGACCACCGTTGGGGGCAGTGCAGTCACGCGAGATGTGGCCAAGCTTTCCGCAGGCATAGCACTTCATGGCCTGGGCCTGGCAGTCGCGGGCAAAGTGGTTGGGGCCACCACACTTGTAGCACGTAGCAGGACGAGGGCCGCCACCGACGAAGCCTCCACGGCCACCGTAGGGACCGGCGGGGTAGCCGCCGCGACCCACGGGGGCACCGCGACCCATGGGGCCGACGGGGTTGGGACAGGCGCGCTGTTATCTTGACGTCAGCAATGCTCTCAACAATTACCACTATGGAGGGGGTGAGAATGGTGGAATGACATACAGCCAAGTGACCGGGCTGGCCACAGTTGTAGCAGCGGCCACTGGTGCCAGTGCCGCTCAGGCGCAGAGTGGGGCAGTCGGCCTGGACGTGACCGAGCCCCTGACAATGGTAGCACTGCTTGGCCTCAGTAGTACGAGGAAGAGGGCATCCGTTGGACTCGTGTCCTATTATAATAGATCAGTACTTGCAACATTTGGACTGTAGGCGGGTTCAGTATACCAGGCTGCTTGCCTATTCGAGAGAGTTAGTATATAGAGCGCGTGTATGGATGCTCTTGAAAGGAAAGTCCGGGAGACGAATAGCACGTACAGTTGTAGCAGAGACGCTCAGCAGAGGAGCAAACCTCGGCATAGTGACCAACGTTGCCACACTTGTAGCATGCCCGGCGAGAGAGAGAAGACATTTTGCTGTGAATGGGGGAGTAAGATCTCTGTGAAACAAAGCGTTAGTATCATTGAAAACACAGTGATGATTTCGTATTGTCTCGTTGAATCAATATGCCTGCCAGCCAGCCCCCTCGTCATCCTGCGATTATGTGATCCCATCAAAGAACGGCATGGTGGTTTCTGTGGATGTGGATGTGACGCGCAGTATACGATATGTCCTGGCTGTGAGCGCGGGGAGAAAAGCATCGCCAGGATAGCGAACTTGGTTCAGCGTGACCTTGTCTCTCCACCCCAACGCGCGAAAACCCTGTCGCATCTACCCCATGGTGCAAGCACGGTCTCCAAGAAACGACGAGTACCTCGACGATTCGTGACGCCCTTGCTACGCGCATAGTTACAAGCACAATGCAAGGCTTTTCGCAGGGACGAATCGAAGCGGATCACGTGTAGGCCATCGTGTGCGAGAGACGTCTGATCGATTCCGCGTATGGGAGCCGCCAACAAGCTCGAACAATGCGCAGGTATCAGCCATCGGCATCGGGCGGATGCATTGTTCCACGTCGCACACAACCAAGCCACATTGTTGGCGATTGTATACAGTGGCGGCGTCGAGAACGTTTGGGGGTTGAAAAGAGCGCCAATGTCGAACAGAACTATAATAATCGCAGGGATATCGAGATCGGTCGACGAAAAACAGCATCGCGCGCCGCTTCAGAATAAAAAGGGAGTCATAGTGGTGGCGGTGACGAGGGCGGCGGCGCAGATACAGGGCACCGGGGGGGGGGCTGTACAAGGGGGGAGGGGGAACAACAGCCACAAGGACGCAAGCCTCGATGGATGAGACGCACCTAAATTTTATATTTTCTTTCTTTTCGCGCACACGAGATTCGTGGGATTCGACAGCAACTTCCAGACGACTTGGGATCCCGACAACTCGAACGTCCACCGACGGGGTGCAAGAAGGAGAAGATCGTGGAAATGTATGGGATGGTAGTAGTGATTTGTTGTTGAAAGGGTGGAAAAATTTTCGTGAGGAATATTTCGAGGGAGATACTCGTAAGTAGTAAAGTACGAGTAGCAGCCCCCCCCCCCCCCCCCCCCCCCGACAGAACGGGGCCTAAAGTAGGAAGGAACCACCCGCCCACTTTGTAATACCTACTTTGCTACACTACGAGTATTGTAGCGTTCTTTCTCTAAAAGAGTACAGTATTATTCCTGCTGCTTGTGGAGTTGCGCCTGCCTTTGCTGGGGACTCTCCACTGTTAGGGTGCGCTCCTGCCGCGACACAGCAAGTACAAGGGAGAGCTCTTGCCCTCACGTCACTACTGCCAACTTGAGTTTAGCACTTGAAACTGTAAGCCACGTAAAGTGATAATACATGCTGGTAGACTGCAGTAGGAAAACGCTGGAAAATGGCAAGTACCATGCAATCAATGCTTCTTCCCCTTGACTTGAGCTGTCATCGTTGTCGTTCGCTGTTTGCCCAGACTTCAATTGTTGGACAAAAGCACCGATAAATGCATCCGGCACGCATGCACCTCGGGTCAGCTGTCATTTTTGCAGTATTACACCCATACGAACGTATTGTTCTCTGATTCAGGTATTGGATAGACAGACACACAGGGTATGATAGGGTCGTAGATATGGTATTTACTACCCGTCATTTCAACTCCCCATCCCCCCTTCCCTTGTGCTCGACGACCGATTCTCTGTCAACTTCTGAGGCTCTGTTTATACGTTGCCACTGTCCACTAACCACTACTACTGTACAGATTACATGGTAGAAACCCGGTTGAGGTATAGCGACAACGTAATAGATACTCCATCGCTACATGTCCCTCGCTTTCGGTACTCACTTTCCATGATGTGTTCCTTATGTACTGGTATCTTCTTTTTTGAGTTCAGCCTTGCGAGTTGCATACAATCTGTACGATAATGTGGGTGTCAACCTCGAGACCAATAAAAGACGCCCCGAGTAATACAAAGTACAGTATGAGTACAGGTAATACCAGCATTACTGCTATGACACATATCACAGGATAATTATGGAATAGACTAACGCCTTGGAGGTTGCTTCTGTTAGCGTAATGGGAAGTAACCTGCCCTGTGTCAACGGCCTCTACATTTCACTCCTACCTGTACGTCTGATCAAGCAACATGGTACGAGTAGTAGTACCTGTAATAACAACTCATTCATATGTGTCGCTCTAATACGCCGTGGTGTCCGTATTTCCTTAGAGTCGCGTCTTATTCATGATAGCACGGAAACCAAGGAGAAAAACAGACAAATCATTAACAATAACCTTGAACCTTGCGCCTGAACCCCGTGCTCCAACCCCACTCCCTCAATGGGTATCAATATCAGCCCCCCCTTATCCGTGTCTTAAAGATCCATTCCCAAGCTGTTCCCCGGACCTAAAATCCATCGCTTCGCTTTGTTGTTCTCAATGTTGTACTTGCACTCATAGACGATGGCGCCTCATTCCCTCCCCAAAAATCCAAGGCCTTGATGAATTCGTCCTAGCAGTAACAGCGCAATGCTACTAGGTTTGATTAGCTAGAGAACCCGAATAAAGGAACAGGCATGCTCTGCGTACTTTTTTCTTTACTTTCTTTTCTGTTTCTCTCACACGTAGGCTGTAGCAATGCTACACCGTCTAGTCATGCCACTTGGTATGCATGATCATCTTGTCTCTCGACAAGTGACGAGCGGCTAGAAAGCTGTGTCTCCATCTCCGATGGCATGTTCTCGTGGCAGTTGAGTACCGTCAATGGTAACGTTGAGGAAGAAAAAATCAAATAATTCGGTCTCCCGTTTCCAGTTGGTGGTCCTCTTCCCCCCCCCTCCCCGGAATCCTGAATTAAGACACCTGGGCAAGGTGGACTCGGCCGACCTCGGATGGGTGAATGGGCAGCTCGGCCGCATAGTTAACAGTTGAGCGAGGCTCCGCGTGGACAACATAGGACACTCCATCGTCGGATATATAGGATGGAGGACGGCGACTAGCACTCGAGGCTGGCCTGACGTGGTCGTCGCTGTCGGAACCATTGCGGTTCATGGAATCGTTACGACGCCAGAACAGAAGATCTGGGTCGACTCGCTAGAGGACGATGTTAGGTACCAGTGATTCATATGGGCAACGGTCAAGACTTGAAAGCCAGTATTAACTTACCACGCTCTCCCTCCAGGCACCGTAGGCAGGTGGTGTGATCTTAGAAACCTCACTGCCATCGCTACCTATGGCGGCTTCCTCATCTCTAGCGAGGACAACCCTGATGGGCTCGATGGGGACGGCATAGGCTTCGGCCACTGGTTGGCTCTCCTCTTCACGAAGGGCGCGGTTCCGGCGCAGGCGGTAGGCAATGAGTTTCATTAGCCCGTAGCAGAAGAAGAGCGTCGTGAGGATGACGACGATGATGAGGACGATGGTGAATCCGCTGACTTCAGTCATGTTGCTGAGCGATATTCCCAAATCTTAGTGATGGGGATATAACCAGGTCAGTGCATGTTCGAGGGGAGAGACGCGCGATAATGAATAGAAAAAGATCTTGATAGATGCGAGGTTGGTGTTGACGGATAAAAGAGGTTGAATTTAAGGTTGATAGCGAAGAATAGAATAAGCTCTTGATAGATGTGTGGTTGGTGATGATGGATAGAAGAGTTTGGTGTATGATGTTGATGAGTGACGGTGTAGGAGGAGAGGTGATGAAGCAAAGAAATGACGATGATGAGGAGAAAGCGACGAAAGAAATAGAGGGTTTGAAAGAAGAGTGAGAAAATAAGGAAGCAAACAAACACGTACAGACGGTGAGGGACAGCGCGAGGATGATGCCGGAGACGAAACAGCGGAGGATATTAGTTCGGGCACGGCGTGACTCGACCCAGGGGAGGCAGAATAGGAACCGTTTGGGATGGCTTCTCTTTCTCTTCCCATGGTGTTCTCTCAGTCGTCTGCTGCTGCTTCTGCTTCCGCTGCTCTCATCATAGCCTGGTCTTAGTTGATGATGAGCCCTCCTGTGTTTCTTATGCTTCTTCGACTTCGTCTTGTGCCGTCTTCGTCGACGGCCGTTGTCGTCGCCGTTATCGTCGTTGTCGTGGGTGTTAGTGGAAGGTGGATCCGGCTCCGCTGAAGCTTCCGCTGCTTCTGCAAGAACAGCTGCAGCTGCAGCCGATTCATCGGACGAATAACGGCTCGACGTAGCTCTGTTAAATATCCTCCATGCATGCGTAGTTTCTGGCTCTGGCTGTGACCGAGTGAGTGGTGGTGGAGTGTCCCAACTTTCCCGTTGCGGCCATGGCGATCTCGCCGCCGCATCTGTCTCTGTCTCACCAGTTGCCATGTCCGGTTGTGCCTGTGCCTGTGCCTGTGTATTTTGACCTGGCCTTGCACTGGTGGTAGTAGTAGTAGGGCCAGCGGGTCCTGCCCGCTGAAACCCACCACCAGGTAAGACCATTCCTGAGACATTGGGCCTGCCAACAAAAACATTCGGTATTCCAAAGTTGATGTTGTTACCATGGGCTTGTTGTTGTTGTTGTTGTTGTTGTTGTTGTTGTTGCTGACCGTTCCCCGGGGCCACCAGGACCTCATCATTCTGATGACTGCTCGACATATCCCGCGGTGGCTGCGGTTGCTGCTGTTGCCGTCCAAGAAGCGTAGGGGGAAATGCTCGACGAGTAAAGGCAGATAGACGGCCAACAGTGTTTGTAGTAATCTGACCGTTGTCATCCTCCGGTATTATCATCCTCTGCTGTTGCGGTCCCTCTCCCAGGCCCCCTTGCCTCTCTAGCCGTGCTCTTCGGAGCAGCTCCTCGCGCACCCTGTCCATCATAACTCCGTTTGGCATGTTGGCATCAGCTTTCATCGGTAGCCAAGAGACATTGGCTGCGATGTTAGCGTCTGAGTCACCTATCTTCTTGTGAGTTCATCTTCTGTCCGACAGCAATTACTCTCTTCGGGGGGGGGGGGGGGGGGGGGGAGCCGACTAACAGCAACACGATTCCGTTCAAGGGGTTCCGAAACAACCCTAGACAGAACCCGCTGTCAAATTTGGCTTCTGCAATTGTCCCACCAGAGGTATGTGCTTGGAACAAAGAATAAAGAGTGTGAAAGCAAAAGAGAAGAAGAAAAGAGAAAAGGATGAAGTTAAGCCTAAGCTCCCTACAAGTCAAGTAAACACCCTCATCATCCAAACAATCCCAACTGGGGAACGGACAGACATCCTTCTGTGCGCGTGTGTCGCGTGGCGTACGTCCCGTATCGGCTCAGGTCCCGGCCAGACCAATCCATCCCTTCGTCGAGCGTGTAACAAAGGAGGCATATATGTCCGTTGTTCCATACATCTGACGAACCATTGGGAGCAAGACAGCGTCGCAGGTCTGCGGGGGTAGGTCGTAAATGATTGCCGTCGAAGCGTAATACTCGCAGACCTGTGAGGAGATTCGTCCTAGTCTGTGCGTGTAGAATCAATGCGTCCCCGGCCAGAATTGCCCGGGTGCGTCTCACAATTCTGGTGTAAGCTGCTATTTGACGTTTCACCGTGGTGGATGCCGCCCCAAACCAGTGGCTGTGAGCCCGCAGTTTCTATGACCCCCATCGTACTCCATGGACCATAATACTCCTCCATACGAGTACAAGAAAGGAACGTGCAGAGAGGCAGCAAATGCACATGACCACATGAACACAATGTACAAGTACGAGTACTCGTAAAAGGACCATTGGATATTGGTAAATGCATTATACTGCACACACGCACGTGTAGGTATCACGTATGCAATAAGATGCGTCAATGGTTCGTCGCAGTATAGTATTACAAGTACTAGGTGGTCAGGATTCAATTTTTATTGACAGGCAGACATCTGTTTCCTTCTTTTTTTCTCTCTCTCTATATTACACACCAACATTAGTACTCTGTATGTAGATTAGACACTGCCTTATGACCACCCTCGAAGCGAGGCGGTTAAAGCATCCTGACCTCACTGTGTGAGTCTCCCATGTGTCCAGGTGCCTGCCTGGGGATATATTCGCAAGCCCAGAGCCTGTCATTCAGTCCGGTGATGGAGCAGACACAATCCTTGTTCGCCTCGAGCCGTCCCGTGCATCGTCGTAAGCAACGATACGACTGTGCCGTGGAATCCTTACAGTTCTATAAGCCTGGAAGTAGAGACATGTATGCTTCCTTAGTATTGCCACACTGCTTCCAAATTAGGAGGGAGCCATCTTCGAAAGGCTCTTAGCTCACCGAAGTTCGCCGAGCAGCATAGTGCGGTCCGATGATGCTGAGAGGACTAGGAGTTTGTCAGTATTTCAGCTACGCTTCGAGGCCCAGAAGTGACTTACGGATTGGATCCTTGCTGGGTGAGAACTCGGCGCAATTCACACTACCCTTGTGCCCGGGTAGCTTGTACATGAGTTTACCCGTCTCGGTCGACCAAATGATGACGGTGCCATCTCCCGACGGAGCAGCCACCTTCTTTCCATCTGACCCCCAGCTCGCCGTAGCTAGGTTACTCTCCAAACCCACCGTCGCACCGTCAAACGTCCGGATGTGTCGCTCGGTGGGCGCAAAGGGGCGGATATCCCACGTGCGCACAGTCGTGTCCATGGACTGCGACAGGAGAGACTGAGAGTCTGGCGAGACACGCAGCGACGTGATCGTGTCCGAGTGACCCAGCATCGAGTAGGCAACCGACTTCTTGCGAAGATCCCACACCCGGATATCATTGTCTATGCCGCCTGAGTAGATCTCGTTGCCGGCCTGCGAGATGGCCACAGCCGTGACAGGAAAATCCGTCTCCAGGTAGTCGACCGCGTTCTTGGTCCGTGGATCCCATATACCAATTGTGCTGTCGTCGCTGCCGCTGATGAGAAGCTCTTCGCCCCTCCTACTTATGTCCATTGTGTTGATGATTTCCTCGTGTCCTATGTATCGCCGTATCCGCGTCCCCGATGTCAGGTCCCAGCTCGCCAAATGCATGTCCGCCGAAGCCGAGTAGATTATTTCCGAATCTCTTGACCACTGGAGGTCTAGCACGGCGCCCTTGTGTCCGTTTAGGATGCCGTAGTTTTCACAGTCGCCATAGGTTCTCCAGAGCACTAAGGCAAGATGATATCAGTGCCAGTCCCTGGTTGTCGCCGGGGTCACAAATAGACTTACTGATGCTCCTGTCCATCGACCCAGAGGCTATCAAGTTGCCCGTCAGGTCAAACTTGGCCGTGAAGATATCTCCAGAGTGTCCAGACAGTTCCATGACGGGCGCCTGCAACCCACTGGTTCTCGGGGCCTAGATAAAGTCAACCATCCACACATGCTATTTCTCAAGGGGAAATCGTTGGGGAGGTAAATACACTCTGAACAAGGGCATTGCTAGAGGTAGAGGCATTGAGTCGTGTCAGCGCGCCTTTGGATGAGTTGACATTTTGTCGCTTGACGAGCGACTGTGACGAGCTGGGATCGTCGTCCGCAGGGCGCTTTTCGGCCGACATTTTCGGAATTTCTGGATTGGTCTAATGCACTTGATTCCCTTATTTTCTCAATGGTAGTTTCTTGTAATCGTAGTTGGTTGTGATGATCGCAGAAGAAGAGGAAAACTCAGCTTATCGAGTAGTCTTGTTATAAAAACCTAGATGCGCGCAGACCGTAGCTTGTTGGGTGGTGCAGCGACCAGTCCATTGAGCATCGGGCCTTGGTTGTTCCTGAAGGCGTGGTCAGCCCCACCTGCCATACCCTCCCTCCCCCTGTAGCGGAGGATCTCCAGATACATGCGTTGAGCCTCCCAAAGCTGTCTGTGGGGAGGAACCGCATACCACCACCCATCCACGCACCTCGACAACGGTTGCGACCTCTACGCATTGTCACATTTCTTGGTTCAGCCCCGTCGTACCCTCCATATCGTCCCACATAGAGTGGTGCCCGCCCTTTTATCGACTTCCAACAACTGTCGAATTCGGTCTACCCCCACACTACACACCATGGCATCATCCAGCAAAGCCTCGCGGATAGGGGAGGAGTAGGTTCCCACGCCCCTCCTCCACATGGGAGCTTTCTGCTGACATTTGAAATTCAGGATATGGAAGTGAGATGACACCATTCATTTTTGTTCTGGAGCCTACGCATACGCCTTGACTTTTGTTTCTATCAAATACTGACCGACTGACCTCTGTACCTCCAGGACGCGCATCGACAAGGTCAGCGCCGAGCTCGTGACGCTGACGTACGGCACCATTGTTGTTCAGCTGTGCAAGGATTACGACAATGACTACGCCGAGGTCAACAAGCAGCTGGACAAGATGGGGTACAACATCGGCCTGCGACTGATTGAGGACTATCTGGCCAAGTCGAACACTATGAAACGATGTACGAGCTTTCGGGAGACGGCCGACATGATTGCGAGGGTATGCATACATGCACAGCATCCCCGTCTAGAAATACAACAACCGCTTACAAATTATCGGTGATTTCTTCAAGGTCGGCTTCAAAATCTTCCTGAATGTTACACCGCAAGTGACGAACTGGACGAGCGACAATAACCAGTTCTCTCTGGTCTTGGATGAGAACCCTTTCGCCGACTTTGTGGAGTTGCCGGATGATGGACGGGCACAGGACGAGCTGTGGTACTCTAATATTTTGTGTGGAGTGCTAAGGGGCGCACTGGAGATGGTGCAAATGCAAGTCGAGGTTCACTTTACGAGCGACGTGCTCCGCGGCGACGACACGACGGAGATGAGGGTGTCGTTGGTGCGGTACATTGACGATGAGCTGCCGCCGGATGATGACTGAGCGGACTGCTCAGCCGCGTATGCACTTCACCACAACAGTGCCGTTGACATTCTACCAACCGACTTAGTCTACCTGCCGCCATTGCCATGACTCGAATTACCGAATTACCCTCCTTACGGGGAACTTCGTTAGGGAGGAACCTACAGCCGGGGTATATGACTCCCAGACATCTACCAGGATACCACAAGGTATCGTGTGCTGTTAAGGTGTCTTTTTCCAAGGCCCTAGGAATAGAATTCTTAGGCATATAACAGCGGCTAGGTGCGTTTACCACCAAGCTCCGTACAACTTTTATACTATCTAATAGGCCGACGACGGTGAATACTATGTCATGTTCTGGAAGTTCAGGATATGTTATGTTAGTGTTATGCCGAAGATGAGTAGTACAAACTGCATCAAAGATGTCTGTGCCTGGGAAATGTAAGATGCCCTAGTTTCTTGAGTCTTGAATCACTCGTACATCTGCATGTGGCCATGTATATCTATCAGTATACTGGCAAGATACGTGAATCAGCAGTACGATGCAACGGTATGGCCAAGTGCCAGCCTCCAGGCCAGGGTTCTTCGGGATATTGATTTCTGCCTATCAAAAGCTACTCCGGGATTGAATAATCATTGGATAGGATTATCCGAGAGGGAGATTGGGCCAACTGGATCAAGAGCATGCGATTCGCTAGTATCATGTGCCTTAGGCATAAATTCCGGTCAGGCGACTGCAGTCCCAGAGATACGTCAGTGTTCTCGAAATTACGCAACTGTGAGGCACTAAGGGGTCTTACGTAGAGGTCCGTGGGTGCCACGATGTAATGGGGTGAATACAGTATACAGAGCAATACCTCCAGTGAATCAGTCTCATGGGAATCAGTGGAAATGCTGTTTGAGTGACGAGGAGAGCATGGTTTTCTCAACAGTGCTTGACAGACATATTCTGCATTCATTTATTGACGACCAGACAAAAGTTACAAAAGAAGAATTCAATTTCAGTCTAGGCGTATTTAAAGAAGTTATATATTGCTGGTACGCGAGGAGTCTAGTACAGTAACGGCTGTTTGCGGTTACATTTCTTATATTTCGCACTGTATTACAACCCACTAGTGCTAGGCAATCTAATCACCTAATCTTACTTGTAAACCCTAGCATAACGCCCACTCAACTACTGTACGAGAAGGATTATAGTGGCTTCTTACCCCGTATACGCCGTAGTAGCACGTTTTGACGGTGCGTATCGTGAGCCAGTAGTCAAGTTGCATACTGTCTCTCGGGGCTGTTAGAAGGGCTCCAGCACCTGGAAACCTTGTGCCACTCCCCCAAAAGTCACTCCCTGGATCTAGAAGCACCTAAAGCATGTGGCCCCCCGGGGCCTATACCCATCGCTCCTTCCCAAAACTCAGTCAGGCTGATTCCCTGCCAAAGCACGTCGCAGGGTGTGTCTCTCGGTTTTCCTCATTCCCCCTTCTACCCCGTGTTTTCCGCCTGAAAAAAACTCCCATCAACCCCAGCTGGTCTGTTCTACTAGCCACCCATCTCGACTTCCATCGCGACAGTCCGACCATAGTTAGCCATTCATTTGGGCGGCGACGAGCGATTGCCAGGCCGATGCTGACATCGCCTTGACGCTACTGCCAGTCCGGAACGAGACAGGAAACCCGCCAAGGACACGACCGATCTAGAGAGCAGAGCCTTGGAGTGTGAGCAAGTCAGTCGGCGACAACGACGCCTGCACCACTCAACTCAACCAACGCTACTACGCATCATCTTCATCCTCGCAGATTACGGGGTTGGATTCTGCAACTATACATTAGGCAGGAGATTTTTTATCATCAGCTGTCGGGGAACATCTACGCATCTCTTGCTTGTTTTCGCGGACTGACACGCTGCGACTGCTCCTTTCATCAGCGGATGAGCGTGCAACCCGCCTGACATTGCTCGGCTCCATCCATAATTCTTCATCTCTCACTTTCTCTCTCCCTACCTATTACACTTCAACATACCCCTCTACAATAACTCATTATCACGACACCGCGTCAGACGTGCGCGTGACGCGCTTTGAAGTACAAAGGGCAAGATAATCATTCCATTTGATTCTACTACTTCCAGGTAGTTTAACGACGTTACGCCATTCGTTGGCAAACTACCAGTGGCGATCCCGCGTTGTCCGACCCGCCACCCTTTATGCCGCTCGATTGCTACACATAGCAAATACATCGTCATCACACAACACAGTTTTTGAGTATCAGCCTAGGCCCCATCGGCCATCGCGCACTTTTACTCTCTTCCCCCGTTGCTCGGCTTCTTGTCAGTCAGGCACGGTATCTCTTTTTTTCTTTCTACCGGGGGAGGGCGCTTCATCGCGAGTGTCGCTTTGACCCCGTGACGCCACCACCACCCAACCAACACGACCTTGCGTTGCCACGACTGGCACGCTCACGAGGCCGTGCACCTCACGATACCCCCCTTTCACAATGAATCCCAACGTTAACATGCCCAACATGAACCCCATGGGCGGTCCTGTCGGCAGTGCTCCCGTACCCATGATGAACAACGGAGCCATCAATCCTGCCGGTGGTGCGCCCGCTGGGCCCCCGAGGCAACAGCAGGTCAATGACAACCAGCGCGGTGTGCTCAACACATACATATACGAATATTTTCTCCGCTATGGCATGCACGAGTGCGCTCGATCCCTTCTCTCTAGTGACCAGCCTGTCAACGTCCACAAGGATGGCTCCAAGGTCAATGGTGCCGGAGACGACTCCATGGACACGGATAGCAAGGATGACCTAGAATCCAAGCTCCCCGATGACCTGCCTCCTCCCAAACTGCCGATGCCCGCCTCGGACACGTCGTTCCTCTACGAGTGGTTCTGTCTGTTCTGGGATATCTATAACGCTCAGCGCCAAAAGAGCGGCAACCCTCACGTTAATCAATACGTCTCGCACACGCAGGTAAGCCAACATGGCCAAGCACATGACAGCCGCGCTTCCCCTTTACCCCTTCCCTTTCCTTCACTCCATGTCGCCTGTCTATTAGCCATCCTACATGGTCAGGTCGGCTGAATCTCTCTTTTTTCCCTATCTTCATAGCAACAGTCGCGCCTAAAGCAGAATCAACAGCAGGAACTCCTTCGCCAGATGCGACCCGACATGGCGCAGCAGCAATACCACCAGATGATGCGCATGCAGAACGGCACCATGGGCATGGGTATCAAGCAGGGCAACCTTGCTCGCGCCGCCATGGCCAACAATCAAAACAAGTAAGGTTTTCTTTTCTACCGTTGCGTGATCGAGTGAGCCTGTGTATTGCTTGATCAACCGAACGCCCAAGCTACGCCTTGCGCAGTGTCCTCGGCAAACAAATGCTAATGACCCTTCCCGTCTTTTAGCCCTCAGGCACAGATGCAGATGCTGCAACAGCAACAGCAGCAAGCCAAGCAGAACCAGATGCAGCGCGATCCTTCCTCGATGGACGGAAATCGTGATCGCCCCTCGTCCCCTGCCTCTGGAGAGAACGCTCCGTCCCCCTCGAAACGCCAGCGTCTCGACAACGCGCCATTTAACCCGAACCAGCCCGGACAAATGATACCGAATGGACGCCCCGGCCCCGGAATGCCACCGCAGATGCCCGGCGCCGCCGCTGCCACCGCAACCCAGCAGATACTCGCCAGCGGTCTTACCCCTGGGCAGCTACAACACTTCCAAAACTTTGTAAATACCCCTCCGGCTGCTGATGAAAAGTCCATTGCAACTTACTCTCAGCGTCTGCAGCAGCACCATGGCAATCAGATGGGCAACAAGCAGATGCCAAATGCTGGTGGTCCCCCCGGCCAAGGCTCGCCCCTGATGCAGGGTCCAGATGGCACAACCCTGAACAACTACTACAACCCTCCGGGTGGTGAGATGGGTGGCCCAAATGGACTTCGCTCTGGACCGGGTGGCCCGCAGCAGGCTGGCGGGAGCAACCACGCCCTGCAAGATTATCAGATGCAACTCATGCTGCTTGAACAACAGAACAAGAAGAGGCTAATGATGGCTCGCCAGGAACAGGACAACATCGGCGGGATGCCCCGAGAAGGTCAGCCTCCTGGCCCTGGCGGTCCCGGAGTTCCTACGGGCCCCAACGGCCAGCCGTTCCCCGAGGCTTCTCCTCAGGCTATGCGAGGCGGGGCCTCTCCCAACCCCGCTGAGCAGATCAAACGAACGCCTCAGATGAACAACTCTGGCGTCCCGTCACCTGTTCCTGAAGGCGGCCAACAGTCTCGCGACTCGCCTAACCCTGGAATGAACTTTTTGGCCAATGCTGACCCCAGCATGGCCCCCCACTTTTTCAAGGGCCCTGATGGCAGCATGAACCCAGCTCAGATGAATGGCATGCGCCCGCCCAACTCCCACCCGGGACAGCCTTTCAACGGCCAGATGACGCCGCAGATGATCGCCGCGCGCCAACAGCAGCAGCAGCAGCAGCAGCAGCAGCAGCAGCAGCAGCAGGCCGCCGCCGCCGCTGGACAAGGCAACCCCCAGCAGTGGCAGCAGGGTCCCAATGGCCAGTTGATACCCCAGAGCATGCAGCAAAACCAGCAGCCACAGGTTCAGGGAACACCCCAGCAGCGCGCCATGCCTCCGCCCTCGGCTCCTGCCGCCGCCCCCGGGAACAATGCCAACAACCGCACTACGGCATCACCACAGCAGGCCAATGCGGCGCCGCCTACGCCTAACCAGTCGAACAAGGCTGCCCCCAAGAAGAAGGAGACCAAGGCCGCCAAGGAAAAGGTAAGACATAGTGGCAAGATGCCTCCCACATCTATCGCATTGGTCTGTCTTTATGCATCATAACTGACACTCAATGCAGCGCGTTGCGAACCAGAAGAAAGCAGCGCAAGGCAACAACAATGCGACGCCTGCCGCCGACAATGCCGAATCAGAGGGCGCGCCTGCGACTCCTATGACGCCTGCTAACCCTGGCGGCTTCAACAAGGGTGGCCCCAATGCCGCCAACAACCAGGCACCTCCTACGACGACGACCGCTGCGCCCGCCGGTGCTGCTGCTCAGGCGCCTCAGGCAGCCCCCGTTGGTCCTCCTCCAGGCCAGCCCGATCCCAACCAAAACTCGATGGGGATGGATAACTTCGGAATGGTACGCAAAACGTGTTGGCTGGTGCTTTCTACTGAGAGGATCGACTTACTAACATTGATAAAATAGTCGTTTATGGACATGGAGAACCCCCTTCAGACTGGCGATGTTCTCAACGACTTCGACTTTGACTCCTTCCTACATGATGGCGACGGTGACGCGCAACCGTTTGACTTTAATGGAGCCTTTGCCAATATTGAAGGTGGTGAGATTGGTGCTGATTAGATGTGTGTTTTTCCCGAGCTTTTGGAGCAAAGGTACTAGACTTGGAAATTTCCTCACTACGTTTTGTTTCTACTCTTCTATTTTCTTTGTTTGGATGATTTCCGGCGTGGACTCCTTAATTTTCGGCATCATTGATCACGGCGTTCACGAGGGATTTATATCACGGTCATGAAGGCGATCGGGTTGTTTGTTGAAGGGGCGGTGGGTGAGGAGACGTTAGGCCTACCCCCCCCCGCGCGCTTCGTTTACTTGAATCAGCGCTTTATTTGAGGTGCACGCGATGGAAAACCAGAAAGAGTTTGTTTTTTTTTTGAGTGCTTTTTATTACTATCACCCTCTTTTCTCCCTTTCCTTCATTCGTTTGATTTTGTCATCTCATGTATACTCTTTTTGTCCCTATCCTGTTTTTCTTCATCTTGTGTCGTTTTTTTCCAAGTCGTACCAAAGGACTCGTCAATTGGGTGAAAACCAAAATTCTATCTCTCCTCCCCCCTTTTCCTTCCCGTCCATCCTCCTTGCTGTGCAAAAAAATGCAGCTTTCAGGAAAGGGGTCTCTATTTTTGTGGGAAGAAGGAGGGGGGGGTGAAAAAAGAAGGAGAATCTTCTTCCTTAAATTCAAAAACAAAAATTAGGTGTAAATGTACAACAGACAAAAATCTAATTGCATAGCGGCGACTCCTTTTTTCCCCTTTTCCTCAGGAACTTTGCCCTTAGGGAGATATATTAAGGAATGCATCATGACTGGACCTATCCTTTTCGAAAGAAAGCAACTATTTCCCACGTCAAACCCTACTTGTAATAAGTACAGGAAATACGATATCGTTCCAATTGTATCATAGTATGATGTAGTTTAACATTAGTAAGTCAGCCATCAAGATATTGTACGAATTGCAAATGCCGCTGCTGGACAATCTATAGTGTCTTGGTCCGTTTCCCTTCCTATTGCAGCAGCCATGCGTCGTGGGGTGGGCCAGGGTGGCACGACTACTAGTTTCATTGTGGCGCTGCGTGTAAGCGAAATCACCTGCGGAGAACGCCTTTAAAGCACGGTAGTATTAACCAGACATCATAAGCATGCTTGGCAATTCACATCAAGCAAGCCAAACAGAGAAAAAAAATTCATGTCATCAATAGAAATAAAAAACAAAAAAGTTGTATAAAAATGATGGGTATCAACAGCTATGTAAAGCGTACGAAGTGTATGTATCCAAATTCCCTTTTTCTCCCTCCGAAAGTCCAGCAACGCCAAGTCAAGTAAAGCCCCAACACTGTATTCCTCCCTTCACCATTTCGTCTGAAGGAGATACGAAAAAGCGAAAGGAGAGAAAGAAAAAGACTGTCCCCTCCCTGTCAACAGTAGGTAGGTTTACGTGGACTCGTAGACGGCAGTGTAGAGGACTTCCATCATGTTCTCGTAGCCAGACTGGGTGGAAGCGTCGGGGTCGCCCTGAAATATGTTAGTAAGGCCCTGATCTTGATGAGAGAGAATAGGGGTTCGAATAAATAAATAAAACTTACGGGCCAGGTGCCACCAACGGCAACATTGAGGATCATGTAATAAGGGGAGTGGGCGAGGGTACCCCAAGTGCCCTCGTCGGCGACCTCAGCACCGAGAATGGTCTGGTAGGGGTTGCCGTCGAGGTACCAGGTGATGGACTCGGTCATCCAGTAACCGGAGGAGCGGTCAACCTCAAGGGCCCACTGGTGCCAGTCGTTGTTGGGAATGGCGACGGGCTGTTGGACACCGTCAGGCTGGGTGCAGAACCAGCTGTCGCTTCCGCAGTGGACGGAGCCGTAACCCGTCATGACGCCGTTGACCTGCTCAAAGATGTCGAGCTCACCGCAGAGCGGCCATTCGGTTCCAGAGCGGACGGCGTCGCCCAGGAGCCAGAAGGCGGGCCACATGCCCTGACGGGCGCTGCCGTCGCCCATCCTCAGGCCGGCCTGCCAACGCATCTTCTTCCCGGGGGCGGGGGTGAAGGAGTCCACAGCCTCGAGGCGTCCAGACGTCCAGCTGCCGTCATCCTTCTTCCAGGGGACAATCTGCAGGGTCTCCCCGCCAGAAAGCTGGACGTTGGAGCTGGAGTCGCTGTACGTCTGCAGCTCGTCGTTGACAGACATCACGGTGACGTAGCTCCAGGCCTTGGTGTTGACGCCGGACCCGGCGTCGCCGTTGAAGCTATCGGACCAGGTCAGATTCATGCCCTGTATTGTAGGAGGCCTGACGGCAAGGGCCACGGGGGCGGCCGCAAGGACGGCAGAGTAGAAAGTAGAGGCGCGCATCTTGGGTGGAAGAAAGATAGGTCTGTTTTTTTTGGTGATTTTTGGGTGACTTTTTTATAGGGTCGTGTGTGTTTCTGGGCTGTTTCGTTTCTTTTTAGGCTCACAGAGCTTAGGAAATGAAGGTGATATCGCAAGTATGAAGGAAGAGGCCACAAAGAGAGTGAAATATGCTCTTGTATGAAGGTCAGGGTATATCACAAAGAGGGGATGAAATTTGTCACGGACGAAGAGCAAAGTGAATAGTCAGGGCCACCTGGGCGACAAGAAAAGGAATGTATAAAAAAAAGTGAAGGAAAGGCGAAACGACGCTGAGGAAACAAGAGCACGACGGGTGTCAAGGAAACATCAAGAGGAAGGGGATGTGTGCCGTGGCGGGCGGGGGCAACCGAGACGTTTATACTCTGACAGCATCTCTCCTCCTCGCGCGCATGTTCGGTGCGATTACATGCATGACCATCTGCCCCATGCTTCCTTGTGGCTCTGTTGCAAGTTACCGAAAGCAGCGAGCGGCGCGACGTGGACAAGGGCCAAAAGGGGAGGGGAGGGGAGGTGGGCGAGAGTGGAGGCTCAGGTCCAGATCCCGACGACATGGGGGTGAGGACCTCAATCCAGGGGCGATATTGCAGATCCTGGCCCAGCTCGCAAATGTTCAAGAGGCAGCCAGCTCATCTAGTTGTCCCAAGAGCCAAAGGTTCCCCTCTCTCCCCCTCCCCGATTGCCAGCAAAGTCCGAGCCAAGTCGAACCTTGGACGGCTTCGACTGTCAGTGCCATGACCAGGATCACGAGAGCATGATCGGTCATGATTGGGAGCTTGGCGTGTGAAAAGGGGGTCAAATATGAAACACGACCATGGCAGGGGTATCAATGTCGACAAGGGCCATGGCAAGGGCCGTCAAGCTTGAGGTTGCTTGCCAAGTTGATTGACAAGGATTGAAGAGTCACGACCCATGAGCGCTTCGATGGTCCTGCATTGGCACGCAGAACAACTGAGCTCGCTGCAGTTGTTAGCTTGGGTGCCTTGGGGCTTGGGCTGTGCTTTGGCCCTTGGGTGACATTGAACTTTGAAGCAGCCATTGGCCTACAGCCATGGCAATGAATGAATGTCCGCGCCTCTTCTCCTCTTTTGTCGGTACTTTGCCTTGTTCATACCAAAGCACCGATAGACTTGTACCCGCGGACTTGGTCCGAAGGCGCTAATATAATACGGTCTGTCCATCTTTTGCCTCTTTTTTCTCTCTGTTTCGAATGAAAGCGCATGATGAGCCTAAAATAAGATGATTACTACTGTGCAATAACATCGCATCATGCCTACAGTAATACCGGGCTCCAGTTAGAGTCAGGAGAGAACCATCATCGTCGTCTTGATGATAATTGTATTGGGCAATGAAGCTGAACACCCCCCACCCCTATCCTCATCTTCATCCGCTGCACTATTTTTCCATGTTCTCCTACGCTGTATATATGAGTACAAGTATCCGTGCGGTGTACGCAGACGGGAAGTATCTGCCGAGTTGCGGAACATGTGCCTAGCCCGTTTAGTCATCAACCAGGGCTTTTCTGATCGTGGTGGTCGTGGTGGTCTGGTGGATACGACATGCCATTTCCACCGCTATCTTTCTCTTGCGTTTTCTTTTGTTATCATAGGTCAATATATTGCCTCCAGATACATGTTGATATCTCGAAGCGCCCCCCTGGTTCCGATGAGAAATAACAAAGATTGCACCAGTAATATCCGTAAATGTGATATTATTCTGTGATCAACGCAGGCACTAGTACTGTTCGGTAGACCATAAGTAATAGAGTGAGGGACAAACGAAAAGCCCAGGCGATCAATCCCCCAGCCCCCTGTCCTTTTCCCTTTCTCTTCTTGATTGCAAGGGGGGTCGAAAAGACTTGCCGTTCATCTTTCCTTTGTGCCGAATTCCAGTACGATGGTTCGGACTCGCCCATGACTCCGCTTGCCAAGCACTGCAAAGTGATCAAAAAAAATTATTCTGATAAAAATTAAAAATATTTGATAATGAAACAAAAGAAGGTTGAAAAGGGCGCATAGAACGCCAAGGGGGAAAAAAGGAAGAAATAATAGGAGAAGAAAAAAAGTTGCTGCAAGGCCGAAACAAAAATGACGGTTTATAATGTATATTGAACCTGCAATTATGAAACTGTTCAACCGCAGCCAAACGACGAGGCCTAAATCCATGTCCTCTGCCAAGTTGTTAACCCAACGTTATATTGGGGGAATATCAACCGACACTCGATTTGGGTACGTTGTTGTGAGTACGAGTAATACTCCATATTCGCCGCCTGAATACATATACTCGTACGCGAGTTGGCAGTCTCTTGACTTCTCACACTCGTACAGAGCAATTTATACTCCATGCTGCACCAGTATTGTTATACCTGAAGGTTGAAATACTGGTATCACGATCTATTAGGTTCGGTGAATCAAGATAACGGCCACGGCGCCACGTATGTCTTGCACCAGCCGGTGAAGAAGTAAAGAGGTATAGATCTTCAAGGCAGAACATACTTCAAGAGGCCTAAGACATATTACGTTGCCACGTTGGTCTATAGTAACCTGTGTAAAAGTATCCGCTCAAGCCACCCTTCTTTTATTCGTCGTCTCGTGATATACAAGCACTAAAGGTGTTATAACATGTTGTCGTGGGATTTGTAGATGCTTTTACTTGTCTCTCCTACATCCACTATTGTTCTGCACCGCTCGATGTCGACAAAGTATGGCGTACAGAGTCATGCATGCATGCATGCTTACCCAACGGTAACCAATGCAGGCCTCGTCGGCCGGCCCTTCTCTATACCAAAAAAAGCGGACCAGTAGGCAGTGGGATGAAGCTGAGCAGACCTTTCTCGGGCTTCTAAGGCTGCTGCATACACCGTTGGGGTATCCTAGCCGCCACATCCCTCGGGAGTATTCCTTCTCCAGAAGATCGCTCTCCTGCTCGCCACCAAAATTCCTCTGCTCAGCGACAGTCTGCAATCATACTCATGTCCTTCAACGGATCTCCCAATCGCTCATTCAGCTTAACAATGGTGTTCTGATAGATCCTCGCGGCGTCCAGATGTAAAAGATCATCGTCATCATCTTGCAGGGTGGCCACCGCTCTGACATAGTGTTGGGGGTAATCGGACTCTTCTGTGTCGACAGTTTCGTCTCTGTCATCATCGTCGTCGTCTTCGTCGTCGTCGTCTTCATCCTCCTCTTCCTCATCTTCAGGAACCCCGCTAAGCACTTCAACCATCAAGACGCGGGTCTGCTCTACCAGACTTCGACAGCGTACCATATCGGTGACGGTCATGCCAGCCCGAAGACCATTCTCGAACCCTGGCAAGGCTTCTCCCGTTTGGATGTCGCTACCGGCTAACAGGCTGGAGAAGCAGTGGTCGAGCTTACCTAGGATCTCGAACGATGCCTTTGGTGCCGGCGGGAATGACCGCACATACTGAGTGAAGTCGCTGGCTAGCTTGAGCATGAACGGTATCTGCAAGCTCGCTGGAGAAGAATATCAGTCTTTATATTCATCTTCATCGAAAGATAAACCGTCAAATTAGAAGGAACAAGAATTGCGATAAAGTCATGAAAGAAGAGATGAAAAGGAAGGAAATAAAAAGAGAAGAGTTTGGATATGTTCTGCACTTACGAGTTCCCGAGAGCCAGAGCACATTGACGACGGAGTCAAGATCTCGACACACTTCGCTAAACGACTTGTACCCAACCACCTCGTCACCTGCTTCCGGGTTACCAAACTTCTTGACATATCGCCGCGACGTATGCAAGAGCCTCTCCTCAACATATCTCCTGGTCAAATTTTCCTTGCTGGATCCTGGCCGAAGTGATTTACCCCGGGGATGTGGCAGGTCATATGCCAGTCTATAGGACGCTGACGACGGTGCGGCAGACGGGAGGGTTTGGTGAGGCAGAAAGCCACCTGGGCTCGGACTTGTCATTGTATCACGTCGATCGGGATACTGACGTAATGACTGACGATGAGAATATAGTAAAGACGGATATGTGAATGTAGTGTACTCTCAAGATTAATACGGTTCACATCATAACAAGCCAAGGTGGGGCGGTTGGTCTGCAAACTGACTGAGAGAGAAAAGAAAGTACGTACCCTTTTTAGTTATAGAATTGAAGCTTTCGTCCGGGTCATGTGACTGGCAGCGTCAACACGTCCCCCTAGAGGTCGCAATCTAAGAGACTCTCCAAAACGTCAAGACAGCCGCCTCTTGTCGAGAAATCTCATCACAAACCACCATCTAGCTATCACGAGCTTGCCAACCAAGCCAACTGCAACACACCATCCATCACGTCACATCCGATAAACAGTAATGTCTCCCGCCAAGCGAATTGTTGTCGAGCGCTCTGGCCCTCGTGGTGCTGCTGCCCCCAAGGGCTTCTTCGGCTCGACCTACGACGTTCTGACTAGCTCTGAGAACGCCGCTGTCGTCCGCAGCATCGGCCTCTTTGGCGTAAGTCATCAATCCATTTCGATCCAACAGAAAATTTAACAGCACATCTAACACTCTTTCTCCAGGCTGCCGTCGTCTTTCTCCAGAGCTCTTGGGGCGAGATTCTCCTGCCTCCGTATGTTCTTCCCCGATCAATCTGTCTATCCATCTCCCGAGAACACCAAACACCTTGCTAACTGGCCATCAGGCAATGAATCCCCTCGACTCCACGGAACACCCCTATCTGGCATAGAAAGGGAGCATGCGCCTTTGTAGCTCAGCCGCTATAATACATGTACAATATTTCGCCGCACGGTTGTAGGATAATAGATATGAGAGCAAGCTGCAAGGGGGAAGAAGCATGTGAAGCTTCAGGGAGCATCATGATATTGCTTACCTGCACGGATGCATGCACGCTKTTTTTTTTTTTTTTTTTTTTTTTTTTGAAAATGAAAAGAAACTTCCTAGTCCCCACCTCCTTGAGCTTTTCGATTTTTCCTTGCGCTGCCGCCCTTGCCAACCGACTAACCCTTTGCGTGATCAGACTTCGAAAGCAAGACAGACCACACCATGACCAGAGCTTGATTATTTTCATGGGTTCGGTTTGGGAGGATATGGGAGTTTTTTTTTGCCTTCTATCCCGTGGAAGCAGACTGGAAGCAGATGTTGATTTCGTGTGTTGATACATTGAGCAATAGTGCACTGTGTGAAACACCTCGAACATCACAGATGCAAGGTAATCAATTGATCATGAACTGCATGAATTTTTAAACAACGATATTCACTTTGGACGACTGCATTGATTGAGATTGAGATAGAGCCGTGTATTGGTCTCTCCACGGTATTTTATTTGATTTGGGGGAAGACGAGGTAAGTTAGCCCTCGTGGGCTGACTGAAGACCCGAGAGCCAGGAGAACACGTGCCATGTAAGTCGAAGAGACTGATTGATGGTATCAGAGTATAGTAAATGTATGAATTTGCTTCTTTCAGGTATTAGAAACCTCAGTGGTCGTAGATATTCATAGGAACAAAATAGTATATGCTTGAAGACAAAGAAAGCAAAACCTAATCATTCGGGTATACTTTACTTCAATTGCCAAAGAGACAAGAGCGATAGTGTAGACCAATGCTAGCCACTAAACCCCAACTTCCTTTTTTTCCCCACCATCTCGCTTCCAGAAATATTATATGACAGGCCTGTAGTTCCCGTATGTGAAATAAAAGAGAGTGAAGGGCGAAAAGCTCTAAGAGACTGGGACCATGTCGGCCATTAGACCCGCGACTCATGCTGGTCAAGGTTGCTATAAACTCTGACTTGGCCGTTGTGCACGCGGTCTTCCTTGAGTGGGCAAAGCTCAATAGTGACATCATCAGGTTTACCACTGCATGCGCCGGCTTCGCACTGGTACAGTATGGTATCCTGCGGAGTTGTGGTCGTATTGCTGCTTGTCGTGAAACTTTTCGTTCCATATGATACCTGGGCGTCATGAAAGCGAGAGGGCAAAGCGATGCAGGTACGAGAGTCAAAGTTGTCATAGTCCTGTCCACGAGACTGGGAGAGACGGCGAGCGACAAGAGTTCCGAGGGGAAGAATAAGAGAGACAGATGTCAGTATCAACGATGCTGCCTCGAAACCAGTCCAGTCAACCCACTCTAGAGCGGAGAAGATGACTATGCGGAGCGCGGTGTTAGAGTGGGTGTGTACAACTAGATTCGAGGAGAATAAGAAGAAAACAAACCTGGAACGATCATGAGGATCCCATTCGTCATGACGAGTACCTCCATAGGTGTAAGGCTCCGATATGACCGGAGAAGAATGTCACGGTTGGTAATGACGTGAATTACCAGCTTGACGTTGAACAAGGCACAATACCAGCAAATAGAAACGACATTGGTGATTATGGACCACTGAGCAACCCAGCGGAAGGGATGCGCCGATTCAGCAGACATGATGGCCCTGCTCTGGAAGACGGTGAAGGCCAGGCGCCAGCTGACAGTGAGAAGTGTCACGATTATTGACACGGTAGAGAGGGTGTACTTGACGATATGGGGCCAGAGATGGAGTATGGCGCGCGCCTGGACGAAGAGAGCCACCTCAATTATGATGACGAGAAGAAGGGAGATGGCGTTGGCCGCAATGCTCACTTGGTAATCACCGAGTGGGACGGAGGAGTAGTCAGAGGACCAGTAGTTGTAGAACTCGTCAAAGGCGGAGGGGAAGAAGGCGATGAGCAGCGACATGCGGACGACGCAGAGGAGCAGAGCGAGGATGTGGAGGATGGTAGACATCGCCCTGAACTTGGCCCGGGGCGTCATTATCACCACAACAAAAAGCATGATGATGCAGGCTCCCAGCTGGGCTCCATACGTCACGGACAAACCCACGGACCCATTGTTGAAGGCGTCGATTGCCGGTATGGGGATGTGGATGGGTGTCTTGCCGTCCGCCCCCAGAAAGCGAACGTCCTGTTTATGAGGGTCAAAGACAGCCATGCTCTTGTGTACTTGTGTACTACCAGTATACAGTAGCAGTAAAGTATACAGTAGTTTCGTCTATGTATCTCTGCGCTGGGATCGATAAAGCTCGAACCTCCCCATAGAAAACGTGTGTGGTCAGTGCTTTCTCGCCTCCAAACGGACAGAGAGTTCGATATATATAGATAGGAGTAGGGGCCAACGGAAGTTTTTATATTGTCATACAGCTCCTGCCAGTAGGCCTTAAAGAGAAGGAAGTGTTGGTGTCCGAAGTTGAAGAAGGGCAGATGCCAACATCAACAAGAAGTTTCAAAGGTGCTCAACTGGCAAACTCTTCAAGTGTCGTACAACAAGTAGACACACTTTTTTTTACCGTTTGATAGGGATGTTCTATATATCTCTCTGAGAGGCAAACCACCGTAGTAGGACTTGCGAATATGTAGCTCTCAACTCTGTGGACGGTTGTTACATATGCCTCTGACGACCAGTGGCTCTTACACAGAGAGAGCTGGTAGGCCGACAATACTTTTCTTTCCTGTCGGTGACAATCTGAATGAATTATCAGCGGTTCCAGGAGAAAATATGACGAATACATTATCACGAAAGATAACCGAAAAGAAGGAAGAGATGACTACACATCCTATTTTCTGCAAAGAATAATGCTAGAGAATCTAGGTAAGACTCCAGGTTAAGTTTGCCTATTGCTATTGTCCTTGTGCATATCGTCGATCCGCTTAGTATTGTTGTCCGTCCCTTGCATTGTACCTCATTTGCAATTGGCTCAACGCTTGGGCACAATAGCGACCCATTCAGCAGCCAACGACAAACACCTTTCCCATCTGCCAGACGTTTGGAGTTGGTTGAGTAGTTTGGGTTCCATCAATTGCTTGCTCGCGTCATGTCATATGCCCATATCATATCCCTGTCTTGGCACTATCCGTGAAATTATGATTTTGAAGATTCGCTGGGGTCATCCGAACTCATCGGGTGAACAATCACGCAGTACCACTTGTTTCTAGTATATATCTGGCAGGAAACTCGACGCTGGTTTTGTTTGCTAATAGATACCAACATGCGGTGCCTCAATCCATGTAGTCTTGGTCTCTTAAGGCTTTGAGAAACCCTGAAGACAATACCAAGGGAACCCGCATCATTGTGTGACGTATTGTGAGAGATCACATCAAATTCTTCGCCGTCTCTCTTCTGGGCCAATGTAACATTGAGTTCATCATTCCTATGTGTAGACATTTCTATTATTCCCGCTTCCACTAAATTGGCCTCGTTACCTCACGCCCAGAGACCCATGCCCAGAGCGATCTTGCGTACCAAGGCACTCTTGAAGTACCACTCGCGAGCAAGGGAACGTGTCATCTTAGCAAATACGGCTGGCGTTATACGTCCTCTTTCTACGGCGCGGCCAAGCATGAAAACAGCATCGCCAAGAGCCCTCTCTTCCGCCACAAGGAGATACAGCTGATTGGCCACGATTGTTGGCGCGACCAGTAGTTCGTCAATATTCGGCGCTGGATGACTCTTCGATCCCTCAATGACACCATCTGCCCTGTTCAATGCCTCGTGCAGTATGGCCGTGTTGGACGTGAGCACGTTGGACAGCTGTGTCAGCTGACCCATCTCCGATTGCATAGCTGGTAGCACAGATAGCATAGCGTTCCGCTGCGCCTGGAGCCCTGCCATGCTAGACTCGTTCTGCTGACGGTTATGTTGCCTCATTAATGCCAGAGTTTGAGCCAGCTGGCTCAACAAAGCATCTTTCTCAGGATTGGGGGGGATAGGAGGAGGTGCCACAGAGGATTGGCCTGGAAGTTCCAAGGTCAAAGGTTCATCAAGGAGATCGGGAGGGGGTTGGGCCGAGCTATTCTGTGGCTGAGGAGCACTGGATTCTCTGTTCCAACTTGCTTCCATGCCCCCCTGTTGTGATGTTGCTGTTGGCTGCTGATATCCGGCCTGGTATCCAGGCTGCTGCCATTGCCCATGGCTAGCAGCATTCGCTGCGTTTGACGGCTGAGGATAGTGCGTTCCATGTCCGAGGGAGCCGACAAATGGTGACATGGTGCTTGAGAGGGGACGTGAGGGCAACTGGTTGAGCGGTTGTGCCTGGTGCAGGCCTGGCTGAAACTGCCCATGGACCGATTCTATAGACTTGTCGGTTGGTCCACTCGCTTCCGGCGGCAGAGGTGGAGCTGATTGGTATCGCGACGAGGCGTGGGACATAGGTGAAGTGTGCGTGACGGTTTGTGGTAGGGGTGACCCGGTGTAGAACGGTTGCTGGCCCTCTTGAGGGGTCATTTTTGGCGGCGGGGGAGGCGGACGGGGCTGCTCGTGACTGGCTGATCTAGAGGCAACCTGGGAAGGTAAAGGCGGAACAGGAGGCGGCGATTGTACTGGCTGGGGATGTTGAGTCTGCCTCGGTGGCTGACGAGCGATGACGGGGGGCTCCTTCGCAAACACGTCACAGAGAAGGGCAAGCAAGTCTCGCACTGTCGATTTCTGTAGGCAAGTAAGCATCCAGTCGACTTTCATGGGTGGTTGATAGGCAGAGAAAGAGCGTACTCACATCCCAATACTCAGCCCAACCGACCAGATATGGATGATAAACTTGGCCTTGGGGATCTATATGTTGTCCTGGTCGAATCACCATGTTCCCCGTCGGCGTGACATAGATTATCGGTGGCTCTCGTGGGTATGCATGGGGCACCCAGACGGACACAGGAAACCTGTAAATGTTCCCTCGAAAGTTCACGGGAAGTGTTCCGGATAGATGAAGGAGCAACGCGCTGTAGCCATTGGGAAACGCTGGTGTATATCAGTATCGGCTGTCGGGGCACTCGCATGCCTTATAGAAATGAGGGTACAGTACTGTGAACGTCTGTGCGAGGCGCTAGGGAGGGATACTGAGCGAGGGCTTGGGCGACATCGTTGTACGTTCGATTCACATCGTGGTACTCCTACAGAAGACTACTGATCAGTATTCGGTCTGACAAAATTAGACGAAGAGTCGAATAGAGTATTCGGGATGACAAACGCTGGTGAGGACGCTGTATAGCCAGTTGAGGACGTGCTGCTGGACGGGCATCCTCGTCGATGGTCGCGGAGAACCGGCGTGGGCCTTGCTTTGTATGTATCCCAGCTTATGTAGGATACCGTTTGTGCGTAGCCTAGTTTGATCGAGGACTCCGTCAGACATGTGCGTCCCACTTATGAGGCCGTCGAGGTCGTCCGGCGCAAAAGTTGTGCTGATATGCGCTCAGATGCAAGAGGTTATCCAGGACCTGGCTGTGCCTGACATTAAGCTGCACCAAGACGTCGAGACACTAGCGCAATCGAGCTCCCCTCCCCCCTCCCCACTCCCCACCCCATTCTATCAGTATGTACCTCGAACTACCCGGAAGCCCCTCTACAAATCTATCTGTAGGACGCGACGGCAGGAAACGTCACAGCACATGACGTCTCTATTAAACCAGTTCAAGAAGTTTTTGTTTATAGCATTAATATTGATGGATGGTGTCCCATGTTTTTGTAGCATCGACTATGTCTAATAGTTGTTGTCCTAAGCTAGTAATAGTTTTGTCTCTTTATGGTTTCGCAGTTTCTGTTAACTCGGACAACAAGAGAAAATATGTATTCAAGGGCTCTCATACACTTCCAGTAGCTCAAACCGCCCATGGTATGTATGCCATGTACATTGGGGTGCCGATGATTAGAAGAAGCAGTCTCGTGCCCCTACAAAGGCTAAAGAAATGTATGTACCTCAAACCGGGTTGTAACTTAGGTCCCTTATGATTGATTATAGGACTAATATTGACAAGTGGCGGCGCTCAATTGTGTGATGTACGCGCTAATATTGTGCTAAGATTTCTCTAGCCACTCGCCTGAATCTCCTAGGCAGAATGGAGAGCTATGCGATTCCTCTCACTAAGCGTCCAACGTTGTATGGTCTGACTCTGGGTCCCATTTGTCATGTCTAACCTAGCGTTTTGCTCCGGTATTACAATAATCTCGAACAGTTTTCATAACTCCTCCGTCCACTGAATCCTCCACACTCGCTGTTCTCTAGTTCAACCACTCTTCAAACAACATCTGCGCTACCACGTGCTCCCCCCTATCAGCGGTCCTTTTTGTCCTTTCCTCTCCTTGTGGAGGTTGATTTCTGCCAACTCCGCTGAGTCGTCACACGGGCTGGCCTTCGACCGGCCTGCAGAAAAACGGCCATGTTACCGCCGATCCCGGAACCCCAGGATTACGATGTCTCACCACTTCATGGCTTCCTGCCCGAAACCCTTCCTCTAACCAGGCTCCCGGACCCCTACTATAACAAGTGGGAGGCAATCGTTGGTAACCTCCAGGCCCTTATCCTGAGTCGTCGACTACGTGTTGTCATCCATAACCTGCCGGTCCTTTCAACCATAGGTCTTGAGCATGAGACAGAATGGCGTCGCGCCTACTCACTCCTTTGCTTCATGCTGCATGGGTATATTTGGGTTGATGATGTACCAGCCGAAAAGATTCCCGAGTCGATTTCGGTGCCTTTGCTAGAGATATCCCGCCACCTCGAAGTCCCACCTGTTGCTACATACGCGGCAGTGTGTCTTTGGAATTTTAAGCCTCTCTTTCTCGACGAGGACATTGATAACCTTGAGAACTTGGCAACACTCAGCACCTTTACTGGCTCCACGGACGAATCCTGGTTCTACCTCGTTTCAGTTGCCATCGAGGGGCGCGGCGGCCCCATCATCCCTTTGATGCTCACTGCAATGGACTCAGCCCGACAACGTGACACCCTGATGGTCACCCACTGCCTTTGCGGGTTTGCAGAACGCTTGGCCGACTTGACAAACCTTCTGCAGCGAATGCATGAACGGTGTGACCCGATCGTCTTCTACCACCGTATTCGCCCCTTCCTTGCGGGTAGTAAGAACATGGCCGAAGCTGGCCTGCCCAATGGGGTACTGTATGAGGATGGGAGTGGGAATGAAGAGTTCCACCAGTATAGTGGAGGGAGCAATGCGCAGAGCAGCTTGATCCAGTTCTTCGACATTGCGCTCGGAATTGAACACCTCCCTACAGGAGAGAAGCACCAGGCTAAATCTGGCTCTGCTCCAAACCCTTCTCAACGCAACAATTTCATCAGGGATATGAGGCGCTATATGCCTGGACCCCATGCGAGGTTCCTCGAGGATGTTTCTCGTGTCGCCAACATCAGGGAATTCGTCGAGGAGAGTCGAGATACCCAGCTCTCTGTTGCTTATGATGCTTGTCTAGCCATGTTAAGCGCTTTCCGTGACAAACACATTGCCATCGTCACACGATACATCATCACACCGTCCCGCCAAGTCCGAGCACGCAGCCGTTCGCGTAGTCCCGAGGTGGCAAGGCAAAAGAACAATATCGCCACTGCTGGACACAAGAATCAGGGCCAAGGTCAGAGGGGAACAGGTGGCACGGCTCTTATTCCGTTCCTCAAACAGGCGCGGGATGAGACGGGCAATCCCGCCATCGAAGAATGGTCTAGGCGATTCATGAAGCGACAGGTTGTGTTCCAGGGTGACGGCGACTTTTTCAAGGGGAAGCCCGAGTACAGTGGACCTGTTGAGATGGAAGATGTCGAAGTCAAGGGATTGGCTGGTGATTGGACTATGGACGATGAAGTTGGGGGCATATGCCACTATTGATCGTGGTTCGGCTGTATTTTCCCGTAGGCTTTTGGGCGAGTTGGGGCTATCTGTGGTGAAGAAAGATATGTCAATCCGCCGATCAAGTGTTCAGCACGGCATCCTTGTTCGACCAAGGTGTCATGCCACTACTATGAAGTCATTACTGCAGAGCCTTTTTTTTCACCTTATATTCCTACCATGATGTCAAACGTACATATCACTAGGATAGACTAGCGGAAATGCATGTGATCTTCTCCTCTCCATCCTGATATGGCATGATAGTGGTGGAGTGAGACTTGCGCATAAGAGCATGTTGGTAGTATGCGCCTAACAGACGACACTTACTCTATGGCGATCACTGATCTCTCGGACGAGATACAAGCGAAAAGCATATGTGAAACTATCAGAGTATTTATATTTAAATACAAATGATCTCGTGACGACGTAAATAGAGAAAATGGAGCGTTTACAGTCGGACTTACCTTTTAGGTATGGTAGCTCAATGAGTTAATACCTTAGGCAGGAACTCGGCCTCTGAAAGAGCTTTGTAAGCTTTGGCCGTCTGCGAAGCGTGACACGCTAACCTCTAAGAGGAAAATTATGGTCTATCCCTTGCAGTGATTTTAGACCTCGATGCTAAGACCCGTCGCAATTCTTCAGAGGAGCGCGTTTCTTTGTACTGCTTCACCAACTTTCCATTAACTGCGACCGTCATCCCTCCACCCTCACACATTGTGCTACCGGCAATAATAGGCCAAGATCTGTCCTTGAACTCCTCGCAGAAGTGGACACTGTCACCAATCTGTGAAAGACACTGCCCAATGCGCACGTGTTGAGGCGTTAGGTCCACCTTTGACCTGAAATTCCGTTGCCACTGGTGTATTGCCGCATCGTGGCCACCACCACGCTTACGGACGGCCGTCCATCGATTACTTGCAACAAACATCCGACTTTGCCCTCTATCTGAAAACTTCCATCGACTCTCCCGAGAGCAATCATGGCCGATTACGAAGAGCTCGAGTACGAAGCCTATGGCGAGGAGGAGGCTGAGGGTATCACGCCTGAGGACTGCTGGACTGTGATTTCTTCCTTCTTCGACACAAAGGGCCTCGTCTCGCAGCAAACCCAGTCTTTCGATGAGTTCACCCAGTCAACCATCCAGGATCTTGTCAACGAGTACAGCACCATCACTCTGGACCAAAAGAACCCTCCCTCAACCCCAGACCGACAAATAAACGTTCGCCGATATGAGATCAAGTTTGGATCAGTCATGGTTTCTCGCCCAACCATTAGCGAGACTGACGGAACCGCGACGTCGCTTCTTCCCTACGAATGCCGTGACCGAAACCTCACATACGCGAGTCCGATGTATATCAAGATTTCCAAGAAAGTGTCGGTGGCCATCGAGAGGGAGATTCCCCTCCACGAGCTGGATGAAGACCAACAGCGCGAGCTAGCGGAGACCGGTGAACACCCGACCAGGGTCGAGTGGGAGTTGGAAGAGGCTGGAAATGAAGATGACGTTGGGAAGCCTGACAACTTCAAGGACTCCGTTTTCGTTGGCAAACTTCCCATCATGGTCAAGTCCAAGGTTTGCCATCTCTATGGTGAATCTGACGACAGCCTGTTCCTTGTCAACGAGTGCCCGTACGATCAGGGTGGCTACTTCATCATCAACGGTAGCGAAAAGGTGCTCATCGCTCAAGAGCGATCTGCTGCCAACATTGTCCAGGTCTTCAAGAAGGCCCAGCCCAGCCCTTACACATATACTGCGGAGATCAGGAGTGCACTTGAGAAAGGATCGCGTCTCATCTCCAGTTTGATGCTCAAGTTATATGGCAAGGGAGATTCAGCTCGTGGCGGCTTCGGACAGACCATCCACACGACCCTCCCGTTCGTCAAATCCGACCTTCCTGTTGCCATTGTCTTCCGAGCTCTCGGCATTGTTTCCGACGAGGACATCCTCAACCACATATGCTACGACCGAAATGACACCCAGATGCTCGAAATGCTTCGCCCGTGTATCGAGGAGGCCTTTTGCGTTCAGGACCGAGAGGTGGCTCTGGACTTCATCGGAAAGCGAGGCAATAGAGACCAGGCTGGTCTGGGACGTGAGAAGCGTGTTCGTGTCGCTAGGGATATTCTTCAAAAGGAGACCTTGCCTCACATCTCTCAGACAGAGGGTGACGAGACAAAGAAGGCCTTCTTCCTGGGCTACATGGTGCACAAGCTGTTGCAGTGTGCCCTTGGAAGGCGCGAGCCTGATGACCGCGATCACTTTGGCAAGAAACGCCTTGATCTTGCGGGACCTTTGCTGGCAAAGCTGTTCCGCGGAATCATGCGTAGGATGAACACAGAACTCTCGACGTATCTGAGGAGGTGTGTCGAAGGCAACAGACATTTCAACTTGGCTGTCGGCATTAAGCCTGGAACTCTGTCCAACGGCTTGAAGTACTCCCTCGCCACGGGTAATTGGGGTGACCAGAAGAAGGCCATGAGCTCAACCGCCGGTGTGTCGCAGGTGCTGAACCGCTACACCTTTTCGTCTACTCTGTCCCATCTGAGGCGAACCAACACACCTATTGGCCGAGATGGCAAGCTGGCAAAGCCGCGACAGCTTCACAACACTCACTGGGGACTGGTCTGCCCGGCAGAAACACCAGAGGGCCAGGCCTGTGGTCTGGTCAAGAATTTGTCCTTGATGTGTTACGTTTCTGTTGGGTCCCCGACTGGCCCCTTGGTTGACTTCATGATCAGCAGAGGTATGGAACTGGTCGAGGAGTACGATACAACTCGCGCGCCGCATGCTACCAAGGTGTTCCTCAACGGTAGCTGGATTGGTGTCCACCAGGATCCTAAAAAATTTGCCGACAGCGTTTTCGAACTTCGACGGAGGCGACTTCTCTCTTATGAAGTTTCGCTCATCCGTGAGATCCGCGATCGAGAATTCAAGGTCTTTTCTGATGCTGGTCGTGTAATGCGTCCAGTCTTCACTGTTCGGCAGACAGATGGAGAGATTGGCGACCCTCCAAAGGGTTCCCTCGTCTTGTCTAAGGAGATCATCCAAGATCTTGCCACTGAGAACTTCCAGCCTGACCCGCTCACTGGGGAGGTGCCCACTGGCTGGGATCACTTGATTCGAGCTGGCGCTGTGGAATACTTGGACGCCGAAGAAGAGGAGACGGCTATGATTTGTATGACCCCGGAGGATTTAGAGTCGTATCGAATGCAGAAGCTGGGTTTCGAAGCCCCTGATGCTGGAGAGACATTGGAGCCCAACAAGCGTCTCAAGACCAAGACAAACCCGACTACGCACATGTACACCCATTGCGAGATCCATCCCAGCATGATTCTTGGTATCTGTGCCAGTATCATCCCCTTTCCGGATCACAACCAGGTATGTTGCGGTGATTGATGTCCCTTCTTCCTGCATCTCAACTGACACAAATTGTTCCTACTTAGTCCCCTCGTAACACATACCAGTCGGCTATGGGTAAACAAGCCATGGGTTTCTTCCTCACCAATTACGCCCGCCGTATGGACACCATGGCCAATGTCCTTTATTATCCTCAGAAGCCCCTCGCTACGACTCGATCGATGGAGTTCCTCAAGTTCCGTGAATTGCCAGCCGGTCAGAATGCCATTGTGGCAATCGCCTGTTACTCTGGCTACAACCAGGAAGATTCCGTCATCATGAACCAGAGCAGCATCGACAGGGGACTGTTCCGCAGTCTGTTCTTCAGATCCTACTCGGATCAGGAAAAGAAGGTCGGTTTGAACTACACCGAGACCTTCGAGAAGCCGTTCCAACCAAGCACGCTCCGCATGAAGCATGGAACGTACGACAAGCTCGATGAGGATGGTATCGTGGCACCTGGTGTCCGTGTTTCTGGAGAAGACATCATTATCGGAAAGACGGCACCCATCGACCCGGACAACCAGGATCTGGGAACAAGAACCGCCGTTCACCAGAAGCGAGACATCTCCACGCCCCTTCGCAGCACCGAGAACGGTATTGTGGACCAGGTAATCGTGACGGTGAATGCGGACAACGTCAAGTATGTCAAAGTCCGTGTACGAACGACCAAGATTCCCCAAATTGGTGACAAGTTTGCTTCTCGTCACGGACAGAAAGGAACTGTGGGTGTTACCTACCGTCAGGAGGATATGCCCTTTACAAAGGAGGGTATCACGCCGGATATCATCATCAACCCTCACGCTATCCCATCTCGAATGACCATTGCCCATTTGATCGAGTGTCTTCTGAGCAAGGTCTCGACCCTGGAGGGTATGGAAGGAGATGCCACGCCATTCACTGATGTGACTGTCGACCAAGTCTCCGAACTTTTGCGTGGACACGGATACCAATCGCGTGGTTTCGAGGTCATGTACAACGGTCACACTGGTCGCAAGCTACGTGCCCAGGTCTTCTTCGGCCCGACGTACTACCAGAGGCTGCGTCACATGGTGGACGACAAGATCCACGCTCGAGCCAGAGGTCCGGTGCAGATCATGACTAGACAGCCTGTCGAGGGTCGTGCCCGAGACGGTGGTCTGCGTTTCGGAGAAATGGAACGTGATTGTATGATTGCCCACGGTGCTGCCGCCTTCCTCAAGGAGCGTCTTTTTGAAGTTTCCGATGCCTTTCGAGTTCACGTCTGCGAGGTCTGCGGTCTCATGACACCTATCGCGTAAGTATACTCCAATGCTCATATTGAGCTTTTGACAAAACCCCTTTCTGGATGCCAAAATCGGCTAATATATACATGACAGAAATCTCTCGAAACAATCGTTCGAATGCCGTCCGTGTAAGAACAAGACAAAGATTGCGCAGATTCACATTCCCTACGCCGCGAAGCTCCTCTTCCAGGAACTCCAGTCCATGAACATTGCGGCAAGGATGTTCACCAGCCGGTCAGGTGTTTCCATTCGATAGTAGGAGAGAGATAAGAACAAGTTTGATCTGATGGAGGATATTTTGGGTTTGGTAGGGGTACGCACATGCTTGAACGAGTCACCGCTCGTTGAGGCATCGTAATAGTCCATATATGCATTCAGGCGCAATGGGAATAGGAGGCCGTATGTTAATCACACATCCTAGAGGCGATTAATCATAACCAACCATACCGGTCTTCCTTGTTTAATACAAATTATTTAGTGTTAATGTTACAATCTTTTTGCTCCAATTTATGTTGCAGTATTGCCCATGTCCAAACGTAGCAACATGTATAGCCTTTCTGGCATAGCAAGTCCAGTATTATCGTGGCAGTATAGCGTGTTTTAACCGTTGGCAGAGTTGGGTGTGTATCTTATGGGCTTGGGCTCCAGAGCTCGGATATCATAGAGAACAGTTTCTACTTCGGTGGCTCTAAAGAATGTTTGTCGTTTTGTTGATCGAGTGAACTGTGCACATTCTGATCACGCTTATATTCTTCTTCGAGGATCCGTTGCATGTCGAAGTCTAGCTGTCGCTCGCGCTTGATCCGCTGTTGCTCCATGTCTCGTACGACACCCTCGTGCATTGCCTGTTTCGAGAGAGGATATGGTAAGTTAGGCAAAATGTAGTCTAGAAGAGTTGCAGCTGTTCTTCTCAAATCTATGTTTGACATACCATCTGCTCATACTTCTGTTGGAAGTGAACAAACCCGACAGTGGATATGGCGAAGAGCATGGTAGCGCCCAAAGTCAGCTTAGAAGCGCGAGACATGGCTCTGGGGGTTAAATGTTTCGAAATGGCCTTTCTGTCGTGGTTATTTTCAAGGAGGAAGTGAAAGTAGCTTTGGAAAATATTTCGAAGTCAATGGAGAGGCTCTATGAAACTCTGGAGCTGTCCGGAAGAGCGTCGGAAAGGTGATCTAACGTCGCCAAGTGCATAAATTGTGCATGAAAAGTGGGTCATTATCAGGTGTGTCTAGATGTACCTCCTGTGTCCAGCTGGCGGGAGTGAGCGTCCAGCAATGTACCTCCTGCTCTCTGTCGCTATCCTAGGTCAGAGGGGCCCACACCTGGCTCGGGTGACGATATCGACCACCCCCAATTGCTCTCCATCCTCCTCCAATTGTAGGAGCAACAACTTTGTTTCATCACGTCGGAATCTTCTCGCCTTTCAGCCAATACACCACACCGAGAGAGCTTTATCTCAGAAAGAGCTTCGTGATAGAACTATATTCACAATGGTACCTCGGCTCTAGTCACCTTCTCGATTAAGCGCACCTCACTGATCGCGAATGCCTACTACAGTCTGCCCAGAACTCGGCGGGCATCCAGACCCTTCTCGATGTACGAAGCGCCCTCCTGCCGTAAAGCGCTGTCCACCTCTAACAATCACATATAGGCTGAGCGGGAAGCATCCAAGATTGTCCAGAAAGGTATGTATCTCCCCTTTACCTTCCCCGATCTGCTGTCAACACATTGAACTAATGCGCCCTATATATAGCCCGAGAGTGTGAGTCTCCTCAAGGCCCTAAGCCACATGTTACCGATCGTTTTCTTTATACATTTACCGACGATTTACCTCTAGTCCGCACCAAACGCGTGAAGGAGGCCCGTGACGAGGCCAAGAAGGAGATAGCCGACTACCGCGCCCAGAAGGAGGACGAGTTCCAGAAATTCCAGGCCGAGGTACGATAGAACACGACGCGTTTCGTCCCGCTACAATCGAATACTAACGGCAATTCACGACTTTAGCACACCAGCGGCAACAAACAGGCCGAGGAGGAGGCCAACAAGGAGGCCGAGAAGCAGATCCAGGCCATCAAGGAGGCTGGGAAGAAGGGTCAGGCCGGCGTCGTCCAGAACCTCCTCAATGCTGTCTCAAAGGCCAACTCCCAGGCTGCAAGCTCTTGAGAGTAATCACTGAAGTTTCTTTTTTTTCAAGGGGGAGCTTTCTGGATGGTGTCATTTGTTTTGTTCGAGAATGTGGTCGTACCACCCCTGCAAGAGCATATCAATAAATGTATGAAGAAGGAGCGAGTTTACAACGCCTACTTGACCTGATATCATACAAAAAAAAAAAAAAATCGGTAGTCTCGCAATTTCGTCATTGCAGAAACTCTAGCAAGGTCCCCAGCATCTCCTTCATGTCCTGCCCGTCCTCCTCGCTGGTGTCAAGCCCATCTCTTTGCTCCGATAATGTGGTGTGAAAAACAGCCAAGGTCTCATCCCGCTCCGCAAGCAATTGTTTAATCTTGCGCCTAGCTCCTTTGTCTTCGGCGACAAGCCACGCAAAGATAACGTCGATTGTCTGCAGTGTGAAAAGTCCAGCTTCAAGACGCCGGGAGAGAAGCTCCACTTGTAGCTCATCCGCCTCTTCCTCGGATGCCCCTTGCTGCTCAGCCTCATTCGCCTGCTCAACTTGTTTAACGCGGGCGCTGTAGTCTCGGCGGAGAGTCATCAGTTTTGTGACCTTCTCGTAGTCCTTTTCGACAAATTTAGCCAGCGTCCGAATCCTCTCGGCCGATGTCGCGGGGAGCAGCCGCAGCATGGAGGCAAAGATGGCCACCAAGCGGCTCAAGAGACGACGATCATGAGTCTTGATGAACAAGGTAAAAGTAGACTTGAGTCCGCCAGCTTGCACAATCTTCTGGCACACCTGGCCCGCCAAGTTCCCTGCGGCGGCATGGTCCAAGAGACGAAGAGCCGGACCCTTGCTCATCTTCCCTTCCTTGAGCATGAGAAGGCAAAGCTCTACGCCTTCAGCCTCGACGAACTTGACCTTGCCCTCCACTTCATCGACGAGGCAGGTCAGAGCCTCAAATATGTTCTCCATGTATTCCTCTTCCTCGCCGCCCTTTTCGGGGTCTCGCTTTCGGTATGAGGATATGAGCTGGAGCATCAGGTCGATGGCGTCCAGCTGAATAAGCCCCCGTCGGGTTTCTTGCGACGCCTGGGATAAGATGGCAAGAATTTCGGCCGAATATTGCTTATTCTGTGTCACAGTAGCTTCGGTTCGCTGTATACGGCTCAGCAGCCACCGGAGGAGCTCCTCGCTGTCGCCGACACGAATGGCAACCGGGGTGCGGGAGCAGAGGCTCTCCACGATGCCAAGAGCGTAGTACACGCCATTTCTGTCCGACTCGTCGCTCTCATCAAGACGGGAGAGATTGGAGACGATAAGCCCTGGCAGGTCAGCGTCTATTAGGGCGTCAACTAGAGTGTTCCATTGGTGGTCCTTGGCAGCCACATCCTCGTCAATTAATTCGCCAATGACCTCTATGGCGTCGATGGCGATATCCGTGTTCTCATGGGCCAGCAGGCCGACCAAGCTGTTGGCGCACCCAAGCCGCACGAATTCCACAAACAGCTCTGGGTGCTCGGACAAGACTGACAGTGCTTTGATGTCGGCATCAAGATCGCCTTCGCTACCAATAAACTTCTGTGGTTCCGACTCGAACTTGGCGCGCATCTCAGCATTCTTGCTAATGCGCTTCTCAAAGTTCAGTGCCGTCTTGCGCAGCCACCCAACGTCAATCTTGTCCTCTGCCCTTCCCGTATCGGCACCTTCCACGTAGTCCAGGATTTTGTATTCTTGCTTGGTCACGCCGCCGCCAAAGAAGCGGCCTTCCTCGTCATCGTCATCGTTGTCGGGGAGCATTTCGGGCCCGAAGTCTTGTTCGTCTTCGCCATCGTCTGGTGGAAGGGTGGGACCGGCCTCCATCTCCTCATCTTCATCGGCGGCAGAAGTGTGGCGGCTAGCGCCATTGGAAGAGGTCTTCGCTGATTTGTATATTTCATCTATTCGCACATGGTCTATGTCAGTAGGTTGCGCCTTGGTTCATGAATAGCTTGGTCGCAGGATGACGAACTTGGGTCCCTGACAGAATCGAGTTTCCGCTTGCTAACAACGCCTGACTTCTGCGCAAGGTTGTTAATACTTCAATAGCTCCTGTAGTGGGTTGTGACGGCCTAAGCTACCTTGAATATCTCGTCGACACTCGTCATGGTTGCGGAGTGCTGTGTGTATTTGTTGAAATAATTTACGCTGTAGGCATTAAACAATGGGAAGCATTGACATCAATTGGTACCAGCGCGTGTTGGCGATTTTTGAATGCTGGACCCACCTAGCGGTTTTGATCCCGCCCAGCCTAGACGCGGCTTCAATCCCGCGTCCGCATTCTCGGTTACGCAGAGTTCTAATAGCACGATATAACTCGTCGTCCAAACGTGCACCAGTGAACCTATGTTATATATACGGTTTCATCTAGTAATACTTAGTAACATATGAAGATTTCAAGCATAAGATTAGACAGCTCGGTGTGATCTGCTCTTGTAGGTTATCTACGAAGTGATAAAGGATATCTTTGTCCATGATAGTCTATCGGTCAACATATAACACATATGAATAAGATATTTCAAGCAATAATATACCACGTTCACTGTTAATGGTGCTGCAGTAGCCAGCTGATTTATCAGTCTCTTGTAATGATAATACGACATAATTAGTAGAGTACTAGTAGATGAGTTTCTCTTCCAGGATACAAATATTGCGAATACTACTGAGACGGTCACTAGCCTGTAGGGTATGTGAATAAAAGATTGCACCCTTAACACTTTGCGAGGATGGTGATATCGGACTGAAAGTACCGTGTCGTGTATCATTCCGCACTTCATACGTACTTTATACGTATGAAAGAAGTACGAGTACGAGAGTACGGAGTAGATACGCACAAAGTTGGCCATCATGCATGGCAGCATGCCCCCCCCCTGACAGAATGACCGGTAGCGAAGTGACAGACCATCTAGCAACTGGAGGATGAGACGTCGGGAATTGCTATTTCAGACTGGTCGGCCCCGCCCAATATGGGTGGCACTGGGGCCGCGCTACTGAGCTTGGACCCCCCTTCAGGCCCTCCTCTGGCATAGTGGAAGCCGGGTCTCCACTACCAGTCAACGGGCAGTCTCGCCCATTCCCCCCACCACCACAGAAACAGAAAGTCTAAGCCCCTGAGTTCCTGAGCGCTGGGAGAAGAGCCTGGGCGGGAGTGATTTCCACGACCAAGAAAGAGAGGACCGCCAGGGTTTGATATCTGTACATGACATCTCTTCGAGCATTTGGCCTGCTTGCATTTACATATATCGCTCTTCTTGTATGGAGAAAATAAATCGAGACCTGTCTAATATTACTCATCTCAGTGCCTATATTGTGGCCAGCCTGCGACAAATCGGATAACCCCTGGTGGCATGCCCGTGAGCAGTATCCCTTGCACCTGCATTCCCGCTCCTCACCTGCCTCATTATCTGGACGAATAGGGGGAAGGGAAACCTGCAACTCCTCTACGACGTACGATTCCTCTGCGCAGCCAGGGTTCCGACTTCTACGGAGCACGCCTATCCACCTGCACTACCTATACCACGACGCACGGGGTGAACGACAACCCGGCCACTCACTATAGACACCATAGACCCCGTCGCCACCCATGACTGTGCTGTAGTTGCCGTCCCGCTTACGATGCAGGCTTCCAAGCCGCCATACAACGATTCCATCGGCCACACGAGATCAAGACCCTCGCTACCATCGCAATCTTTAGACCGGAACGACGAAGCAGCCGCCCAGCCTCGGCTTCCACCTCCCGATTATATCCTACAACCCACCACTTACGCACCCTCACTCCATCGAGCCGAGCCAGAAACTGCGGCTGCACCCCGCCCGGGTGCGCGAAACCAGTCTTTCTCAGACCACCGCTGGTCTGCCTCAACCGGCTCGAGCCGCGGGAACTCCGAAACGGCCTCAAGAGGACGACGGAACAGCACCGTTGACACCTCTTTTTTTCTCACCAGCTCGCCTCCCACGACTCGCACGCCGCCGCGCAAGCTCCAGAAGAATCGCCGCCCCAGCGTCCAGTCCCACGGCAGCCTGAGTCCTCTGGCAACCCGGTCCCTGATACGGGCGGACGCGAATCACCAGAACTATACTGGGCTTCCATCATTGGATCCTCTTTCGTCTCTGGCTCAGGATTACTCGACTGCCTTGCAGAACCAGCAGCGGCAACAGCCAAGCCACCGACTATCCCGCAGTCTGAGTCAAATACTACCGCAATCCAATATCGCCACCTCGATGCAGACCGACCCATTTGCCGATACAATGCACAAGGAACAGCCTGACGGGCACTCCCAGAACCGCTCAGGCAAGGGGAGTAGCGACTCCAGCAACCCGGGCGCTAAGCCTCCTTCTCAAAAGGCCATGCTTTCCCATGCACTGCAAAAAGCCAATGCCGCAGTCCAGCTGGATAACAACCAAGATATCTGGGGTGCGCGACAGGCTTATGGAGAGGCATGCGATCTTCTCCAGAATGTTCTCCAGAGAACATCGGCACAGGAGGACAAGCGTAAACTCGATGCTATCGTGAGTATTGCCCTGGTGCGGAACACGTGGCACTGCAGCTGATTCTACCAGTTTCACGTTTTGCTGACTTTCTCCTAGCGTTGCACGTATACTAGTCGGATAGACGAGTTGGACCAATTGCTCTCATGGCAAGACACCAAAGCCCTGCCACCCTTCCCGGAAACCCAGCAAGAAAATGGGAACGAGGACGAACCGGTGTACGCTGAGATAGCAACACTGGTTCCTGCCGCGCATGATGATGGCCAAATCGGACGACAAGAAGCTCGCGTGCCAAGAGCCGAAGCGCAATACCAAATGGGCAGTTTGGAGCCCGGGATTTTGCAGTCCTCATTTTCTCGATCACCCGCCCGCTCCCCTCATCGGGAGAGCGTTGCACAGCACCCCGGAGATCTGGCCCATACAGCTCATGCGTACGCTTCTACTGGACGGCAGACGTCATCGGCCGCCGATTTTTACGATACAGGCCGGTCATCCCAGCCTTCGGGATTTTCAACCGTCTCAGAATCCGAGAATGGCTCTCGAGGCATTCAGCATGTAAGGGAAGAGAGTCAAAACTCGTGGCTGGACCCCATTGATGAATCCGGAGGCTCGACTGTTTCTTCAGTTCATTCACGAACATCGTCGCTCGGCTACAGAAGAAGGCACATCCGACCGAGGAGCGGTGGCACAGAAGCTGAATTCGATACAGCGCTGGATGCCGCCATAGAAGCTGCGTATGACGATGGCTATGAACCCACAGACTCGGAAGGGTTCAGGCAGAAGGTGGACTCGGACGATGAAATCGTGGCCAATGCCTTGCGCAGAGTAGAACTTGCTCGGCAGAGGGTGAGACAGACGGAGTTGGAGGCGTACGAGATGGCTAGTAAACGAGAAAGGGAACGGTTTCAACTCCAATCCCAGTCTGGCCGATACACAGATCATCGCGAGGATCCTTATAGCCGAGAAGGCTTCTACGAGGACAATTCATCGGACGAAGAAGACGATGAAGAGGAAGAGAGGATCTTCGAAGAAATGACCCACAGTTATGCCAGTCAAGGTCGCGGCGTTGGAGGGCCACCTCGGAAACCAGCACTCATACCCCGTCAGTCCGACTCAAGCGGTGTCACGTCGCATACCTGGCAAAGCTCCATCGGTTCAAACCCACCGGGAACTGGAACCACATCGCTTTTCACCGTCGCTGAGGCCGTTGGGAAGCCCATCATGCCAACGGCACCGGCTCCAAGGGCGCCGCCGCCTTCTCAAGCTCTTCCAGAAATACCAGGGCCACGACCTCCCTCTTCGGCCCAGTCCGTGCGGAACCGACGACTCTCTGGGCAGAATCCTAAGCAGTTGAAGATCGACACCGCTGTCCTTGGCCCTCCACCACCTGCTCCTTCCGAGGAGACAACCGGCTCCAACCTCGACAGTCACGAAGCTGCAGCTCAAGCCCTGGCCGCGGGCAGGGCAGACTCCGCTCTCCGGCGTCCAACGTCACCCGAGACAGATGCGAGGTCCGGCGAAGCTCGACCGCCTAGCTCCCCATACAGCCATAGGGTGGGTCTGGAAGGCGACGATTATTCTGGGGGACGCTCTTCATCGCCTTCGGTGAGCAAGTTGAAGAAGAACTTTTCGGCCTCAAGCTTGAGAAGTCTGAAGACACGCAATATGTCATTCTCCCATCCTGATGAAGTCATCGACATGTCGCCTGTGACGCCATCGACTGCTCAATGGGGAAACATGCAATGGGGAACTTCCAAAGCTCCAGCAATACCCACGCTACCAGCGGCTGTTGCTACCAGTTTGCGAGAGAAGGCTGAAGCAGCCACGGGCGGAATGTACCTGCTGGATGACAATTTTCATTCAATGGAAAACACGGGTTCTCCGGGTGATATGTCACCCGACGCGCCGGTGCCGCTAGAGCCGTGTCCGACCGACTTCATGCTGCGACCGTTCTGGTTGATGCGCTGCTTGTACCAGACCCTGGTTCACCCACGTGGCGGCTACCTTAGCTCCAAGCTGTTTGTGCCACGGGATGCTTGGAAGGTTAAAGGTGTCAAGCTGAAAAATGTCGACGACAAGATCGCCAACTGCGATTACCTTACAGCTGCACTGCTAAAACTGGCACGCGTGGACACATTTGATGCAGATGCGATGCTTGAGGAGATGCAATCAATGGAGACCGTCTTGGAGAACACACAGGCTGCCCTTACCCGGAAGCTTGGCAACGAAGTTGGAGTCAACAGCGCGGGTAGTCTCTTTAAGGAAGCCCAGGTTAGCGTTGATGGAGATGCCGCTCCGGTTCCACGGTCGACAAGTGTGACCGGAAAGTCGTCATTCTCTTGGAGGCGGTTGCGATCCAAGAACTCCTCCACTGCGTTGAGTGCCCAGAACCGTCGGCAAGCCGACGAGACCAAGGAGACACAGAACCTTCCGACGCTGCCAATGACGGCACAACCAACGAGCAAACCAGCGAAGCGCGACGTAGAACAAGTTCAGTTTACCGGACCCAACGCAAACTACATGGGTTCACTTGCGCGCCTGTTTGATGCGGTTCAAGTAATTGGTAAGTTCATTTACACGGATGCAGTCAAAGGGATGACAAGGCCAAGTTGACTAACAATATGCGACAGACCAAATAGCCCGTCAGGTTGAGGATCCTGGGCTGAGGCATGCGGACAAGACTCAAGTGGGACTTGAATTATGCACACGGCACGCTGCCGAGTTCTTTGGGTTCTATATCTGCCGGTTCGTTCTTGTCGATATCGGCTTGTTGATGGACAAGTTCATCAAACGAGGTAGTGAATGGGTCCTAGCCTGAGGCAGTCGACATGTTCCCAGGGAGGGCGGGGGGTGACGCAAGGGACACTGATGCATCTTCCTGCAAAGGGGATACCGCTGTCTCTATATTGAGGGGAAGCGCTGCTTCTTGGTGCTGCGCAAATGATTGTGGTGGTTGATCAGGAATGTGATTTTAACGATACCCCTAAGCCGGAAATGTCTATTTGCGACAGTTGAGGGCTTGCAGTTCCAATGTTCATGATTATATGGCAGGATATCAAGCCCTGTATGTTTTTACGACTAAACAATGGTAAATATCGGTTGGTGCTAGCAACCACAATGTAACGGCTAACTTGCCTAGCGAGTATATATATAGATGTAGAAAGAGAACACTTCACATAACGTTGATTTCTCCGCTGCACTTGTGGCAACACGCACCCCGTGAATTTCTCCCAGTGTACAGAAAGGACAAAATATAATTAGGCCCTGATATTGTACTCCTCTGTCGATGTGTTGATTTCCTGTGTGGGTGTCTGAGCGGTGGTTGATGTCGTGGTGGATCTCGCCCTATACGGCACTTCAGTTACGCCGTTTAAAAAAAGGACCACAAACAGACGTCGATCCAGCAATTTACTGGCGAATACTCTCGGCGTCACGACCATACCCTGCGACATCCATATACATTCGCTACTGGTACTTAGTCCCATGTACGCTTCTTTGACGGCTCGATGAGACTGGTCTGGGGTATCGGGCGAGTCTGGGCTCGATTAGGATGTTTCGCACCATCGAGAATCGCAGCGCGTAGCCCGTTCGCGCCTACTCGTACGAGTACGATATCCGTTCCCTCGACACATCGACGCACCCTTGCGTCGAAAGCTACTCCGACCGAACTCGAGGCACGGATAGCAGCGATTCCTATCGAACGATACCGCAACTTCTGCATTGTTGCGCACATTGACCATGGCAAGAGCACGCTGAGTGACCGACTCCTGGAGCTCACTGGGACAATCACGCCAAACGACACGAACAAGCAAATTCTCGTACGTCTGTTCCTGAACCAGTATATTTTCCTGGTGGGATGGAAAACTGAGATCAGTGGTATATACAGGACAAACTAGACGTTGAACGCGAACGTGGCATTACGGTCAAGGCCCAGACATGCACCATGCTGTACAACTATCGCGGGCAAGACTACCTCATACACCTTGTCGACACTCCCGGCCATGTCGATTTCCGCGCCGAGGTGACGAGGTCATATGCCAGCTGTGGTGGTGCTCTTCTTCTCGTAGATGCGACGCAGGGTATTCAGGCTCAGACAGTCTCCAACTTCCATCTGGCATTTGCGCAGGACCTCGCCCTGATACCCGCCATCAATAAGATCGACATGGCGGCAGCTGATACCCCTCGAGTTCTGGAACAGATAGAGGCTAGTTTTGAGCTCGACCCTAAAGACGCCATCCTCGTTAGTGCCAAGACGGGCAAAGGCGTCGAGAACATCCTGCCTGCTGTAGTTGAACGGATCCCGCCTCCTTCGGGTTGTGAGGATAAGCCTCTGAAGATGCTTCTCGTGGACTCGTGGTACGACAACTTTCGCGGTGTCATTCTTCTTGTCAGAGTCTTTGACGGAGTCGTCAAGGCAGGCGACAGTGTAATATCTATGGGTACAGGCATGAAATACACTGTTGGCCAAGTTGGGGTCCAATACCCTGATGCCACTCCGCAGAGTGTTCTGCGTGCGGGACAGGTTGGCTATATATTTTTCAACCCGGGAATGAAGAAGATCCAGGATGCCAAGCTGGGAGATACCTTCACTACTGTGCAGGACGTGGCCTCGGTCGAACCCTACCCCGGCTTCGAGGAACTGAAGTCAATGGTCTTTGTCGCCGCTTTCCCGACAGACCAAGGGGACTATACCAAGGTCTCCGAAAGCATCAGTCAGCTTGTTCTAAACGACCGCAGTGTCACGCTGCAAAAGGCCTTCTCCGAGGCACTGGGCTCTGGCTGGAGACTAGGGTTCCTGGGCAGCCTACATTGCTCCGTATTCCAAGACCGTCTCAAGCAAGAGCACGGTGGCAATGTCATCATCACTGAACCTACCGTCCCGACCAAGCTTCTTCATGCAGACGGCTCCGAGGAGATAATAGAGAACCCGGCCCTGTTTCCCGAAGCAGGCGAACACCGCTTGCGAGCCGCCCAGCTTCTCGAGCCGTAAGTCAAGCAGCTTTCCTTGTCTTCAGCTGACAAGAACCATGTCTAACATCTCATTACTAGATTTGTGAACGCTACCATTACAATGCCTGAGGAGTACCTTGGCCGAGTCATTGAACTCTGTGAGGCCAACCGAGGAGTACAGAAGAGCATCAATTTTTTCCACGCGACGCAAGTCATCCTGGTGTATGAATTGCCAACTGCCCAGTTGGTTGACGACTTCTTTGGAAAGCTCAAGGGTGCTACGTAAGTTACATGCAAAGTCCAGAAATAAGAATGACCATGTACAAGGAGCATATCGTCCTGACACATAATACCAGGAGAGGGTACGCGACTCTCGACTATGAAGAAGCAGGATGGCGCGAGAGCAAGCTCGTCAAGCTCCAGCTCTTGGTAAACAAGCAACCCGTCGATGCCATCTGCCGCGTGGTACACATTTCGCAGGTGGACCGTCTTGCCAGACGATGGGTGACGAAGTTCAAAGAACACGTCGAACGGCAAATGTTTGGTAAGTATCCCCTCATGTATCATGGATATTGTCACTCTGAGCAGGCCATGTGCTCACATGATTCTCAACAGAAATCGTCATTCAGGCTTCGGTCGGTAATCGGATTCTTGCGCGAGAGACGATCAAACCATTCCGTAAGGATGTGCTAGCTAAGCTGCATGCGTCTGACATAACGAGACGTCGGAAGCTCTTGGAGAAGCAAAAGGTGGGACGGAAGAGGCTGAGAGCTATCGGAAACGTTATTATTGAACAGGAGGCCTTCCAGAAGTTCTTGTCTAAGTAATACATGTATAATTAGTGGTTTTGGTGGCGTCGTGCATGATGGGTAGAGATAGCTAGAGAGCCAGCAGCTAGTCAAGCAGGCTCGTGTAAGATATAATCTGCGTTGTTAAGGGAATGTCTATCAGGGAATGAATATATATATACCAAGATGTCTCCGTATAACCATCTTCTCAACATCCCAACAGGGAAAGCCTCCATATATCATATGATTGATGTTGAACAATGCCGACACCAATTGAATGAACCTGCCGGCCATCTTAGTGACCCTCCCGCCCTAGCAAGTCTTCTGATCCCAATTCTACAGGCTCAGAAGGGGACATACCTAGCCCCCCAGAGAGTGTTGTATTGTCTTGACGCAGTTTGACAATACCGGAACCGTCCTCTTCTAGGGTAAAGATTCGGTAATCACCGTTCATCCACTTGTAGCCGGTAACCCCAAGCCTCAAGAAGGCGGAGTGGGAAACCACAAAGATGAATTTCTCTGGGCGCCGGTACAGATCTTCAAGACATTGTCTACCTCTTGCCAGTATAGCCGGCCTTGTGTAGGCATACCGTTTTCCTTGTGCCGTAGTCTTGTCTGGCCAAACAGGGTCTACGGTCGAAAAGTCGACGGCAGGGAACTCGGACTCGAGTTTGATGATCGGGCTACCGGTATCGCACGGCTTGTCCGAGTTCTCTGAACAATCCTTTGCTTCAGCGATGCGTCACCTCCTGTGATTCGATGATTGTGATAGATGAACAAACCTTGCCAATCAGCGTTTGCAACTATCTTGACCCCTCTGTCCACCAACCAGCCAGTAACAATCTCTGCAGTCTGCAGTGTACGATGCATGGGGCTGGCAATGATGGCAGCGTCCGATATATCACGAATCTGATTACCGAAGCGGTCATATATATTTTGCCGGAGAGCTGAACACTGTTCTATTCCCAGCTCGGTCAAAGGAGGGTCATGGATATCATCAAGGCGTGGAGGATTTAGGAGTTAGTTCGTCCGTTTACCTGAAGATGCCTAATCAAGGGGTTTGACTTATCATCAACATTATGTATAGCCTGTGCGTGACGAATGAGGACTAGACAGGGAGGCATTATGGAAGAACCTTGTTCTCATGCAGTGGAGGCTAATGCTTTCGTGGTAAATGTTTCCGAATGTGTATGTGTGTTCAGTGTATATATATACATAACAAAAATTTACGACGTCGGAACCACGTTTCAAAGTACACACACATTGGCTCTGGTGTGATAATTAACTAATCATATATATAATATACCGCATGGAATTAGTAACTCTCTAACTAGACTCTTCTAATTTCAAGGTTAAAAAAAAAACCATTTTGAAGTCCGATGCTTACATTGTTGTTTTCCAAACAATAACATACTTCAGAATAAGCGGAATATATTTCAAAAAATCTATACCGTTAGAGAATGAATTAGTAGGCGAGCTTACCTGGCTATTTTTTTTTAGAGGAAGCGGAAGGAACAGACATAATAAATGTTTTGGACTAGCCTATGACTAGAATGTACTTACTACGTGGGAATCCATATAGGAAAATATTCGCAGCTATTGTCATATTTCTCTATTTTGACATTGACTGTTCTACTAAAAATTCAAATATGGCAATATTGAAAAAATCCCGACTTATGGGGCTGTGTTGGAAAGGGTGATTCAATTGTTCCATGAGAACTTGTTCATGCCTTTGATTAAATAAAGACACATATTGAATAGCTTTATACCGAATTCAAAACTCTAATCAAGCAAGGGCCTTTGAAAGAGTGCCCATCACGAATTTATTTTCATATATATATGCTCTATCTTAGGTATTCAAATGGCTAGGTATGTTTATTAAATCAAAAGCTAACTACATATATATTTGGAACAAATCAGCGACTCGTCTTCTTCCACTGATTAATCCTAAAGAACTTATATATATTCTCAAAGCCGGATCGTACCTATTTCAAAATAAAAGAGAGATAGATGAGTGTAGCTCAATGGAAGAAACGATATAACTTATAGGGAGACTGAATTCCAAAAAAATTACATCCTGCTTGCTTTTATATACTCGTTTCGGAGCCTGTTCGAGAAAATCAAAACTGTTAAAGTAGTTTTTGATTATTTTTATAATAACACTTAACATGTTCCATGAAGGTAGTACGTTTGAATTTATGAATATCAACGCTACCAGTCTTTTCTTTCCTCTGCACTCATATTCATCACACTATTTGATATTATTTTTTGATATTATTTTAGAGTTAGCCAAGCTAAGTGTGTAGTAGATAAGAGCGTAGCGGAGGAATGCTATGCAGATTTAGTGATGGCCTAGCCGGATAGGGGATTTATGTTAATATCATTTATATATTAACATTGATACTATATTTAGTCCCTAAGAACGTTAAATATAAATATATATTCTTCGTTCAAGCTTTGAAACTTGAGTAAGTGCCTATTTCGCGCTGCTTCCTTCCTAGAAAAACGGGCCCCTTATGCGGACGACCCACAATTTGACACAAATCCTTGAGTTTTGGGTCAAATTGTGGGTCGTTTGGATCGATGTACTTGTCTTCGCCAATTTTATCCTTCTATATCATCGCGATTGAGGCGGATGAGAGTTGCTTGTTATAACTCTTCTATACTAAAGTCTTATTCCTAGCCGCCTCATTCTTCTACCGATTTTCACAATGTGGTCCTCGAATCTTATAGAAGACTTTACTACATGGAGTGTTGTTTAGTGTCCTTTTGGCAGCATACTTGATTTATCATCGTCTATCTACCATGACCGTCATCCTATTTTCGGGTAGGACTCCTAAATCTTTAGAACACTTCGCTATCCAAGGCTGCAGTTCGTAAACAGTCAGTTAGGCATTTTGGCATTTAGGTCGGCCATGATAGAATACAAGTTTTGGCTTTTAGGTATCCTCTGTATAGCATCCGATATGATATTTCTCATAGCTTGATTAATGGTGTAGCAGGAAGATGAGGCTTCCTTTATTATCTAGCTATTGTGAAAATATGTGTGTCCGGCGGATTGTTCTGCGGGATCCGTAGGTCACAGGATCCACAGTGTTATGAGTTCACTTCCCCCCTTTCAGTTCAAGGTGTAGATATCTGCCAAGTAAAACATATTAAGGAAGAAGGGTCTTCGAAAGCGGTTCCGAATACGACCTGACGATAAATTCTAATGCTCCCATCGATAAGCACATATTGGTGCTTGTTTATTCTACACTCTGGTAGATTACTTATAATCAAGGGATACAACCTTCTGTGACGCCTGGCTGGTTAAGAACAACAGTCATATTTAATAACAGAACAAAAAGTTGATAGTATAGATAGATACACTACTGCAGCTACATAGTTGCATGTGAAACGGACCAGGCGCATAAAAACAGTACTCTTCGCCGTAATTCAACTGTCATGCGTATCTATGGAGCATCCTAAAAAAGAATAATCAACTAAAAGGGTTGGTCAGTAGGAGTATTCAAAGTTCTTTGGTCTGCAGGTACTCACCTCGATGAGTTTCTCGGTCAAGTCGAGGGTATCTCTGTGGATGTCTTCAATTGAGCCCATGGAGCATGACCGCCAAAGTCCGCCAAAACCTTTATCTTCGAGCTCCTCTGACAAAGAGCTGGTGATATTCATTGCATGGACGTAATTCTTGTCCGAAGATAGAGTTCGCAGCAATGTATGGGTGGCCTCCAGAGTTGTCGAGTTCTGGCCATGGAGCAATACATCGTCCATTATAATGCGCATGGAAGAGGATCTGATAGAGTTAGCAACTGCCTGGTTGAGAGAGGTACTTAAACTCACAGGTGTAGCATGACCGCTGGACGAGCTTTCGCCATCTCGTTTAGCCAATGAAGGCTATGCGCTTGGACGGTGTCCTCCAGGTATTGAAAATCAACCATCTCCATCGCCGTTAATAATAATAGCTCACTATCAGTGAAAGACTCAACATCTTTCCGGCTCCTCTGGCTAAAAATACTATCAGCTTGCTCGGGGTTAAGGCCAGCTAGCCATAAACTATCCTTCAGCTCTTCAAGTCCCACAGCACGAGCTCGTATCAATGCCAAATAAGGCGAGGAGGAAATGGTGCGGGAGGGGTTATCCTTCTTCGACTCGGGTGTCCACGTGGTCATCTCTAAAAATGAGGACAGAACTCGCAATGCTGTTGGTCTTGTAGTCGTATCCGTGAGACCACGAGCCAGGCACGCGCACACGGCAAAATGGAAGGTATCCTCATTGAAATGGATACCGCAGGCTTCATCGAGCTGTAGAGCCGCATCCTCCACCTGAGTTCGTCCTTGGAGCAGTATGATGACCATCTTCTCCCCTCGTACATCGCCAACCGTACCGATATTGGTAAGAACAGCCTCGAGAAATTGTGCTGTGCAATTGAAGAGGTTCGAAGGGACAAGTCTGACAAGGGAGATGGCAAGCCAGAAAAGCTGCAGCCCATATCTTGAGGCAGAGGGAAGTTTGGCCATCATCTTAGACAAGGAGGTTATGATGGACACAAGAAGTTCCGGGGAACTTTCTTCTTCGAAGCGTCCAATGCTATTGCGCAAAGCCACAAGCACCTGGTAAAGAAGATCATCATCCACCTCTTCACGTGCCAAGTACCCCATCACCGTGAACGCGCGAGGTTGGATAGCTGGATTATTCTGAAACGCAGTACTGGCAACCAAGCTCATCCAGCGTGAACGCCAAACGTTGGCCAAGTCCACCGAAGGAGCGGCAATCGAACATACGTCGAAGAGCACTGCAGCAAGGTTCTCAGTAGCAGCGAGAGCTGCACCTGAGTCTTGCAAGGTAGATATAGATGCTCCTTCTCGTGCGTAGCTAGGATGCACAGAAAATATATCTCCTCTCGGCTCACTCAAAGTATCAAGTATTGCCTTCAGCTTGGTGGACTTGTTGTCATCCAACGAAAAGGATGAGCAGGCGGCATGCAGAGAATTAATCAGCAGCTTATACACCAGCATTCGCACCGAATGGCCTCCAGTATTCGACAACATTGTGACGATGTGGAATATTTCTGGAAGAAAGAGCTGTGACTGAATCCCGTTGTTGAATGAAAGCGCTAGACAGAAGTGAAGCAACACGCATATTTCGGCCCATACTGCATTGTCAGGGAGGAATTTCGTTGGCCGTAGTGATGACCGATTCAGGACCTTTCTCAACCTTGATAGGATTTTGCCACGAAGTGTTACACTGCCCAGGCCAACAGCAATGGATGAAATGCTGTCAAGAACCTCTTCATGAGAACCATAGTTCATGGCGGTCCTCAAAAGCTCCTCCAAAAAAATGTCAAGGAGAACCTCGTCCTGAGCAATGACTGGCCAGACCGCCTCACCAAGGGTGTATGTAAGTGCAGTGTCAACAATGGCAAGGTCAATGAGCTTGCGGAATAAGATTGCGACTTTTTCCCTGCCCTTCTCAGCATCTGGCTCATTTGTCAACACCGCTGTCCGAAGGCCCGAGAGCCATGGAGCCATGTAGGCTAAGCTCAACGGCTTCTGATCTTCGGGGAAGCTTTCCCATCCCACAAAGAACTCGGTGAGAAAATCAGACGTGAGCTGTGGCTCTGAGGCGGCAAGTTCTTTACTGACTCCAACAATAAAATCACTGGCGTCCAAAGGAACGGAGACATCTAATATATGTAAGTATATGTAAGACACTGGCATAACGAAAAGTGGAGGGTGTGTGACAAACCTTTGGAGCAGATAAGTCTGTTGGCAGAGCTGAATTTGAAGGCTCTGCAAAGGGCACCCAAAAGATTGTAGGAAGAAACTCTGAGGATGGTGTCTGGGCTCGAAATATTTGTGAGAGCTAGGTTGAGAAGCGTCCCGGGAACGTCTTGAGGGCGGATCAGTCTTTCCAGAGGTTTATGAGTCCTGTTGTCATTGCCATACCTGGCCTTTGCTGCTCTAATAGATTGCAAGACTTCCGACTTTGCGGGGCTGGTGAAGTACATGACGACCTTGCCACTATCAGCTCGGAGCCCAAAGGCCAGGTCATCTTCTGTTTGCATAGACGTCGATGCTTCATCAATGTCTCCAATACGGAAGATGTCGTTGATGGTACTTGTCATAGATCCTGGCAAGACGTCTTGCTTACTGGCTGTGGTCACTTGTACGAACTGGCTGCCAACTTTGATAGTCACATCGATCTTCCCCTTGGATTTCGAAAGTCGAGTGATAGGTTGGTAGACGAATTGTGTATCTGTGACGACATCGATGGTCTCTTTCGGGAGATGGAGTTGGTTGAGAGGAAAGTGTACCTGCAAGTCCTGAAGGTTTCCCACAAGATGATAATCCACATTCTTGGGGTTGAAGACGCTCCTCTCGTTCCTTGTGAATAGTCGAAGAAGTCGTCTGAAACAGCGCCTATAATTGTTTGTTAGAATTACCAAGGAAAGTGTTGCGCGTGCACACACTCACTTAAAAGGGCTGTTCATGTTATAGACGTATATGCGCGTGAGGTTTTGAGATAGCTCTGTTGGTGCGAGAAGTTCCAACATGCGGAACAAATCATCCTGGGGTTCATTCCGTCCGTTGTAGCATGTGGCATCAATCAGTATACCAAAAGGCTCATGCCAGAGCTTGCTTGCAATCTAATTCACCCACGAGTGGTTAGCTTGGAGGAAAAATATATGTATTGTCGAGGCCTCAGACTGCTGGATGCTGGAAACAGACAGAGTCTTACCTTGAGATAGCAGTAGAGCAATGTATCATGGTCAATCCCCTCGGTTTCGATATTTCTCAAAATTATACATATGGTTGAGAGTCCATCCTATCAAAGTGTTAAAAACGGTGATGCAACACCAGGAATTGTACATACCTTGCTTTCACCTCCATCATACACAGCTCGGGCCGTGAGAAATGACTCTGTGCCCTTGAATGCGTTGCGAAGCATGAAGTTTTGGAACCTGGAATACAACGGTGGGCTATTGATGGAGACCTGTGGGCGGTTCCAGGAGACAGCCAGAGGCGGCGGGCCTAAGTTGGCAATGAGGTTTCGAAGTGGCTCCAGTGTCGGCGAACGGCCTCGAGAAAGCTCACTTGGAGATCGCACATATTCTCTTCTCTCTCTGGAAACCAGTGTTTGGCGTACGTGGTCCCAGTGATCATACAAAAATCTGTGCAACGCAACACAGGATCCGAAATCAAATAACTCAGCGCTTGGCGGACTCTCGACCGGCTCGGACATCACCTAGGAAAAACAGTCAGTTATGACTACTAGTAGAGGAATTGGTTGGATAGCTTACAGATATTTTCCGCAGGAACCCAGTGATGTCGAAAACATTTTGTACCAGGAAATCGTTCAAAGGGAACATGTATGGCTCTTTAACCCCAAAGAGCACATTGTTGGCAAGGTTTTGTATGATCTTTGCAATAAGCAGAAGACCGCGACGCATTTCCTTAGTCGGAGGCGTAGATACCAGTCCTTCGACATCCGGAGCCACGATAGCGGGACAGAAAAATCGTAGGAAAATGAAGGCTCCAACGGCGGTGTACTTCGCATCTGGAAAACGAGGCTCAACAGCATTTACAATCTTCGCTTCAGTTAGCGCGTTTTTCCTGACCAACAGGGCCGTTCTTGACTCACGATATTGCACAGTTTTCGCAAGCATGCCTGAATGTCCGATTCCGATGCACATATGTTGTCAATGAACACCTTGGCCACGATTCGTAAACGAAGGGCATTCCTCTGAGACTCTTCCACTGAGCCAACTCGCGCTGGGTCGAGCTCAAGGTCTAGTTCGTGAGAGGTGAGCATGAGACGCTCAAGAACCTTCTGCAGAGTGTCCTTCAAATACTGAGCGCCTTTCCATTTCGCGTAGACAGAAAGCATCTTGGTTGCGACACTTGTGTGACGCAGTAGTTCTGACTCGTTTTCTAGAGATAGTTAGACTAGGTATTCCTGGGAAAGGAAAACAAGAAAGAAGAAAACATAAGGAGTGTATAGAGATAATGGCTCTTACCGGTATTGTCGACTTCTTGCTTGATAAGGGCCTCGAAAAGCTCAAAAATGAGACCACGTTGCTCGAAGACGGTTAGAAGGCATATTGCAACCTCGTCCACTTCCGTACTAGGACAGATAGTGCTTATAGACACAGATAGCGAGAGATCTTTGGTCAAAAGCTGTGAATCTATCAGTAATGTTGCCGCAACCACAATATTGACCCGCTAACTCACATCAAGAAGCTCTTCATATTTCTCACTCACAGCCGAGTCAGTCAAATTGCTGAACTCGGTTCCTTGAACCAGAATGTTATAAAGAACCCGAACAAACGCCGTCCGAATCTCGACATTCTCGTGGTATCCGATGCTGAGCGAGTGTTTCAGGCCGACATCGATGTTTGCACTGAGCAGATTAGACAAAATCGTGATGGCGAGGTCTGAGTTGGACACACTCTCATCTCGGTTAGTACCCGAGTTTGTGTCAGATCGGGTGGAGTCGGGGGTCTCATAGTTTAAGAGGGACAGGAACCGATTGAAGTAAGTATGGAACATTTGAGACTTCATTTCACTCATCCCAGCATCGGTTTGGCTGTCGGACGGATGGAGAGGGAGCCTGAAGGTAAGATCTGTGAGGGACTTCAAGCAGGCTTTATCCAGGTCTCTTTGAATTCTAGAAATGTCGTCTTGTCTTGTGTTACTGGCCTGTTCGCGGTGCGGAGTTCTTGGTCGTGCGATCCAACCAAAGATGCATTCCAACAATTGGTTTCTGATATGAACGTCATCGCGGAGATTCAAGTGTTCCTTCCGTTTCATCACCGCTTCACACAAGTGGCAAACACGAATCTTGACTCTAAGGGTGTCCGGCGTATCGGGAACACCATCCAAGAAAGTCGCAAAGTTTAGAGTCAAAGCCCCCAGGTGGATTGATGAAGCAGCTCCTAGATCTGTTGGACTTTCAAGGCGATCAACCAACGCACGCAGCAAGGATGCTCCTTGTTCTGCAAATATGATCTCGATGTCCTGTGCTTTATCCGAGGTGGCCAGCGCGCCCGTGAAAAGAACTTCAAGTTCTGACTCCAAGGCTCGGAAAAGCGACTGGTAAAGTGCTGGGGAGGCTTCGGTTGACAGCACTTCCCTCATTGCTTCCCGAACCCGGATATTCCCACACGCTAACAGTTGAATACTCAAGCGTAGGTACCGAGTTAGGAGAGTTTCTTCGTAATTCTCTGATGAGAGCCGGTCGATCCACCTCAGACCTCCAAGAGCGGGTTCTTCGAGTATAATGGCTTGGTCCGCGATGCAGATTCCGCCTAGAGACGCCAGGAAGCCCGAAAAATTGCGCCACTGAGCGATGATTTTGTCATCAATACCATCGGATTTGGAGGTCGATACATCTTTTGCTAGATATATCCATCTGTCAAATGCAGTTTCCCATGCATTGAGTATACCAGTGGTGGGAAATTGCATGCGCCTCAGGAGACCTCGAATGCGTTTCTGGAAAGCAACGAGACCAGTAAATCGAAATTCGCGAGATGCGATTTCACGAAATATGTCCCCATTGCGGAGCACGGAGGCTGATGCTTTTGCAGATTGTGCGACCTGATCGATGATCGAGCATTCGTCAAGAAAGAGGCCAATGCAGGACGTGACTAGCTGGCATGTCTCCGCCTCGGCAGAGCAAAGCGAGACAAGTAGCACAGTTTCTAACCTTGAAGATGCTGTAACAACATCGGACACCTCGTTGGGGACTTCTGACAGTTCCTATTGAAATACGTCAATTGCAGCTTCCAAGCAATCGAATGCTGGGACTCACGGGTATATTTTGTAATAACAGCAGGCGAGACTCAAGGCAGCCATGCAGAGTGGATAGCGCGCCGTCACTCGTATGCGTCAAAATGCGTTCGCAAAGGCTGAGGAGAACCTTGGAGCTGTTGACATGTTAGCCTGTCTATTGTGCTAGTATACGAGGGGAAGGTATCTCACCTTCGGCTCCACATATCCTTTCGTAATTGAAGAGCTCCACGGTGTTGAGTCTGTTCTGGCGATCTGAAGGCCTCCCCATGATGCTCAAAAAGTTTCTTTGCCACTTTGGTCGCAATTTGTCGCACTGCCAGTTCCGGAGACAAGACGCAGAATAAGAACGGCCTAAAAAATCCATTCGCGGAGCTTGAGGATGACAGGTCTTCTAGTAGCCTGCTGGGGGATGTGTCCAAGAATTCCAGAATGCTGCATATCATATCGGTATTGTCCCTGCTAGCAATAGAGCGCTTGCGCGTGTCCGGAATTTGCATCGTCTCGATCTGTAGCAGTCAGCTCTTCTGTCCCAAAGGCGAATCAAGACTGCACAAACCGACAAACCTCTAGTTGGGATTGCATGAATGGAAGTAGCTGGTCAAAAAGCTCGTGATATTGCGAAGCAAAGGGCTGTCGTGCAAAGTAGCAACAAGCTTGGATGGACGCAATCTTGAAGCTGTCAGGCGCAGATCGTGAGATACAATTCTGGACCAGAGTGCGAACACTGCCATCAAGATTCAGGTGGGCCAAGCTCACGAAAGCAGCGGTCATAGTGTCTTGGTCGAACATGGGAGTATCAAAAGAAGATGTCGGGGACGGAGAAGCTGAAGACGGGGTGCAAGAGAAAACGGATTCCCGTACTTCATCCTGTACATCCAGAGCATAGCTCACGAGAGCGGAGTCGCTCTCGGCGTCAAAATGCCGTGCGGCACGGAGGAGGGAAACCAGGCAATAAGCAGCCAGTCCGTTTCCGTTTCGCAAACTTTTCTTGAGTCCATCCAAAAACGACACCTTCTTGACTATACCACTGCTCTTTGCCTCCTTCAAGTTACTTGCGACCTCAAATACATCTGGTAACAGATAAAGTAAAGACGTTTGTAGAGGAAACATCAGTCCTTTTCGTTTGTCGCTTTCCGTTACTCTCTGGGTCATGTCGAAGAGAGAGTCTGCAGAGGTATCAAGCCTCCTGCGAGTTACGTGGAGAGCCACAAACTCGCTGGGAAACCGATCTACCCACCGGGTGATGAGTAGAGGAATAACGACCGAAATCGCATGCTGGTAAGGCCTTCTAAAGTGGAGGTAACTGGAGCAAATCTCCTGGATGACCTGCCGCAGCTTCGTAACATCGACCCAAAAGAAAGAAAGAAGACGAACGGCCACTAGTGCAGAGGTTTCAGCTTCAATGATGGCCCTAGAATTTTCGAGAACACCTGCAGTCATGCTGCCTCGGATACTGTAAACTGAACTCCGGAAGTAGTCGAAGCACGAGGCCCAGCTAGATGCGCTCACGTATTCCACTACCACCTTTACATAGCCGTCTAGCTCGACAAGATGGGTTTCCAGAAATTGGGAAGCAGCAGGTCGAGCCTTGGCTTGCCGAAGTCGGGGTATACTGATATTGCGCTTCGATACTTGGTCAAGAAGCGTGTGCGCTGGCAGCGTGTAGTCTTCGGGTATGGGCTCAAGAAGTGATTTCAGCGCATCTAGAGCCCGGTGCACCAATGCATGCCTGAGAGGTGGGGGGTCGGGGCCTCTAATGTCACTGTCGTCTTCGTCGTCATCATCCTCATTGTCTTCGTCGTCATCATCCTCATCATTCCCAGCACTTTCACCATCGTGTGACAGGGACGCCCAATGTGCCGAGCAGCAATCAGCAACGAGGCCTAAAACGTGAAGCTCGGATAGGAGAATATGGTTCGGATGGGAGGCAACGCTGTCATAGGGACGAGAAAGGCCTTCGAGAAGTTTGAGGAGTGCTTCGAGTACGGGTTCGATGGAGGATTTGCTAAGTTCTACCAATGTAGCTCGAGTGATTTTGAGGATGCCGTCCTCAATTAGAGAATGATTGGTACCCGTCCGATGCGGTAGCTGTTTCCGTCAGCAGTGTTATAGAAAAGAAGATAAAATACCTCCCACAAGCTTAAACCAAGGGGACCTGGTAGCCCGGCTTTGAGTACGACGCAATGTTGCTCACCCGAGTGGCCAGCCTGTCGACGAGGGTGCCGACTAGGCTAGCGTCTGCGTCCATGTCTGTATCATTGAGGGGCACGACTGAGCCGCGGAGTTGGAGCGTCGTCTTTGGGAATTCCCGGTCTGCCCAGACCAACTGTCGGCCAGGACTTGGACGGCGTTTGACGTTGTCGGGCGGCCGTTGGGTCGTGGCTGAAAGTGGAGAGTGGGTGAGGGGTTCAGTGCAACGGTCTTCCTGAGAGCTAAGGGCCAACGCTACAGAAGCTCATGGGAGAAGAAAAAAGTCGGATATAGTGCAATTGCGGTCCTTTCGATGGATCACGGTTCTTACTCTCTGCCAGGGCAGGCGAGTTTTGCTAGTTTGACATTTCACAAACTTGGTGCTGCCGCCTGCGCAATCTCGAGGCCCCCAGTCCTCATCCCTGAGCTGCTCCACGTACTGCGACAGGACTTGACCCCGCGTTTATTAACGGGCCATGGAGCCAGGCCCACACACAATCAATATTTCTTCATTTATTTTTTCCACAATGAAGGGCTTGACGACTTTCGTTATGGTTCATTGTGAATACCATGACAGCTTAACGTACTGAGCAAGAAAATACATGTAGAAAAATGTTAAAAGCCGACAGGACTTGCATTTACGTATCGACCTGCATGACGAATTTTAGTACTAGCGCTATTGCTAGTTTCAAATACACCTACCCAGTCCACCTGCAAGCCATAGCATACAACTACATTACATGTGCCGAGGCATATTCCAAATTACCTGTAGCCTCGAGAATCCCGATATTGACCATTGGGTCTGTGATGTTGCGAAGGCGGATGGCCTTGATACCCAGGGTACCCGGGAGGTCCCGAATGGTGCCCCCCCCACCCTTGATTGTATCCGCCACCTCTACCACCACGGTGATGCGCCGGAGGCGGAGGCGGAACGCCCATGCCAAATCCCGGGGTTCCTGGAGGGGGCGGTTGCCAAGATGGTGGCGGGGGACCCGAATAAGGAGTCCCATAACCGCCACGCCCATAACCGCCTCCGCGATATCCTCCGCGATTGCCTCCTTGGCTGCCTCCTTGGTGGCTTGGGCCGTAGTGCATAGGTTGTTGGTTGTTGGATGAGTTGAATCTCCCCAGCGGCGCGCCTCCATACCCTCGGCCACCTCGCCTGGCCTTGCTCTTCATGACCTCGATATCACTCCGTGTGAGGACAGGGGGGGGTAGTTTCGCTCCTCGTAGCAGCATCGACTTATGAGTATGCAAAATCTCGGGCATCTCGTAATTAACCCTGGTCAACGTTGTTAGCGAGCCATTTACCAAGATACCACCCACACAATATGGAATGCGTTCTCTCAAAGAAACTTACACTACTGAGTGGTCATACTCAAGATCCGGCATTGACTTTCGCTCCAACGGATATTGCAGCGTGCCATGGGGGACGTAATCAGTTTGCTGCTTGATCACCTTGCCTGACAAACCACCACTAGTTTTGAGATTCAGGTTGAACTGTGGGGCACCCTGCTTCTTAGAGTAGAAGTTGGTGAGAATTTCGTCGTATATGCCTTCATGGGCATCGGAAAGGATGAGGACGTCTTTGCCCACTGAATTACGAGCTGTGTCTGCCTCGCTGAGCATTGGATACTTTGCCTGAACAGCAGCAAGTAACCGTGACATGTCAATGAACGGCAACAATGCTACGCCTTGCCATGCCATCTTTTTGCCGTTCAGGTCGACTTCGAATGTTTCCGGGTAGAAATCAATGATGTCGCTGTCTTTGTTCAACATGAGATCATGGAAAACCTCAGGCAGAGCGTGTCGTGAGGCAGCCGGCAGAACGCTCATCAGCTGTTCGAACGGGCGTGAAACACGGCCTTTCTCGAATGTGATATTCATTTTGTCGAGATCCTTGAAATCGGCGGCAAATGGAGCGTAGTGATAGGGGTAGTACCATTCCCAAGAAGGACATCCCTGGAAATAGTATTGCAGGACCCAGGCCAGCCCCTCGGCGTAGGCCCGTCCCACTTGCTGGCGGAACGCAATGTCGCTGGGGTCTTTGTGAAACTTTTGTTGGTAGTAACGGTCTTGGTAACCGTCTTCCCACAGCCGAACATCGTCAGCTGGCAGTCTATCCACGCCGGCCGATAGCGCGCCATTTCCCTGTGCATTAGTCGCTGCAGGGATCTCGCTGTCCTCTCCAAGCTCCGATGCCTTCCGTTTTCCCAGTGATAAAGAAGAGCCCCCGCCTTCCGCATTGTCAGAAGAAACCTTGACACTCTTCAGCTGGCTCTTCAGCACACTAGCTGCACTCTTGTTGGCAGCATTGGTATCATTGACCACATCGCGGTTGAAAACCATATCGTGGGTCAGAGCCTGAGTAGGCTTGTTGGGGAATGATCCGATCGGATGAAGCATTTGGCTGGGCGTGTGATCTTGATGATTATTCCGCTTCCCTCCAGAAGCGCTATTTCTCGCGCCATTGTCGTTTTGGAGCCTTCGTCGCTTCGCATTTGCTTCACGTCGGTCCTCCTGTTCCTTCCTTCTCTTGAAAATTGCGTCTTCCTGCTTTGCGAGCCCGTCGAGAATGCACTGGGCTCTCTGCATGTCAATGTGGCCATCCTTGGTCACATATCCTCCCATGCTGGGCAGGTTGTCTCTCCAAATGGTCGTCAAGGTGTCAATTCCGTCTTCTCGGATTTCAAGGGCTGGCAAGTGAGGTAGAAAATCGTTCCCGACAAAACAGCACATGAAAATCCAATCGTCCACTGCACGCTCCAGATCGAACCTAAAAGGAAGGCCAGATACACTGAGTTCAATAGCCAGGTACTCCCTCAGAACTGGAACGTGTAGCCATATAAAAGGCTTGAGAGTGACAGCATTATCCTTCTCATCGAACTCACCCTCCTTCTCTTTAGCCTCGCCCTTACAGTTCCGGGCCTCGTGGCCCTTTTGGCCGCACAGTTTACATGTCCTTGACTTGCTGTCTTGAAAGAAGACGTCCTCGCGTAGAACACGAAAGTGGGGTTCGTGAGTAGCAAGTCCGAGCATGATGAGATCGGCATCAAGGCCATAAATGACATGGCGCGTGTTGGGATCGTAATCAGGGGAGGTTCTCTGCGAGCGAACAAAAGACATAATCTTATGCTCTCCCTCTCCAGGAACAGTAGCATCCGAAATAAGGATCTTGAGCTTGGCCCAGCCAGGGTCGGTGTTGAGCTTGTACTGGCACCAATAACGAAGACTTGTGGCAAGAATGTCCATAAATGGTGTACCTGGCGTAATTGAATTGGAGTCGAAAGCTTTCTTGGAAATGCTTTCATTGCTTTCGAGGGACGACTCGCCGCCGTTTTGCTGCTTGAGTAGCTTGATAAATTCTTGCTTCTCAAGCTCCTTCTCCTCTGCTTCCTGGGCTGAACGGAAACGTCTCGATCGCTGCTGGTTCATCTTAGCACGCGGCGCAACGCCATCTAGATACATAGTCAATACCCTGAAAGGCAGCACAGGTACATGGGACTACTAACCGACTGCTATTACAAGCATTTTTCGGGGGCGAACCATGTTGACAACACGGTCCGTATACTTGAATACCTCAAGCATCATTTCCTCCTCGTCTTTGGGAGCCGGCTTGTCTTCTGGGTGTGAACACGGATGCACGATACCATTCATATCGAGGTAAAGATTGTCAAACTCTTCGCCATTCGGGTTGGGCTTCGTTATGTCAACAGGGATTTCAGATCCATCATCCATGACAACAGGCTGGTCCTCAATGACTGGCGAAATGATCTTTGGGTATCTGTTGGAGAGCCATCGGAAAGCCGCGGGAATACCCATCTTGGTTTAAATATCGGCCGTCCTGGTACTGATCGGGATGATAGAATACGGTAGGCGCAGGTGACGTGACCTCGAAAATTGGCGGAGATGATATAGGCAACTGGGCATGGGCGAAAGGTGAGTATCGGAATAACGCGACGGCAACGTTCGAGTCGAGACTATGTATGGCCAAATGCGATCGGTCGCGGTCGAAATAGCGGGTACTGCGCAGCCAACTTTCCTTCACGTATATCTCTTGAGCAAAATATAGCGCGACTTTCAAAAAGAAATCCCACTCGTGTGGTGAGCAGAAGTCGCACACACCTTCAATAATGAGGATGTAATGAAGTGAACTCCGGCTAGGAACTTTCTTTCCTAAGTCATAATAGAGTCCAGACATAGCCCATGGGAGATTTGCGTCTGCACCTAGTGTGGCTTTCCTGGCCAATAGAAAACAGAGGAAAGATGATAGATTGTGGCTGAGATCATGGTGGGCCACATGGTGATGCAATTGTGAGGGTATATGTACATAACGGGTTTACTTGGACAGGCAGGCTCCCACACGAAGCAAGCTGTCCAGTAGCTTTGCTCGTGTGGTGCTTTGGTGCTTAATATCTGGAAGAGCTACGATCTCCTCACCATCTCAAGGTATGTGCCCGCTACGTTTTATGAACGAGGTGGAAAGGAGCGTTATCTCTTCTATTCCTTCGCGTTATCCATTAATGTGTACTGACCGCATTATTCTCTACAGGTAACTTTACGCATGGAATATACATCGAACCCCTGAGCACGGCTCGTTTTGCCTGTCGAGCCGTATGTATATCTATTTCGATACTGGCTTTTGACGCTTGGAAAGTGGTGAACAAGGATAGCCGACACAGGGGTTGCCAATGGAACCCGGCAGAACCCGGAATCACCATGTTCTCAACTATATCCTCCGCGCCGCCGAAGCAGTCTGTTAGCGAGACTATTACCACATTGAGCAGTCGCCTAAGCTCAGCAACCCTCCTTGAAGATCGTCGTGCTGCTATACTGGGGCTACGAAGCTTTGCAAAGGATTATCCGGCTTCTGTAGCGTCAGGGGCACTGAGAAGCCTCATAGGGAGCTTGAATAAGGATGGCGAAGATGTCGACACGGTCAAAGTAGTCCTCGAGACTCTCCTGATGCTGTTTAGTCCCAACGAAGATAGTCCTGAGGCATCAGATGAAATCGCCCTTTGGTTAGCGGACGAGTTTACGCAGCACCAGGAGAATATCATCTTGCTTCTAGGGTTTATTGATTCGAATGATCTCTACGGGCGCCTCTACTCTCTACAACTGCTCGTGGCTATCCTTTCAGCCCGCGCAGAACGTGCTGAAGAAAGCATATTCACTGCACCTCTAGGGATATCACGCCTTGTCTCTGTGCTCGATGACAATAGAGACGCTGTTCGCAACGAGGCAGTCACCTTGTTGACGTTCCTAACTATCACATCTATCGATATTCAGAAGCTTGTGGCATTTGAAAATGCTTTTGAGAGAATTCTCAACATTGTGGATGTCGACGGGTCTCTTTCTGAGGGAGGGAGAGCAGTTGAGGACTGTTTTATTCTTCTTGCCAACCTGCTGCGTCGCAATTCAACCAATCAATCTCTGTTCAGGGAGTCGGGATGCATTAAACGACTCGCTCATTTGCTGGAGCTGCTGCTGCGGACTCAGAGTGACGAACTAGAGATTGCAGACTGGGCCCTTGTACAGCGGAACCGTAATGTCTACGCTTTCCTTGCTGTCGTTCGCCTCTTCTTGACTCCCGGTTCCGTTGGAACTAAGCAGAACCAAAGTGCGTTTCTGCAGCAAGGTGTCTCTTACAGTGTTCTGCAGTTGGCCTTCAGCCACCAGGTTGACGCACAAATCAGAGCCGAGGTATGCAGTCCCTGATTCTTTGGCCCTATGATATTTCGCAACTGACATAAACAGGCACTTGCAACTAGCGGCGATTTGATCCGCGGCCATACTACCCTCCAAGAAACATTTGCCCAGCAAACGGTACCTGCGCCACTCCAGGACGCACTTGATCAGCCCGGGCAGATAAACGGTCATGCCAAGATATACGTTATCGATGGTTTACTGGATTTGACTTTGGGCGTGCAGGAGTCAAGTGCTTTTGACATGCGTTTCGCTGCTTGCGAATGTCTCAAGGCTTACTTCTTCGATCACACGGAAATCAAAGCTCACTTCCTCAGCCGTGCGATAGAAGGCTACCAAATGGGCAAAGACGAGACCACGAATGTTCTCACTATCTTGCTCAACCCTACCGCCGTCGTCTCCCCCAATGATCCATACAGATCCTGGTTCGCTTCCGTCATTGCTTTCCATCTTCTCTTTGAGAACCCCACAGCCAAAGAAAAAGCATCGGGCTTGACAGAAGGCGATTCCGAGAACGGGGAAGAAGTTGTTACTGGCATTCAGACTCTGGCGGCCCACCTGGCTGCTGGGGTACGCAGGGATGACGACCCCAGGGTCCTTGTTGGTTACCTGATGTTGCTTCTCGGCTGGCTTTTCGAAGACATGGACGCTGTCAATGATTTCCTTACCGAAGGAAGCAATGTACAAAGCCTCATCCATGCTGTGCTTCAACCTGTGGTTCCTGGCGGCGATCTTGTCCGAGGACTATGTGCTATGCTCCTTGGAGTTGCGTACGAGTTTTCTACAAAGGATTCGCCTATACCGCGTGCTACATTACACTCCATTCTCCTATCGCGACTGGACCGCGACCGGTACCTTGACCGATTGAAGATTCTTCGCAGCAATCCCCTCATAAGGGATTTCGAGGTCATACCTCAGAAAGCTAATGTTTCGGCATCCGGTGCGCTTCCAGACGTCTTCTTTGATGCCGTATTTGTCAACTTCTTTAAGGACAACTACAGCCGCATAGCTCGTGCCATAGATCGGGAACCGGGTCTTGAGATATCGGTGATCACCAACGGCGTGCAAAAGGGCGTGTCTAGGGAGCTTGTGGATTCATTGCGCAGCCAGGTCGAAGAAAAGGAGAACGCCTTGGTGGAGTCAGGGACGAAGCTGGCCTCTCTTGAGCAGCGACTGAGCCAGGAACAAGCAGAGCATAACCGCACGAAACAGAATGTTTCAGCTAAGTTGGCTAAAGCCAACGAGGCAATTGAGGCTCGGAAGAAGGAACATGAAGCCGAGATCTGGTTAGTAATACACGGAACAGTGCATAACAAACCCAGTTGCTAACTATGGCACAGGAAACTCCAAGCCGAACAATCTGCCAAGATCTCCGCCGTCGAGAAGCAAACTGAACAATTGCGAGGTCAATTTGCTGCCAAGGAGGCTGACTTGCAGAGACAATTGGCAGCAAGGAATACTGCTTTTGAAAAGCAAGCTGAGCAATTGCGAGGTCAGCTTACTGCCAAGGAGGAAGAGCAGCGCAAAGTGCTAGCCACCAAGGAAGCTGAATGCGAAAAGCAGTTGGCCCAGGCGCGGCAGGGTGCTGAGGCGGAAGCTGAACGTCTCCGTCGAAGGACAGAGGCCGAAGTTGCCGACCTCAAGGCCACAATAAGCCGCTTAGAAGTTGACCTAGTCAAGGTAAGCACCATACATCGAATTATAGTTTTCTCCAACTTTGACTGATCACATGTGTTTCAGGCAAACAAGTCGAAGACGCAAGAGTTGCAGTCGCTCCGAGAAACACATGAAAGGGATTTGGCTGAACAGAGCAAGAGAGTCAAGGGTGCAGAAGATAAGTGCCAAGGGCTAGAAAAGGAGTTGGACGAAGCGCATAAGGCTACGGATAAGATGGGTGTCAAGGCCAAAAAGGTATTTTCAAAATTTTCACCAGCAACCGGGGTTAAGACTAATCGGATGATTGTAGGCCGAGACTGAGAAGGCCGAGGCCGTAAAGGCAAAAGAAGCCACGCAATCTGAGCTTGATGACCTTCTTATGGTATTTGGGGATCTCGAGGAGAAGGTATCCAAGTACAAGGCAAGTACTCGTAGAGTCGATCGCAACTTCAGGAATATGAATGCTGACTTAATTTTCAGGCCCGCCTGCGTGATCTTGGAGAAACGGTCTCAGACGGAGATGACGATGATGATGACGATGAAGACAGTGGAGATGATGATGATGTCGACTAAGTGAGACATACATCTGAGTCATTCGTGCATTGTATATGCTGGAGGTAGACAAACAAAACAAAAAAAAAAAGTAAATATCGAGACGTTATGCATTAAAAAAATACATTTCTGTCCCGCCGGGTAGCCATGTGGTTGGGGGGCGGATGAAATTTTGAGCTCCGTGGAGCGGGCAGCCGAACTCTGAGCCACCACCCTATACAACGATATTTTTTAGCGCCCAAACGCAAAACTCATCAGGTAACGCACAAACCAATGTGGAGTAGTAGATCACGGTACAGATTCAATAAAAAAAAAAAAACAGGAACAGCGGTATTGTTTACACCTTGTACACCTTGTACACATCTTCGAAATGGTCGGTCACGTTGAAAAGGTGCCTACAAGTAACTCATCCGAGAGCTCCAATGAGAGCGACTGGGTTGATGCCGAGCCCGATGAGGAGCCATCAATTATTGTGTCGTTCTTTGACGACCGCACCTTTTCAACATTGCCAGAAATGCTTGCTTACTGCAAAGACAAGCACAGCTTTGATTTCTTAAACACTGTTCGCCGTCTACATCTGGACTTCTACGGTGCTATTAAGCTCGCCAACTTTGTTAGACGATGCGTGCAGCAAGGACAAAACCTGCCTGAAGCTATCTCACAAGAGGACATCCGGGATGACGAGCTACTGAAGCCTGTTCTTGAAAACGACGCCCTGCTCTTCAATCTGGACGAGATTCTGGAGGGCGATGATGGGAAAGATATCCCCGACCCTGCTCTCGTAGACTCCTCGACCAAGGAGCTCCTGGCTCACAAAAAGGCACTGGAGGAGGAACTTGAGGCTGTTCGCACACAATTTGCCAACTACCGTTCGGCCGTGGAGCAGACCCTTGATCGCCGTTGGGGCGATGAAACTGAGGTCAGGCCGTCCAAGGCGGAGTTGAAGGACAACTCGGACTACTATTTCGAATCGTATGCGGCACACGGTACTGTAGCCATTATTTTCAGCCTCGCGATGCTTTTTGGGAAACAGGACTGACTTTATTTATTTTCAGAAATTCACGAGACGATGCTGAAAGATGCGGTTCGAACCGACGCTTATCGCGACTTTATCTATGGCAACAAGCATCTGTTCCAGGACAAGGTAGTCTTGGATATCGGATGTGGAACGGGTATGGTTAACCTCTACTAAGTACTCTTTTATATTCTGCGTTCGAAATACCCATTACCTCTAACCAATGATATTAGGAATCCTGAGCATGTTCTGTGCTAAGGCTGGTGCCAAGAGGGTCATTGCCGTTGACAAGTCCGACATCATGACAAAGGCCATGGAGAACATCTTCAACAACGGCCTTTCGGACACGATTACTTGCGTTAAGGGTGCTATCGAAGACGTAGTGCTGCCGGTTGACAAGGTCGATGTCATTGTCAGCGAGTGGATGGGGTACTTCCTTCTCTACGAGGCCATGTTGCCCAGCGTCCTCTATGCACGAGATAAGTATCTCAAGTCTGACGGTATCATGGCGCCTAGCTCAGCCACCATGTGGGTAGCCCCGGTTGCCAACCCTGATTTTGTCTCTGACCATATTGCGTATTGGCGAGATGTGTATGGCTTTGACATGAAAGCCATGCAGGAGGGAATCTACGACGAGGCACGTGTTGAGGTTGCACCCAAGGAAACTGTCTGTGGCAAGCCTTTCCCATTCAAGCTCCTGGACCTCCGAACAATCACGAAGGAGGAGCTGTCTTTCTCTGCCCAGTGGGAGTCAACTTTGGACCGTGATATTGACATACTTGATGGATACCTCGTCTGGTTTGACAACCACTTTTCCACGTCGTCCGATGCGGCCATGCCGGAGCCCGAGATGACTGCAGAGGAGTGGATCAAGAAGAAGCCGGGTAATGTGGCTTTCTCGACTGGTCCGTTTACTACGCCGACACACTGGAAGCAAGGCTTCCTTCTCATGCCGCCACACAACTCACTCAAGAGCCTCTCCAAGTCCACTCGACTTTCCGGTGAGATCAAGTACTCGGTTCTCGAAGAAAATGCCAGAGCTCTCTCAGTAGATATGACATGGGCAGTCAATGGTCAAGCGCCCTACACTCGGTCTTGGAAAATGAAATAACGAGAGAAAAAGAAAAGGGAAAATCGATAGTTCTATGTTTCTCTTTCAAGAGAGGGCGCACGGCCGTGGAATGACAGAAGGGTAATTAGCTATTCGCTTATAGTTCAGAAATGTGGAACTTTCAAGCCTTCCAAGATCAGACAGCCTATACTAAGGAAGCCTTCGCCTAAGATAAAGCCCTGGGACAAATGTTAGACGGGTAGGACTATATTTGTTCAAAGAATGATTAGTACATACCGATGCAAGAATTATCAAGGGAGTGTTTGAACGCTTCAAGATGTTCACCCAGTACCACGAGGCGACACCTCCAATGACTCGTGCCAACGTAAAGGAGGGAACATTGTACATGCCTAGACGCGGAGGGTTAACACAAGTATGTAGTATATCCACGACTACCTCGTGGGTTTGGCTTACCAACGGCGACAGCAATCCCGCCAGGAATCCATGATCTCCATAGCTTGCCGACAGACAAAGTGCGGACCAACGTCGTTAGTGCAAAGAGAACAGCGGCACCAATCGCCCATTCTTTCACCATATAAGGCAGGCCCTTTCCTGTCACAAGCCTGGCAGTAAATATCCACACATAAGCAGTGGGGACCTGGAAAAGTTCGCCGGGGATTTCATAAACCCTGGAAATGCGTCAGTAATTGCGGTGAATGTGACTCATACAACTTCCAATACTTACATCGTGTATAGTCGGTAGATGAAGGCGCTGAGAACCGCACCAAATGTGGCACCAATGACCTGACCCCAGAACTGTGCCTTCGGAGCTGCGCCGAGAAGGTGTCCAGTTTTCAAGTCCTGCATCAAATCACCAGCCTGAAGTGCCCCCTGTTACCATCTGTCGTTAGTCTATATCGTATGACCAGGTCTGTGAGAATAAATACAACATACTGCCTCGGACTAGGTGAAGAAGAGTAGGTTAGCACAATATTATCAATGTCTCCAAAGTGAGAGGAAAGCAATATATGCACTCACAACAGCACCCGCTATGAGGTTGATCAAAACACTGGACTGATTAGACTGCGGAATTATCAAAGCAAAGAAAAGCTGGGCAAGCTTGCTGATGCCTGACACAGGGTTAAGATCAGTCTCTCCAAGTGCCCGTACCCCCATGATGCTCAGAACAAGCGCCATGAAAACAGAAATGACAGTAGCATAGAGTGGGACAAGGTCTCCAAAGACAAAATGGATCGTTGCGATACAAAAGAGTATCGATAGACCAAGCCCAACTGAGACCACCCTTCTGCTAACACGCTGCTCCGGCGGCGCATCGACTTCAAGATCACCCTTCGTATCAGGCGCCAATTGGTCATCATCCAAGGAGCCTCTCTGCGAGGAAAGATCTTCGTCCGAATTCTGAAGCGGCGTATACTCGTACGAACCGAGGCCAATTCTCATACCGAGAGCGCTGTGTTTGACCTTGCCTTTCAGGCGGCCAAACAGCTCGGCAGTCTGCTTTCCGATAAGAGGATGCAGAGAAACATAGGCCAGGCTCACAACAGCGTCGACAAGCATAATGGCGAGAGATATCCATACAATCCAACCCTTGCTCCCGGTCTCCCAATCATCAACTGGACCAGGAGCCCAGCCCTTAGACTTAGCTAGCGGGCCTAGAATGGCCCAACCGACCACAGCCCCCAGAGTCATGTGCAGCGTAGTTTCTGCGCCCATGATGATACCCTGTCCGATATAGGCAAAGCTGGGGTTGAGAGCCCACAGCCAGGTATGGGCGGCAACGGTCCCAAAGATAGGGAGATTGCGTAGTATGGGGAAAAAGTAGGTGCTGAGGGTATAGAGGCCAGAAACAAGAAAGCTAAAGAGAAGAAGACGCATGTTGGCTGCCCAATCTTGACTCTTGTGCTGAGACTCCTCGTCAGGGCTATCATCCGCTAGTTCACCGTTTCCAGGGCGAGGTGGCGGCAGAATATCATCTTTGGGGACAAGACTCGCAAAAGTTCCCTCGGAAGCGGCGTCAAGCTGATCTTGGGACTGGTGGCCCTTACCATGGAGAATCGAGATGAGGACAGCGGTGCTGAAGCCACTAGGAAACCGAAGACGTTCCCGAATAATAACCTGGTACCGCCTTGAGAAATGGGGAGGTTTTTGTCAGAAGTAAGTATGTATTAAAATGGTAAATGGGACTCACAAAGGCACAGCAAAGACAACGCCGAAGTAACAGAGTCCCAGGGACCATATTATGAGTTGCCACATGCTGAGGTTGATGGGACCTCTCTCATTTGGTGTAAGGAGGTAACTCATGGCGGGAACCTGCGTTGTAGCTCCAGTGTCAGTAAAGAGGCACAGCTGGTATTTATTTAGAAGCACAAAATGCACAGGAGAAAGGACTGACGACTCCGACAAGGCCGCAACCGAGTGGCATGATGGCCATGCCACACGCGACACTCTGGACAAGCACGTTCTCGATCGGGCTGAAAGGGAAGCTCAGGTGGCGAGACAGAAGCTTGAAGACACCAAATCCCATGAGGCTAGCTGGCATCGACATGATAGATACCCATCCCGTCTGCAGGCCAAAGTAAACATTGGCGGCGCAGATGACGGTACCGACGGCGAGGCCCACAACTACGCCGCGGACAGTAAAGCTGCGTCCGGGAGGGACGGGAGGAGCCATATTGGTGCACCGGGAGCGATAAAATCTGGCGGGTATTTGGCTGTTGCTTTTGTAGTCAAATGTGCCGCGATGACTCTAAGTCTATTAACGGATGACTGCTGCTGTGAGATACCGGAGATAGGAAATAGAGTCTGAGCTCGTCATCGGGAACGGTGAAGATGACTAATGCATAGCAATGCTAATGGCTATTGCAATGGAGACACCGAATGCCGAATTGAGAGCCTGATGGCCAATCCTACCTACGAAAAAGAAGACATCATATTATATGCAACATTATTACAGAATCCAAAGATGGATCCTAATCACGCGGTTGGATTCTAGAGTTACAGCTGCGAGCTGCACTCGGTATTGTCAATGGTAAAGTCCCGAAGTCCGTTTAGTACTTAGTCCATGTCTACAACCTCCATACAAGCCAGAACCTTAGTTGTATATATATGAATGTACATCCATCGTCGCCTCCAGGTCTTAGAATCCGAAGCTATCCAGTAAAGACCCAGCATCCGGCTCTTCAAATGTAGTCGGTGTGGCCTTTGGCTTCTCCGACTCCACACCCCATGCATTGGACTTGCGTAAGTCCGCCGGCCTATCATCTACAACCAGAGAGCTCCTGCGTTGCAGAAGCGTCAGTGGGTTTGGCTCGCCTCCGAAGCCTGTCGCGGCTGGCTTCTGGAACTCCCAATTTCGTACTATAGGGCCGTCAGCGGAGCTGTGTAGAGGCGAGATGACTTTCGTTAGCAAGGGCAGAGAAAAACATACCTAAATCCAGGCCAAGAAGGTCACAGCCCATGCGGTCATAGAGCTTGGCGCTATGCAGAACAAACTCCCATTCAGCCTTTGGTGTCACCTTGGATGCACCCCTCAACGTCGAGAGTGTTTGTTGTCGAAGCTGAGAGTATAGAACGACCAAGGCTGGGTCATCTGTGAGGAACAGGCGCGACGTGAGATCAAGAGAATTTGGCGTCTCGATGAGGGTATAAACCGGAGTCTGTGTTGTCACGGTAAGTAAGTATCGAAACATATCAGCACTATTGGGCAAAGGATCCTTACGACAAGTGCCCTGACAGCCATATCCTTTCGGCCTAACATCCAGAAAACCCATGATGCGAGCCAGCGATTACCTTCCTGAGCTGCCTGAGGCAATATTGTCTCCTGAAGGACCTTTCGCAGAACAGGGCCATCATCACCCTCGTACACACGCGCAACGGCAACACCGAGCTGCATGTCCTTCATCTGATGCAAGCAGATATCAACGGCTCCTTCGAGATTGTTGCCAAGAAGGAAAAAGGCCGCCGCGTATGCTATTCCAGAATCTCGTTAGTCACTACTTGCTTGCTAATGTGTGAATTGCAAGGGTCCTCACCAAATCGCCGCTTGCCTAGTAGGGCGTATGCGTTTTTCAAGGCTGTCTTCGTCCATTTGGGGTCATCGAAGTTGTTGGCTAAGAGCTTCTGGGTGGCAGCCTGCTCTTTGTTCCACGCGGCCATTCGCCAAAGACCCTGCAGAACAGCTTTCTTCCGCAAAGCTAAGTAGAACAGACTGCAGTCTACCGGGCTCTTGTCCTCGCTCTTGGTATACTCATTTCGAGCGATGATCTCAAATTGTGCCCTCTGTAGCTTGTCAGCCCTCTGTGAAACAAAGATATAGTCCGGATTCCTTTTACTTACCACTGCATTGGTATCGGAGAGCCACATGAAGATGCCACTCTCACGTGCATGCTCCCAGAGCATACTTCCGTGATTCTGGCGGGATACGAAATCCGTCAGGATGTCTTGACTGTTGGAATGATAAGCCCAGTTGATTTCCCTCCAAGATATATGCAGATCAGAGTTGTGCCTCTTGCGGAGTGCGTTCTGCCTAACGAACAGCATAAAGCGCGCCCCGTTCTCATCCATTGACCGTCTCTGACGTTCCACAAATGCCGCACACTCTATAATGTCAGCAAGCTGTATTTGTTCGTGGCCAGAGAGCTGCGGGATACTGATCTTGGTCAGTTTTTCGTTTATTGCAACAGCAATCTCCTCAGTGAATGTCTCTTCCTCTTCGTCGCCGTCGAAGTTGCCATTGAAGTATGCTCCGTTAGATCTGTCGCGCGCACGGCTAGTTTGCCCCGCCCCATTGTAGAACTCTTGGACATCAAGGCCGAGGTAATCATCCAGGTACTCTCCTGCAATGTGGTACTTCAGAGTCCTGTACAGCGCAATCAAAACTCGTCGAACAAGAGTGTGCTTCCCGGACAAGATGCACTGGCTGACAAACTGAGGATGGAACACCGGGAGAGGGCCATTGAACCGCGAAACAGCCTCAAACAAGTCCCATGTGCCATCCTTGTTGTGGGGTAAGCGGGTATTGGCAATGAGCTGATCCGTGCCATCGGCGCTCCGGTCATGAACAAACATTTGGTTTCCAGCGCCAATGACTAGATGGCCGTCACTGAGCCACGTGGAATCTCCAATCGGATGCGGCGTGAGATCGCGGATCTCGATGGAACGGATGGGTGCCCAGGCAGGGCCCTTGTTGAGGTAGTCGAAGCGCATCTGCGAGAGAAGTACCACTTTGTACTGGAAGCCGACAGCCAAGATAGACTGGGAGTCAGGTGTTGATGTCCAATCGAGATCCTGGATAACATTATGTGTGTCATAATCCTCGTCGAATTCAAGACGCGCGCCCCCGATGTCCCATATAGTAAGCCGAGATCTAGTCGAATTGACCAACGCCGCCTTTTTCAACATACTGCCACTGGCTAATGCTGGGTCGGGGAATCCAGTCTCAGTGGATGACGTCGACAGCCACTGTACATGACGTCGTTCAAGATCCACGCGAACTGTCCAAAAGTCAACGCGGCCGCTGTGCGTGTATGAAATTGCTACGTCTCGAGCGAAGAGATCGAGTGGTCCATGGACAACTGGGGCACCACCGGCAGGGTCTACTGGGAGAACATAGGCCAGGTCTTCAACTCCTTTCAGCTCTAGGTGGCAGAATTCCTTGATGCCCGCTCCCGAGGTGGATATAGGATAGTCATAATACGGGGGTAGCTTGACCTCCCACACGATACCGCACCCTTCGGACGTGACCATAGCGATATGTGCAGTGGTGTAGTCTTTCACATTTGGTCGTGGAAGGAGGATCAGACAAAGGGGTTTTCCTGAGGTCTCATATGGACACTCTCCTAGAGATGTCGCTGTTTCGGACCGACAATCCCATAATGTCACAGAGTCCTCTTGGAGGAATACCACAAAGCGGCCTTTTCGAATGACAGAGATCCGATGAACATTCTTTGTTCCGGGTACGATGCACCTGCGTGACAGGGTTGGGCTGGATCCGTTCGACTTTGACCGCGTGTGGTTCCAAACGATGTTCTCTCCATCTCTGGTTCTCGAGACAACGGCCCTCCCTGAAAAGTTTCGCACCATCTTTTTGATGGAGGCTGAGTGACCCGACCAAATGGTTTCCAGGGATAGACGCTTGTCATTGGTCGTAGGATCGAGGAGATCGGCAATATTGGCTGTGAAGACGCCGATCCTGCCATCGAAAGAGTGTAGGAGAATGTTGAGTCGCCCAGTGGACTTGTCACAGTATGTTTGTATCTCAACATGAGGCAGGTTCCTCAATGAAAGGAAACCACTCAAGGACTCCAGCTGGCGCGATCTTATTTGAGCGATTTGAAATATTCCCGGTGAATCGGACGTGCTGCTACTTAGATTCTCGAAAGCCCAAGCCGAAAGTAAACCGTAACTGTCGACGGCAATGCAGATTTCGGGATTCTTTCGAGCAACGGCCACAAGATGCTCTAGGGCAACATCGTCCACCACAGAGTCATCCGTCATGCGGTCTTGGACAGCTCTCTCAACAGATGGTATAAAGTCTCGGGAGTCGATCATAAAGGCCAGCTGAACATCGTGCGCTTCGGATTGGCCATTATGTATAGAAGCTCCGACGTCGACGCGGCCCCAGCGGCGCCAATGCTGACCATCGGGAGTCTCTGTAGGTGTCCAAATGCGAACAGCGGCGTCAGTGCAGAGCGTGTATAGGACGTTTTCGACCGCCTGCTCGACGTGATATGGCTTGCGCCACCGAGCGGAGCTGACGATGCTGGGATGTCGGAGGTATGCCATATCAAATCGGACTTCATCTGCACCGTATGCGAGTCGCCGCCAGACCTTGGGGAGTCGATCATGGTAGCCAAGTGACACGATGTAGGCCGAATCGTAAGATAGCGAAGCCGACTTGACGGGACTCGGAAGCTCCCGCTCCCACAAGCAGGCAGCTTCACCTCTAGTAGCATATAGTGAAAGCCAGTCTGTACCAAGTAGGAGCTCCTCTGAGCTTCCCCAGGAAAGAGTGCATGGTGTATCGGGGGTTGTATGCGGGACGTTAAAGGCCAGTTCGAGCGCCCACTGTCTTGCTAGTCAGCATCTTCTTCTCTCTGGGCTACTCTACCGTGCTGCCTGCGCGTGCTTCTAACCTTGAGAGTACTCTCCTGTAATCCCAACGGTTTGTATACTCGGATTTGTGTCGATGTGCAGCATGCGATCTTGCCAGTGCTTTCGTCAAAGGCAACGGCCTCTAAAGATGTCTCGTCGTCGTCGTAGATGGTTTGGATAATGGTGCGCGGGTCCCTAAGAATGGTGAGTGCATTTCCGGTAATGTATATCTATAGAATGAGCTAGCTGTTAGCTGCAGTCTCCAGAACAAGAGGGAGACAAGGCAAGGGCCAAGCTCACAATGATATGCCTGGTGTCCCAGCACCCTGTCGCCAGACCCTGGAGCCTGGATTGCGGCTTGCCCGGCAGGACGGCGCTCATACTACCGAGTTTGAGGACTTGAGCACATCGCCAGAATCCACAGTTCAAAGTGAGAGGGTCTGGTAATATGACTTAAGAATTACTAGGGGTTGGCGTGACCAGCGAGCCAAGAACTTGGGTGGGTGGAATGTGTGTGACGCTGCCATGGGCGCAGCTTCTAATTCATCCGAATTTCGGTCACGTGCGGTAATCTAGATGATGAACTACTCCACCTTAAGAGGAGACGATATACCCAAGCCGTTATCCCTAAAATACTCTTTCTCTTGCGAACATGTCTAGAGCTATTCTTAACATAAACCTCCCGTCATACTTTCCCGCCGTTATAGTGGGCGGGAAGCAGAGCTATCCCTGGGTGGTGTTTTGACAAGGACGGTGTCGAGTCTGACGGTATAGACGTTAGGATCGACACATAAGCAAGACCGTGTAAGCGGAGCGGCGAGATTGTCAATTAGAAAAAGGTATCAGGATGTAGTCGAATAACTTAATGTCTTTATGAGAACAGACACTACAAACACTTCTGACTTACATCTAAAGGGTAGGGCAGGTGTTATGTGGTGTCAATATTCTCGTCTTTCATTTTTTGTAGTAGTGCGGGACTCGACGGTTTTATGGTCGAGTCCCACTTACTTGAGCTATGTGATGATTTACTATGACAATATCAAGATGTAGTTGAATAGCATCATGAGAACAAAGCACTTCTGACTTACATTCAAATGGTAGGTTAGGTGTTTAGGGATTTCAGCTAGGATGAATAGGGTTTAAGTACGTCGCTTCTGATGCCATCCGGTCCGGATAGCTACAGGGGGCCTAAAGAGAATGCAGAAACTTGTTGCCTCTGGCGTCTAAAAACATACCCCTGAGCAGCGTACACACACTTACGCTGGAACTGATGGTAGAGAGGATGCCACATGCGCATTCAATATGACGCGACTCGTGACGCACCCAAAGCTCCTGGGCCGTGCTACTACTTGTCCTTGGGCGGCCTCTCTGGGTAAGTTTGGTGTAGATCACCACGTCCACTTCGAAGTGCAGCCACCTGATGATACCTGTACGTCGCCACACCATGAGATAATGACGGGTATTGCGGTGAGTAGTCAAAAGAAAAGAGAAGACATAGTTTGGCACATTGAGTAGTGTTGTTAGTCCTTGTAGGGGATGGCCTCTTTTTGCATGATTGTGGCTTATTACTAAGTAGTATATATATATATTACTGAATAAAATGTGCCGATATCTCTTCCGCGCCCTCTGATCTTTCCCAAACAGGCCAACAACGCCGAGCTAATTCCAAAAAGAAAAGAAATCATAAGAGGGTATCAAGTCCAAGAAACCACTGTGCTATTTAACATCCCTTTTTGCTGTTTCCAAACGCCACAAGTTATGCAAATATCTTGATACTCGAAATCCTGTGATATTACCTCTCGCCCACACGCTTTGACGGGGTCCGATCCCTTGAATTGGCGCGTATATCTCTCGTTGATTGCGACAGTGCACCTGGTGGCTCCGCGTATGTATCGGGTGCGTTTCTATGATTTGGCCACTCTCTCTGTAGAAGATTTAAATAAGGTTCGCTGGGAGTTGGGGTACTGTCCCTGAGGCTGCCACCCGACCGTCCGGTTCTTACCCGGACTTGTGAAGGAGGGATCGGGCAAGTTTATACCTGTCCTCGTCCTGTCGACAGTAACCGACCTCGATAGATTGCGAACTGTGTTGGCGTGCTCGTTACCTTGCCCGATGCCCGCAGACTGGGCCGTAGATTCTGCGTTCCTTGCCAAAGGCCTGCTGGACTGGTTCTGCTGATGGTTTCTTGGTGTACCTGACCTATCCTGGGAAAAGGTATAAAGTTGTGAAGGCCGTGGTCGGAATACACGTTCCAAGTGAGCCGGGACGGGTGCCCTAGGTGTAGTCGATGGCAGGGTTGGCCGACCTCGAGCCACCTTTGACCTTGTGGGCGAGAGTGCATCGCCGCCCACGATGCTTAAAGGTGTCCTTTGGTCTTCTTCGGCTTCCTCGACTGCCGGCATTGGCCCTGCCGACATGACACTGCCCATGGGAAATAGTTTTCCCGTCCAGCGAGTTGGTGTGTCGATCGGTCCTGGTATAGGGGTATCCTCCCTTCGACTGAAAGGAGGGCGTCTTGCTGACGAAGCCCTCCAGTTGTTTCGTAGAATACTTGATGAACCGAAACGGGTCGGACGAGATGACTGGGCCTCAAACGGCTCAAAAGTGACGTTCTTACCCTTATTCGAACGCTGCTTCCAATTCTGAAACACCCTGCTGCACTTGTCTCGATCATGCCTCTGACTTAAAGCTGATGCCATATGGAGCTGGGAATTTCGCTGTAGCGTGGAAATTGACCACACCTTTTGGTATTGGCGATGCTTTCTGGCCGCCCATAGAGACTGCACATTTATAGTTCGTTCCTCATTATCAACAGAGACAGCATTCCACACGCCTAACCAAGACTGGGCATGGTAGAGCTGCGCTTTGTAGTGCTTCTTCTGTGAACCAAGTGCCTTGGAGCTCCAGGCATCTGCTGAAGCGGCTAAACAAGCGTACTCCTGCCCTGCCCTAAAAGTCTCTGCTGTCGACGACAGTTGTTGACCTAGAGCTGCAGCTTCTTTCCAATGATCAAGGGCAGCGAAGAAATTCCGCTTTCTTTTTTCCCTGGAGACCTGCTGGTACCGCATCATCAGGTAGCGTTTGAGTGCTTCCTTCTCTTCAGATTTTCGCCGCGTAATCGTCTTGTCAAAGATGGCTAAGAGACGCGTTGAGCGAATATATAGGCAGGCTCGATCTTCAAGGGTTTGAAGGTCCATCAAGTTCTGACCCGGATGCTCCAAATAGTGTAAGGATCGGATCTTGGTGTCGTATTCAAATATCCTCTGCGCTTTAGCTTGGGCCTGGTTATGTATTTGCGACTGCTCAGCCCAATAATTAACCACGCGTGACACTGACTGATATTGGCACCTCCATTTGAATGCATCGGCTCTTGCCTGGAGATTCCATATATCGAAATAATAGTCGGCTCGCAGCATCAGACAGTACTGTTGATATGCCTGGGCTTTGCGATTGGCCTCGGCCTCATTCCACCAGTTTCCAAGGCATCTGAAGCATTGGTGGGAGGAACCAATTTCCGATGCTGCGGACTGACGACTGGCACCTCTTTCAGCTTGTGCAAGCCATCGGATCAGAACCTTCGTTTCGTTGGCTTGTCTTCGATGGAATTCTACGGTCGACATGACTTCAGCGCCATCGTAAGCACGCATTAGCCATTTTGACCAAGTCTTCCTTCGATTCTGATCTGCAGCTTTTTGCTGGGAAAACTGCTCCAGAATATGGCAAGTCCACCTGTTGAGCGCCTTCTGCACCAACTTGAGGTGATAGGCCTGCGATGCTGCCGAGGCAACTAACCGAAGCTGCGCTTCGTTTTCTGCTACGGCGCGCTTCAGCTTTTGCGCTGCAGTGGCTACCCTTAGATTGTCCACAACCGGAGCACGGGTGCTAGGGATGTTTCCCCAGCCCCTAAAGCAGCGAAAGCGTATCATGTGTCGCCTCGCGACTGCTTCCCTCTCCAGCCGACGGGCCGTCTTGTCCGCCCAGTGGTTAAACACTTGGCTGGCAATATAGATCTCCCGGGCTCGCGTAGCTCGCATCATTAGACGCTCTTCCATTGCCTTTAATGCGTCTTGTTGGGCCGAGTTGCTGTTGTTGTTGTTGTTGTTGTTGTTGTTGTTGTTGTCGGGCGAAGGTTGTCTCTGTGGTGTAATTGAGGAAGTTGTATTTCCTGGAGTCGAAGATGCAGCCTTTGGAGCTTCAGGAGAGCGATGCTTGTCGATTTCTATGGGTGCAAGGGGGGCTTCCGAGCGGGAAATGAGAGCTGGACGTGGACGAGGAGGGCTATCGTGAACTTCGGGAGGGTGCATCGAGCTGTCATCGGGCTGTTCATGGCTTGGGATACCCTTTGGTATATCGGGTATCTCCTGGTTTGGTACCGAGATGCGCCACTGGCCCACAGAAGATACCAAGGAAGGTCGGGGCACAGGCCCTTGGTTGTCATCAATCTGACCGACAGCGGCTACTGCTTCATGCTTGGGCTGGGAATTCCGGACATCGTGACTTTTCACATCCGCAAAATCTTCAGCCTCATCTTCCCTTGGAAGCTGTGGCCTAGGGTCTGGCGCCGCTTGGGTGGATCTCCTTGTTGGTGTTGCCAGAGAGGCGTTGCTCCGGCCTCTTTGGGCCTGTCTAGCAGCATTGCGCCATCGATTCATGACTGATGAAAGAGTTGCACGTTGCGCAAACTCGAGAATCTTTTGAGGGCCAGGACTAGAGCGAAACAGGGCTGCATCGTGTTCTTGAAAGCCGGGCCAATTCTCAGACCCCTGAGGAGATTTCGTAGCTGGGCCACGTATCCGTGGTATCGATCCTGGCTTCTTGTTCGCAAATACATTGGTTTTTAGTGATTGTGGAGGGGGAGATAGTGAGCGGGTCGAGGGAGAAGCGCTCTGATCTAGGGAGGGAGAGTGCTCGATGGAAGCTGTTGTATTTTCGTCGAACTCCAGGACAATGCCCATACGGGACAAGATGGCCTGAAACTTTTGGGTGAGGGTACCGCCGCTGACTTCGCCGCCTATGCGGAAGACAAGCGCAGAAAGGTGCTGGTCGGAGTCGGGATCGATTCCATACTGGGGGAGGATCTCATCGTAGGCTTTGAACAATGCGGCGACCGGTAGTGGTTTCGGTTCGGGTGTCGCTTCGATTTGCTCCTGGGCAGCGGTGACGATAGCATGAAGAACTCCAATGTCTGTGAGAGAAAAAGGGGGTTTGTTAGTCGACGTCGGTATTCCCGGAGGGCATCGTGCTTGCTACCTTCGTTGGAGTAGTAAGGGTCGTGGACCGACCGAGGCCAGCTCGTCACGCTGATCTGACCATCTTCCGAGGGGGGAGCCGAGGTGTTAGGTCGGGCAACATTGTATAGGTATGCCACTGAAGCGTATAATGTTAGCCAAAGAAGATCGATATATTGGGCGGGGATGGCGTCGTACTGGAGGCGTCAATCTGTTATTGACCCATAATCGACGGACAAGGAAGCTTGTGACGGCGGCGACGAGGACAGCCGGCGGCTCGGCAGGGGAGAGAGCTATCTGCGTTTTTCGAGAACGTTGTTTCCAGCGTTAGAGACCTTAAGACGCAGAGGGTAGATACCTGTGAGGATTTGACGCCTCATATACCTGCACCCGCTCATCGATGTATGGGAAAAGGAAGCAAATGAATAATCGACAATCAGACCTGGCTGGCCAACGAATTCGAGAGCGGTGTCTCCACCAGTCAACGGTCGTCGCGCGTCGACACAATGCACAATGAATGGCGCGCGACGGCGGCGGCGCGTAAAGTGGGGAGGCTGGCACTACTCATTCCAGCCCTTTTACTTGCATATTTTTCATTAACTCAATACTGCAGCTATTAGTCGCTGACCTTTTCCCATATTGCTTTGCTGTCTTACCTTGACAAATGATTAAGGGTATGAAGTTAGACTTTACATCATTCATCACATTGGGACTTTATCTAGCCACTACAGTTGCGTCTCACGCATCATGACACGACCAGCGACCCGCCCAATTCAAAAGTTCGCAGCGGCCACGTCAAAATGCTCCGTTGAGGTGAGTTACTGACACCATTTCAAGTAACCGACCGGGTGCCGATTGAGCTCACACACCATTACCCAGGCGGCTGTATATGGAAAGTGTATAGTGGCAGACTACAACTCTGTACACAAGGATAAATGCGCCAAAGAGTTTTTGAGACTCAAGGACTGCTACATTGTATGTTCATGCACATCCATTAATTCACTGTGCCATGTTGCTTGCCTGCTGACTCTCTAATATCAGATGGCCTCCAAGAAATCATGAGACAGAAGATCCTAATTTTAGCTATTTATTTCTAAAAATTTCCAATACCGTATCCCGTTGTTTTCCTCAAGTTTCTTTTCTTCTTTTTTTCTTTTCCAGATATTTCACTTGCTTTTGGGATCGCGATTCAGGCATAATAGTATATTATCATTATCCTCCCAACACTAGAGCTTGAGCAGGCGGAGTGAGAAGACGGCCTGCTGGATCTCTTGTTCCTCCTCCGCAATGAGCCCTGCACTGGCGTCCTCACTCTCCTGCTTGTCAAGCGGTCGTCGGAGCGCCTTCTCAAAGACGGAAGCCTGTGATGAGAAGACACCTTCCAGGCCGACATTATCAGGGTCCTTGACCATCCGATACTCCATCTTGATGTCATCGGTAGGCTGCAGACCAGCCTTCTTTCGCAGACGCTGTACACGGTTGATGACCTCACGCGCGAGACCCTCCTGGGCAAGCTCAGGATGGAGCTCGGCGTCGAGGATGGTGAGAACATCACTGTCCGTGTTGGACTCGAGGTTCTTGGACGTCTCATCTTCCTTCACACCGCGGCGCACGACCAGGTCTTCCTCCTCAAGGCGGATGCCATCGACCAGGATAAATTTGTCGCGCACGTAGCCCTGCACTTGCTCGCTAGTCAACAGGGGCAGGCCCTTCTTGACCTTGGCCATGTCCTTTTTCAGCTTCTTGCCTAGGACAGGCCAATCGGCGATGACGCTGTACTCGACGTTGTACTTGGCCTCATCAGAAGTCAAGACCAGGTCGCGGACGTTGAGCTCCTCACAAATGTAGTTTTCCAGGGACTTGACGTCATCAAGGTACTGCTGATCACGGTGGATGATGATAAGGGTCTTGAGCGGCGTTTTCAGACCAATGGTGCGGCGCTCGCGGGAAACTCGGGCAAGCTCAATAACCTTCTGCATGCGACCAACCCTGCGCTCGACTGCGGCATCAAAGAGCTCCTTGCGGACCTCAGGGAATGGCAGAAAGTGAACGCTGCGAGCGTCTTCCTGCTGGAGCTTCTGGGGAATGTGGGGCAAAAGCCTCTGGTAGATATTGTCCGTGATAAAGGGCGTGAAGGGGGCAAGTCCTCGGCACAGGGTGAAGAGGACTTCGAAAAGAGAATTGAGTGCGTGCTTGGTGTCCTCGAGACCGTTCTCGCCCTTTAGACGTCTTCTGTTGAATCGAATGTACCAGTTGGTCGTGTTGTCGATAAGGCTCAGTAGCCTAGGAACGACAGTGTAGAGGCGGTAATCTGGAAATAATGTCAGTGCGATACATGACAACTGTAGCAAAATTAGGGCTTACACTTCATCTCCTCGTTCACAAACTCTAGAAGACTCTGACAGCTTGCTAGGATCCAACGGTCCATGACATTGGTGTTACTTGATTCCATATCGGGATCAAACATGTAATCAACCTCCTCAGTCTTCTTTAGCAGGGCAACCTGTCCCTCGAAGAACTTGTAGCTGTTCCACAACGGGAGGAGGACCTTCTGGACAACTTCTTTAACACCGGGCTCCTTGAACCTCAGGGGCTCAGCTCGGACAACTGGTGAGTTGATCAAGTACAGACGCAGTGCATCCGAGCCGTATTTGTCCATGATCAGAGTGGGGTCGGGGTAGTTCTTGAGTCGCTTGGACATCTTCTTTCCATCCTCTGCCAGAACGATGCCGTTGACGACACAGTTCTTGAAGGGTGATTTTCCGAAGAGATGAACACCCAGGACCAGGAGGGTGTAGAACCATCCTCGGGTCTGATCCAGGCCTTCGGCGATGAAGTCGCCAGGGAAAGAGGCATTGAACTTGTCAACATTTTCAAATGGGTAGTGCTGGCTAGCGAAAGGCATGCTTCCCGACTCGAACCAGCAGTCAAATACCTCTTCGATACGGCGCAAGACACCCTTGCCTTGCTTGCTGGGAATGGTGATGTGGTCAATCTTGTCGCGGTGGAGATCCTTGATCTCACCCTCATAGCCGCTTAGCTGGCGAAGCTCCTCGGCGCTACCGACGCAAACGCGTTCCTCCATATCATCGCTGACCCAGAGAGGGATGGGAGTACCCCAGTATCGGTTCCTTCCAACGTTCCAGTCGCGGGCGTTTGAAATCCAGCTGGCGAAGCGGCGCTCCTTGACAAAGCTGGGGACCCAATGAGTCCCCTCAATGTTCTTGAGCATGTCCGGAATGATGTCGGGGATGCGGATGAACCAAGACGGAACGGTACGATAGATAAGAGGGGTGTCGGACCGGGGGCACATGGGGTAAGAGTGTTTGAGCTGCGAGTCGACGACCAAACGGCCAGTCCCCTTAAGGTGCTTGATGATGTGCTTGTCGGCCTCCTTGACGTACATGCCCTGGAAATCAGGGATACGGGAAGTAAAGCAACCGTTATCGGTGATGGGGTCCGGCGGAGGGCGTTTTTCGGTGACAATACCAGCTGCGACGGCGACATTGTAATCATCCTCACCGAAGGCGGGAGCCTGGTGGACAATACCGGTACCGCTGTCGGCCGTGACGTATGTCGCATTGAGGACCTTGAACGCAACATCCTTGTACTCCTCGTAGAAGTAGTCAAAGGGAGGCTGGTATTTCCAGCCGAGCATATCCTTGCCACGAATTTTCTTAATGACGGTGTATTTGGCCTTCTTGGGGTCCTTGTACAGGGTGCTCAGGAGCTTCTCCAGAATGATGTAGTTCTTTCCTGACTTCTCATCCTTGATCTTGATGTACTCGAACTCCGGGTGAGCGGCAAGCCCGAGATGCGAAGGTAGAGTCCAAGGTGTAGTGGTCCAGGCAAGCAGGTTGGTCTCAGGGTCATCGACGAGAGGAAACGCGATGACAATGGCAGGGTCTGTGACATCCTGGTAGTTCTGGTTGGCCTCGAAGTTGCTTAGCGCTGTGGTGAGGGCAGTCGAATAAGGCATAACCCGGTGGCCTTGGTACACCTGACCCTTTTCGTGTAACTGTTTGAATGCCCACCATTCAGACTCCATGAAGGTAGGGTCCATGGTCTGTATATGTGAGTCAGCCTGAATAAAGAACACCATGTCATTCTGTCTCTCCTACATACCTTGTAGTCATCGTCGAAGTCGATCCACCGACCTAGACGCTCAACGGTGTGGCGCCATTCCTGGGAGTAGCGCATGACAATGGCGCGGCACTCCTCGTTGTACTTGTCGATACCGAGCTTTAGGACAGCCTCCTTCCCAGAGATGCCGAGCTTCTTGTCGATCTCGTGCTCGATAGGGAGGCCATGGGTATCCCAGCCAAAACGACGCTCAACGTGGAATCCCTTCATGGACCAGTAGCGGGGGATGATATCCTTGATAGTTGAAGCCAGGAGATGACCATAATGGGGCAAACCCGTGGCGAAGGGCGGGCCATCATAGAAGGTGTAGCGCGGGCGGCCGTCCGACAGTTCCACCTGTTGACTCCATGGTCAGCATCACGAGCGGACATGGCGCGAAGTAAGGCATGGTACCACGAACCTGGCGACGGAAAGCGTCGATCTCACGCCACTTCTGGATAATGGCCTCCTCTTCCTTCGAAAAATCGATCGACATGATGCCGTTGTTGGTCTGACAGACCAGAGAGGTAAAGAGGATACAGCCGCTGCGGGCGTGGTGGGGGGAGGTAGGGGCGTCGGCACAAGTCAGGTCCTCAAGTCCTTTTCACAATGACAAATAAGCCGCAGATCATCAAGAAACAACCTCAAGGCCCGCGTCACCGAAACCTCTAGAGACTGAGGGATTCCTATAGTTGCTAATGCGCAGCGGTCCTTCTCCAGAAACTTTGCGTTGAAGTGGGACGAACTGATGATGGATGGAGGGGTTCTTTTTTTTTTCGAAGTGGGTGGGTGACTCAAGGTGGGGGTGCTCATACAAACCCCCGATTTTGCATACTAATTAATACTATTCGACACAGCCAGCGCTGGGTAGCAAAGAAAATGTAGCAATAGAGCCCCGCCGCACTTGAATTGACAATCATGCGCTATAGCATAACCTTGCGCAGATGTGATGATTTATATCTCTCTGGTACCTAATTATTGTCTGGCAACGTGTATTAGACCCATATGGCTTTTACATACGCTCAAAAATAATCGCCATACCAATAGGGGAACCTTGAGAGTACCTGTAAGGTATTGATGAATACAATATTACATACCAGACTACTAATTTTGCCGATTCGCATGAGTAGTCAGTCGCCTGTAACGGGGAGAAACTTCGCTAAGCCACGGAAAGAGGTTCAAGGCACAAGCCCTTTCAAACTGACGCCGGTGCCTCGCCCACCCACGGACCACGCACGAGTCGCTGATAGTTGCAGCTGAAGCGGCCCCACGTAAACACCCTAGCCACCCCGTGTATAACAACCACTACAAAACAGGCCGCCAAAACATCAGAGCAACTTGAAACCGAACCTTTTCTGATTAACAGCAATATTCCGTCATCACGGAATCCCTGCGCCGACTGTGGGCGAATCCATTTTATGTGCAGAATAATATCTTGACCGTAGCTCGCTCGCTTGCTGCTTTTCCTCCTCCGTTCCGGACCGCCCTTGGGATTGCTTGCATACATACGTCAAGCCCCTCTCCCGTCCACCGCCCGCTCATCATATCGCATCGATCCCGCCCCCTTGCGCGGCGGCGCCTTGTCTGGGCCAACAATGTCTTTTCTTTTCGGCAGAGTAAAGTCTCGCACGACTACTGCCGACCTACCAAAGCAGGCACACGATCACATTCTGAAGCTCGACGGTCCCGCTGGGGCTGCCAAGGTTCGTACAAGCCAACACGGCAGAGATACTGCCCGATAGCTGGCTGGCTAACTGACCATATGGCAGTCTGAGGAGCTTGCGCGTGTGCTCAGTCAAATGAAGTTTCTGCTGCAGGGCACACCAGGTAGGCTTCTGTTTTTGAATTGACGTACTCATCTGACAGGACAAGGCTAACCTCTTGTTTTCCTATGTAGAAGCTGATAGCTCGCCCGAGCAAATTTACCAACTAGTCACAGGGCTGATAGACGAGGACCTACTCTACCTCCTAGCTGTCAACCTTTATCGATTCCCCTTCGAAGCCCGCAAGGACACCCAGTTCATCTTCTCGTACGTATTCCGATTCCGACCTGCCGCCGCCGCCCCCAAGAGCGACCCCATCGCCCTATCATATGTCGTCTGCAACCGTCCTCAAGTTTTGGTAGAGCTTTGCCGAGCTTACGACCACAAGGAGAGCGCAACACCCGCTGGTTCCGTTCTCCGAGAGCTGCTTAAGAACGAGGCGGCAGCAGCCATTATTCTATACGACGACGGTGACGCACCGGGATCCAGTTCCAAGGGACTCAACGCCATCGACCGGGACAGACCGCAGAGTGGCAGGGGTGTATTCTGGCGTTTCTTCGACTGGGTGGACAAGAGCTCCTTTGAGGTGGCAGCCGATGCTTTCACGACCTTCCGAGTGAGTCATAGCCCATAATAAATTTTGCGAGGGCGGGTCATGAACTTAGTAACCGTGACTGACATGTGCGTCCAGGAACTGCTAACGAGGCATAAAGAGCTGGTGCCGAGGTACCTCTCAGTAAACTTTGATCTCTTCTTCGACAAGTACAACAATGTTCTGGTCCAGTCCAACAGCTATGTCACCAAGCGCCAGTCTATTAAGCTCCTAGGAGAGATCCTTCTGGACCGGTCCAACTACAGTGTAATGATCGCCTACGTTGATCGTGGGGAGCACCTCAAGATATGCATGAACCTCCTCCGAGACGATAGGAAGATGGTTCAATACGAGGGGTTCCACGTCTTCAAGGTTTTTGTCGCCAATCCCCACAAGTCCGTTGCTGTGCAAAAGATCCTCATCATGAACCGCGACAAGCTCCTCAATTTCCTCGCACACTTCCTCGAAGACCGCACAGACGACGAACAGTTCATGGACGAGCGCGAGTTTCTCATAAAGCAGATCCGTAACCTACCTCCAGCGCCTGTACCGCCTCAGAGATAATCATGGACCCCTCCCTCTGCTCCAAGGAGAGATAATACTTATTGCGGAGCACATTTCATTTTTATTGCAGTTCGTTATTACGGCCAGCGTTGTCATGATTCAAGACCAATAGAAAAAGGAAATGTAGGAAGTGGAAAACGCTGGTCCACCAGGTTTGGTTACCTGTTATTTTGTCGTGGCGGCTACCTACAAGAATCAATTTTAGCATATATTTTCCTCTGCCTACCATGGACTTGTTCTTTGCGAATGAATATGCGTGCATGCACATTTTGCATCAGCGTTTTCTACGCAATGGTATCGTACAAATAACTACAATCCTTGCCCAACGCCCAGCCTATTCCGTACCCAGTACAAAGCTTCTCGCAAACCCATAGTCAACCGCCTGCTGAATTATCAGAGGAACGATGCTACACTGAGTTATCGTTCCCCGCCGCTCTCGCACAATCCTAGTGCCTTATCGTTGCTTAGACAGAAAGACATTGACACTCTCCCGCGCACTCTGGCTGTCCCATATACTACCAGCGCCGCCCCGACGCCACTCATCGCCTGCGACATTGTCATATCCTGCCCTGGTTGACTCGCCCATGATGATGTCTAGGTCGCGCTTCTGCGAGCTGAGCCAGTTGCGCACAAAGTTTGCGGGATCCTCACTTAGTGAGGTGAAGAATGAGTGCTTGGCTTTTGAAACCCCGACAGCTTGCACAATCCTTGCCAGTTGCTCGTCCAGGCCCGTCACCTCCTTAAGCATCATGGCAAACTGAGGGTTGTTGAGAAGAGGCTGAAGTGACTCCTGCATAGGATCACCGACGGCGACTTGAACATCGTAAACGGTGGGCTTGGGGTCCTTGTGGAATTCCTCGTCCATACGGACCGTGTATGGCAGACTGATAGGGTCCAGAGGACTGAGGTTCTCCCTCACGTAGAGTGACAGCTCGGGGATTTGTCCAATCTCGCCCCGTCTCACGACCTTTCCCAAGGTTGTGTCAATAAATGGAAAAATGCGTCAATGTGAAAAGAGTAGGAAAATAAATGAAGGGATTAGACAAACCTGCTTAAGAAGCTCGTCACAACGAAAATTGCGCTTCTCTTCATCTTCTTGCAGACCAGCTAGTCGAATGTACTCCCAGAGTCCCATGACGGCCTCCTGGTGCGTCGCCTCCTTCATATCCACGATTTCGGCAAGAGGAACACTCAGCTTAAAGCGCTCCGGCGTCTCTTGGCGATGCAGGTTGATGGTGATGTTCATGTTCTCGTCACCGCTGCGCTTGAAAGTAAACTCATCAAAGTCGGCAGCAGCCGGCAGACCCGCTGATCCTTGGGTACGCTGGTTGATCTCAGGCTTCTTCCACTCGACATTTTGCTCGGTGCCGTTACGGAACTTCGAGGCGTCGACATCGACGTTGATGGCCTTGAAGAAGTGCGAAAAGCGCGGCTTCTTCTGAGGCGCCTGGGCTGTGCCCTTGACTGTCTGTTGCCCGTCGGCCGCATCCTTGCTGTCCTCCATGGTCGTATCGTCCCCCTCGTTCGGTGCCGCATCCTGATGGGTATCATCGTCAAGAAGACGACCTTCGATCTTGACGCGGTATGATGCCTCCGTGTTAGGAGTGAAGTCAAAGGCGTCCACATTGAGACCACTGCCTTGCCACACCTGATCTTCAACTGTGTTGCTAATCCAGATACGAAGCGTTTTGTTGTATGTTTTGGGGCCACGGTTGACGCTCTCGGTGAGGTCCAGGCGCTTGCGCGTCATCGTCGCATCAACTCGGCGCTCAATGTCCCGCAAATCATTGTATCGCTTTACGGATTCAGGATCAACGATGCAGTCCTCAACACCATCTGGCAAATTCTTGTCGGTAGGCTTCCGGCTTCGACGCTTGGCCAGCTCGCTAGCCTGTGCTTGGGCTTGCTGTTGCTGGGCAATCTGTGCCTGCGTGAGCGGTACTTGCGGGTGAGGTCCTGCAGACATCATTGGAACTATACACATCAACGTATTGTTAGAGCCTTTTGCATTTACCGACGCAGCATATGTTTGCCGAATGTCTATTCAAAGGGTGACTGCAAAGGAGCTACTTACCGACGCCGCCACCCCTGCGCTGATTCTGTGCATGCGGAGACCGCTGTGGCACCTGCTGCTGCGCGTACGCGCGATACTGCTGCTGCATATTGGCTCGTGTTTGGCTTTTGTTTGGAACTCAATGGCCTTGTGAATAAGGTGATACTGGGAATTGGTCGTAAGTGCGTGTGATGCGTCGAGAGACAATTGGTCGTGTCGCGTCGTAGCGGCGGAGCAGAGTCCCGTCGGTTTGTATCACGTGACCCACCCAGCACGATGTTTCTCCCTTCAGTCCGATTAAACAAATGACCGAAGTCATTTTATCTTTTAATTCTTATATTTTTGAGACAAACACATTCCTTGGTTTTATTTATGTATATCGCCTTTTCAAAATATCAATTTCCATTCTCTTATTATTTCTAGTGTATGAGAAGAAAAGGATGCTGCTATATGGAGGTCGAGAACTACCACAGCCGTCTCGCAAAAGAAGTTGGCCTTCTGGCCTCAGTGATTTTAGCATGTATCAACGGGGAAAGGTGATGAACCGAGCGGGGAAAGAACAAAGATGCATATTAATAAAGATCCCCAAGGGGGGGTGGAAAGCAAAAGTGCCGCTTTGGAAAGAATAGAAACCCCCAAATGGTGCGCCTTGCTATTGATGCCTGTTATCGCACAACACCCAGAAGAAGGCTAGTAGCCAGATGCCCGAAATGCACAAGGTGATGATGGGGGGTTCGAGGTTTGACTCAGCGACGGTACGTGAGCCACAGGCCTCAACAATGGAATATAATCCTCTAGCCCACTTCAAAAGGCCGATTCCAGACCATTACGTGACTGTCTCTTGCTAAAGCGATTCCTTTTGGGGGCTGGACTTGGGTCATCGAGGCTCACTTGGCTCTTGCCCATATGGCCCCGACCGTACCGGTCACTCACCCCGAAAACTTCATGGCCGCCGTTGCCACGTCCTCCCAAGGTACTGCTCGAGGGGCTCGACATGGCTGATGTCATGTCCCCAAATCCATTCTCGCCATTGTATGAAGGGTTCATGTTTTGTGAGGTTGCATAATCGCATGCACGTTCCAGGCATTCAACCCATTCATCGGCGGATGCACGTTGTTCGTCGACACTGCTAGAGTTCTTTGTATCTTCGAAGGTATAATGTTGGCCGCCCTGGAATTCTGTGTCAGCTTTTCAAGAGTTATCAGCTATGGATGGCGGGGATAATCTTACCGTATCAACGCACCAAACCAGTTGACCTTTGGCGTCGCGTTGGGTTTTCCATGAACAGTCGGGTGACAGCAAGGACAGCTCTTGCTTGGTGCGTTTGTCCTCACCACCTGCGGGGGCAAAAATGATACGGCCACCTGAGGAGATGATGACCAGCCTCTGGCGCTTCTTGGTCGTACTGCCGCCAAAAAAACGCGATAGCTTCTTATGGCCATCTTCTCCCTTGCCATTTGAGCCACTCGGCAACGGCGATGAAATCACCATGAGGTCACCCAGTCGCAATATCCTTTCGTTAGGCTTTGTCAGGACAGGTGACCATTCGATATCGAGTTGAGTGGGAGGGGGCAGCTCGGTGATAATGCGCGACGGGCGAGTGCTGCTGGATGAAGGATTCACTTGTGGCAGACCGGTTGGGTGCGGATGCGAGGTCGATTGACTGCCGTTGAGGGAGGCCCCATTGAGCTGAATGACTGCGGGCTCAGAGGCAGAGGGGATGTAGGGGCGGAGCCGGGGAGCCTTTGTACGCCAAAGAGATTTTCCAAAGGTCTGGCCATCGAAGAATTCATGATTCTTGATGTGCTCGATAGTAAGGCGCCTTGCAGGATCGAGAACCAACAACCGCTCGATCAGATCGCGGGCAGCGGGCGGAAAGCCGGGAGGGAAGTCGTATTCCAGGTTGACGATCTTCTGGAAAGTGAGGTACTCGCTGCCGGCCTTGAATGGCGGCCGGCCAGCGAGGAGCTGGTAGACGATGCAACCAAACGCCCACAGATCACTAGCCTTGCAGGCGTTCTTATTCGTGAGAAGCTCAGGACTCACATACTCTGCGGTGCCGACGAATGACGCAGCACGGCCATCGTTTCCGGCCTCCTCGCGACCTGTGTCAGGAATTCCTTTGGAGTCCGGATTTCTGGCTTCTCGTGGGTCTGTCAAGAGCTTCGCCGTCCCGAAATCGGTGATCTTGACATGCATCTGATCATCGAGAAGCACATTCTCAGGCTTCAAATCTCGATGTATGACGCCACGAGAGTGCATATACTCGACTGAATCCAAAATTTGAGCACTGTAAAACCTGGTACAATCAAGATCAAAGCTTCCCGTCTTCTTGAGCACGCCGAGCAGCTCGCCGCCGCTGCACAAGTCGAGTACGTAGTAGAGTGAAGTTTCGTCCTGGAAGGTGTAGTAGAGTCGGACAATCCCAGGATGCTCCGTGAGCCGATTCAGGGTGTTCTTCTCGATATTGACATATTTAATCTTCTTCTCCTTGATGATGTGCCTCTTTTCTAGGACTTTGACGGCGTATTCCTTTAGCGTCTGCCGATCAGTCGCCAGATAAACAGAACTGTAAGACCCCTCACCCAGCACACGGCTGAACGAGAAGTCGCGGACGCCCTTTTTAACCTGCCGTACAATGGTGCGACCATTGGCATCGACTTCTCTTCGGACGCCGACGGCAGCGCCACGCTCCTGCCACTCTGCGCTCGTAGTCGGAACGGGCGCATCCCCTGAAAACGGGGCGTGAGGCCCTTGGGCGGCTGGTTTGTGGCCCCCAGCCATTCCCTTGGAGCTTCGTCTTATGGGAAGAGGGCCATTTCCCGAGTAGACTCCACCTCGTGATGAACTGTACCCGAGAGGGGACTCCCTCTGGCTAGGATGGCGTGATGGGTAGTGTGGCTCTACCCGCGAAGTGGTATGGGATTCGGTATCATCAAGCTGTGCTTGTGTCGAATATCCAGACGGATGATGTTGTGAGACTTGCTGTGTAGGAGGCTGGGTGGTGGGAGCGGAAGGTGAGTTGTCGTCGGTTGACGGTTGTGTATATGGGAGGACCTCGGTGGTTGCTGACGCGGTCGTGGGCTGTTGGTTCGTATCGAAAGTCGGGGATGCCAGGGCTTGCTGAGTGGCATCGTCGGGGTTAGCTATGCGCAAGCCTCCGAGAGCCTGGGAGAGACTGAGATCCCCGTTCATGATGAGACTGGAGGAGAGGGGGCTCGTGCAGCTCCAAGCGAGCAGGCAGCTGAGCGTGGGCGAGTGCTAGGAGTGAGGAGTTGGCGGGAGACGGGAGGATAAAGGAGCCGGTCACATGGGGTGCCTTGGATCTGAGAATTCCACACCGCGAGGAACCATCATCCACCCATGGAGCCAAGGTGCTGGAAAGTAGCCGCTTTCGCAGTTGGCAAATTCGCCGTAACTCTAAAGGCCTTTGCTTGAATAATGAGGGACAATGGCTATGAAATTGGCAGGTTGGGGATACGAAGCACCCAGTCGACTAGTACCCAGACATAGGCACGACGGAACCTAGAGGTACGGCGGCCGTGTCACCTACAGCCTACATCAGAGCGGGCCACCTAACCACAGCACGCTACCTGTAGCTGTACTAGCTAATAACATACCGGCCATAGGTAAGTTCCATTGTAGCAGTGAAAAAATATATATAGTGGTGCAGCGTGCTGTAAGCAAGCCTCTGCAAATCTCCAGCATAGAGCCTATCAAGCGCCACTATGCCTATCAGAAGGCGACCTTACAAAGTCCATACGTGCATACGACGACGTATGGACTGCTACGTAAACAGTGGAGGTGCTGTGCCTCTCTTTCTTTCTCACTCTGTGCTGTCTCCCACTCTTTTTTGGTCTCCTTCGCTCTATCCACTCGAAGCAAGGGCCCGGTTCCCATCCACGTCACCCCCTTGTGTGGGATTTGCGCGATACGACGATTAATACTATCACTCGTTCCCTCCTTGCTGCCACTGCCCACTTCATACTAATAATAGCCTCAACACACTACAGGCTCGCGTGTTCTCTCCGCGCATTGTTACTTATGCGCATATGCAAGCAGCTCCTTTGCTTCCGAGGTGCCCTGATCTATAACCACAGAGACGAACAATACACCACAATCTTAGCACAGAACGTCTGGTGATCTCTTAGAGATCAACGAGGGCGGCGTGTCTTCTCGCTAGTATAACAGTTCGAGTAGCAATACTATTATTGCATGGCCTACATTATGTAATCTTGCCCTTCAGTCTGCAACAGGCCATGCTGGTGGATTGCTTCTTCTGAGGCAAACTGGTGGTTTGGCCATTGATCCTCCAAATCAATACCTGCCCAGGAGCCTTCCATCTCAGACACTGTCAGTAAGACCCAGTGCACTCGTTCGTGAGTTAGATGGGCATAATATGCCGTAACATTGTTGCCGCTTGCCACCAGCTCTTACGTTGGCATCTCTTGAGCAAGTCGAGATTGATGAGTTGTAGGAGCTTGTGATGATAGAATTAGAAATGACTATTATTAGTAGTATAAACATGGCTATAATATGGGTTCGTGAAGATAGATCAACGTCATGTGGCTTCGCCACCCGAACAACAGATGGTAGCATCATTGGAATATTTCGTAGATACAGCGTCATATGGACGAGGGAGAGAGAAGGCTATTGCGCGTATAGTCATAGAGTACGGATGATTGTACATAGGTCGGGCTCGATGACTGCTGCCGAGCCGTCTGGTGCAAGAAGTGAAGTCTCGAAGCTCCGCCGCAATGATCATGTCGATTGGCAGCACTCTTGCATGTTTCTCAGGTCCCTGTATATAGCTAATACTAGTTCCGCAAAATAACACCGAGGAGGGGTGCGCGTTGATGCTACCAGTCATACAGGTCAAGGTTTCACTTAATAAAACGTAATCGCCCCTGTACTAATACGGAGTACAGTCTACTACGACCAGTATAGGTGGTGGTGCAAGTACGCATGGACAAAGCATGATTGCTGTTCGGCGTTTGGAATATTCATTATTCCGTGCCTACCCAATGGATGTCTTACTGGCTCCCGCGCAGCCAGGGCCGCCCACGCCTGACGTCGCCAAGGAAACAGGTACGCGTCTTTTTTTCCCCTCTCCTTTTCGCTGTAGTGATGAGGTAAGCATGCACTTGGCCGTACTTGGCTAGTGTATTCTACACGTGACCCTGCTGGTGCTACGCGATTACTGGTACGGAGCAACGCTAGAACAGGCATTCTAGTGGAGCACGTGCACGGCCCGGAAAAGGCAAGTAGTGGGACCCCTGCTTTCCCACCGGTCGATGGTCGTCAACGCTGATAGGACCAACGGCTTTGTGACATGCAACCACTAATTTTTTGGTGGCTGATCACACTGTATATCGGGGAAACCCTGCTACCCAGGTATACACCATTTGCGATAGCTACGTGAGTTGCTTGAGGGCTGTTGTGCTAACATAGAAAAGTTCCCAGGCCGTCCAGCTGAGATATTCCCTACCGATCGTTCACAGTGCCAAAGTCTCTTTTACCCCGGGTTGACAGTGGAAGGAGCAACCGACAAACTTGAGTGACAAAAGATACGATCAGCCAGCCGCAGGACCAGTTCCAGTCTCTTTGTACGTGTACTTGTGCTTTGTCCGCGTCTCCGTTCCTTCGACTCTCTCTTTCACTTCTCACCCACTCACCTTTCCAATTGTCCTCGTGCACCGCCCGTCTCCCACCCCGATCACTTCTTCCTTTTCCATCTTCAATACCCTTTTCTTACTTACTAATAGCTCTTCGCCTCTCATCACTCCCATTCCCACATCGCCATAACCATCACCCTGCTGCCACACTCAGCAACAGGACGGACTCGCCAACGCATCTTACACCTACCTAACTAGGCGCTTCGCTCTTCTACGATCCCCTTTGGCCCTCTCGTGCCTCGCTCTAACTTCCGTCTCGCATACTATCGGAAACAGACCAGGGCTTATAGCCGACCCGTGGTTTGTGCAAAATTGACTACTAACCCTTGACATTGTGCAGTTTGCCTCACAGTCTCGCAACATCAGTCTCGCAACATCACACCGTTATCCTCAGCTATCCACGCCTTCGCCATCACTATGTCTCCATTCTCCAACGACTTCCCAAGCGCCTCTCCGGTCATGGCAATGTCACCTCAACCGGTCCACCAGTCACCATTCGCCGCACCTTTCACGCATCAACCCTTTTATCCACAGCCCAAGGGACACCCGACATCAGCATTAATGTCGCTCCAGACTCCTGTTCGCCTCGGCAAGAAACGTTCTCGCGATGAGGCAGCTAGTAACCTTGAACCTGACGTGCCGCTCCCGAAAGCAGAGGAGCCTGAAGACGAGTGGGTCTACGGACCCGGCATGGTCCTAATCACGGCCAACAAAGGCTACATCGCCGATGCCACCAACCAGTCCGGCACCTGGCTGGAAGAGAAAAAAGCCGTCGATAAGGAGACCCGTCGGAAGCAGGAGGAAGCTATGCTCCCTCAAAGGAACTCCAAACTACGTCGAAGAGACCTTCAGAATGACGCCAAAGCCGGTGGCCTAACCATGACAATCGCATCTCCAACTACCTCTGGCATGGGAGAGCCATCCCCCACAACAACTGAGCCAGTTTTCGACAACGTTTCTCTTCACCTTGGCATTGGATGGAAAAAAATGAGCGACGATGAGCATGTCCAGGCAGCCGCCCGAGGCTGGGCTCGCTACATTGAGAACCATTTCCCGGTTACTGATGCCTGCATCCGGTTGGAGAGCAAGGGCCTTCAATCCTACCTTGTCGAATCATCAGAGGGGTTCTACCTGTTCTCGGAAAACTTGCACCAAGGACGACTGGTCAGCACCAACATTGAGGGCGCGATCCGCAACCTCCAATCATCTCCGCCCATTTTTGACGGCGCAGATATTCTGACCAAGGCCGACTCGCCTTGCTTTACGACGGCGCATGGTGATTCCGAAATGCACATGGGCTGAACTATTGATACACACTTTCATATATGCGGAATTGACAAGAGGCTACGGGCTTCTACAAGGCTCCCAATTCAAGACGCCAACGCTGCGCTGACGACGCGCATAGTGGGACGATATGGGCTGATATTATTGCCTTGGAGTTTAGTGTTTACTAGGACTGATACGGAACAGGAGTTAGGTTTATTTAAGATATAAAAATGTGTACTATACCACCAATACACTATGTTGGAAATCGAGGGGCATTCCGCATGCAGCTTCTAAATGTCTGAGGTATTTTATGAGTACTCATCAACCAAAGTTTTGTATAAAAAAGGGGCCCTTGGAGGGTTGATGCCAGGTTGCGAAAGTTCTTTGCGACGCCGGTGCGCCCAGGTAGCCCGAGGGATCGCCACATGGCGAGGGGAGTGCAACTTGATTGAAAGAAAATGAAAATACAGGTCTGTTGAAGGCACTGTTGTAGAATCGATGTTGTTACAAGGGTAAAACGGATACGATTGAAAATAAAGAAATAAAAGCAAGCTTTAGAGTGCCGTTTCGTTGGCATCAACCAACCTGTGTACTACTACTAACTACTACTACGAGCACTAGTAGTAATAATACATACGAGTACAGCTATCATTGGTGCCTCGTGATATGTGGCGTGCACGAACCAGATCCGAGGATTGGCCAGTCTCACGAAAAGCAGCAAGCACAAGCACGAATCCCGGACCCAACAACAACATTGACGACGACAAGTACTATCACACAACTTATTTATTTTCGACCCTCAGCGGTGAGAAATAGAGTAGGCACCAGAAGGAAAGAAGACGGCACCGACAACGACGGCTAGTAACCATCACCAGCACCAGCGGCCATGGCGAATCCAAACCAACTGTACCTGCTAGCCGACCACATCAAGCTGTCGCTCCTTGAGCGTCAGCGTGTGCAGAAGCTTGCGGTCGAAGACGGGCCGCAAGACGCACACATCTTGCGATCTCTCGACCAGTTTCGCGATGGCCTGGAATCCCTTGAAGAGGAAATGACTCGGCTGGAGCGGGAAGGGGACGCCGCGTACGTTTGATTACACCACCAGACTTCCTCCCCCCCCTCTCTTCGTGCAGTATACTGTATACTAACTTTCTGGATTAAAAAAGAGCTGCCTCTGATATTGCCGACTCCATCCCTTCTCTTCGGAAGCAATTTGACCATCTGACGTCTCAGTTCCACGGCTTCACCGACCGGTCCGTCATGGCGACAGTAGCAGCCCCCAATTCGGACTCGCTAGCATCCATCTTTACCCACGCAGCATCATCAGAAGTACCAAAGACGAAGAAGAACAGTGTTGGTGATGGAGGTAGCAAGTCTGTCCGCTTCAGTGACGCGCCCTCATCCCCATCGCAGGATCTGTTCGGCGCCTACCGCGACAACCCGGCCAGTGACAGTATGGGCTACCAGGACGCCGCCGGCACCATGGACAACCAGCAGTTACACCAATACCACTCGCAGATTCTCGACGATCAGGACGAGCAGCTCGACCGCCTGGGTGAGTCTATTGGCCGCCAGCGCGAGCTTAGCATGCAGATTGGGAATGAGCTGGAGGACCACATCGCTATGCTCGACGAGGTTGAGAGCGCCACAGACCGACACCAGAATCGCATCGACCGTGCTGGCAGGGCCCTCGGCAAGGTTGCCAGGAGTGCAAATGACAACAAACAAATCACTGCCATCGTTGTTCTCATCATTATCCTCGTCCTGCTCATCGCCATCCTCAAGTAAACCCCACGGCCGTTCAATACCCTATTCTGATCCCCTTTCTAAACTGCTCTTTGTCTATACCTTGAACGCCTTTTTGGTTCCTTGTTTTTTCTCTCCTCGCTTTTCGTTCTTCCTTTTCTCGGGCTTTCGAGTGCGAAGCGCTTTGTGCATTGGTTTGGCGTTATTGCTGTACTGGAGTTCGTAATAACACGCATCCTTACACACCATTTTTTTCCCTATCGATTTTGTTATTTTGCTAATGCTATTGACTAAATTTAATCGTGAGTACAATTGGTGACTTCGATCTTGTTCCCCGGCTTATCCGCAACGTCTACTCTGTTACCAGACTATTCGCCGAGGTCTCTTCTTTGCTTCCCAAGCCTGTCTGCTCTAGAATATGACGAATGGTCGACCTCATCCTGCTTGTATTGTGCGTTATCAATCTACATGCAACTGGCTGTGTTGAAGCCCCCCCCTCTGGCTAACTGCCAACGACACATGATTGCACGCTCACTGTCAACGAATGATTTCTCCCTCCTTGTCGATGCCCTCGATGCTCTCCAGGATGTCACTCCCCGCTAATGTCCCCGGTCCACCGATTGCTATCCTGCTCTCATTTGGCCAAATCTCATGGAATTTGACCGAGCTGTCACTTGCTGCCACTACTAGGCAGCCCTGTAGGTGATCTTTGCTGCTTTCTCTTTCGTTCCTCCTATTTCCGGGCTGAGGAAACGTTGGATAGGGAATGGCATGTAGCGCGCGCAGGCCAATGCCCCACGGAATAGCAGCAACCTGTGTGCATTCAGGCCACCTGAAGACGGCAATACGGTATGGGTGGTCTGGTTGGGAGTAGCCCAATGTGGCTGCAATTTCCCGTCGTGTTGTCGACCAGATCAGCGATGTCACTTGTGCTGACACGGCTATGGTTGCCAGTGCCGAGCCAGATCTTGTGTGGAAAAAATGGATGCATCTGTCGCTAGAACCTCCTCCCGTGGCAATGAGGCCTGGCCTCCATGGGCAAAATGCTATGGCTTTGACCGCAGCCCCATGCACCTAGCAATGCCTCTCGCTTCCAGGACCGAGCGTGCGGAACACTACATTCCCCGTACGTATCTCTGTCGCATCAGTATCAGATGTCCGATTCATGGAAGCCCTGAGTCTTCTACCGTTGTTTGACCAACGGTTCGGCTCGGCATCGGTGTCCTGCGCAACTGGCGTAAAAGGCCCCTCATCCCAGCGGCTTGGGTGAGGAGAGGATTCAAGGGGTGGACTGATGTCAAGGACGTCGCTTATGTCGAAAAGGCAGCAGAGGTCATCGTTTGCCCCTGAGGCAAAGAGCTCTCCATCCTGAGACCATGCAATACCACATATCTGTTGCTCATGAATCGAGATCTTAGCAACCAGTACGAGTGTTCCCGACCAGGTGTCCCTTTTCACCTCCTACGCAGAGGGCCATTCGACAACATAATAATACATGGTTCCTATCTCATTGCCTACTATGAGGTCTTCTGTTTGCACGGACACTCCAGGATTCACTGGGTTCCTCGACGGGCGCGAGGTGCAGTGAGGTCGCCAACTCAAGCAAGACACACCATGGGGGAATTGAATCTCAAAACGAGGTATGGCGTCGTATGTTGACTGGAGAATAAGTAACCCATTGATCATTCCAGCGGCAAGAATACTCCTGCCACCTTCGACAGATGAGAAGGCCACAGATGTGATCCAATTACGGTGCTCAGAGACTCTGTACATCGGATAGGCGCCAAGACTCTCGGACCAGGTGTACAGGCTTCCACCCAAAGCTATGGCGAGGGTTCGGCTCGTTGGTGAATACGCAAGTATGGAACAATAGAAATCATCTCTGAGGTTGGGAGCATCCAAAACTCTGCCATCACATTAGCTACATGTACTCACTAAGAATTCCTGACATACCGAAAAGGAGTATCAGGCAGTTGCCTTTCTTTCGACGGATTCTTCCCCCCAGATACTACATGAATTAGCCCTATTTTTAATTACCGAACAGGTTTAGTGCACGGAGGCCAGCAAGTATGCTATAGATACCTTTCTTTGCTGTATCGTTCACCCATTTTGAACCGTCCCAGGTGGTCTTGGAGGGACTTTGATGGTGGCTGAACTGATAAATCTCGTCGCTTCGGGAGATTGATGTCCGGCGTCTGAATTCAAGAATCTTGCGGACACAGTCCATTTCGAGAGCCGAGGCGACACGACCATGGTAATTGCTAATTTCATTCTGCGAGTCGGCGCCGGCGTTAAAGAATGATGAAGTAAAGATCTGAGAATGGGTACCCCTCTGGATAGGATGGCCTTGGCCGTCGTCCAAAACTTCTTGTCCTGTAACAAGACCGCCCACAGTCCACACAGTTCCACGGCTGACTTGCCTGTCGCGAGCTCGGGCTCGGGAGGTTGCACCAGATGCTGTGACTATTTTGGACATGTTAGGCGGATTCTGCAACGCTATTGAGCGAACAACTTGCCATGAATTTGTGGGTTGTTATTCCTGGACCCAATCTAGGGGGTCTCAGCATCAGGAATTTGAGCGAAGAATGGTCTTCTTGTTGGCCTTGAAAATGGATCAGCCGAGGCGTTATCGCACCGAAGAAGCTTCTCCAGTGACGACAATGTATACACCTCCCTTCTTGTTCTGAACCTCTCGGCCGACGATGTTTCATGGTCTCGGAGAGGCACGAATCGATCAGGGTAACAGCCTTTTGGGGTGACTGGATGACCACTAGGACTGCGGGCTATCGCAGTATTATTGTCGACAGAGAAGCGAGATGGCGACTTATACCGATTCGATTTCGGTACTCGGGGATATGGCGTGGAGACACATCTAATCCTCTTGGTATGTGAGGTGACTTCGCTCGTACAATAGCTCGAGTTGCCTTGGCTAGATTCTCCATCAGAATTGTCTGAAAAGGCAGGGCCGTCCAGAGGAGGAAAAATCCCGAGGGATTTATAATCTCGGACAGTAGGGGATTCCCCTAGAGAGCTGTATCCAGAGTCACCGGACCTATTTGTTGAGTCGTCACCATTCTTGTTCCGACTCGAACACCGATCGCGGTAGCCACGTAATTTTCCACAGGTTGTCCAAATACTGTGCATAGCGGAACAGGGAGATGGAACAGGGGGCCCAAGGCGGCAGTCATGGGCAATGAGATTGAATAATAGTTGCGAGACAAGTTGCGTATCGCGGGAGATCAAGTTGTAGAGTAGATCTCACGGTACCGTCGATGGAAACACTGGCGTACTTTGGGTGGGGGGCCTGGGTTATATGAATATTGAACAGTCTGGGGTGAGAAAACTTAGGTTCTAGGATTGAGAGGGTGTGGAGAAAGACTTTGAGCAGGAGATAAAAATTGAAGTAAGGTGCAAATGGTACGGGTTATGTTGATGCCTCCGGTTCGAGATCAAGTGTCCAGGGCAAGAGACTTCAAGCTGGCGCCTACCTGAAAGGGGGGGTTCCAGACTTGCCTCAGGAAAAGAGTGACATGTCGGATCACATGCATCACAAGGATAGGAAACCTATAACATAAAAATAAAAGAACGACAAATTATCCAAATGTTGCAATCATAATATATACAAAATAGTTCGAGATGTTCAAAGGAGAAAAGAATATATACGAGAAAGTAGTGTCATCAGGTAACGACCGTGACCCATATCCTCCCCACCGCAATATTTCGGCTCTCCTACAGTACCGCTTCTTCTGGTCGTTGCGAAAGACATCATGAAGGCGTTGTACTTGTTGCATTTGTATTTAAAACAGCTTCTCATTACGCCAGGTTGCTCTTGATGTTGTCGTAAGCAGAGTCAGGGTACGTGAGACAGTTTTGGGTGTTGTCGAGGGCACCCATACTGTCGAGAGCGGTGCTGATGAGCGAGTCCTCACCAGTCTTGTCAGCAGAAGCCTCCCAGAACATACTACCACCAAGGCTCTTGCTCTGAGCGTAAGCGACCTTAGTGCGGACCATATCTGGAGTGTCATAGGAGACGAGAGTCTGGGTGCCAGAATTGTAGGTCCAGCTGGCGCCAATATTCTCGTCATACTGGACCGTCTCGCCATCGAGCGGCAGAGCTTTGTAGTCCCAGATACCATTCTCCCAACTGCCCTCACCGACTCCACTGAAGGCTGTTCCAGGACCAGCAGTTCCGGTAAAGGCGCGACCGTAGATGGGCATCCCCAGGACAAGCTTGGAGGAAGGAATGCCACCTGCAAGGTAGGCGTCGACGGCATCATTAGTGTTGAATGGGGTGGCATTGGGGTTGCTCTCGCTAGCATAGAGGTTGGCCTGGTGTCCACTGTAGTTGCTGAAGGAGCCAGCGTAGTCATAGGCCATGAGGTTGACGTAGTCAAGGACGTCACCGAGATCGGCCATGTCAAGCTTGCCGTAGTTCTGGGGACCAGCAGAGGTGGCAATGGAGAGCTGAAAGTGGTAACCATCGGCGCTCTCCTCAGAGTACGAGTCGAGCTCTTGTCGGATGCGCTTGAGGAGGAGGACCATGTTGGCAGCCTCAGTCTCATCGGCAGGGTACTCCCAGTCTATGTCAATGCCGTCGAAGCCCCAGTCCTTCATAAGGGTAACAGCACTTTCGGCGAAAGTTGTACGGGTGGCATCAGTGGAGGCGGCAGCAGGGAAGTTGGTAGACCAAGTCCAACCACCAATGGAGAGCATAACCTTTAGGTTACGGTTCGCCTTCTTGAGCTTGTACAGCTGCTTAACGCAGCCATATGCGTTATTTCCGCTCTCGTCCCAGGCTGCTCCCCCAAAGTTTTTAGCTCGCTAGTTATCTTGTTGTGGAGTTTGTACCATGGTATTCACTCACAGTCATCGGCATAGTGTTTCTCGAGATCAGCATAAGTGTCACCGGAATATCTGACAAAGTCCCATGTTAGTTAAAGTGGATGAGGTAGCTAGGTGGCCGGGGGGCTGAAATCAGCTGGAACTTACACAGTTCCGTCTGCACGAAGATTCATAAAGGAGTATATAAGATGCGAGATCTTGTCAGAGGGAATATCGGCAGGCTGGTAGTTGCGGCCATAGATACCCCTGGTGTGTACGTTAGAAATCGGGGGGGCACAAATATAGAAGAGGGCAGAGTATACCAGTTGACAAAGTAGACGGCATTGACAGAGCCAGTGGCACGTTTAGTCGTGTCGATGGCCTGATACTCGGCCCGTGGAACTACCAAACCCGCGGCGGCCTGAGCCGAAGCGAGCACGGACAACGACTTGGCGAACAGAGACAGCATTGTTAAAATGCTGAACCGGTGTCAGCAATGCTACCTAGGAGGGAGGGTAAACACAGTTTTAGCACCGGGCTAGTTCAAAACAATAAACAAGGAATGAACAGGGGGGGAAAATTTAAGGAATGGAAACTGTCGGCAGTGGTGGGTTGGTCCTCCAAAATTCGAGGAGAAGGTAGGCGGCATCAGCGGCATTCTTATACAGCGCTCTCACGGTAACCCATTGTTCCCAACGCTAACAAGTGTTTCGGTAATAGTCATGAGACTTCCAATGCGGGCCGGTCTTCTATCCTACTACGCCGCGTGATGAAAGAGTGAGGATACATTCCAGCTGGGTTCATGTTACCTAGCATCTAGTCGGGGGGTATAAGAGGTGCACAGACAGAAAATCACAACCACGGAAAGCCAGATCCACTGCCAAAGCTTGATTTGAGACTCTGGGTCGGGGAAATGAAGCAAGCACTCATGGATTTGTAGGATATTCCCAAGGGCCATCAGGGGGGACACGAGGGGGACGGCCTGATATGCATCCGGGCAGCGTTGCTCATTGTGCGGACGTTAAGCAGATGCCGTATCATGAGGTTTCGTAGCGGTATCGGTACATCCCAAGATCTAGGGTTACATCTTTGGATCCTTCCTATACTATAGTCCCATCCTCAGAGAAAGCCATCAGGAAAGATGGAAAGTAGTAGCGCCCCGAGAGGTCCAGAGCCCAACGTTTCATCTCGTGGGGTCGACGAGATGTGCTTCTGGGGATGTGTATATCAACTGCTATCTCAATGTGAAAGAAAGAAGACTTACAGGCTGACAACCCATATTATACTGAGATTTAGGCAACGAGACCTTGGACAAGCGATGAAAACATCTGGCAGTGGGTTACGAGCCAACGTCCAACTGACTTCTAGGCCTAAGTTCTTACTCGGCAGTCGTAACGCGCAAGTAGGCAGGATGTTGGTTTTCTTCCTGTGTATTGTTTATGCTGGTGGCTTCAGTTAACTAGGTATGGGTGCGTGGGCCTCAGGTTCGTAGACATATGGTATCTAAGGTATGATACATGCCGTGATATCATGGACAACATGAGGCAGGCTAAGCCCTCGGCAGAATTCCAAAGGATGGCTGTCAGTGTTCGGCAACGGCCTCCGCTCGACTGATTGGTCAAGACAATGGCCTCCTGACAGGTTGACGATGTAAGCGCCACGACGGTACTAGCTAGGACTTGACTGTGGCCAGAAACAGCATGTTTCTCCTGCATAATTCCCAAGGCGTCCCGTGAGCCTAGGGCAATACTACCATCCTCTTTAAACGGTGGATGATGCTGATAGTAGACGGGCAATGACAAATTGTGTTAAGATGGGACGGTTATGTAGCACCCAGCTGCCAAAAAGGGTTTTCGTGGCAATCACCCGTTAGCAGCGGGTTCGACCATGAGATAGGCATGGTGCATGGAGGAGGTCAACCGCGTTATGGAGCATTGAGACCGGGGTGTGGTAGATGCAGGCCATGGCCCAAGGGTGGATGGGTGGGGCAGGATGGAAAAGATATGTATCTGATGTCTCGTGGCTCTCCCTCTCGACATCTGCACGCGCTACAGTTTCGAGACATGGTCGAGCGGATGTCAGCCAGTGCAAGAAGTCGTTAATTGTTATTGCAAAAGGCAATAAAAAAATAAAAGAAAAGGCTTACGAGTAGAAGTCATCGTTCTTATGTCTCTTGGGAGTCTAGTCGTCCGTCCAGCCTCCAGCGTGAGAACAAGAAATGCCTAGCTTGGATGCTCGGGTCTAGAATCAATTCCCTATTTCTGGACATGCCAACCGTACGAGATTTCTCTATAAAGCATGGCACCAATTTAAATTCAAGCCCATTGTTTTACGCCGGAGGATTTCTTTGCAAAAAGGTACAGGGTACAAAAAAGAAAACTTAACCGACCACGCCAGGGATCGAACCTGGAACCTTTAGAGAACTTGAACCTCGGTGTACCGAAATCTAACGCGCTGCCATTGCGCTACGCGGCCATTTATGACATCTAGCCAACTGGGACTTGTCAGTGACTGTTCGCATTACTTGCTCATGGACCAGTTCATTTTGGCCTCGAAATTTTTGCAGCAGCCTCAAAGGTCGGCTGGGGTTGCAACGTTACCGCTCCTTGGAAGATTAACGTATTGTTGATTACGTCGTACTCAACCAGTGGTCAGTCTTTCCCAGAAGGTGGGGTCGAGGTCGATGCATGACCTCCATCATCATCACATCGCTGCGCATCGCCCACCAGAATGTGGGCGACGGAATTGTCGTCGCAAAGCATGGAATAAATGATAAACAGAATCAGAGGGGAGACATGAAAATGTGTCAGAATTATCCTGTCTGCCGTCGGTCATGTTGCAAGCAATGATATCTCTGTCCATCTGTGAAGAAGTGTCGTGGTCCGCTGACCCAGTTGCACCTTCCTCATGGCAGTCTTTTTGTTTGATGTGCAGAGGCAGGTGGTACTTTGCCGCTAAGAAAGTAGGCGCGGCCAGGAGAACGATTTTTAGTTCGTACAGTACGTACTGCTGCTGCTAATACTTAGCAGTCGTACTAGTAAGAGTACAACAACATCCCATCATCGACTTTCTACGACGAGGTTGGTTACATACGAGACTACTCGCTAGTAGCCAAGGAGGTAATATCTAAACGAAATCATGCAAGCCGCTCAACTCGCTGCTCAGTGTCATCTATTGGCGCCACTAGGGGCCAAACGTGAGATGTGGAGGTATATAAGGGTTTGGCCCCTATTTAGCATGTGTTGGAAGAACAAGTTCCATGATTCATTGAAGGTTGGCTATTTCATACGACCCGTGGATTACGATGATTGTACAATTTGGACAGCGCTATACAATTTACAAGCCCCCAGTTGCTGCCGGTATGGAACAAGAGATGGAAAATAGGCAAGTATGAAGATGTACGTCTATCATAGTCTGTAGATACTGACTCCTATCGTACTCTTTCGCGTATTTTTCGATATTACTACTTCTAACATTTCTTGCACCATTAACTGAACAGGAGCCCATACAAAATGTGATATCACGCAGTGCAACTTCGACAAGCCTCACTTCCCCGTATCTTAAGCAGTAAGTCCCAGGTGCCATGTTCTCCATCCTTGAGGCTAATTCAACACATTAAGTTACCTACCTGCATCGAATCCTTGTAGTTTTGCAGGGGGACACTCCCTTACCCTTACTATCTGTTAACTGTTTTGGCTTTTACTCCGAATGGTCCCGCAGATGAAACAGCGAGAATCATGTATCATCATTGGTACCGGAGTTCCGGCCTTGACAACCTCCTCTCTCTCCTGTTTGTACTATCGGTGCAGAATTCTCCTATTCCAGAGTCATTAATGTACATATCAGCCTTTCGCAAATAATCAAGGTGTCAATGACCACGGTGTAACAACATAACACGGCTCCTAGATGAATCTAGCTCAATGTGAAGTACACAAGATCTCCATGAGACATGTGCGGGGGGGGGGGGGTACTATGCACGAGCATCATTACATGGTCGATATAGTTTCACGGCCCGAATAGATCTTCCGTTCCTCCTTGATCAACGATTCTTCAGTCATATTAATTCACGGTATTAGGAGTAGATATCACCTTATAGATAGTTAACTTGAGCGGCTAAAAAACGGTAAACCCAGAGCTCTGGGGATTATTACGTGCCCACACTAGCTAGTCTGCATTATGATTAGATGTGTTGGCCACGATCAAGCAACAGCAACATGTTACGAAACTTGTTGGTTATGGCACCCAAGATTGTATGATTGAGCAGCTAGAGGCTGCTGCCGCACACTCACCTTTGTAGATAAAATTCATAACTATATTTCCTACCTTTCCATTCAATCAAGCAAACAGACACACACCCATCGATCTAGGACGTATCAGTAGGCAGAGACTACTATATTCACGTCTACGGGTCATCGTGTGCTGTCGCCAGCAAGAAGCACATAATAACGGCTACAGGGTATGCTATTTGTAAAATGGGGGACACCAACGTCACCACCCACCCCTCTATACGTTCGTAATGAGGGGATACAACCATGGAATGGCAAACTTGTATCTTGCATATATATTTCAGGCTGCATCTGTTCCAACGAGGCCGACACTCAAGATGTCCGGGGTAAGTACATCTCCTTAACTTCATCCCATTGCTCACACCCTCCTGGGAAGACGCTATATGAAAGGATTAAAAAATCATTGTCTGATTTATAGCTGTTTTCTAGCATGGGGGAGTAGCACGATCGACGCAACCGCGCACTGAGGAGCAACGCCGAATTGATCTCGACAAAATAAGTCACTATCGAGATCTGGAAAACCAAGTTCGCAAAAAGGTGTGTCTACCGAGAGTTTTCGCCTCCCCTCTACCACATACCGGTCCACGAAACTCTTGGCTGACAGTTTTGGGGCACACGACAGACATCACAGAAAGACTACAGCCAAGAGACGCTAGATCTTACGTCGAAGCTTCTCCGTCTGAATCCGGAATACTACACGATATGGAACATTCGCCGACGCTGTATAACGTATGGCTTTTCCTCAGGACAATCGGGTGGATCGCATCTCCCGAAGGAGTCACAGACTTCCTCACCGAAAACCACTCCACCACTGTCTTCCGCAACTTCGTTGTCTGCATCTTCGGCCAAGACTCTATCGTCCCTAGAGCTCCAGACAGCTGGGAAGAGTGGTACAACAGCTGAGGCTGACAAAGGATACAAGGAGGATAGGGAGGTCATCAAGACTGAGCTCACCTTTACCGTGCCTCTGCTTATGGAGTTCCCCAAGTGCTACTGGATATGGAGTCATCGTCTGTGGGCACTGAATCAGTCCATAGAGCGTCTTCCTGTCCCCGTGGCCCGTAAAGTATGGGAGGAGGAGCTCGGACTTGTGGGAAAGTTGCTGCACAGGGACTCGCGTAACTTCCACGCCTGGGGATACAGGCGTTACGTCGTCGAGAAGCTCGAGAGCGCCCAACTCGACGGCTCCAGTCGGGCCGAGTCCGAGTTCGAGTACACCACTAAGATGATTCATAATGATCTTTCTAACTTTTCGGCTTGGCATCACCGCAGCCAAATCATTCCCCGTCTGCTAAACGAAAGGAAAGCTACGGATGACGATCGGCGCAAGTTTTTGGAGAGTGGTGAGTGATGTCCCTCTAGGCCCCCGAAATCATGTATTTCTTGGTAGAATCTTGCTTACAAGCTTTTATTCCCCATACAGAGCTTTCTCTCATCCGCGAGGGACTCAACGTAGGCCCAGAGGACCAGTCACTTTGGTTCTATCACCAGTTCCTCGTGTCAAACATCACCGATAAGCCAAACTCCCGGACGATAGCGCCCAACCTTACCGACGCCGAGCGCAGATTGTATGTTGAGAGAGAGATTGACGAGATCAAGGATTTCTTAGAGGACTACCAAGACATCAAGTGGATATACGAGGCTCTAGTACAATACAGCATCGCCCTGCCGCCGTCGCAGGATGGTGCGCAAGACAACTCAGACGACTGGGTGCCCTGGCTGAAGAAGTTGAGGGAGTTGGACCCTCAACGAAGCGGCCGTTGGAATGACTTGGGAAAATAACTTGGCACCGTGTGATGCCAACTTGAAATCATTCGCGGGAGGCTCTGAGATTGGGCTTTAACGTCATAATTACCACAAGATATTATGTTTCCATTCAACGCAGGTGTATATGTATTTTGCTTTGACCAGAAATTCAAGCGTTGCACTTGGCCTTAATCAAGCTGGCTCTGTTTCCAACCAAAGAGTCAAAGTAATCCAATAGCTTCCCCGCTGGAATCATGTCTATAGCGCCGAGAGCCGGACTCGACGACTTGAGGACTTGACCGCCAAACAGGACACGGACGTAGAAGCCGCTACCTGTCTGCTGCGTACCAGGGCCGTCGCCCTTTTTGTAGAGCTCAAAGACGACCTCGGAACCCATACCAGGCCAGACCATCTCATCGATCTGCAAAAGACTAAGGACACGCGAGACGGAGCCGTCATGGGCGATGTTGTGGGTATATAGGACGTCCCGGTTACCTTCGATGACGGCGCGAAGGTTGACAGCCAGCTCAGCAACCCATACGCCGTAGGCTCCCGTACTGGCGGCGAGAGTCGTGTCGTTATCACGGTACATCTGGCTGTATTCCCAGTGCCCCAGGCGGTAGACAGTGTCAGCTAGCTCTTGGGTTACGCACGTGGACGAGTTCTTGCCGTTGACGAGCTTGCAAGGCAGAGGCTTGTCGTGGCATTGGCGCGACGAGAGGTTGTCAAAGTAGTGGTCAAAGGAGACATGGAAGCCACTGTCATCGCTTGGGACGCCGGAAATGTCGTCGAGTGTGGCGTATATGTCCTGCGCCTCGTCCAGATGGCGCTGCCACTCCGAGTTGCTCTTGGACTTGATGGCGTTGAAGAGGATCGACGCAGCAGGGCAGCTGTATTGGGGCTCTAGGCTGTCGACATTCACAGCCTGGGGGGGAGGGGGGGCGAGCAGATGTTGTGTCAGTAAGCACCAGAATATTATCGGAGGGCCAGGTAGAGATGTAGAGTATATTCACCTGGACGTTGAGCGGCACATCGTTTGTGATCCCCCACATACCGTTGATGACCATGCCGGCAACCTGGTGGGTAATGACATTGTTGGTAGCACGATACCGGACCTTGGGGGTGAGGTTGTCTGGGAGAAAGCCAAGCAGGCCGTGATAGACACCGAAGAGGTCGGCACCGTGCTGCCACGAGTCCTGGAGTCCACCAGGGGTGATTTGGGGGAACTGGCAGCTTCCAACCCATCCGGACTGTGTAAAGGGGTTCACATCCGAGATGTAGCCCTTGCGGTAGCCGTGAGCGGCATCGTGTCCCTGTAACGGCTGTCCATAAAGGTAGAGGGCCTGATCATTACAATTCCACTGGTATGACTCAACGGGAAATGAGTTGTCTGCATAGGGCGTACGCTTGTGGTGACGATGAATCTGTGTGCGAAATAAGGTCAATAATTTTTTCTAAACCCTCCTAATTCTCGATGACACAAACAACGGAGATACATACTAGCTCAACATATTGGAGCTCGTACTCCTTACTGGGCCGGATGTACTCCTTGGCCCTCACGTGCGGCATGTTGCAGTAGTTGTACGTCCCATAGTCACTGTCGGGCGTGTCGCTGGAGTTGAAGATGAAGCCGTATACGCCCTCGGAGTTGAGCACCTTATCGAGACTGTTAACCTCCCACTTGACGGGGGCGTGCCAAGCATCCACGTGGTCGCCAGTATGCTTGGCTCCCGACGCCGGATTGGCAAGAGCGAGACCGCTGACGGTGGCGGCCGAGGACAGGTAGAACCATGGCAGCATGATTCCAAAGACAGACAAGCAGAGGAGTGCAAGTAGGGATTTGAGGGGCGGTCGCCTCCTTACAAGGAGAGACCGGAGGGCACCGGCGAGGGCACCGGCCATTCCTTTCTTCTTTCTTCTTTTTTTTCTTTCTGTATTGGCCTTGTCGCTCGCGTGCTTTGCGGGTGGTTCTGGAGGTGGATCCAGCTAACCGTGTTCTTTACATGAAAATGGGGACAAACAGATGGATAAGATGCCTTGCCAAGAGGGAGGTAATATGCACCCGGCTGGGGTGGGGGGGGGNGGGGGGGGGGGGGGGGGGAGGATGGCAGATTCACTCGGAGATTGGCTGATCCCGTTGCCTGTTGGGTAAGATAATACTCGCACGTGGGTAGCTCCAATATAGTAATGGTACAGCATTTAAATTTCATTTTAACGTCACAACACTCACGTGCAAAGGCGAATCAAACTCGTGCATCTTGCAATATATAGCCCAGAACTATGTTTACCTGGAATTGATAGCTCTTCTAAAAAAAAAGTCATACTCTTCCACGGCTTGCCATGTCAGCTAATGGTGTTAGCTATAAGTTGGTAACTTGCTGCACCGTCATCATATTCTCGCAAATTCACCCTCAGGATATCTTATAAAGGAAAAACATCTCAGTGTACGCGTACAAGTAGCATCTTCCTCCGAATTACAACCACATTCGGGCTCTGCCTCTTCCCCTTCCCCTGCCGCCTCGTCCTCTGCCCCTTCCTCTCATTGCACCTCTCATGGAAGATTGGCGGCCCTGAGCGGGTATGTCCTCGTCGTCATCATCGCTCGATTCCTCATAGGGTTCAGGCGACTTAGGTGGACTTGGAGCAGCCTCGTGCCTACCAGACTTGCGTCGTGAGCCACCTGCATTCTTCGTCCTGTCCTTTGGAGTCGATACGGGTTCCTGCTGAGAAGGCCTTGATGTCGCGGACCGGGTATTTGGAGTAGTAGTTGTCGACTTGTCGTTTGGCGTAGAGGGACCCTCTGACCGTTCGTCGGCACCTGGTGACTTACGCTTGCCCATTTTGAATTTCTTGCCCTTCAACGCCATGCGTTCGGACATGGAGAGAAGCTGCATGCCCCGCGACGGCAATACAGCATCTTCCTTGGCCGAGCCTGTCCTCGACGTTGCTGCCTGCGATCTGGGCGGGCGACCTCTTGGGCGGCGGGCATTTGAGCCTTCGTCGGAAGATGAATCTTCATCAGCCTTTTGGCCTGCAGAAGCTCCTAGAACAGTGGAAACGCCGATTTTTCGGGAACGTCCGCGCCGTCTAGACATCGGCTTCTCCCCATACCCTGGTGATGTATCTCGCCCATCACTCCCGTCTTCGTAGTTGACAGCCGATCTGGTAGGGCGTCCGCTCCTCGTGCGCGCTAGCTCTTGCGGCTCTGTCTCAGGTTGCTGGGCTGGTGTTTCTTCATCTTCGCTCGGGGGGGGAATTAACGCTCGCTTCGGGGGGCGACTGGGCCGCTTTCGTACACGTTGCTCGAGTATTCCACCCGTCCGAGGCCCCTGATCCGTTTGAGATTCCTGGCCCGTCCCGGTATCAATGTCCATAGAATCTGGTGCCTTTTCACCGTTGGACCTTCTACGCTTAGTGGGCTGTCCCACCTCAACCTCCTCAATCTCATCCTCCTCTCGCTCAGCGTATGGTATACGAGGTTTTGCATGTCGTAGAATAGGCTCGTTTGGATCATATTGGGGCATCGTTCGGCCACTCTGCGCCCTAGGACGTCGCGATTTAGCTTCGGCGTCTGTGACATGTTGGGCATGCTGTCCCTCCTGCTGTGCGGGATCTGGTTCGGCAACTGGATGGCTTGCTGCACCATCTGGCGTTGGCAGTTCCTCGTCGAACAAGGCTGGGTCCATACTGTCCAGAGGGTCAGGCTGCGTGTCGGGCTGAGGTGCTGGTCCCCTAGGTGGACGGTGTCTCCTTGCGTATTTACCAACGACGAATTCGGGATCCTCGTTTTCTCTCCGCGCTCTCCTCTTAGCAGCCCGTATGGTCTTCTTTACAAACTCAGATATCTCGGGCTCGTCTAGACGCATGGCATCAGGGTTCGGAGCCTGGTAAGGATCAAACAGAATCTTGTCCGGCGTATCATCCTGTTCGTAGTAGCCCATGCCGACGCGCTGGCGCACGGCCATGGGCGGATCCGGGTACAGTGAGTTGTTTTGCTCTTCTTCAAAGGGTGCATCCATTGTCATCGAGAGATCGTTGTCGCCATTCATGACCGCTGTCCTGAAGTGGCCAAACCCGTTCGGTGGGTAGTCGGCGGTGGGAGGCTCCTCCTGGCTGCCAAGGACATGACTTTGGTCCCCGTAGCTTTGAGCACTGGCGCCGTTGGCGTGAGCATCTCGCAAGGAATTAGGGTCACCGTGGGCTCGTATTGCCATCTGAGCCTCTTCATTATGCGTGGCATCTTGAGCCTTAGCGTCATTGGCTTGTTCCCTAAGACGCTGCATCCTCTTGCTATCCTTGCTCCGGCTGTCGTCTCCGGCGGCCTTCAGCCAAGACAGATTGTGCAATCGGAAATCAACAAGTGCCTCGACACTGCGGTCGTCGGCAATTAAACGAGTGTCGTGCCCAAGCAATGTGTTCTTGGGCATGTAAGGAATTGTATTGCCTACCCGGCGGCAGGCACCGCAGTTGCAGATGCCCTGGCATTTCGGACATTGCCATTGTTCATCCTCGAGAACTTTTCGAGGCATCATGCCAAAAGCCCTGTAAAGCACGCCGTAGCAATAGGCCTCCGAACAGCCTGGATTTGAACACTCGTGAAGTCGATAGGTATAGTCCTTGTGACAGCAAACATGGCACCGTCGGAGCTCTCCCTTCTTCTGCTTTCGCTTATGTTTCTTCTTAGGCCTTTCGTCGTCTACGCCTGGTTCGGAATCACTCGGTGTCTTCTCGCGTTCTGGTTTGGTAATGTCCTTCCACGGCCGTCTTTTCAGAGCCTCTTGACAGATCTGCGCGAGTGATTTCTTCGCTGCTCGTTGCCGCGCAACTTCAAGAGGCTGGGGGGAACTTTCGAAGTCCACGAAGCCGTCATTCTTGATAACCATGGCCCGCCAACTCTCGTAATTGGCCACGAGTTTAGACCAGGACCACTGCTCGCACCACTGCAACTTCGATAAGCAAGCGCAGGAGCGTCCCATAGCATAACAGTCCATACAGATGTCATACGCATCTTCTTCTCCATTGATCAAAGGCCGAACGCAATTCTTGCAAGTCAGAAAGCGATTGAAGATATTGCTTCGGCAGTATGAGCAGGTGACGCACGAGTCGTACTCGAGAAATTCGACTTTGTCTACCTTGTATGCAAACATCTCGTCCATGATTATTTCAGTAAACAAGCCCAAGAGTTTCTTGAAGTCATCGGCCAACTGTTTGGCGCGTGGCGAGCTTTTGACAATATCTTGGCCAAGGCCCATAAAATTTACCTGGGCCTGTTCGGCGTTTTCCTCTAGGACCTGGAGCTTCTTGTGGTATTTAGACAAGGTGTAGTAAATTATGGCCTTGTTTTTGTATTGTTCATCTCGGCAAACAAGTTGTGCTTTCGGAAGAGCTTCGTGTAGGGCCATGTCAAGAGTTTCGGCAGTAGTTCGATTCCATGCAACCTTCATTGTCCGGGTTCCCCTGTTCCAGACTTGGTGCGCAGCTAAGGGTGGGATGAGAATGAAATCGCCCGGGCGCTGGTCTACAATGTAGACGTCAAATGGTGCCTTTTTCCAAGCGTTGATCTGTGCAAAGTGCTTCTCAACCTCAATGTCGTGACCCAGAATGGACATGAAGTATTCGCGAACAACCTCGCGATCCTTGCTTTCAGTCATGAACCATATCGAGCTTCCTGGCTTCTCATTTGGACCCGAGCCGTCGGAAGCTTCCACCATGATATTTTGACCAAGGGATGCACACATCTCCCTGTGTGCAGGCGTATATGTGCCTTCGTGGCCAATATAGCACATTAGGTTTTGCGCCCGCATTTCTTGCGGCAGGCTAGACATCAAGTCCCCGACGGGTGCAGTTTCTGCCTCGCTCCTGAAGATGTTGTTCAAGCTGGGATCATTGCCAGCGACATTCTCGTTAAGGTAGAAGAGAGCTGGATGTATAATCTTCCGTAAAGAATCATGCCACTCGGCAGGGCAGTCGATATCTTTGAGGTACAGGCGCTGTCGTCGCTCATCCCGGAAGTTGGTTGGTGTCCACTGGTTCGCCAGCGTCTTCATCGATCGAAGGTAGTGGCCAGTAGTCATAGGGATGTCGGACCCGGTGCCAATGTCACGCACATTCTCCTCTGCGCTCTAACGGTTAGAAGAAGTGTGATAGTGCTGTGTATTCAAAAACGGTACGAACCCTTCTTGTCATATGTCTTCTCGAGCCAATTTACATTAAAAAGCCAATTGGGGAGGACGTCATTCCACCTCCCGATAACCAAAGGCTTCCCACCGAGGAGAACGTGCATCAGAACCACTTTCTCAAATTCTCGTTGGCCTAGGTTCCTGATCTGGCTCCTGGTGACTCGTTGGACCCATTTAAAATTCGGTGTTCGATCAACCAGGCCATCGAGGTCCAAGTCCGGAGGTATTGGATCAAACTTGGCCTGGGGGTGAAATGAAGGCGGCATCTTGGGTGGTGTTCGGTGTTTATGCTGCGATGCCTCTTACAGTCCCTTGCAAGCGCGTGCACTTGCCATGACTTCTATGCGATGCGGGGCAAGTGGCGTGGATAAAGTAGTACCTCCTTTAGAAAATGGTAATGCATGAGAAGCAGTCAGGACAAATACTAGCTATCGAATATGCTGCATTAGGGTGAATGTGTTGCGCTCGCTTGAAGGAGTGATGCCAAATTAATGTTGGCGCAACAAACACGACTGAATTCATGTTCACGCATGCCGTGTGTTTCCTGTGCTTCCTGTATTACCTAATCCAAATATCAGTCCAGTTGCGCGGGTTTGACCAAAGAAATCCAATCACGTGTAGCCAGTTACTACGCGGTACCGGCTTTGATATTCACACGAGTACATATGCTCAGGGTGATCCGACAACCCGTATACGAGACGGTAGCAACGGACACCTAGCTTTATACAAGGTAAACAATGTTTGCAGCTCATCTTTAACTTTAACTCAGTTGCTGAACTTGTCCTAGGTACCCCCCTCATGAGGGTTCTCGAACTGCCGAAAGTCCCGTTACGGGCCACACTCGGAGGTGGCCCGCGAATACATGCGCGACCACGGTTGGGTTTCGTGTCCCGAACAGGAATTCAAGGTGTCTGGCCACGTCCTCTGCGGGAAGGACTGGGCGTCCACTCGCCGACGGCCTTCCGTCAAACCAGTCGCCTACTATCACCCGCTGCACCAAGCAATGGCAATATAGATACGCCCAAGCTGCCGGAGTACACGCCCCCGACAACTGGCTTTCTCTCCAAGCTTCCTTCTTCAGTGGTCCCTTATGCCGAGCTGTCCCGGATAGACAAGCCTGCGGGGACTCTGTACCTCTTTTTTCCTTGCCTCTTCTCGACCCTGATGGCAGCCCCGTTGGCAGTTCCCATGGCCACACCCACTAGTGTTGTTGGATACTCACTTCTATTCATGTCGGGGGCTTTCATAATGCGAGGTGCTGGATGCGGAGTCAATGATCTTTGGGACAGGAATCTGGACCCTCTTGTCGCACGTACCAGATTGAGGCCAATTGCTCGCGGTGCCATCACCCCCTTCAACGGACTGGTCTTTACCGGTGCTCAGATGCTGGCCGGGCTTTGTGTCCTGCTCCAATTCCCATCTCAATGCCTGTTCTACGCAGTCCCGAGTCTACTCTTCGTCGGAAGCTACCCACTAGCTAAGAGGGTCACATACTACCCGCAGTTCGTCCTTGGACTTACCTTTTCCTGGGGTGCATTTTTGGGTTATCCAGCTCTTGGGATTGATATCCTCACAAATCTACCCGCGTTGACATCAGCTGTGTGTCTCTACGCTTCATGTATTTCGTGGACCGTGTTGTACGACATGATCTACGCTCATATGGATATCAAGGACGACGTCAAGGCTGGTATCAAGAGCATCGCTCTTAAACACGATGCGGAGACGAAGCAGGTTCTTCTCGGTTTGGCGGCTACTCAGGTCAGCCTACTTGCAGCTGCTGGGTATGCAGCGGGAGCGGGTCCCGCTTTCTTTGCAGGTAGTTGCGGTGGAGCACTGATCTCTCTGGGCATCATGATAAGACGACTCAAGCTGAAGAATGTCCAGGACTGTTGGTGGTGGTTCGTCCATGGATGTTGGATCACGGGCGGCATCATCAGTCTCGGACTGGCTGCAGACTATGCTGTCCGCTACACTTACGAAACACAGAAAGACGCTGGAATGGCTAAGAAGGAATCAGAAGAGTAATTCTCGTCGCCAAAATTCTGTACATAATTCATGTAGCATTATATGCAACACATATTCGAATTCACTCGAAATTGCGTGCAAATTGCGTGACTCCTGGTGCTTTCAGATCTATTTTTTTTTTATTTTTTTAGATAGCCCTCTGATCGAAAACCCTAACCTGTAATGCCATGCAATCAAGCCTTTTTGACTCCCCCAAATAATGTTGTTTCAATGCACAAAACATGTAGTTTTCTTAGGTACGGGGCTTCTCTTTCTTCTCCTTCCACAGAGCGGCCAGACCGACACCAGAGACCTTGACGACCTTGAATCGCACACCGGGGATATCGCCCTTGGCCTTGCCCTTGCGACCAAAACCAGCCAGGAGGACCTCGTCGTTCTCGTCCACGAAGTTCAGGCAACCGTCGTTGGGGACTAAGAAAGAAAAAAGAGCCTGTGTTAGTACATGCGAGTAGATTTGTTTCCACGGAGGAAGTCGTATCATTGCGCGAATTCTTCTTCAAACATACCGAAAGCAGTGACCTTCTTGCCGTTCTTGATAAGCTGGACACGGACGCACTTGCGAATGGCGGAGTTGGGCTGTTTGGCCTCGACACCGACCTTCTCGAGGACGATACCCTTAGCGTGCGAAGAGCCACCGAAAGGCGAGGACTTGAAGGCAGTGCCGAGGGCACCACGCTTCCAGTGCAGGTCGGCCCATTTCTGGTCCTTCCTGTTCATGCGCAGCTTGCGCGCAGCGTTGAGACCACGGGGCTTGCCTCCACTCATGATTGCTTTGTCGAATTAGCAAATTGTAAATCGGTCGGTAATTTAATCGAAGTTCGATGGGACTGGATATGGGCGTTGCTGCACTCACCGATTTAGTTGGGTATCGCGACGGTGATCGGTATGAAGTCAGTTGGCGGAGTGCAAGATGACGGACTGAGCCTTCTCGGAAGTTCTTGGTAGGGTTTTTACACCCTAGAGGGGAAATATAGTGTGTTGTGGGCCGTGCGCCATTCTTCACGTGACATTATGGGCAAGGTTCAATGTGGGGGGCTTTTTTCGAGTTAAACCTGCCTTGTGGCGCATGGTCGGGACATCGGGTAAATGGAATTTCCGCTCGCTACTGCTACTGGTGGCACTCGTATTATTCGTAATATTACTTCGTCAGTGTATTAGTAGTCAGCTTATCATACCTCTGCGCCTGTCAGCTCTCAGCACTATGACACCCTCGGGGGCAGGTCGGCGTGGCCTGTTGCGGCCTGTCCGCACCCAAGACACATCAGACACGATAGACGAGAATAATATGGCTATTCCGTCGAAAACCCAGAGCAATTCCCAGCGTCAGCCACCTCCGTCCCTCTTCCTTCACCCGTCCCCAGCCGCCTCCCATGTCTCTATCCCCGGCATCATGTCCGCGGGCTCCTCGGTCCCGGGTCGCAGCCCCTTAACGCGAGAACGTTCAAACCTCGATATCGGAGCGAGCGGCCTGGCAGCAACAAATGTGCAGCGTCCACCGAGGGGCCCCAAGGCGGAGAGTGCGCGAAACACGGATAGGACCGATGCTCTCTGGGCTGAGATGCAGGCGACATTGGAGGAGGTCGAACTATCTGCCTCAGGAGGTACTCACGTGTTTGGGCCCGAGCATGACCGCAAACTGGGAGATCTTCGTACTGCTCAAATCGCACTCGCGCAGGCATGGGCGAGAAGCGAGGCAGATGACGCTATCGAAACGGCATACCGTGACGGGACCTCATCTCTGCTAGGGGATGAAATGCGTAATATGAAGGGCGCCATGGGTGACGGGTCCAAGTCCGGACCAGGCGAAGCGACAGACGGTGCCAAGAGCACAGCAGCGTCTCAAAGCGCAAAACCAGAGAGCAGCGCCGCTGAGGTTGAGCGCCTGGGCGCGAAGCTGGAAAAGGAAACGGAAACTGACATTCTTCTGGCGAGGAGGCGGCGCGAAGCCAACGATGAGTATTTCCGGCGTGTCAACAACGGCGTTATTGACGTTGTGGCTAAACTTGATGACGTTGCGAAGGCTATGAGGTCTGTTGAGCAGGAGAGCAAGGATGTCTGGAACGAAAGCGGTATACTTGCTGGAAACGCAAAGATGTGACGTCGCAGGTACCATGCTTAGGTGCTATCTATCTCATATGCATTGTTTCGGCGTTTTTGGTTTGAAGAATGAGACTTCTTGCTGCTACCATCATCTGTAACAATATGGCTTGCACTGAAGAACTATGTATAATACGACCATGCAGCCTTCTATTCTTCTAACTACACCCTTTCCTCTGTTTTTACATACAAAGAAACCATCATTACTACCGTTCCCAGTAAATCTCAGCCAGTCTTCACAAGCACAATCCACGCCAGAGATGAAAGAACAAATGATTCCTTCACGGGGCGGGGTAAATTGGGACGCGGTAGTCGTCACGAAGGAATCAGGAGACTTTTAGTGGTTTCTAGATCGCTCAACATGACCATGCTTATTTACATAGTGCGACGTAAGCTAGAGGAACTTATGTTATACGAGTACACAGCTATCTAAAAGTGTGTAGTCGTGTTGACTTGTATCGCAGCCCCTCCAATGTACTGATAGCGCAGAACTTCTGGATTCACATGTGAGTCCTAATTGTTAGTAGGTTTGCCTATTGTGTCATACCCTCCTGCCCAAGAGGGCAGGCGGAGACGGCCAGATGTTGGCGGCTAAGCTTCGGGTAGCTTGAATCAGTCGGAATAGGCGGAAGCCTGACCAACCCATTTCGCCACATCCGGGGTCATTTGTTAAGGCAAGGCACCCGCTCTCCCTCTCTTATTGACACATGCTTCGTTCGGTGCCGCCGCCACTCTTCTCAACTTCGAGGAAACACGACATAAGTACTCTGATCCGCCATCTCCTCACTTCACGGTCAGACGCCAGACGTTCACCAAACAATTATTTTCCATCTTCCTTCTACTAAACACAACTTCCAACAAAACAATATTCCGACAACACATACCTTTGGGCTCAATCGAAGATACCGCCCAAACTACATCCAAAGACCAACTTTTTATCCATAATGCGTGCCGTCAGCTTCGTCGTCGCCACCCTGGCCGTGGTCCCCAACGTCCTTGGAAAGTCCGCCGTTATCTCCTTTGCGGACAAAGACACTCCCGACTCCATCGTACAAAAGGCCAAGGACGATATAATTGCTGCGGGTGGCACCATCACCCACACCTACAACATTATCAAGTACTCATACACCACTCTATGCATCCCAAATTGGAATATAGGCTAATCAGTATATAGGGGATTCGCCGTGGAAGCACCCGAGGATGCCCTGGCGGCAATCTCGGCCTGGGGCACAGAGCACAAGATGACGGTTGAGGCGGATCAGGAAATGTCAATCAACTCGGGCATTTAATCGTTAAAACTGTATGGTTTTCTCTTCAAGGAGTAAAGGATTATTTATGTATGGGGTTTTATGGTAGCGATTCTGCTGGGTTCGGTTCTTGCTGGATGCCTAGAGTCAGTGCTGGGACTAGGGAAACTCACCGGATACCGCTCTGCGCTGCGCCCTGGCCCGGCTGGACATTGATTGTATTGACTGATGTGTGTGCCATTGGGCTTAATTTGCATAGTTCACAAAGAATATCAAAGCGCTGTTTCATCATGTTTCAGATGGTTGGGTACGTGTCTATCGTATGTGTGACATGTGTACGAGTCCAGACGACATGAATAATATTTCCACTGCTACTACGGCGCGATTGATACATGCACGATGTTAGGCAGAGACAGTAGATATAGCGGTATCGTTATATTACTACTTAGTACTAGGTTGTGATGTTGCACATGGTCATTACCCAGCAGCAACACAACAACAACAACAACAACAAAGAAAAAGGGCTGTCAGGCTTGTAGGCAAAAGCGGTCAGCTCGGTGACCTCTCTTTGGGGTCTTGTATCAACTTGTCCTTACTGTGTTATTACTTACTTGCGACGTACGGAGTACAGGGTTTTAGCTGTGCATTATTATTACCTAGACGAGTAGTAATACTGCTCGTATCCATTGGTAGTCACCGAGTCCCCTGAGACACGACGTCTGTCACGTCTACGAGTATGCACATTAGAAATAGGGGAAATAATTAGAGAGAATAGATGGATGGCAGCAAGGATGCACACACTGAGATCCCACTGCTCAGACATCTGCGGTACACAAGGATTGGGGTGCATGACCCGTTGTGATGCAGAAGCGGCAGTAGCCTGTAATATATGTAATAAGCAGCGAAGAGTAACGGGGACCCCTTACTGCTGAGCTCGAGACCCCCCCTGCTGTGGATCAAAGCTGTCGGGAGAGGGGGGAAGCCACGTCCAATTTAACTTGACAACCTACCCAACGAACGCGTCCTTGCTGACACCAAGGGCCATGAGTGCCGTCACCATAGTCGTCTTGTAGAGTATACAGACGGCCTGGGTTTAGGCAGCTCCGTCCAGGCTTGCTTTGCCCATTGTGCTCTTCGCCGTTGCCGCTATTCTCCGCCGTGACACGCCTACCAATACTTTGACCCGAGCCCCCTCCTCCAACATTGTTACGAACACACGATCTACAGCATATTCCTACATACTCCGTCCTCTCCCTGTCCAGCTAGCATTGATATATCAGGATGCCTCAGCCAGCGGCTAAGGCCATGCCGGCCTACAGCCTGAGCGCCCAGGCTGCGCTGCTGAAAGCTGTACGTATATTCTCTGTGCCGCGACGCCCGTGCCAGACCATGAAATTAGCCGAAAGAACCAAGGATGCTAACCGCTTGTTACCACTCCGATAAGGTGAACCGAGTCTTTGAACTAGACCGTGCAGTAGAGTCCCTCGAGGAGCTTTGCACGGGAGTCACCCTCGCTCACATTCTCCACGAGCTCGACCCTGAGTTTGATCCCTCCAATCTAGAGACGACGGGCACCTCCACATCTAGATACCTCAAGAACAAGCGCAATATTCAAACCGTCTACAAGGGCCTTTTCCGCTTCATTCGTCGCCAAATTCCCATGCTGAGTTGCCAGGCCAAAAAATACGACTACCATGCCATTGCCGACAACCCAAACTCCCAGGGCATGAGCCAGGTATGATTTGCTCCCACTCCTGTGGTTGCATGCAGGAGATTCTTCGTCCACCAGTTATTGACGCCTCTTTCATTGTAGCTGATTGCCGTCATGGTATCCGCTGCCGCCCTCGGTCCTGACAACCAGAGATATGTCCCAAGGATCCAGCACAGTCTCGATCGCGATACGCAGGCTGAAATCATGCAGATCATCACCATCGTGCAGCAGGATATTGCAGCATCCAAGGATGACGATGACCTGGATGAAGCTATAGATGCTGTTATGGAAGCTCGAGATATAGACTTGCTCGTAGAGGAGCAGAATGCTGCCCTCCGTCAACAGCTTGACGTGACCAAGAAGAACTTGTCCGACTACATCACGCGCCTTGAGCACCTGCAACTGAGTCACGAAGAACTCCGATACGAGAAGGAGAAGAATGATCGTGAGCTCGAGGTTCTAAGGAAAGCTACCCAAGATGGGGCCAGCAACGCCGAGGCTCTTAAAATGCTTGAGGCTCAGGTTCACGAACAAATGGAGATCATCGCCCGAAACGAGGAGCAAATTCGAAACCATGACAAAGTCAGGGCCCATCTTGAGATGGAGGTTCAGCGGCTCACGCAAAGGAGCGTCTTGGCGGACGAGTTGCGAGACCAAGCTACAGAGTGGAAGCACAAGGCTGAGGAACTGGAGAAGAAAGCCAACACAGCTGAGCGTTACAAGCAGAAGCTCGAATCCCAGCAGCATCTCGTCAGGGAAGTTCAGAACCTCCAATATGAGCGTGCGGAGCTCCAAGAGCAGCTGCGGTCGCTCACTGATGACAAGGACCGTTCCGCCCGGACGAGGAAGGCCGAAGATGAGCTCACCAAGATGATAACGCAATCCGAGCAGCATCTGTGGGACGAGCGCAACCAGAAGTCACAACTTATCAGGGACGTCGCTGCCCTCGAGGATGAACTGAGGCATCTAAAAGACCAACGCAGCCACGACGAAGCCTTCATCCAAGACCTCCAAGACCAGATCCAGCAAGGAACTGGAATTCCTGGCCAGCTTGTCGCCCCAGACAGCTCCGGTCTCAATCTCGAGGACGAGCTAAACAACGCAGCTGAAGATGCCCAGACAAATATACCGTTAGAACTGTCGCGCTTGAAGTCTGAGAATGACCTTCTACGGAGGTCTGTGAATTCAACAGGCGAGGCCGGTCCTCTGCGGCGAGAGCTGGAAGAGGAGAAGGCCCATCGGGAAAATCTCCAGAAAAACTTCAACGAGATGTTCGAGAAGTACACCATTGCTCATAACCATGCCGAAGCCTTGTCGAAGAACATGGTCGGCGAAGGGTTAGTGGATAATAAGGTCGACCACAGGGTTCATAAGCTTACCATCCAGTACTACAGGTCTGATGCCTTTATCGAGCTGCGGAATCAATACCTGCAAAAGACGGAGGGCCTCGAAATGGCCCAGAGGCGCATTGCGGAGCTAGAGACACATATCGCCGACCAATCTCGCCAGTTACTAACTGCCAAATCAGAACTTTCTGCTGTCGACAAGGACAGCGTCGAAGCGTTAAACCAGCTCAGGGCTACCGATACAACGGTATCGGAGTCCCTTAAAGCTGAACTTGATCGGTTGCGCGAGAAGCACAGCTTCATTGTTGGTGAACGTGACGCTCAGAAGACCCAGCTCATCGAAGCGCTCCTTGCCAAGGACAAGTTCCGCAGGGACCTCGAGGAAGGCAGGGATCTCTCTGACAGCAGGGGCGGAGATGCCTCGGAAGCTTCTAAGAAGGAGAGCGACAAGGTTGAGAAGCTTCGTGCTCGTCTGATTGAGCGGAATGAGGTGAGTCTAGGCACCACAACCCCCGTGAATAGACGAGGGACAGGGGAATCATGGACCAAAATCGTGGCCAGGCCTATCCCATTTTTGTTTCTTGGATTCGATGTTTGGAACTGACTTGATGGGCTCTGAAGCAACTGGAGAAATCGGAACAGGAACGCGTCGAACTGCAGCGCAAACTCAAGGCTGTTCTGGGCGGAGAGGCAGCAGCACAACAGAAGGTATGTTTTGACGCCCTGAGCAACATCATACCATACACGTCGTATGCTGTCCTATTGTACCAGGACAGCAAACCTGACAATAGTTATTCTAGGCCGCCTCGGAGCAGATCATCAAGAACCTTGAGCGGGAGAATTCCCTTATGGCGACGGCGTGGTACGACGTCACCAGCCGTCTTCAGAGCAACCACGTCGTGCTACAGAGGTCGCACCACACCCCCAAGAGCTGGCTGCACAAGCAGAGGCAGATGGTCAATGGTCAGTTGCGCCGCCGCGACTCGCTCTACCTCTACTAAAACTGACTTTGTCAGCTACCCCGAGGAGATGATGGAGGACCCTCAAGTTCCTCCCAAGTCCGTGGTCCCGCAGCCCGTCCCTAGACTGGTGATGAGGTGTGTAAATTCGGAATTGAGAAGAAGAGAAATCCAAGGATAAACGATTCAAAGAAACAAGGGCAACAAGTCCACAACGTCGACATATCCAGAAATATCTTCCCTTGCGTGTGCACATCGTCAGCTGAGCAGATGTCATCAACAAGTCCAGTGAGGGCCTAGCACAAGGGCGCTCGGCTGGACGTTTGGAGGGGAAAATAGGGGGCATACAATCTTTCATTTTCTTTATTTCATCATTTCCTTGGGTTGTAGCATTGCAATGGGAGGACCTGGTTCCCTTCCATGCCCTCGTTTCTCTCGTTTCTTTTATGTTTGTGCTGTTAGTTGGTACAATGTTACCTGCGCCTTTCAGACTGGAGGAAAGAAGCAGGTGATTAGCCACTTGCCATCATGTTATTCTCATATATACCCCCTAGTATTACACCAATTTATATAGATTTCAGACGGTATCGTTACTTAGTCCGCGTAGTACATCACAGGAACCCATTGGTGACGGCGAGCGGTTGTTTCGTATAAGATTAAAAAGCGGCTTAGTATTTTTCATCTGACCGGTGACACAAACAGGCGACACAAGGCGGCCTCGATATATATTTGTTACACATGACGATTCGTCTGGTGGTAAGTGTAGGGTGTAGGTGGTAGGTAGGGGGAGAGGGGGTGGATTACACTCTCGTGGTCCACCCACCATATGAACTCCTAGTCATTATCCAACCGAGAGAAGGAAGCGGGAGGGGGAGAGGAGGAGACGTGGCAAAGGTAAAAATATTATACCTAGTTGGAACCAGTGAGCCTGGAGAGAATAGTGGAACCGTGGCCCTTGGCGGAATCGGGCTCGACGATGTTGAGCATGCTCTTCCAAACCTGGCCGGGCTCCTGGCTGGCGTCAATGGCCTTCCAAATCCCAGTCTTCTGGTAGTAGCCAACGACAGGGGAGGTCTGAGCATGGTAGGTGCCCAGGCGCTTGGTGAGGGCCTCGGCGTTGTCGTCGCTGCGCTGGATGAGGGGCTCGCCGGTGATGTCGTCCTTCATGTATTCTTTGGGGGGGTTGAAGGTGCGGTGGTAGCTGCGTCCGGAGGCGGGGTGAACAAGACGGCCGGTGATGCGCTCAACGAGAAGGGAGTCGTCAATCTGCAGCTCGACGGCGTGCTGAAGCTCCTTGCTACGCTCCTTGAGCATGGCGTCCAGGCCCTCGGCCTGAGGAACGGTGCGCGGGAAACCGTCGAGGATGAAGCCGCCCTGGCACTCCTTGTTGTTGTCCAGCTCCTCCTTGATCATGCCAATGACGATGTCGTCGCTGACCAGACCGCCCTGGTCCATAATCTTCTTGGCTTCGCGACCGAGGGGAGTCTTCTTGGCGACCTGGGAACGGAGCATATCACCGGTAGCCTGCGATAGAGAAGTCAGATATGGTGTTCATGAGAAGATGCATAGGACATTTCCGCGCGGTCAGGGATTGTTGGATGGGGAAACATACCAGGTGGCAGCAAGAAAATCGCTCCTTCAGCTTGGGGGCCTGCGTTCCCTTGCCTTGAAAGCACGCGCGCAAGTCAGTAACAGCCAGGAAAGCAGAAAAAGGCCAGAGAGGAGAGAAAAAAACTCACCAGCGCCGGGAGGTCCGATGAGAATCATGCGGAGATCGGCGGCGGTCGGCGACGAGCCGGCACCACGGTCCTCGAGCCTCCTGATGCGCGACTCGAGGTTGCCGATGACATCCTTCAATTGCTTAACCTCGTCCTCGATGATGCCCATGATGGCGGTGTTGGCGAGTCAATTGGGGGTATAGACTGTATATGGGGAGGAGGGAATAAAGAGAACGGAGGAAAATGAGGAGGGAATAGGGGATGTCGTGACCGGTTCGGAAGCAGTGCTTAAAGCTAGAATAAAAGGAATTGAAGCCAGGCCAACAAGTTAATAGCGGGTGGGAAATACTGGTGCCGTCTCCGTCGCAGGCCACGGGTCACGGCTGGAGGGAGCTTGGGCGAGCGAGAGGCTTGATTGGCTACGATGGGACACAGTTTTGCCTCAGTGCGCGGACTGAGTACTTTTTGCCTGAGTACCGCTTGAGACGTTCGCAACCGTATTGAAGTACCGTGCCCATGTTTGCCAGTACTCTGAATAGTATTAGTATTTTGAGCAGTACTATAAGAGTAGCAGCAGTATGGATCTCGTACGGGGGGGGGCTGGAGCCACAAACATCGTCCGGTGCCCCTGTTCACTTGTCCGAGTAATAATATCGCATTTTTGGATGATTTATCTTCCCCCGAGTCTTTTCTTTCTCATTTAGGGACTGCCATTCCAAGTCAAAGGTCTTACAAGTAACACGCCACATGTTTGTCTAATGATGAATCCCCCATAGGGAGGTTACACTTGTTTGTACCCGAATACTCTATATTCATGTCCTTTCCATATGTCCGTCAGTCGCCGAGGCCCAGGACCGCTCGGTATCCGGTCATCCGCAACTGCATCACATGTCTTATGTTGGACAAAAGCGTCGTTACACGGTGATATAGAGCCATTAATTGCTCTTCGCAATGCATTGAAACGCATCCGGAATTTGTTGTATCGGAAACATATATACCTTTTTCCCTCCAAGTCGTGTCAATCACAGGTTAGGCCTTGTACATATATTTATATTGATTGTATTTCATGTATTCTTGATTCCGTACGCTGACTACCTAAACTCATTATTACGACCTGTCGGTGTTTCATCGGACATTACCGACAGTGCATATATGACTAATACGACCAAGCCACACACCACGTTCGATAGAGGCTGATGCACAATGTCACGTGATTTATTGAGGCTCGAGCCTTTCGCGGATGGGCTCGTGTCGGAGCTCAGCAGCTACAGTTAGAAGGCAGGCAGCATTCAGTGTACGTACGAGTACGGCATTCGACGAGCCAACTTGTCCAATTTCCAGCAACGTCACATCTCTTCATCGATCCATCGCGTGTCTCCCTCCTCCATAACTGCCTGTGGTCAACACAGACAAAAAGACTCTCAACACACAACCACCATGCCTTCCACCACGACGGAGACCCTCTCCCTCGTCAGCCGAAACGTCACCGTTGCGCCTCTTGTGCTGCTGAGTGCCGTCGACCACTACAACCGAACCATACAGAACCAGGTCAAGTCACGGCGAGTGGTTGGTGTTCTTCTCGGACAGAATGATGGAAAGACTGTGAGAGTATCCAACAGCTTTGCTGGTACGTTTACGTCATGGATGTGCTTCGTGTATGGCATCAATGTGCTGATGTGGTGCCCGCAGTGCCGTTCGAGGAGGATGAAAAGGACCCGTCGGTTTGGTTCCTGGACCATAACTTCATCGAGAGCATGAATGACATGTTTAAGAAGATAAATGCGCGTGAGAAGCTGATAGGATGGTACCACTCCGGCCCCAAGCTGCGAGCCTCGGACCTCCAGGTCAACGAGCTCTTCAAGCGCTACACACCGAACCCTCTCCTAGTCATCATTGATGTGCAGCCCAAGGAGGCAGGCGTTCCTACAGATGCTTACTTTGCCGTGGAAGAGATCAAGGATGTAGGTTTTTCTTTCCTTTGCTATGTATCTATTTCTTCCAAGGCTTGGTCGGCTGACTCTTTCTTGCAGGATGGCACCACGACGTCGAGGACCTTTGTCCACATCCCGTCAACCATCGAAGCCGAGGAAGCGGAGGAGATTGGTGTCGAGCATCTATTAAGAGATATCCGAGATGTGGCCGTCGGCACTCTCTCGACCCGCGTCACCAATCAGCTGCAGTCGCTGCAGGGACTCCACCTGCGCCTACGTGATATCGGGGCCTACCTCCAAAAGGTCCTGGACGGCAGCCTGCCCGTCAACCACGCCATCCTCGGAAACCTTCAGGACATCTTCAACCTGCTACCGAACCTCTTCACCCCCGAAACGGGTGGCAAGACCGGCAGCGGCGAGCTCGCCAACGCTCTGAGCGTCAAGACCAACGATCAACTTATGTCTATCTATCTGAGCAGTCTAATACGGGCCATCATTGCCTTCCACGACCTGATTGAGAACAAGGTCCAGAACAGGCAACAGCAGGAGGAGCAAGAAGCCAAGAAGGAGGAGCTGATCAAGGACAAGGAGGGCCAGGCCAATGGGGCCAGCGGCGAGAGCAAGGAGGTTGGGGATAAGGACAAGGAGCAGGAGTCTAAGGATAAGACGAAATAATGAAGAAACGGGAGGATGACTGGGTACTTTAGACGGGCAAGGCGCTCGGGGCAAAAATGGTCTGGGCGTGTTTGATGGGTTGATCCTACATGGCTATTGACACATTTTAAAGCATGGGTTATTAGATGCCTGATTGTACTCGTACATTGGAGAATAGTCATTTGAAGAAGAATCTTTTCTTCTACCTAAGTTATGTGGCATGTATGCCACAGTCATCCGCGTTCATGATGACTACCAGCTATCCTGACACGATATCATGTCCCAAGCTCATAGCCCTGCCACGGTGCCCGCAAGCTCTTCTCTAGACACTCGCCTATTCTCAACATGAGTTCCGGGCGACTGGCCCCATGTTTGCGCCAATAAACAGGCAAGCAGATGTTTGCAGCAGGGTATATGGCTGCCCTTCCCTTCCTGGCCATTGTTACTCAAGCCTCCAAACTCCCATCTAGGCGACGGATAACTTGCTGTTCGCTGATCGCGGTCGCCCCCCTCCTGTATCTCCGCTTCCTCCGTAGACATCCCAGTCACCGATATCGGTGTGAATGCATCAAGGACAAATCCTTCGCAGGAGCAGCTCCATGCCGACATGCGCACCACGTAACTTTTGGTTGCTGCGGCGTCATGGCGACGTTTGCTACGGCGCCCATTATCACCACCCGTCGACTTGACGACGTACACTACTGGCGGTTGTGCGTCGGCGCCGCCCCTTCCGTCCAACTCAAGCAATTCCGGGCATTCCAAGCAGGTGATGAGTTGGTGGTCTAGTAAGTCGAGGGCCGGCAGGACCAAGGTGGGGAAGAGGACATGGAGGGTGAGGAGGAGCTGGCGGCGGGTGTCTTCACCGTCAGGTTGAGGAGTTTGCGTAGTCGTCGCTGCCAGAGAATTTATCAGAGACGTGAGGAATTGGCGATGAGAGGGTAGACCGTTTGGCATCTCGTGCCGATGGCCATTTCATGTGATGGTGTTGGATGCTTGTTTGACCTGCTCCACTGCGGCGGCGCGCGTGCCGCTGCACAAGTATGCGCTGTTCACGACATCCACGCTAGAACGATGGTTTGAACACAACAATTCACAGTCTAGTGATTTTTTTCTTCTCTTGGTACATATAGGGTACAATGTCTACATATACGGGCATCTATGATATGCGAGAGCCCGGCATGAAATACAAATAAATGTAGTAGTAGTACAAATCGCAAAACAATGTTGTTACACACATGAGAGTGGTGCGTGCATGTCTCCCTATTGGACCCACTCTTTGGGTTCTTTGAGGACGTCAACAAGACGCTGCTCCCTGCTTTTGGGCTCAGGCTCGTGCATATACATCCACGAGGCGGTCAGGGGCAGACTCATGAGGATACTCTCGACACGTGAACCGGGGGTGTTGAGGCCGAAGGCGGTGCCGCGGTCGTGGACGAGGTTGAACTCGACGTACTTTCCGCGGCGGATCTGCTGCCATTGCTTCTCTTTCTCGGTGAAGGGCATGTCCTTGCGGCGCTCGAGAATCGGAATGTACGAGGGAAGGAAGGACTTGAGGCAGTCCTGTATAAAGGCAAATGAGTTTTCGCGGTCGTGCTCGGACTCATCGAGGTCGTCGAAGAAGATGCCGCCGATGCCGCGCGACTCGCCGCGATGCTTGTTGTAGAAGTACTGATCGCACCACTTCTTGAAGCGCGGGTAGTAGTCCTTGTCGTGCGAGTCGCAAGCTTCCTTGAGCGTGCGGTGGAAGTGGATGGCATCCTCGTCAAACAGGTACGAGGGGGTCAAGTCGCTGCCGCCGCCAAACCACCACGTCTGCGACGTGCCGTCCGGGTTGGCCGTCTCAAAGTATCGGTAGTTGAGGTGCACCGTGGGCGCCATCGGGTTGCGCGGGTGCAGTACCATGCTCAGACCCGCGGCGAAGAAGTCGAGAGACTCCACGTCCGGGTCCAGGCCTTTGTGATCGGCGCGCATCTTGGCAATAGCAGGTTTGGGCAAAGACCCGTAGACAACGCTGACCCCGACGCCGCCCTTCTCAAACACGTTGCCGTCTTGCAGCACGCAGGTGATGCCACCGCCGCCGTCCTTGCGGTCCCATTCGTCCTGGCGGAATTTGGTCCCGTCGATCCTCTCCAGCTCCTTGACGATAATTTGTTGCTGCTCCTTGATGAACTTTTCCATCCGCAATCGCATCGGGGAATCGTCTCTGACGGCTGCATCGCGCTTCTTCTGCGCATCTTTTTCGGCCAGAGACGGAGGATCGAGCCTGATAGGTTTCGTGGTTTTCTGCCAAGTTCTCGGCATCAGTAAAAGATGATCCCTTAAGATCCATTCTTGGAGCCAACGTGCGATTCTTTCCTTACAGAATAGTGGTAGGCCAGGGACGCGGCCACACCAAAGGCGGCCGTAGCCCCGATGAGCGAGAAGTGCCAGGGCGCCTTAGCTGTCTGACCAGCGCCCGACCGAGTGCCAAAGTACCTCACGGTGTTCAATTGAGGTGTCTGCGACTGGGTCGGGAAATGGGTAAGTCGCGTCGCGAAACGTTGTGCTTGCCGCCTTGTCGCCATGATAGGCAAACGGCAAGGTGCCAGTTGGGTATGTGATGGTGGTATGGGCAGAAAAGAACAGAATGCAGTCGAATTACCTTGATGATATTTGAAGAAAAGGAGAAAATAAAAGAGGTTGGACTGAAAGAATGACGGAAGTCTTTTTGTACACAAATAAACGTGTCGATTCTACAAGTCGGCCGAGATTTGGTAGAGAATCTTACGATCCCAAAAAAGGGATGGAACGGGGGTCCTCTCAATTGGACACCTCGAGAACAGTAGACGGCGAGAGCCGTTCGGCGAATAGCCAGAGGGGCAAAGACATCATGTTAGTGCTGGGGCCGTGCTGTGGCCTGATGTACTAACACCACCAGAAGCTTGAATCCTCTAGTACGTAATAACTCTTGTGACTGACGAGTCTCAAGACAGGGAACCAGGTGGCATTGTTTGAGGTGCTTGGATATCAGACGATGTACGGAGGGGAACGATCACTAACAATATGGAATACAGAGGGTGTGATGATCAAAGGTTCCTACTCGAGAATCAAAACTGTGATATCTGTGTTACAGACTCCAAGTTGGCCAGAGATGCGTGTCTACATGCTACTTGCAGAGAGCGATAGTTTGGGCAACATTGCATGGTCGCCGGCAGTTGTGCATATTTCACAGTCTCTAAACATAATTCCCCAAAAAAAAATTGAATTTTGCGACGCTGTCGGCGATCGCGGCTCGTGGCTCGAAGGCATCAGAATGTGTACGTGTGCGTCGTCGCGATGATGGGTGTCCGACGCCTTGACCAACTTCATCGAGTGTAACCATCAGGTACCGTACATATGATGGCCTATTGCAGTGTGCTGGTAAGTGATACTGCTAGTAGGACTCCGTACCAGTAATGCAATATTTAATATTGCGAGTATAAGACAGGCGAGGTAATGCTGAATGTACTCGTACTTGGTACCACCATGTTGCGACTCTATGGACCATGACATTCGCCACCATTTGCGTGATCTCGTGATCCCTAATCAAGAGGGAGAAGGATGGCCTTGCCTGCTGATACGCACAGTGCTAATATGGGCGTCATGGACAGTAGTTCACCGCCTCTCTACCACTGGCATACACAGTGTTAATATTCCGGAAACGGACTAGTGTATCAGCCCCGCGTCGTCATGCCACACAGCCTGTGACTCTTGAGTGACTAAAGTCTTTGTCCTGGTCGCTGTTGTTAGCCTGTTGTTACTGCTTGCGGGCTTTCTGCTTGCTATTGCGAGTATTACAAAGCACAAAGTGAAAAGTCATTAGGTCTGTTGATTCTATTTGTACTTTCCAAGCGCCATATCTCTTTGTAAGGTCGTACCTAGTACAGAGCACAGTAGTACTTCTATTAGCAGTTGGTTCGGCTGTCTAGTGAATCCCCCCGCCCCTCCCCCTAGGCAGCCTCACCCCTCTTCCCGCCCACCGCCTGCTTACCTGAGGACCGACCTGTTCATCTATTGAGTCAGACACCTCCCATAATTCTCATTGCCCATCAACCTGTCCCAGCCCAACTAAACTGTCCTTCTTACAACATCATCAACCTCCCCCTTCTGCCATCCACCAAAGCATCACCGCCACACCCTTTCTTACCGAAGACTCTATATCACGTACCCGCCCATTTCGTCATCATGCGCAGCAAGTTCAAGGACGAGCACCCCTTCGAGAAGCGCAAGGCCGAGGCCGAGCGTATTCGCCAGAAGTACTCTGACCGTATCCCCGTGAGTTTCAACCCTCATATCCTCTCTCTGTTTCTCTTCATCGAGGCCTTTGTTTCGTTATGCTTCGACTGCTGTTCGTCGTCGGCATCGTTGACCGCTTTCTCACCTGCCGGTCGCTCCCTGCGGACTGGGCCAACCGACCTCCCCCTATACCTTCATCAACCCTGATAAATGTGTGAATGCATTTACTGACAAGAGTCCCCACACAGGTTATTTGCGAAAAGGTTGAGAAAAGCGACATCGCCACCATCGACAAGAAGAAGTACCTCGTCCCGTCGGACCTGACGGTGGGCCAGTTCGTCTATGTTATCCGCAAGCGCATCAAGCTCTCGCCCGAGAAGGCTATCTTCATTTTCGTCGACGAGGTTCTACCCCCGACTGCCGCTCTAATGAGCAGCATTTATGAAGAGCACAAGGACGAGGATGGGTGAGTCTGCTTCCCCTTCTACCACTTTGTACATTGTTTTGGCCTACATGCGCTGACCAGGCGATTTTAACAGGTTTCTCTACATCACCTATTCTGGCGAGAACACGTTTGGTAGCGACTAAAAGGCCATGCGTACTATGTTTCTTTGCGGATATTTGATAAGAGTGATGATGGCGTTTAGGGCTTTACTTGGTTTCGATTTTTTTCATTTATTGCTTTTTCACCAACAGGATTGAGGTTCTGTGATACCAGCGAGCACCCAGCGCACGGGGCACCTCCCCCAGTCCAGTCTCTTCCTTCAGAATAAACCTGGTTGTTGTTATATTGCTGTAAAGAAACACATTTGGAACGGAGGAGCCACCTCTCAACGCATACTAAGGATCGAAAGACACGAAGCAGACATGGGAGAAAAATGGCTCACTCAGTCAGCTACATTATGTCTCGTTCAAGGCTTCCCGTTTGGAACAGTCATTCTCGACTTCCCATGATGCCTTGTCATGAGCTCTTTATTGGAATGTCCACTGGAGATGGCAGGCAACTCTAGGCAGCGTGATTAATAGATACATAATTTCTATACTCTTTCGAAAATTCTTTCCATGAAGAACTTCTGTAGTCCGTGTCACAGGCGTTATTCTGTGTGATGTCATGGGTTATATACAGCTCACGAGGATATTGGTTTATTAAGACGTGACAAATAGGCGTGTGACAGCTACGGTGGGTAGTAGGCAATGGGCACTTGAATGCCCCCCGCCAGAACACATGCACATGTCCTCCTCGGAACGGCCTGCATGGATGGGATGCCACTTTGGGATGCTAATACTAGCAACAAAGTCTCGGTAGGGCTGAGACAGCTCGAGTTGTTGTTACCGCGTATCGTACCTGGAGTGGTCCCGGCGCCTGGGCACTCTCGAGAAAGCGCCCAGCGAAACAAGGTAAATATCGATTGACAGCCAATCAAGCTACTCTCATGGGTCCGTTTAGAACGAGCCGATTTTCTCACTTGAGAGGACAGAATTACAGAAAGGCCTGGTTTTACCTAAAACTTCCCCGTACGGTAAAAGTGATAGTCAGCAAAGTCCTTTGTCCATTGCTGCGCCTTGCCATGAGATTCTTGCTGCTGAAAAGAGCAGGCTGGCTGTTAATACTGACACTGACGTCAGTGTGACAGGTGGGGGGGATCTTAGTGCGTGCCACTGGCTCTTTCCTTATATGCTGGTACAACCTACGTTAACACTCTTTCACGCAGGAACAAGCTTCCTCCCCCCGCGCCCCTCTAATAACGCCTTGTAACGAAATACGACGTGCTACCTCCTCCAAGCTCCATGGTTTTTTTTTCGCGCTCTGTCAGAAGAAGGAAAGAAAAAAAAGAAGTGAAACAAGTTTCATATTTTTTGCGCGTACAGTACGAAGCGCTGTCAGCCAGTCACTGGCGTATTTTCAAACTTCGTGGGCGGCTATTGGTGGGGCAACCCGCAGAATCGCTAGGTTAGGAAAATCTGGCAGGGTATTGTTGATGGTGAACAGGATTCAAACTTACTGTTAAAGCGAAGCGTCTTCTTGTCAGCGACTGTTTGCACAAAAAAGGTTGCTTGTCATCCAGTCCATCGAAACTTCCAAGACAGAACTGTACTAGTCTAATCAACAGTTGACTCTTGTTTGCCATTCGATACACCGTTGGAGCTGTACTTCAAGGCTAACCCGTTTTTAGGGAAAGATGTGTCGACCCCGATGAATGATGACTCCTCGATGGATAATACCCAGGAACACTGGCATGGAACACAAGCACACTTCTACCTTGGGCTCCTCAGACTCAATGTGCTCCATTAATGGGGTACAGAGCCATGTCACGGGAGCCTTGAACAAATATTCCCAGCTCGTTGCCGTACTTCGTCACTATAGCCATCGCACAAAAACAGGACAATGGGACGCTGTAGGATCAACATCAGAACAGCGCAGTCCATGGAAAGCTCCTTCGCCAATAGTCAAGTCTCGCCAAGATCCAGAAGCGCTCACTCATATTCCAGAGAAAGGTTCACCACTTCCTTTCTACACGGAGTTGCCCAGGTCTTTTTTTGGATGTTCTATTTAACGCTGCCCACCCGCGGGAAACTCTGGGTGGGGCGGATGCTTGACTGGCTGTCATGGTCTCCGAAGCGCTTCGGAAAGTCTACAAACGCGCCGACAATGAAGAAAGAAACAGCCCTCTGGCAACCGGGTCTGTGACAGCAGGGAGATGGTTGATTGTGATTGGAGGACAGCTTCGAACACTTCAAAATATGAATCAGGCGAGTTTGAGCTGCTTTGTTTCCTTGCTTCGGATTGTTCAGTGTTTGTGGATCTCTTATAGTCCCTTTGTCCTCCAATGCCCTTCTTCACTCTTTTCCTATTGTTCCTCCTATTCACACATCTATTCGTTCTTCCTATTCAAAGCCACCATGATCATATGAGCATTTTCTCTTCTCTTTGTTTCCTTTTTTAACTTTTATATTTGGTCCGCTTGACTTATCACCTTTTCTTTGTTGTTTCGCCTTTCTTCTACTCTCCGACGACTTCATTGCTTCACGACCATCTTCAATTAATACATCTGCTCTCCCTATCCTTACGTCGATATCGTCTCACTAGCCGTAGCCTTCTTCTTTTTCATTTCCCTGCAATATATCAACATCTTTTCATACAAAACCAATCCCTACCCACCGAGTGAAAACGTGGATAAGCTCGAAATGTCTTTCCCGCGGAAGGACGAAGACCCGCCAAGGTACTACCCAGAAGTTCCCGACTCCCTGAGGTCTGATCCCATCGAAATGTCCAAGACACGCAAGCTGCACGAAGCTCGTGTAAATACTGCACCATACATCACACCATACATTGGCCTCCGGTCACGCTTGTCCCAGATATGGATCAACCGTTGGACCGTTCTTCTGCTGCTGGTACTGGTCCGTGTCCTGCTGCTGGTGGTACAACTCAATGACAATGTGGGTGATGCAAAGATCCAGGCACTCTCAGCCTGTAGCAAAGTGGAGGATGTGGGAAGCTCGATGGCATCTATGCCACACTACCTCTCAGTAGGCGTCAACGACTTGGCCGCTACGGGAATTGAGAAATCCGTCCATGCCATGGTGACTATACTGGACCTAATTCTCCAGGGAGTTGAGAGTCTCATATATTTCTTCATCGACTATCTCGTCGGCACCTATGTCTGCTTGCTTACTGCTTTGGTCAAAGGCAGCCTCGACGTCGTGGCCGACATCACCGATGATGCCAACGATGCCATAAATAAGGTCATCGGCAGTGCCACCAAGGAGATTAACGACATTTCCGACAGCCTGACATCCAAGATCAATTCTGTTCTCGATGGAATCCAGAACAATATACTCCCCGGGGCCGACACACCTAAGGTTAACTTCTCCGAGCCTGTCGATACTCTCAACAACTTCAGCCTTGACGGCAATGACTTTGCCAAGGACATCAGGGCGCTCAATAACAAGATCCCCGACTTTGATGATGTGCGCAACCTGACAAAGGAGGCTATCGCTATCCCCTTCGACTTTGTCCGCAGGGCCCTCAACGACAGCTACGGCTCCTACACATTCGACCGCGACGTGTTCCCTCTGGCACAGAGGGAGAAGATGACGTTTTGCTCTGATAACGACACGCTTACAGACTTCTTCCAAACCCTGTCTGAGCTCATTCAAAAGGCTCGTGTCATCTTCATTGCTGTTCTCGTTATCCTGGCCATCACCGTCATGATCCCCATGGCCTGGTTCGAGATCCAGCGCTGGAGGAAGCAGCAGTACCACGCGCGCCTCATTGGGAACAACCAGTTTGACTCGATGGATCTCGTGTACATTACTTCACGGCCTATTACATCCACGCTGGGAATCAAGCTGGGATCCAGCTTCTCTGGCAAGAGACAGATTCTCGTCCGTTGGTGCGTTGCCTACGCGACATCCCCCCCAGCTATCTTTGTCCTGTCTCTGGCACTAGCCGGCTTCTTCTCATGTGCCTGCCAGGGTATTCTCCTACATGCTGTCGAGAAGGAAGTTCCGGCTCTGGCCAAGGAAGTTGGCGAGTTCGCTGACGGCATCGTCTCGAGCCTGAACACATCATCAACCAAGTGGGCCGACAGCGCCAACGGAGTCATCACGGGCGTCAACGCTGACATCAACGATGATGTCCTGGGCTACGTGAGGAATGCGACAGACGCTGTCAACGATACAATCACTACATTCATGGATACCATAAGTGACAGCCTGGAGACCGTTTTTAACGACACCCTTCTAATCGACCCCATCAAGTCGGTAGTCCGTCGCGTCATCGGCCTCAAGGTCGAAAGCATCCAGGAGGGACTGACTTGGGTGCATGACCATGCCAAAGTATCCCTGCCGCCCTTCCCTGATGGTGTGTTCAGTGAAGGAGCCAAAGAGTCCATCGACGGCGACTCTGACCTCACCACCTTTCTGGCGTCCTCCTCCAGCGCTACTACCGATGAAGTATCAGGCGCCGTCACCAAGGTGATCAACTGGCTCCGCAACAATATCATCACCGAAGCTCTTGTATCAACAGGAATCCTCCTCGTGTACATCATCGTTGTTCTCATGGGTGTAATTCGTGCCCTCGTGGGCATGGTGACTCCCGACAAGACCCGGGCCGAGGGAGCCGGCAACATGGCTTTCGTTGGTAATGATGATGCACCTGCGACACCGCCCCAGACCTGGCAGAGGGATGGACAGTATGCGGGCTACGGAAACGACTCGCAGGACCAGACTGGTGTCTATGCGTCCACCAACGAGAAGCCTACCGCACGTCCAAGACAGACATCCACACTGCATGTTTGGTGAGAGAGTGGACACTTTCTTTCTCAACGTCATCCCAACCAGAATGTGAAAATAAGAAGAAAAAGAACACGGACATAATCTTTGAAACCAAAAAAAGAGGGAAGGACAAGGCGAGATCAGCTGTTGTTAGAATCACCCTCTTACCCGGCTAGACCGGCGCCGAGAGGTTCTCTCTTACGACAAGAGAGTTTGTTAGGCTTGGCTTTTAATGTCTTTTTATATACACCAGCACAAAGGCGTTGAGGTTTTGGTGGCGTCGCATGCACTGTTTTCTTTTCTTTCGTCAATTTTGGAACACTATTGAGGGGCCCATGCCGGAGAGAACACTACTAGCATTTGCATGATATCAGAGAGGAGTTTTCTTGATCCCGAATTGCCAGGCTGGAAGTACCCTGAAATACATCATTTTTTAATACCCTTCGATTTATCGTAGCCCAAACCGCAACGGCTGTCAGCAATATCTGTCACCCTTTCAGACTTCATGTTACTACCAACATACCAATATTGATAATGGCTAGATCGAAGCTTTATTGAAGTCATAAAACCAGTGTAGTATTATGTATATGTAATGGATGTGGCACTTCCCAATCTAGTAAGTCCGCCCTGCATAAATGCGGGCGGTGAGAAAGCTGCAGATGGCTTGCATGAATTCTGCCACTCCGCTTCCGCTGGCGGCGGCCAACATGGTGGGGTGAAAGAGGCGAAATTTCTCAACTCAAAACTGTCGAGAGTCAAGACAAGAAAGATAAAGACAACACGTAAGTCACATTCACGACATATATTCTTGCGTTGTCCCAGTTGATTTTCCATCCATTCATACGATAAAACCAAAGCTCTTCGACAAGATGGAGGGCATCAAGAAAACATTTCAGCGCTGCAAGGCGGAGAACAGGGTGAGTTTGTGTGACCCCGCGATCTCCATTTTCTGCCTCGGATGGTGGGGAGACTGACGGGATGTTGGAAATGATTGCAGAGCGCACTGGTGACATATGTCACAGCAGGATACCCCACGCCGGAGGATACTCCTGACATTCTCCTGGCCATGGAGAAGGGTGGAGCTGGTAGGTTGCGATGCGCCTCATGGAAATTCTAAAAGATCGTCCCGGACATCTGACCGGTACCGCATAGATATTCTTGAGCTTGGCGCTCCCTTCACCGACCCCATTGCCGATGGTCCTACCATCCAGACTGCCAACACAATTGCCCTCAAGAATGGTGTCACAATCGAGTCGACACTCGGTATTGTCAGGGCCGCCAGAGATCGCGGTCTCAAGGCCCCCGTCCTGCTCATGGGCTACTACAACCCTCTTCTCAGCTACGGAGAGGAGCGCCTCCTCAAGGACTGTAACGAGAGTGGAATCAATGGCTTCATTCTCGTCGACCTACCTCCGGAGGAGGCTATCTCCTTCCGCAAGCTATGCACAAAGGGAGGGTAAGACTTTTGCTCCTTTTCCCCGCCGTGGCTGCGCATACATGGCTAATAAGAGAGCAGTCTGTCCTACGTCCCCCTTGTTGCCCCCGCCACATCTGATCACCGCATGAGGCTCCTCTGCCAGCTCGCAGACTCCTTCATCTATGTTGTCTCGAGGATGGGTGTCACGGGTGCCCTGGGCAGCCTCAACGCCAACCTACCTGAACTGGTCGACCGTGTCAAGAAGTACAGCGGAAACAAGCCTGCTGCTGTCGGGTTCGGAGTCAGCACCCACGATCATTTTTTGAGCGTCGCCTCAGCAGCCGACGGTGTCGTTGTGGGCAGCCAGCTTATCAGCATTATCGGCAAGGCCAAACCCGGCGAGATCGCCAATGACGTGGCCAACTACTGCTCGTACCTATGCGGTCGCGACCAGTCCCAGATCTCCAACACCCGTGAGATTGGCATTGTCGAGGCGGTTGCCGCGGCCAGGGAGCCCAGTGGCGAAAATGTCACTGTCGAGGGCCGCATCACTGCCGAGCAGGACAGTGACCTTGTCGCTCAGCTGGCCGCTCTCCACGGCAAGATCCCCGACCGCTTCGGCGAGTTCGGTGGCCAGTACGTCCCCGAGAGTCTGATGGATTGTTTGTGCGAGCTCGAGGATGGATTCAACAAGATTAAAGACGATCCCGAGTTTTGGAAGGAATATCGCTCTTATTACGACTGGATGGGCCGCCCTGGACGTCTGCATCTTGCCGAGCGCCTGACGGAGCACGCTGGCGGCGCCAACATCTGGCTGAAGCGCGAGGACCTCAACCACACCGGTAGCCACAAGATCAACAACGCCCTCGGTCAGATGCTGCTCGCCAAGAGGCTGGGCAAGACCAAGATCATCGCCGAGACGGGAGCCGGTCAGCACGGTGTCGCCACGGCCACTGTCTGCGCCAAATTTGGCATGGAGTGCACCATCTACATGGGAGCCGTAAGTGACAACATGTTCCATGGAAAAAGAAGAAAATGAAAGAAAAAGGTGGGGAAAGTGCTAACCACATTTTTGTAGGAGGATGTCCGTCGCCAAGCCCTCAACGTCTTCCGCATCCGACTCCTCGGTGCCAAGGTCGTCGCTGTCGAGGCTGGCAGCAAGACGCTACGTGATGCCGTCAACGAGGCTCTCCGCGCCTGGGTGACGGAACTGGACACGACGCACTACATTATCGGATCGGCCATTGGACCCCATCCCTTCCCTACCATTGTGCGTACCTTCCAGTCCGTCATTGGTAACGAGACCAAGGAGCAGCTCATGGAGAAGAGGGGCAAACTTCCCGACGCCGTCGTCGCTTGTGTCGGTGGTGGTAGCAATGCCGTGGGCATGTTCTACCCTTTCTCCTCGGACCCGAGCGTCAAGCTTCTGGGTGTTGAGGCTGGTGGCGACGGTGTCAACACGGCGCGCCACAGTGCCACCCTCACTGGTGGTTCCAAGGGTGTTCTCCACGGCGTCAAGACGTACGTGCTCCAGGACAAGCACGGCCAGATCCAGGACACGCACTCGGTATCAGCCGGTCTCGACTACCCCGGTGTCGGCCCCGAGCTGAGCTCGTGGAAGGACAGCGAGCGTGCCAAGTTCATTGCTGCCACCGACGCCGAGGCCTTCTCCGCTTTTCGCCTCATCAGCCAGCTCGAGGGTATCATCCCCGCTCTCGAGACGGCCCATGGCATCTTTGGCGCCATTGAGCTCGCCAAGACGATGAATAAGGACCAGGATGTTGTCATCTGCGTCAGCGGTAGGGGTGACAAGGATGTCCAGAGCGTTGCAGAGGAGCTGCCCAAGCTAGGCCCCCAGATTGGATGGGACCTGCGTTTTTGAACAATGATTTTTTGGGTTTGATTATTTGCCGAGGTGGATTTATACCATATGGCGCTTTGGGATAAAAACAATATTGCGTAACCTGGGTTTAGATACACTGCATGCTGCATAGGAGCTGGGAGACGATGCTTCATAGCGAGATAGTTTTATTGTATACATACACATACAAAAAACCACATATTCTTTGTCTTCATTCCCCTTCTCCCCCATTACTGGTGTTTATACATTTGATGTATCATGTTATTACAAAAGGACGTTGTTTAGATCCCGTGGGGGAGGGCATAGGTTAAGCCTTGGGCTGCTGCTGCTGCTGCTCCTGAGCCTCCATCTTCTGGATAAATTCGGCCTCCATCTCGTCGGTGATTTCCTCGACGGCACCGCCGGTGAAGCCGCCGACGGCGGCGGCGTCGTCACCGATTGTGAAAACGTCCTCGAGCTCGAGGTCGGCAAGGGTCTCGCGGCTGCGGAGGCTGAGCTTGCCGGGAGTGGCAGCGTCGAGGGCGTAGGAGACGATGTCATCGTAGTCGCGGACGGGTTGTGGGTTGAGGCCCATGGCGACCCTCTCCAGGTTGAGGCGCTCCTGGACGGCGCGGGTCTGCATGAGCAGGCAGCGGAGGTTCCAGCCGCTGGGGCCCAGCTCCTTAACGCGCGCGGGCTTGTCCTTGAGCAGGTAGTTCTCCAGACCGCCCTCACGCTTTATGGTCTTGAGGACGCGCATCGTCAGGCGGGTCTTGACCTTGGCCCCCAGAGAGGGGGACATGTAGACGCGCACGTGCACGTTGGGCCGCCAGAAGCGCTGAGTCTTGACCTGGTGCTTCTCCGACACGTTGTTGCCGAACTGGATCCGCGCCGACCCGTACAGGCCCTTGTTCGACTGCTTGTACACGCGGCGCTCGCCGTACGGGTATGGCGGGATCACCCGCTTTGGCAGACGAGCCGGTCGGATCGTCTTGATGCTCAGGCTGGGCGAGGTGCTGAAATCACGACGCTGCTGCTGGCACACGGGCGTGCACAAGGGCGATGCTACTTCTGCTGCTGCCACTGCTCCGTTTCTCATCGTTGCGGACGCAAGGTATGCTGACCGCCGGAGCGGGTTGAGTAATGATGTCGTCGACATGGTTTGATGAGTAGGTAAGGGTAGGGGAGTTGTAGCGTTGTAGCGTTGCCTGGGATTCTTTCCCCCCCTTGGAGAGCGGCGATGGCAGTAAGAAGATGTGAAACTACCTCAGGATACAATTGGGGCACATGCCGGTTGCGTAAATCGGATAGGTTGATGGGGCGTCAGGCCGGGTCGTTGTCGTCGTCGTTCGTCCTGGGGGCTAGGAAATGGGAAGTTGAACTCTCGCTAGATTTTCCTGCACCCAAACTCAGGGTCGGCCGGCGGTTGCCATGATCCGCGCTAGTCTTATTGGTTGATGATAGTCACGTGATGGCGCGTGGTTTTCGTGGGGCCAACAGTCACACACCTTACTTAGTTCTATACAGGATATTACTGCATTGCTATATTATTGCCGTACTCACACTTTTCACTGCCTTTCTTCTCGTTCCATTCCAATTTTCGTTTATCAATCTCGTTGCAATATTTCAGAAGCCAAGAAAAAGAAAAAAAGGTAAAAAATCACAAGAGGTCCCATCGGAGGAGACCAAGTTTCTTAGCAAGTTGACTCCGACGTACAGCATAAAATAACAGTTGGATAGTACGTATTCTCTTGCGCAGACCACAGGTCAATAGTGCATCTCCTTGGGAAACTTGCACTGCAGGCCGTTCTCGCAACGTTCAAATGGGCAACGGTGGCCCTGGATGCAGTCAAGGTCCTTGCAGTATGCCCCCTGGGGGCAAGCATTTCGTCGGCTGATGGCAGCAAGGCACTGTGCCGACGACTTGGTTAATCTTGCACCGTGCTTGTGGAAGCAGAATGGATACGGACAATTGCCCAAGAGGTGGTAGCTGTTGCAATACTTCTTGTCCCTGATCTTCCTCATTTCTGGCAGCAAGTGCTGCGGCAGCTGCTGATCCTGACGTCGACCTAGATGATCCCATTTTGGCTTATGGATCCAAAACCCGTTTTCGCCTCCGACTTGGGTCACGTCGGTATCAGGTGGTGACTTTGTCGCTTTGGCTGCCATTGTTGCATAGCCTTTCTCGCCATCTTGTACATGTACACGTAGGTTGGGGGGTGTATCGGGCCGCGAAGACGCTGGACTAGAGAGCTTCCGATCCCTAAAGATATTGTCCAACAAGACCGTTTGAAACCTGTGCATGACATTAGCAATCTCGGATGCTACCCCTGGGCCTTCGACGAGTATTATGCGGCGACTGTTATTTTCGTCTTGCACGTACGGGCCCAACATGCGGGCGTATCCGTTGTCGGCTGTGCCACCAAAGACAACCCCGCGGCAATGAATGTCTGTCATGTTGAACTCAAAATTGGCTGCGCATGATTCCCTGTTAGTCTTGAATGGAGACAGATCGGAAGAGAGAGGAGGGAGGAAGCCACCGTACCTTTCACCTTTTCATCTGCACATTCCTTGCCATTGCCGGCATCGATGTAGTCACACATATTATGACCCATGTTAAACCCACGAACGAAATCGGAGAACGCCTTGGCATTGGAGAGAATCCCGAGCTTGACATATGTTTCGGCCAGGCCAGAAATGTTTGCATAGACGCGGGCATGGAATCGAAGGTTGGGGGCCACGGGCTCGGGAAGCAGTTGTGTAATATTTTCTTCCATGGCACATTTCAAATGCCAGGAAGCTCTCATGCCACCATCTACACCCTGCTTGACAAGCTCATCGTTGAACTGTTTTCATAGAATATTAGCTGGAGAGCCAGATCCAGTGGATGAGTTTGTACTGGGGCTTGTATTACCGGCATGCAATCTCCATCGATGAGTGCTATAACATAGGCATTTCGGTCCTGACAATGTCAGGTCTCTTCGAAGATATTGATATGACGGAGAGGTGAGAGGTAATACCTTAGACATTTGCAATTCACCACCGTTTCTATCAGCCCTTCGACGTCGAAGCTCAATCAGATCACGTAGATCAGCAATGGTTGCTTCGGCATCTTCTAGCCTCTCCTGTTGGGTTCTCGCTAGCTCAAGAAGATTCTATGTCATCGGTGTCAGGATGAAGAGTGTAGATCGTGCACGAGCCTTACCGTACCTTGATCAGTTCATCCCCTTGGGAGCTCCATCTTTCACACTGGTTCTGCAACCCCTTCAGCTCTGTAGATGGTGGTGCCATATCCCTCATTGTCGTAGATCGAGACATGCCGGCTAGCAAAGAGAAGGAAACACAGAAATGCCCTCAGTCTTCGTACGTGCTGGGAGGAACCAATTATAGGCAACAGCAGGGTCAGCTTCTGTATGCTAGCAGTCGTAGAATGGCCCACCAGCCAGAAAGAGAGGCCGAGTGAGCGAACGGGCATATGTCGAGAGAGCACAAGAGGCCCAACCAGCTAGGAGCCTTATACCAACGGCCATGATCTGCCACTGCCCGAACACACATTGCCAACATGCTTTACAAGCCACGAAATACGGGAAAGATACTGCAAATTACAGGTTTTTGTACGGATACTGGCTGCGGCAGCCGTTGGATCGGTCTAAGGCGGTGTCAGGCTGCCTGTTCCTTCAACAATTCAGCCTCGTTGTTGGGGGGATACCACAAGCTATGAGTCATGGCAGTCCCGCCTGGCTATTTCGAACCCAAAAAAAACCCGAATCTGAACACAACAGATAATGCACTTTGATTTGAACGCAATCAGAGGCACGGCGGTGCTTTTTTTCCAGTTGAAGAAAATGAGAACGTTGGTTGGAGACGTTGGGCTGGTCACATGCGTCTTGTGCTGCCATAAACGTACGGCAGGCGCGGCGCTTGTCGCTCCACAATACCCCACGCTCCATCCTCTACTAGCTTCCTCTACCATTGTTTCATACAACCACCTCGACAACGACGACAACAACAATAGTAAGGGAAGAGGTTCAGATGTATTGGATTGACACGATGTCTTTCCCCGTGGTAGACAAGTTGGTTCTACAGAACAACCCCGATTTTGCCCTCCTACACGGCAAGTTGACCAACGTGCTCCTCAACGCCGACGGCTCGACCAAGGAAGACGCAGGGGCGCGCCAACGACGACAAGTCAAGGATGTAAGGCTCAATACACTTTTGCTTTTTTTGCCCCCCCCCCCATTTGTGTGCATAGTCTCATTTGGAAAGAAGAGAGCTGACAACATGAGGGGAGAACCCCACGCAGGAATTAGACAAGCGGCGACTCAAAGCCGCCAAGCAACACATCCTGACCAGGGCCATAGCCACAGCCACACCCGAGCAGAACAGCCAACCGCAACACCAGCAGAAGGGTCGGTTTAGCGGCGGCCGCACGCACAAGAGCCAACAGCACCAGCAAGCCGACGTCGCCGAGCCCCTGATCGATATCGTGCTCCTCCTCCCCTCACTGGTAGACCAGACGCAGCAGCAGCAGCTGTCTCCGGCGGCAGCCACCCTCTTGATGACGAGCGACCCACTAGCCAACCTCGACGCGCTCCTACCCGATCTAGCTGCCCTACTGACGACACAGCTGCGCTCGTCGGCCCTGTCGCTCGCCCGCATCGCCAACCCCACGACCAACCCGTCCTACCTGCACAGACACATAGCCTCCCTCGCGCAGTCCCACAAGACACTATGCGACGCGGCCAGCGCGGCACGCCTGTCCCTCGCGTCGGCCCGTCTGCGCACCCTCGCGTCGCTCGTCGATCTCCTGGCCCTGTACTCCGCCGGTCTGACGGCCTTAATCCGCGCCCTCGAGGCTAAGCACGGTGTTGTCGCCCGCTCCGTCGATCTGCGCTCCGCCGAGGCCTCGCTCGCAGCCATGCATGCCCGGTTCGCTGCCGAGTCAACCCTTCACTCGTCTCGAGCTCAGATATACACCCCGCGTGCCTGTGGGGCCCTGTCTACCTACTCGGCTCATCTGCGTGATGCCAAGGTTCGCGCGGGAGAGCGTGTGAAGGTCCTGTCGGCAGAATTGGCCGGCTACGGTGTCGGCGTCGACGGTGGTGCCAACAAAGAGAGGACTATGCGGGAGATGGCCAGAGTCTACAGGGACATGGCTAGGCAGATGGACGATGCAAAGGCAGACCTAGACAGGCTGCATAAGGGTTGATATCCCCATGAATGACACGTAGCTCTGTATTTTTCATCTGTTATAGAATACCTCATGTCACAAATCAAAAGAAATGCTTGTGTCTGTGTTACCAGCACACATTCTCTTAGTCTTTGAGATTGCATAACTTATCTAGCGGCTTGTTTTCCGTGTGGATTTCATGTCCGTAACTTTTAATCAAAACACACTACTTGCATTGCAGGAAAAAAAAAGGAGGTTCATTATGGCACAGCGTTCAAAGTGATTTCTAGACGAGAAAATGAAATTATTCTATCCTTTCGTCTTCGCTCTTCTCCATTCATCTGCTCTTTAACCCTTAACCTTGAAGATGGCCTCGGCAAGGTGGGAGACGTTGTCGCTGGTGATACCAGAGATGGAGATGCGGCCGTCCCTGGTGAAGTAGACGGAGTACTCCTTGGCAATTCGGTCTACCTCCTCGGGCTTGAGGCCAGTGAAGGCAAACATGCCAATCTGCGAGGTGATGTGGGACCAGTCGTGCTTGGAGCCGAGCTCCTGGAGCTTGGTGCGGAGGAGCTGGCGCATGGTGATAATGCGGTCGGCCATGCCCTTGACCTCAGTCTGCCACTGAGCATAGAGCTCGGGGTCGTTGAGGATGGTCGAAGCGATACGGGCGCCGTGGATTGGGGGGTTCGAGTACATGGGGCGGATGATAATCTTCAGTTGCGAGTCGATGCGCTTGGCCTCCTCGGCATTCTCACCGACGATGGAGAAGACACCGGCACGCTCACCGTAGAGACCCTGTCGATGTGTTAGCAAGCCTTCCTCCGCCTCCTTTTCTGGGCTCCCGTGCTACTAATCCGTAATGTGTAAGGGAGAAACTCACCATGTTCTTGGCAAACGACTGGCAGAGCATAATCTTGTGGCCGTCGGCGACAAACTGACGGACGGCAAATGCATCGGCATCGGAATCACCGCTGGCGAAGCCCTGGTAGGCCATGTCGAAGAAGGGGAGGTGGTCCTTCTCCTTGAAGACCTGCGAGAGCTGTTTCCACTGCTCGGGGGTGGGGTCGACGCCGGTGGGATTATGAGCGCAGGCGTGGAGGAGGATGGCGCTGCCACTTGGGGCGGCCTTGAGGTCGGCGACCAGGCCTTCAAAATCGAGGCCTATGGTGTCTTTGTTGTAGTAGCGGTACTGCTGGACCTCAAGGCCGGCGTCCTGGAAGACGGCCTTGTGGTTGGCCCACGAGGGGGTAGGAATGTAAATCTTCTTGTCACCGGGGAACCAGCGCTTGAGGAACTCAGCACCGATGCGGAGGGCTCCCGTGCCAGAGATGGTCTGGGTGGCGGCCAGGCGGGGGAGGGCGGACGAGTCGGCGCCATAGGCCAGCTTGACGGCAGCATTGGGGAACTCGGGCACACCAGTGATGCCGGCGTACTCCTTGTTCAGCTTGTCGTCAATGACGCGCCTCTCGGCCTCGCGCACAGTGGGGAGGACGTAGGGCTTGCCGGCATCGTCGCGGTAAGCACCAACACCGAGGTTGATCTTCTTGGGGTTCGAGTCGGCCTTGAAGGCCTCAGTGATACCTGAAAGGTTTCAATTCAGGTTAGTCTTTGGATCTGGACGCACATGCACACACGAAAAGCAGGCAAGAATAACATACCTAGAATGGCCTATGGCACAGACGCCCCAAGGGCGAATTTTGTCAGTCAACCGGAACCAAACGAGAAAACAACATGTCCGATAAAACATCGTCGTAGAAATGACCAACGTATCAAGGCATCTTGATACTCACATCCTGTCATCGATTGAATTCATGTTAGCCAAGTTACTCGACATGGGGGGCGACATTTGGCTGTGGGTGTTTGTGATGGTTCGACTCACGGGGGGACCCTTGGGGACGTTGGCCCATCCGCCGAAAGAGCGAGCGGCGAGGGCAGAAGCGACGGTGGGGCGGAGGGCAGCAGCCTGCCTGGCTCCGGCGGCCTTGATGGTGGTGGACAGCATGGTGGAAAGGAACCGTGATGTCTGGGAGGAACGGGATGGAGGGTTATGGGGGAGAACGAGAAGAATTGAGGAGGAGGAGAGGAGAGAACAGTTCGGAGAAAAGAGGCGGATGACGAGGTGCGCCGACAAACGGAGACCTGGGCTTTACGGAGAAATCGTACTACTAGGTGGTAAGAATTATGGTGTGTTGTGGGGGGTGCGGCAGGTGCGATGTACTGACAGGTACAGTGCCGTAACTTGCTACAATAGCATGATATTCACCCCCAGCGCAATAGGTGCGCTTGCATTTTTACACAGCTCGTATAAAATACAAGAAATGCTAATACTGTAGTACGTAGCAATGGTACCAGCACTTTTTACAGCAGGTTATTGCAGATACGCAAAGCTACCTTCGATCCCAGGCATCCATCCATCCGCTGGTCCGTAAGGTCCCGTCTCCAGTTGAAACTCCCCAGAAACTGCGGGAGTTGTCCGGGTGGCATCCGGACCCCTGTAACTGTAGAGCAGAACGTACCCAGTGCTGCCCCCCTGTAAGAAATGGCCCAAGGATGGCATCAGTCGCCGACTCACCGTAGCAGTGTCTGATTCAGAGCGTTGCAGAGGGTATAGCGCCAACATACTAGTCTCAGAAGAAGTAATAATACAGTAGTATGGTGTACCCCAGACGCCGGAGTTGGGTGTCTGGAGACTGGCAACACCTCCCGCAATAGATGGGGAAAGGATTTTGACCAATAAATAATACATGCACCAATGATCATGTGTGCGTCCCATGTCTGAGTCGAGTTATATTCGTCGCATCACACCATGTGTCGAGCAGCCTCGTAGTTGACCAGACGGGTAATTCTGTCCTGCGGGGTAAAATTAGGATCAAATCCAAGTCTTATTACTAATATTATATATATATATATATATATATATATATATATATACCAAAACAAGTAGGTACGATGCACAGGTATGTATACATTCACCGTAAATTCATTGCGCCGTTATGCCAAATTATGCCAAAGCGAAAGAAGGAAACGAAGAAGAGGCATGCATGACAATGAAACAGTCCATGGTCAGACCGCCCTCACGGAACCTCACGGCTGATTATCGAGCTGCTTGAACTGGTCTATCACCTTTTCCTCAACGTGGTGCTGAAACACGTCGACCTTTGTCTTGTGAAAATCGCGGGCGGGCACCTTGCGCTCAAACAGGACGTCGAGCTCGGCAAATGTGCGGCCGTTGGGTTCTGGAAGCCGGAAGAAGGTGTAGATGATGCAGAAGAAGCAGATGCCAGCCCAGAAGAAGCCGGCATAGTTGCGCCAGTTCCATGCATCGGGGTTGAGCATGTATGGGGTGACGACGCCGGTAATGATGCCCACGACGTTGCTGTCAACGGGTCAGTGCACAGTCCAAGTGCGGAGGTAAATAAAGGAGCGTAAAAGAAAAGAAGGGAGGGAGGGAAGAAGAGCTGGACATACTAAAGGTTGCGACCCAGTACAACCGTCTTAACCTGTAGACGACGAGACGACAGCTCGGCGACAAGAGAGTAGGCGACTGTGCCGACAGTGAGCTGGTAAAAGAGGGCCCAGACGATCATGATGCTGCCGGTGGCGAGGGCGCCCTCCTTGCGGTGGTCCTCGGGAACGAGACCGAGAAACCCTAGGACGAAGAGCATGGCGCAGAGGGCGCACAGGCCGTAGAGGTAGAGCTTGCGGCGGCCGATGCCGAGCGTCATGAGACCCCAGGCACCAAGGACGCCAACAATGTTGATCGAGTACTGGCCCATGGCGAATGCGTATGAGTTGCGCTCGGACAGGCCGGCCTGCTTGAGAAAGTAGGTGGAGTAGTTGGAGAAGGAGTTGCCGCTGAGGTTTTGAATGGCCCAGACCATGCAGACAATCTCAGTGCGACGGAGGTCGACGCCCCTGAAGCAATCCCACCACGAGGCGCCCTTGGTCATCTTGTCCTCGAGGGCTGTCGTGTGCAACATCATGCCGATGGTGTCGTCGGCGTCAAAGTCGCTGCCGTCGCCGGGGCGTTGGCTCGTCAGGCGCAGGAGAGCCTTTTTGGCGTCTTCGATCCGGCCCTTGCGCACGAGCCACCAGGGTGACTCGGGGGCAAAGTAGATGCCGATGAAGAGGGGGACGGGCCACATCCACTGCAAGCCGTACGGGATCCGGTACGCCCACTCATCCTCACGGTCCAGCATGGCATAGATGACGGCCACGCCGATGAGCTGGCCGATTCCCCAGCACGCGTTGACGTACGTCGTCAGGTAGCTGCGCAGACCTACGGGGACCGTCTCGGAGGCGTAGGTGACGGTGATGGTTTGGAACATGCCCTATAGTGTGTGTCAGCCATTGGTCTTTGGGGGTTGGGCGATATGGACAGTGGATGCGCGCAGACTACTAACCCATGGGATTCCACAGAGAATCTCGGCGGCCAGAAGCGTCTGGACATTCTGGGCCGTGAAGAAGAGGGTGATGAAGGCGGCGAGCCAGACGAGGCCAGTCAGGAGGGTGCGACGGTAGCCAAAACGCTCTGATACGTAGCCATTGATGAAGAGGCCCAGGATTTCACCAACGAGGGCGCCCTGTATGATGATCATGGTAATCAGTATCACGCGAAATGAGATTGGATGAGATTGGCTGAGATGGGATGAAATGAGGAACTCACGTTGCTGAGACCAGCCTGCCACGATGCAGGAACTTCATAGGTGCCGTCTTCAAGCTGAACACCATATTTACGATTAAATTGGCTGAAAGCATCTAAGGGAGAGGTCAGTAAAATTGTCTGCAAGTAAGAAGGGTTAAAAAAAAAAAGGGGGGGGTAGTGGTGATGGTGGCGATGGTGGGGCTGGGAGGCTCATGTGAGGCTGTGACATGAAGATCATCGAGGTGGTAGTGCGTAAGTGTGCAGTGGGAGTGACCGAGTGTCACCTACAAAAGTTATTGACCAGCGATATGTCGTAGCCCTCCATAACGATGCAGGTAGAGATGATGACGCTGAAGAAGATGGCCTTGGGATAGAGACGAATTCCCTCGAGGAGGGTCATGTTGTGCTCCCTCTCGGCGGCGATTCTTGCATGATCGACGACATTTTTGTGCGTCTTTGACTCGGATTTCTCGTCATCGATGATGGGTTCAACGCCCGTTTCATGAACCTTGTCCCCCATGTTTCCTGTTGCGCAACGCCGCACGCACCGCACCTCTTCTCTCTTCTCTCTCTTACTCTCTCACTTGACGCGTTTCACACACACTCCCGGAGCGTTGGTATAAACAAGAAGGGGAAGGAGGAAAGAGGGTCGTTTCCTTTTGGCGATGGTTATCAAATCCAATTGGAGGAGCGCACAGCAATGGTGATGGAAGGGAGAGAAAAGACGAATTGTGGCAATGCCAACAGAAAAAAAGGGGTGGTGCCGCTACTACGGGAGACTCGGACCTGGAGATTGAATGAGAACAAGTAACTAGCAGCAATGGTGGTAAATAATACTCCGTAGTTTGAGCGAGCAGTGGCCAAAGTGGACGCGCGAGAGGGGGGAAGAGAAAAGAGAGGAGAAGGAAGAGTAGTAGAAAAAATTAATATGGGCCTCTCTTTTTCCAACTCTCGGTCTGGAGGGGGGGTTTTCTTAGAGGACGAGAGCGAGAGAGAGAGAAAGAGCGAAATTTATATTACACCGTAATACTGGTACTACTCGTCAGTAGTGGAACCGCACAAATGGGAATCAAAATCCATGGGAAATTCGATTTAGTCCGTGTCTACTCCGTAATATTAGTAGTTGGGATAAATCATAACCAATCGTCTTGCTGCCCGCAATAACTCCACTTCGTCGGCCCTGGGTGTGTACAACTACTCGTACATATATTTCCTGAAAATGGTCCCCTTGTCTAGGGTCCAGATGGCGAAAAGTACTATTACTCCGTGTTGTAATATACGACTATCTTGATGGTGCCAAGATTCCCTCTCCCATCTCCTCCCCCCATCACCAATAGTCTGTATGTGACTGGATCCTTCCGTATTCTGGCAGCCCCTCATCCCGTCCAATGATGCATCTTATCCCCCTTCGGATGCCCCCTCCCCCCCCTTTCAAGTCTGGGGTGCAAGTTGGCGTGCATCCGACCAGCCAGGAACCGAGGACAAGGTTCTAGACTGGGGGGGGGAGGGGGGGGGGGAACGACCAGCTTCGGCAAACGCGAGTGCTTTTCCCTTCACACCACTTTAGCCGTCACATGCCGCTCCATCCTGCCTTCGATACGGATGAGATCATGAGCCTATCTTGTCCTCTGAAAGCCCTGCTGGGCGGCTAATCTCGCTTCGCCCGCACGTTCGGGGGTCAATTTCAATTACGGAGTACTTCGTCATCCTCTTTGTACTAGTCCTGCAATACTCGTACGGAGAAGTTGGCAAATTCTAGGTGGGCTATATTGTCACTATAATGCGCGTGCATGTCTATGTACTAACCGCTCTTGCTGAGGCCCCTCATATCTCTCCACCACTCTTTGAACCCATATGGCTTGTCCCCAGATTCGAGGACACTAGACCGATAGTCGTCCCCCTTCCGGAAATGATCCATGAGCCCGACTGCCTTCTTCTCAGCAACACCGGCGCTCCCGGTACCCAAGCTCCATATCGCCGACGCCGCTGCCGGGTTCTTCGGCCTGGTAGCCCTGTCCTTGATCTCTCCGGCCACCTGCGGCGCCACATCCGAGAAACACGACGCCAGCTCTCGCTGCAGAGAAAAGTACGGTTTCTTGGCCAAGTCCGGCGCCATGAGGTTATAAGCCCGTGTCATGGCGTTGAGCTCGTTAATCGCCAGAGTCATATACGCCTTTTGGGCCTCTTCCCATGCGGCATCACGAAAGGGTGCTATTCCGTCGTGAGCAGACGCTCCTTCTTCGTTGCTGTCCTCGTTCTTGTTTTCGTTGTGGCGCTCGTCCACCTGCTGGCGCATTTTGACCATGACGGGATCCTCCGTCACGTTTGTCGGCACGGGAATCTGATCCACGCTGCGTAACCGAGGGTTGTTAACCCTCTCTGCCTTAGCGAACCATTCAGCGCGTTCCATCTGCTCTGCCAGAGAGCCGCCACCGCGCAGGGACGAGGCCGTGATGCTGTCAGCCACGTGCCGCTTCCAGTCGCGTCGGATGCGCTCGCGGAACTTCCCTAGCTGCCGCATCAGATCCTGTTGCTTCTCGATCCACGGCGGCAGAATCTCCTGCCGCTGAATCATCTTGTTCATGATGTACTCCGTCGTATCGATGAACGGGTTGTCCGCTCGCGCATCGCGCTTGATGCTCGTTCCACGCGGGATATTCTTGAACTGGCCCCGGGCAATCGCGTCCTCAATCCTCTCATTGGCCATGGCCGCCAACCCACCCAGAGTGTTGGGCATGCCGCGCCGCACGCCAAATGGCGCGAACCTCTCGCGATACTCTTCGCGAAACCCTTCCTTTTCTTCTTCGCTCATACCCTTGGTCTCCTTGCTATTCTTACCCCCCTTTACTTTGCTTTTGCTGTTCTCCATGGATGACCTTGTCGGGTAGAAGTGTGCCTTGTCGCGCGCCCGGCCTGCCCGTTCCGCCGTGCTGAGGACTGGCTCCCTCTTGATGCGCATGTCCACGGGCGGCGGCTCAAACTTGCCTCGCTGGCCAGAGCCAAGCGGCTTCTTGGAGTCATCCAGCATGCGTAGCACCGCATCTTCCGTCGACTCCTGGCCAGTCCAAGGTTGAGCCATCGCCGTAGCTCTCGTCCCTACTCCTGCCGCCGCCGGCATCCCCACCTCAGCAAAAGCCCCAGCAAACTGCTGTCGGAACTTGGCGTCCTGTACTCTATCAAGGAGCTTCGCTTTAAGTTCCTTTGAAAAGCCGGCGTCCTCGATTGCTCGTTGTCCCGCCAGGCCACCGCTTACCATGGCCTCTTCGGTCGCCTGTTCGAGCCGCCGGCTCATGGCACCTAATTGCCCGTCGCCGTCACGGCGAGAAGGTGATAACCTATCCTCATCTTTGCCATTTTCCGTGTGTGTTTCCGTAGTCCCACCATCTTGTTGTTTCCCTCGCTGTTGAGAGCTGTAGCATTCCGTGCCTGGCGACCACCTCGTCGTATGCCGGGTGGGCCTGCGACATGAGCTGTAGATCCTTGGTTGTCGTCGGCTTAAGCGCACTGCCATGGGCACAAATTTCAGGCACGTATAGGAAAATATACAGTCCTATCGTTGATTAGGAGGAGACATGGAATAGAAACTTGGTGAGCGCGATCAAGAAGGTGATGCAGAGGTGAAGTTAGGGGTCAGGATACATGAAGTGGCGGCTGACCAGATTCGAATATTAGTCATCCTCTAGTCCTCTTATTGAACTCGGGGTGGTGGGCTGAGATGCTGAAGAGTGAGAGGTGTGGACCATCTGGACGTATGGCGAGTTGTCTAAGCACATAATATTCATGTAGTCCGAGGTGATGACCAATAAAACCCCGCTATGTGCTACTATGATTCTCTCTTCTTCTCTGCTCTCCATTTTGTTTTGTCTTGCTCTTGCTGTCTTTACCATGTCCTCCTATTTTCCGCAAATAAAGCCTCAATGGCCACTCTACTTAAGAAAATAATGAACGAATGACAACCCGATGCAGTACCAAGTCTGGTTTCTCTTAGTCTCGGAATATACTCATATCCTCATGTTGGTATGGTGTAACACCCGCGTTTGCAACATGCATGATTGGCAACTGTTGAGGTTGTGGCTTGACAATCGGTGGGTGAGGCGCCTTGCCCTGATTCGACGGAAATAGAAAGAGTAGCACAAAATAAACCGCTCCTTTTCTGTGACGGCAAGAGTAGTCGTTGTCATTGGCACTTGCCGGAGATATGGGATGAATGTTTTCACGTCTCCCCAATCGTGAAGCACACTACCAACGCCTGCTTCCCTTACACTGCATCAGGCAAAAAGTTTCTCTGTCGCCATAGCTCCATTCCCTACCAATGGACTTACTTCTTCATATTCTGGACGGCACAATCTGCAGGCTGCAGGTTTGCGCTTGCTCCGGTGGCCAACTCTCCCCGTGTTGTTGGCTACCCTCCCATCTTTATATCGATATATAAGGGCTCCCTTTTCTTTGATTTCAACCCAGCATGATATCTCAACACCATAGTTGCTCTGGTCGTCTCTTCTCATAATGTCCTCTTCCTTCTTCCGTTCATCAGCCACCCAGATCAAAAGCACGAAGTCCACGATGAACATCGACGACGTGACCCGCGTATCCGACTATGCTGTCGTGTTGAAGAAAGCCATAGCTGCCAATGAGAAAGCTAAGCAGGAGAAAGACAAAAAGGCCACAGCACACCCCTCGCCTGACATCATGATCCGGAGCTTCTTAAAGCCGAATGGCAAAGCAATTTCGCATGATGATGGACCGTTACAACATTATGACCACTCAAGTTCCGGATCCGTACAGCCCTTGTATGAGACCACTTGATCAGCTGCGTCCCATCATGATTTCTGACATGACGCTGGAAGGGCCACCATGTCACCGTTCGAGCTGTCACACCACCAGACCGCATAGTTGCTATCACAGCCATTGTCGAGGATCGGCAGGGGACTGCTGTTTTGCTTCAACTCTATAACAAACCTGAGGAGGATTTGGTACCCGCCGTGGAGCTGATTCACTGGATATTTGTGTTGATTCTCAAGGAACCGTTTCTCAAGTCCACGACATCTGGAATTTATTCTTTGACCACTCACAATGTCGGTGACGTTGTCTGGTTAGATGAATCCGATGAGCGTATTCCCAGAAAGTGGCGACAGCCATCATCGCTGTGGGGTAGCAGTGCAAGCCTTCGATCCCTGGGGAATGACGCTGTCGAAAAAGGAAAATGGGCCGAGTCTAGAAGATTGTGAGTTCCCCAACCACGTTTCTCTAACTCGGTCATATTATGCTGAAAGAGCTTGATCTTGACCTTCCACAGGTACTCGGCAGCCATCGAGACTGCAACTACTGTTGAACAGCAGCTGGCGTACCTCAACCGCTCTCTATCCAACCTCCGACTCGGTAACATTGAGGATGCAGTCACCAACGCCTCTCGGGGCGGCGATCCAGAAACGCTATCTGAAAAACAGCTCTTTCGAGAGGCACGGGCGCTATACGAACTGGGAAATTCCAATAGTTGCTTAGACAAGCTCAGCGCTCTCAAGAAGGTGAATCCCGCCAGCCCGGCCGTGGAACCCGAGTTGGCACGTGTCAGGACCAGGATGACATAACAGCAGACTGGCTCGTATGCATTTCATCTGATGCTTAAGCAAGCATCCAAAACACCTCCGTTGATTGACTGTGCTACATTCTGCGCCCCCGACGAGATTCGTGAGTCCCCAGGACGGGGCCGTGACCTCCTCACCACACAGGCAGTGCGGGCTGGTCAATTAGTACTCTGCGGGAAAAAAAAAAAGCCTTTGTGTATTTCTTTGCCGAGGGATAAGGCTCTTCCAGTATGCTCGGAATAGTGATGAACCTGAACACCAAGAGAATGATAGCGGGTGGATCTGCCAAACTTCTTCCACAAGTCGTTCAGAAGCTGTATCATAACCCCGAGGCATCATCGGCGTTCAAGTGTCTGTACCATAGAAGCTGCTTTCCTGAGGTTCTCTGTCAGAAATTGATGGCCACACAGTAGTCGATTCGTGAGTACACTATTCTGCACATCCTGCTGCATCCAAATGGTTGTACTGAATTCAAGTTCCCAGTCTCCTAGTAGAGAGTATCATCACTCTCAACGTAATTGGCGCCCCGAGGACTAGCTTCAACACGCTTGTGGACGTGACGGCCTCAATGGATAAGCCGTACACAACACGGAAAGATTGTCCAGGCGTCTCGCATCAACTATTCCTGCATGGGCAACTGCACTCGTTCGTTCATTGGAGATGCAATAATTGTCCGAGCCGCCAAGGACTGCCTGCGAGTGCGGAGCTCTACTTCCCATACAAGATCGTGAAGACGCTGGAGTCTTATAGCAAATGTCAAAGGGGCCTGGAGATTTGGGGCTTCATCTGCAGCTGCGAGCTCTGCGTGTACAGAAAGATGGATTCACCCACCAGCATTCGGAAGCGCAAAGACCTCTTGGCAAAACTGAGAAGTGCCTTTTGATAGCCCAATGCCGCTTCTCAGATCCAAACATTGCTCAGTAACATTGAGAAGACGTACCCCAAATGCGACGCTGAGCCGATTCTCCTCGAGCTCTTGGACCCTTACCTAGCGCTCGGCCAGGAACTCCGGTTCAAGAACAAGCCAACCGAAGCTATCAAGGCCTACGTTAAAGGGCTGAAGGGAGTGAGATACAAAATCGTCGCTAATCCTCCTCTGGATGAAAAGGGTAAACTTCAGTTCGAGGTCACAAGGTGGGGTATGCCAGACCGCCTTGTGTTCATGACGTTATTGCGCATACACGATGCCTACCTTAAACTGGCTCCCGAACTATGCCCTGCCGTCAGGGGCTATGCGGAAACGGCTTACACGATAATTGCAGGGGAGAGCGACACGTTTAACACCGTCACGGAGTTGCTAAAGGGTCGCTAAGCAACTGGCATCAGAGGTTAACCAAGTCATGCTTATAAATATATAGGGTTGGATGGCAATGGCTTCCGTATGCTTTGATCTAGTCAGACCGTAGACCGTACTTGTGGTCGCCGAATTTATAAAGTCACTCCGCGATTCCCTCCTTTGCTTTCCCTATATTGGGCCGATTATTGAGGGGCTCGTTAGGCTTGATATTCCGAACGATCTGCCTTGGCCAGTGCACGATCGTTTAGCATTACTTTTCCTCCTTCTCAATCGAGTCCAAGGAGCCCATTGTGTGCTCAAATCTTGGTTACTAGACCCAGGGCACCAGCATGCTTCTTGTCAAGTTAATGTGAGAAGGCGGCGAAAGCCGAAAACAACACAAGGCCCATGAGGATGCCCACGAGGGAGGACACCCTGCATAAGCAAGATCTACCAGTGTCCTGAATATCCCCTATCTTTGTCGGTAGTAGGAGGACTTCTGGGTAAGCCGGGGAGATGCTACCCCGGACTCGACCTTTCGGCCAGCTATATCTCGTCTTAGCGATAGGCGCAACGGCATACAACGACCAGATCTCACTACGCAAGTCGGTAATCGCATAAGTGTTTGTGACGCATTACCTGACTCCACAGGCCAGCCATGAAGGCGAGGCTGGACATGTTTCCCATTTAGATTGAGCTGATATACCCGCTCGTACAGCAAAGGGTTGCTACAGGTAGAACACCCCATGTATATTATATTCATGGGGCAGCTGGTCAGCGAGGCAATATATAGATGCCTCGATATGGCAGCACTTTTGCCATTGAGATGCACCGCCGACAGTGGAACATCATACTTGAAGTTGCGGTGCAGTCCAGCTTTACGCTGGGCGGGCCACCCCTGATTTCTCTCTCCACGACTTTGATACCGAGCCCCTTGAGAATCTTGATGACGATCTGTTAGTACGGGAAGACAACTGTTTCCGCAGCCCATGGCGTAGTTCGCCCAGGTCTCCCCGAGACGTTCTCGTATCGTCTTGCGGCCGTCAAATTCGACGATATGGATTAGTTGGAGGCCGGAGAATCATTAATAAGTCGGTATCCAGTTCCACACCTTGCACGCGATCAAAGACAAGAGTAGATCAAAGATGAGAAACCGGCGAGGGAGAGAGATAGAAAGAGCGTCACGCCACAGTCCCACCTCAGCCGGTCTAACCATCAGGTGTCGCCTATCGTCATGAGGCATGGCATTATGTGTTCTGTAGATACTGCTAACACTCAATCAATCCGGGCATGCTTCAATTCTTCGTGCGAAAGATTCTATTCCCCAATATCTCTGTGAAGACAATTCTCCTTTCCGAGAAGCGAAAAAAAAAAAAGAAAAAAAAAGAAACGCCTATAGCTGGTAATCAATACTAGTTATGGTACTTTTGTATATCCCCTCCCCCCCCCCCCCCCCCCCCCACGAAGAAGGTATATCAACATCCATTTTCCCCGAAAAGCCACATATTACTCTCCCCGTGATGAAAGAACGAAGTCGTTCAGTTTCAGATCCTTCCCCCCTCGACAACCTCCCTCTCCATCTCTACATGTCCGGCCTCGACGACCCTCCTCCTCTCCAAGATCCACCTCGTCTCTCCGCTTTCCTCCTCCTCAATGGAGTACGAGACACTATCGGCCGAGCTGCGAGACTGGTGACTCAAGCTGTGGCCCAGACCGGATCGCCGACTGGCCGCCGCAGCAGCAGCAACAGCGGCATCACTGCCGGCGGTCGAGGCCACGGGACTCACGGGGGAGTGGTGATGGTGGCCGCCGCGACCGTGGCTAGGACTGTGCATCTCGTCGGCCGGTGTGCCACAGAAGCCGCTGCTGACTGAGCGCCTGTGGGCCTCCGAGGCAGATCGTCGTGCGAGCATAGATGGCGAGGGGAGTGTGCTCTGGTGGTCCGGGTCCACGCCACCTCCCGGGGCAGACATGGTCTTGATGAGGGTGGGGCTGGGAAGCGAGTCAGCCCCGCCGCCTTCCAGGTCGAAGTTGAGGCATGAGCCTTTGCGGCCGTGCATGCTGGCTGCTGCTGCTGCTGCTGCTGCTGCTGCCGTAGACACAGCCCATGGTGAGTGTGGCGCTGTTACTGCCCAGGGAGAATGTGGCGTGTCGCCCCTCTCGGACTTGGGAGACCCAGCCTGGCTGGAGACCTGGCTGGCACTGGCCTGCGATCCACCCCATGCTTTGGACCGGAGGCGCATGAGCGACGACAGTGACATCTCCTCGTTCGTGTCCGACATCAGAGCCAGCTGGGCCAGGCCGGGGCTCTGGATCGGGGTTCCGAACCCGCCGGTTGGGCCACCGGGGAAGGCGGTCATGCTCATGACCGAGTTACGGTTCGAGTATTCGGACCGTTCCGTGATGGGTGTCAGGTTGGGCTCGCGGGAGACTATACGCCCACCGGGGGTGCCGTCTATGCCCCCCTTGGGGCCGAACACGCCGCCGTTGGCGTACTCATACTGCGTTTCATCCTTGCCGCTCCCGCTGCCGTTGCCGTTTTTGTTGCTGCCGTTGCCGTTGCCGCCGCCGCAGCTACCAGGCTTGTGCGGTGAGCCCTGCACCGATGCGGAGTAAAAGCCGAATTCCTGCCCGTACCATCCGTCCACGTCGTTGGCTAGCGCGCTGGCATTGGCCTCGGCTATGATGGCGTCGTCGTCGAGCTCGAAGTCATCCATGTTCTCGAACCCACCGCCAAACTCGTAGTCGTCCTTGTCTGCCTCGTATTCGTCAGGTTTCCACGCCGACTTGTCGTAATCATCGTGGCTTCCGTCGTCGCCACCGTCAACATTATATCTATTATTATCCTCATTATTGTTGTTGTCGCCGTCAGCCCCGTCATGGTGCTCTGCCGCCGAGGGGTCCTCCCCACCCCGCTGGAATTTGCCTGTCGCAGCTGCCTTGCGTGCCGCCGCCGCGAGGGCAGCCTGATAGGCCACCATGGGGTTCTGGTCTGGCAATGGCGCATTCTCCATGTCTTGGAACACCTCTGGCACACCTCCCTTCTTGACAGCTCCCTTGTCCAGGGTGGTGCCCGTGCTGAGTGACGTGTGGGCCGTTGAGCGCGTCACTTCCGACTGCTCGGAAAACCGCGACGTCAGGTCCGACTCCCGCTTTATCGACCCCCTCAGCGTCGCCTGCCTCTCCGACTGAGCTTGTGCAAAAGCCCCGGCAATGGGACGTCCATATTGGTCCGTGTCGTTGTTGTCAAAGATGGACTCATCGAATGGCGTCGCATCCCATGAAGGTGGCCTCGCGAGATCCTCGGCGAATTCGCCTTCAAAGCCGACAACCCCGTCATCGTAGTAAAGGTCGTCGACTTGGCCCGGTTGTTTCTTATTGTCGCTATCGGTTGATGCTGAAGGGGCCTGTTGGGTCGCCAGCTCTTGCACATTCATACCCTCGATCCCCAGTCCAGCTGGCGCGAGTTTGGGCATCTGCTGTTCCTGCTGTGGCTGTGCGGCAGGCTTTTCCGGCACTGGTGGCAGGGGTGATTCTTGTAGCTGCGACTGTCTGGCCGTAGACTTGCTTTTGAAGCTACCGCTGCCGACCTCGTCGTCGAGTGTCTTGGACGCCAGACCTCTTAGGTTTCCCTCGGATCGCTGGAAACTGAAGCCGGCAAAATTTTCCTGATCATTGTCGGGATCATCAACCTCCTCTTCTGGAAAGAACCCGTCGTCGTAGTCGTCGTAGTCGGCATTGACGCCCGGTATTCTCTCTTCCAGCCCGTCGTCATCCATCATGGCATCGTAGTCAAAGGAATCCTCATCAAAGTCGTCGAAGCGTGAGTCACGAGCGTTGTTGACGACTGGCTCCTCCCGCCCGCCCTTCTCAGCCTGATGCTGGCGATGGCGCTCCTCCATGGCCTTTTCCTGCTTAGCAGCGCCAATCATGTCGAAGCTGAACCTCGATGAGGTACTCTTCATATGCTTGGGCAGGCCAGAGATTCCTGACATCATGGAAACATCCGAGACGTTACGCGATCGCATGGGCGTCGCTGAGCTTCCCATACGAGAAGGTGTTGCTGCCGTGGAAACCGTAGAGACAGAAACGTTTCTGTAGGGAAGCGTTGTTGACATCGAATAGGCATCTTCCTGCTGGTGCTGTGGTTGCTGCTGTGGTTGCTGATATGAACGGCTATTTGCCCGAGTCCCCGAATGAGCAGGAGGTGCAACAGCAGGACTGACCAATGCATCCTGCGATTCACTAGAGGTCGCAGTGGAGGGGGGAGATTTGGTGGCAACTGTGGATGACGACCGACCAAGCGTCACCTCTGAGGGATCGCTGCCAAGGTGCGGCGACGCTTCGCTCTCAAAAACAGAGGCGGAGGCCGACGCAGCAGCATACGGTGTCGTCACAATCTGCGGAGAGACGGGCATACCGGCGGCTTTTGCCTCCCTGCGGCGCGGAGCGCTAAAGTCGTGGACGCGCGTTCCCCTGATACGAGGGTCGTAGACGGGCTCTTCCTTCTCGACAGAGAGTGGAAGAGGCGTCATGTCGGGGACATTCTGGCTAGCCTTTCTGCGCATCAACAAGGTAGACATAGGGTTCTTGAGGAAAGGCAAGCCCTTTCTGGTCTTTTGCGGTTCCGTTTGGCTGCTAGACTTGGTCGGCAAAGCGGCAGGTTCAGACACCATCCTCGCGCTGGCGTGGCGACGGGAAGCAGGAACAGAGCCGGAGCTCGGTGGCGAGTTCAGATCAGTCGGTGTGACGAAGGATGAGACGGCGGGTTTTCGCTCTGAGTGCTGCAAGAGCTGCTGCGTGGTCGGGATGCTTGTATTGATGGGCGCGGGAATCGGTCGCTCGCGATGACAATGGCGTTGGCTCGATGATGTGGATTCCGCGCCACTGGGGCCGTCAGCATCGTGTTGCTGGGCCGGCGAAGCGTGCGCTTGTCTGTACTTTTGCAGCGCTACGCCGCCGATGAAGCCCGAGTCCATGCTTCTGAATGACAAGGGTGACGGACGCTGCTGCTGTTGCAGTGTTGGTTGCTGCTGCTGATGCTTCTGGTAAGACCAATTGTCGGCTGGGGCAGACATGCTGACGGCATTGCTCGGTCGCGATTCGACAGATGTTCGGGTGTTCGTCCTGTCAGTGACGACACACTGAGACTCAGGCAACGATACTCGCGCTATCGGCGAGAGCGTCGGCGGAAGGGACGAGATGCCAGAAGATGGAGGGTGTCCATCTCCCGGCAGGAGTGACGAGGTCGTTGGCGGGGCCGTCGTGTCGAACGTATGGGGTTCTTGTTGGAGGAGGACAAGGAGAATTCTCGCAAGGGATTCTCCCAGGGATGAGACGGCCGGACGGTTCAGTGCTTGCCAGCTGTCAAATAAGGAAGAGATATTTGGCGAGCGGGGCCGTGTCAGCTTGAATGAGGATGATATTGTTTATCGTTTTCTGGTTCTTGGCGTTTTGTCGTTCTAATAGCTCCCCTCTTCTATCCGACGAGCAGTGATGGGACACGTCAGAGAGTTTCTCGATGGGGAAGGGGTGCAGTGGTACGGGTGCGACGATTGAAGGTAGCTGCAGGTTGTTCGTGGTACGACGTCAGGCAGCGAGTATTACTTTTTTCGATTTTCCCGAGTATTAATACTGCGGACTATATTTTACATATGAGCACACCCTTCTCTCTATAGCTGGAGAGAAACCCGGTGCCCCGCCGACGGTGGAACCCGTCACAAACGGAGGAAGGAACAGGAAAGATTGAACAAGTATCGATTCGGTTGCCTTTGATTAGATCAGCCAGACTCGGAAGGGTGGAGAGATACGAGTACAAACCACGCACAGAGATGTTATGAGCCTGTGACATTGCTAGTCAGTGGTGATATTAATACTCGTAGTGAGCTCGTCTGGTACATCTATCTGCTGTAGAGAACAAGAGAGGGGCAGAGTCAGTGAGTGGAGATGAAGCAGCACCAACAGCCCAAGCAAAGGGAGGGGGAGAGAGATTGGCGGGTGTTCCCACAAAAGATTTTCCTCTACGAACTTGGATGACACACGCTTTAAACACACTATCTCAACCTCTGACGACCTGCTCCCTTCCAACTCTTCGTTGCAAAATTTTCCCCAAGGAAAGAAAGGGAATATTGTCGAGTCGATTAGCCAGTGTAGGTAAATGCTTAATGCCTTATCCCTTCTTGCAGACCGTGTAGACCCATTGACAGTGATGTTTGATCCAGCTGCCTCTGTCCGAACGCTCCCATCACTTTTCACCCCGCCAACCACACGATAACCGATACCGGGACAGAAAAAGAACAGGAAAAAAAAGGGAAAAGCATCATGAGCTCCAAACCGGAAGGCAGCATGCTCTGGGGTGGCCGCTTCACCGGCGGCTTGGACCCTCTGATGGTCAAGTACAACGAGAGCATCTACTTTGACCGGGTCATGTACAAGCAGGACATCCATGGTAGCATCGCCTTTGCGCGTGCCAATGCCAAGTCAGGAATCATCTCCGAGGACGAGTTTTCCCAGATCGAAAAGGGCCTCCGCGCTGTGCAGAAGGAGTGGGAGGAAGATAGGTTTGAGATTGTACCCGGGGTTGACGAGTATGACTCCCTTGACTTCCCCCCCCCCCCCCCCCCCCCCCCCCTCCCTCCCCTCGCCCAGACTGACTCTGACTCTTTTGTCATGATGACGATTGTGGTGTCAGGAAACCTACTAACAAATGCAACAGGGACATCCACACTGCCAACGAGCGTCGACTGGGCGAGATCATCGGCAAGAACGTGGCTGGCAAGCTGCACACCGGACGCAGCCGCAACGAGCAGGTGGTATGCGACATGCGCATGTGGCTGCGCGACGAGCTTCGTAAGATTGAGTCACATCTCAAGGCCTTCTTGGGGGTGATTGCGGCCCGCGCCGAGAGTGAGATCGAGTACGTGATGCCCGGGTACACGCACCTGCAGCGTGCGCAGCCCGTCCGCTGGAGCCACTGGATGCTGTCGTACGGCCTCGCGCTGGCGAGCGACCTGGAGCGTCTGCGCGAGGTGATCAAGCGCGTGAACCGCAACCCGCTCGGCTGCGGCGCCCTGGCCGGCAACCCATTCGGCATCGACCGCGACATGATGTCGGAGGAGCTCGGGTTCGAGGGCCTCTTGTGGAACTCGATGGGCGGCGTTTCGGACCGCGACTTTGTGACGGAGACGCTGCAGTGGGGTGGCATGCTGATGCAGCACATCTCGCGGTGGGCCGAGGACCTGATCATCTACTCGTCGGCCGAGTACGGTTTCGTGCGCCTGGCCGACGCCTACTCGACGGGGAGCTCGCTGATGCCGCAGAAGAAGAACCCTGACAGCCTGGAGCTGCTGAGGGGCAAGAGCGGCCGCGCCTTTGGGCACATGGCCGGCTTTATGATGACGCAAAAGGGCCTGCCCAGCACATACAACAAAGACCTCCAGGAGAGCGTGGAGCCCATGCTGGACCACGTCAAGACGGTGTCGGACAGCATCCAGATCGCCAACGGCGTGCTGTCGACGCTCAACGTGGTCCCCGCCAAGATGAAGGCCGCGCTCGACCCCTTCATGCTCGCCACCGACGTCGCCGACTACCTCGTCCGCAAGGGCGTGCCCTTCCGTGAGACCCACCATATCTCGGGCCGCTGCGTCGCCAAGTCCGAGGAGACGGGCATCCCCATGAACGAGTTCTCCTTTGAGCAGATGAAGGCCATCGACAGCCGCTTCGAGGAGGACATCTCCGAGGCCTTCAACTACGAGACTAGCGTGGAGAGGCGCTCTGCCAAGGGTGGAACAAGCAAGTCGAGCGTCCTAGAGCAGATTGCTGTGCTCAAGGCCATGCTGGAGTAGGGGTACTCTATGGATCGGTATGCTTAGTAAAGGAAGGGAAAAGGAAAATAGAATAAGAAAAAAAAAGGTGCAATGAGGTTCAACATCACTTGGTATTATTTTCTGCTACAAGATCGAGCAGAACTTGGTGAACCACTCTCGTCCTTTGTTATTTCGGTACATTGTTTACTTAGTGCCAAGGCATGCCCATGTTCCCCAAGAGAAACAGCGAGTGGCATTGAATCCAGTGATATTCCCAGCCTTATGGGCCGCCTAGGATGCACGAGTAGAAGGACAAGCAAACACGTGACTTTTCAGGGAAAGTTGAACGAGCCACGCAGCGCAACATAAAGCAAGAACAAAGTATGTATAACAACAACACGTTATTGTGTATCTGACGGGTGACCCTTCGTACAACGCACGTGATGCGTATACGGATAGATCTGTAGTTGAGGTCTCTGATAGTTGCTATTTCTCTTTTAGGAAAGAGAAAGAAAACGTTGTACTAAACGGCCGTGCTCGGCCGTGCTCCACGACGTATTGAGCTTGTCGAGAAAGTGCTTCGTACATGTAATACAAATAATACTCGTACAGGCTTCGCCACTACGCATATCATGCAGCCAATAGGTAGTGATTAATGCTCCGTGATCTGTACACATATTCGGGGTCGCCTTACCCTTAACTATTACTCTCACTAATCCGCGGATGCATACAACCTCAGCAACGGCACTGACAGAAGGGAGAAGAGGGTTCATCATCGAACAAACACAGAGGCATCACCGAGTATTTTCTGTCGCATGAATAGTCAGGCCAGGTTGATGATGGTATCATACAGTCATTTGTTTGCGTCATTACACACATACAAACATCGAAGACATTACGGCGGTTTTTTCTACTGACCGGTTTGGACAGGGCGAGATACGACGAGGACTTAGGAAAAGAAAACAGAAGAAGAATATACTCGTATAGCGACAAAAAAAAACCCCTGCTCCTTGTAGTCCTCTCGAAAGCCACCAATAGCAACGTTTCTATCCTTGATCTTTTTTTATTCTTTCATCGACACGGACCACAACATATATTCAGGGGTCAATGCCCAAGGATGAAGACGTGTGGGGACCTGGAATGCCTAGGGTCTTTCGTGTTTAGTCATGTATTACTCCGTACAGGGAACTCGAACCAGATAATACATGGAAGTTTGCATTGTCTTGGTACACGAGTAATCTCGTACAGTCTATGAGTCGTATTACTCCGTAGAATCTCAGAGTAAAATGCTGTGGAGGCAAGATATAAAGAAATATTATGGACAGTAGAGACAACTACAGACCGGGACAACTACAGAGCCTTAGCGGGTTGCCAATTCGTGAACTGTAAAATTGTCAGCCGTAATACTGCCAGTCCGTGCCCTACAGGTAGTGGACTCTAGTGCTAACGCCTTGCGCTACAGTGTATCGAGGCGTATACCCGTAAACCTGGAGGTTGTAATGGCTCTAAAATCAGCGCCTGCCCAGCCGATTATCAGGGTCGTAACGGTGGAGCGGAACCAACAGAGTAGCAGTGCTGCTGTACGAGTGCATGTAGTAATACGAGTATAGATGGGGGGTCCCATAATACCTGTTTCTCTCTAGCTCTTACTCCTTGGTATGTATCCTCTTAGTATTCCTTCATATATCCCAGTATTATGAGTGACCAAGAGACTACCGACCTTTTCAGTTCATCGTAATCTTATTACAGTGTTGCCAGCAGTCCAACCGGAAAAGGTCTAGAATCTGATCTGTGTGGCCCGTCTCTCCACTCGTACTGGGTCCACGTTTTGCATTTTCCGATTCCTAATACGGTGGACCATGCTAGCAGCACTAGCAGGTATCACTACTTAACAAGGGTGGAAGGGTCAAGTTCTATAAGAAACCAAACTATAAGGATTTAACACCTAACACTACGAGTACTCCTACCATTAAGAGCATTGATAGTGTTCTAGTGCCATCACCCGTTTAACTTTTGAATCCCACGATTGCTCTATTTGCCCTTATTCATTGCCTGCTTTAAGTTATCTTTGTGGTCTGGCTTGTGTCTACTTCAACCCCGTTCTTTTTATATCTGATAAGAATATCTCTGCCTTCGGCCGGTAACTCGTTGGGGGGGGGGAATATGACAATCCCGCAGTCCGTACTAATACTACCTGTAGTAATACTACTACTCGTGAAGCTCTTGATCGATCCTAAGAAGCCAAGATTCAATGAGCCCGAAGATGCTGAGAGACCATTCCCTGCGTTATGGGGCATGCCTTCGGCTAGTAAAAATATCCGTATTGCTATCGCCGTACTCGTATATGAACGCTGTAATAGTGAGATTGAAACGGGCCAATACCGTTTTCATCTTGCCGTTTTCATAGCCCCTCTTTCCGCTCGTGGCCAGTCACATGACTATCATCTTCGTCGACCGTTCTTTCTTAGCCTCCTTCTCTTATCACCACCCCCTATCAATATTCTCATCACATACTCTCATGTCTTTCGTTTTCCTTCTTCTCTATTCTTCACTCATTTTTCCTACTTGTTCTGCTTTACGGGAACGATTGCACAACACTAGCCACGCCGATATAACTATTTAGCATCCCGAAACTTCGAACCCCCCGTTCAGGGTCTCCTCAGACGCGTCCGACGACCCACGAATCCGGAGTTCCCGAGCCGTCCGACATACAATTTCCCCCCGTTGGACTGGGCTGCTCTCCTACCTCTATTCCTCATGTCGTCGCTATTCTAGGGCTTGCTTTCAGATATTCTTCTTCCTTTTTTTACTACCCCCAATATCTCTCTCTTCCCCCTTCTGGTCTGGCCCCTATGGATGCTTTGTTCTCGAAAAAGACCCTTGGTCCGGTTGACCACCACCAGCCGCAAAAGAGAAGGTTACGGTTCGCCGCCGGCCTAGGATCTACTTTGTACAAAGGTGTAGCCGGTCTATCATCAGTGGTCGTGCGCCGGGCGCGACGAGGTGGGCTAAGCCTGTTACTGAAGATTCTGGCCACCGTGGTATCGGTCATCATCCTGATCCGACTCATCCCCTCACCTCTCAATGGGAGGAAGTCACCCGTACCGGGGTGGTTCAAGAAGAAGCCCGTGGCGAGGGGCGATGATCTGAGGATCGTCGTCTTTGGCAGCCAGGATGTCGCAGCCAGTTCCCTGGACTCGAGGCCGGGCGGGTCGACCTGGACCCACACGCTCTGCAAAGAGGTGAGTACATACACAATGATTGACAGCAGAGAAAAGAGGGTACGTGAGAGGTTATTGATGGCCGTTACTAATATGGAAATAGCTCAAATGTGGCACACGGCACTCGTTCATTCCCGAATATGACCGTGGTATAGGATTGACATCCAACAAACGATACGCGACCGAGCTCAAGACGCTGCAGAACTTCTCCAAGGAGGCCAACCTGACCGACAACCCGGCAGCCGACTATTCGTTCCTGTCAGAACAGTACCCGGGCGCGACAGATGCGCACGACCTAGAAGAGCAAGTACAGGACTACTTCAACACCGCCGGGCCCAAGCTGCCGCCTCGGGAGACAGTATACGTTTTCACCTTCGGCACATGGGACATCTGGAATCTGGCGGCTATGCCTTTAGAACGGGGTGAAGCGGTGGTGGACGATTTGGCACGCCTCATCTTCAACCAGACGGAGTACCTGTACAAGAAGTCGCTAGACACGCAGACGATTGCGCATTCGGGGTACTGGGGCGCAAGCATTGATCCCAAGGCGGGCAGGCGGGACAAGGACCGGGCGGCCAAGGAGGCGGCCAAGCACCGGCGCTTCAACGTCGTGATCCCCGAGCTTCTCGACATCTCCATGACACCGGGCTGGCAGTTCCGCCCGCAGCCGCAGTACCCGCACTCGTTGGCCGAGCACATGCGCAACAGTGCGCTTCTGACGATGCGGTGGAACGAGCAGATGCGGAGCGAGATGAAGAAGTGGACCATGAAAGGCAGCGCGCTACCCGAGGGAGATATGAGTGACGTCCACAGCGATTGGGCCAGTAAACAATACCAGTACCAGGATCAGGCAGACCTGTACCCACGTCGCATGGGCTACTTTGCCGAGACGTCGAGCCGCATGATCGAGGTGCTGGCCGAGGAAGACATGCAGAGGACGGGCGAGAGCGACAGGACTGGCAGGGGGAAACTGCCCGCCCAAGAGAAGCTGCGTTTCGGAAACACAAAACTATCTTGTCGCGCAAAATCTTCTCTGCTGTCAAAACTCTACTGGGGCAAGGACGCCGACGACAAGTACATGAAAATGGAGAGGTGTCCCCGACCCGACAACCACCTTTTCTACGAGCCATTCACCTACAATCAGCGTGCCGTCGATGAGATTGGCAAGATTGCTGCCAAGGGTGTGAAGAAGCATCTCTTTGGTATGAAAGTGGATGATGATGAGAAGGGCAAATAATAAGGAGGAGTTAGCCCCTATGTATTTTTCTTCTTCTCCTGGCTGGTATCTGCTTCTTGTGTATCCTCTACTTCTTTTTCTATCCTGATTCCTTTTATTGCTTCTCTTTTCCTCTGTCGGAGCGTTGGATACCTCAGAGTTGATTATTCGGGCGTTTATTCGGGGATTTTTGGGAATCGTTTGCTTTACTTATTTGTTCCATGACGATGAGGACCGAGAGAGGATAAAAAAAAAGATGAGAGAGACGTTTGTAAATATTATTTTTTCTGGCGAACATGTGTCTTTCTATTCCATGTCTATTATTTCTACATTACAGCCTTACTACTGGTACTGGCACGCAGGGGTACGAAAATATACGGGGCACCCTTTGAGTGACTGACTCTTCCGGCGTAGTGATACCACCAAAATGTTATCGTTCTTGTCATGTGCGAGAAGCATGAGGGAGAAAGTCCTGAGTCAAGCAGCATGTTAGCTGACTCTTGTGAAACATGTTCAAATTAAGAGTTTCGGTGAAAATATAGAGAAAGAAGAAAAGGGACGTCGTCGTAGTGGTCAAAGTCTTTAGGTTTTCAGGAAACGCTGCGGAGGAATACGCCGAATGAACGGTGAAGAGATGACGGGGACCGTGTGTACTGCTACTAGAGAGATATTAGCAATCTGCCGTAGAGTTCTACAGTAGATGATATTATTTGTGAAATACAATACGTAAAAGATGGGGAAATAAAGATGAAAAAAGCGGATGCTCTCAGCTCTTATGCGAACTGCTGATCAAGTGCCATCAGGTGGAGATGTACGGAGTACGGAGTAGATGAATAGTAAACAGCAGAACACAACCGAGATCACGAATGTTACAAACCGAGAGCGACTGCAATTGCCAAGAAAAGTAGTATTCGTGGAGTAGTATATATCATCCAGTCGCCGAAGGAGAAAAAATGAGCAAGACAGTCCCGAGGCCTGAACATTTGACAGCACAATGGCTCCAGGCCGTCGTCGTTCCCCCCAAAGCCTCCATCACGATCTACTAGACCCCCCATGCGGCCTGCCTCATCCAGCCCTGTCATTGATCGACAACCTTGCTGTAGCTTACTGTTAGGCGCGTCGAGATGTGGGAGAGGAAGCATCATGGACATGATTATCTCATGGATAATAGACATTTTCTTTCGTGTGCAGGCCCGCCCGTCTTCTCCCTTCTCCCTTCTTTATTTGGTCGTCTCTTGTCTCGCTTGCCCCTCCCATCAGCTGACGCCACCACACGAGACACTCGATACATATACCTCCTGACGAGACAAAGGGAAAACAACGTCATCTGCAGAGCTACGACTCATACCGTGTGATCTCATCTCTCGGTCATTCACCCTCAACAGGAGAGGTTGAAAGGCAAACGAATAAGAACAAGGCCCATCATGGCCAAATTCAACCCCAGCAAACGCGCCAGCGACCTGCAGCAGCGCACCCGTACAGACAACAAGTTTGACGAGTTTGAATCCAAGCTCCCCGACCCGAAATCCGACATCTTCAAGATGACCACGGCCGTGGTCCCCTCCATTCTCGGCTTCAGCAGTCTGGGGGGGCTGGTCAAGAAGATTGGCGATCTGAACCCCCTCGGGAAGAATGTCACCCGGGACGACATTGTCTGGGTCCTCGACAATACGGCCTTTATCAGGCCCAGCAAGGACGAGAAGCATGGCAAGACTGGAAAGACTTGGGAGGCTGAGTTTGTCGTCGCCGTCTTCGAAGGTGACCCAAACTGCAACGTCGCCGACATTGTGGCCTCCGTCGCCCAGACCATCGGGCTGGCCGACGACGCGGCCGAGCGCGAGACCATACACGAGAGAATCCTCCCCTTCCTATGGGATGTGCGCATGGTGCGCACCGTCAGGGTGTCGACAAACGGCGGGCAGAGCAAGCTGACCCCTACCAACGTCAACGGCATCTCGTCCCAGGTTCTCAAGGTGCCCGGTGCCGAAGGCGGTTCCCTCATCGACACCAAGGCTGTCGTCCCTGCTGGGACGGGTGGTATCCGTGATGCCAAGACATTCTATGCCGGCTCCGGGGGATGGGCCATCATATCTGGTAACCCTCTTCTTTCTTTTTCTTTTCTTTTTCTCCTGCCCCTCCTCCCCCCCTCCCGCTTCTCTTTTCTGTTACCGAGCTGCCTTACTGACAAGAGGAGGTTAAAAAAAAAAACAGATATCGATGACACCGTCAAGATAACACAGACAGGTGACCCTCTAGGTATCGTCACTGAAACGTTTGCCAACGAGCCGCGTCCCGTCCCGGGAATGCCGGAGCTGTATGCCGAGGTCAAGTACATGCTCCCTGCCGACACCCCGTGGTTCTACCTATCCGCCTCGCCGTACAACCTGTACCCTTTCCTCAAGGATTTCCGCGACCGCTACCTGCCTCCGGGGACGCTGGTCCTGCGCGACTTCAGCTGGAAGACGGTCTCGGGTCTGCTGTCGGCCCTGACCCAGGGTACCGAGGAGTACAAGACAGACAGGATGGCCAAGATCAACAGGTGGTTTCCCGGTCGCAAGCTCATCGTCGTCGGGGACTCTACGCAGTCCGACCCCGAGGCGTACGGGGAGGTCTACCGCACCATCCCCGGCTGGATCAAGCTCATCCTCATCAGGAAGGTCGAGGACATTGCCGCCGTGGGAACCGAGGAGAAGAACAGGCCTGAGCGATTTGAGGACGCCTTCAGGGATGTTCCACGGGAGGCCTGGCACACATTTACCGATCCGGCCGAGTGCAAGGCCATCATTGAGAGCGCCGTGTCCAGGAACCAGTGACTGCTCTACTGGAGAATGCTGACGGGCCTTGATGCCTGATACTCCCCTTTCTCTTTCTTTCTTTACGTCTCTCTCTTCTGTTCTCTCTTCTTGCTCTGTTTGCTCTACTTTTTGGATTATAGTTCATTGGAGACTACATATACCCCTTACATAGTGTCAATATATATGCACGAATACAGACACGATATCACGATCCGTAGTACGTATGACATCTCTTGACCATCCGCCGCGTGAGCATACATGATACAGATAGGGCCGAATCCGCAAGGCAACCCTCATATCTACGCATACCATCGCAGTCGGTTGGTGCGATGCTGTCTTGGTCGTATTACATTATTCCATGATATTGGAGACAGGACTGTCAGCATAGAATATACAAGTCTATCACGCTACTTGGTGGTACGTTATCGATGCAGCCCCTGAGAAACGCTGGTAGAGATGATGATGATAAGTTCGGATCGCTGTCCTCCATGGCCACCCGCAGATGAACCCTCGCTGGTCCGTCTGGTGGGTTGTCGGAGCGCCTTTCCGTCGCCTACCTCCTTTAGTCCGAGAAGAGGTCTGCTTGCATCGCCGTCCGTGTCGGCCACTGTCTAAGCTGTACAGGCGTCTCTGCCTGATCGAGGGTCTGCAAGTCATCTGCCAGCTGGCTTAGCCGCATTACCTCGTCGACGATGGAGCGTCGCTCTGCCCTGGACGAAACTGCGTGATGCGGCCGCACTGCCTTTCCTGATCTTTGTCGTTTTTGCCTAGTGACTGTAGGCCATTATAACGTCAGTCAGACATGCTCCTGCGGAATCACTTCTACGGGCTCCGCTCATCTAGCAAACCAAGAATAATCCTACGCACCAAGTCATCTACACTCTAAATAGCAAGATGGGGCAAAAAATTCGACAGGGACATGTCTCTTCCATGGTGGTCGCCGTGTTGTCGAGCAACTATCTAGAGGCCCCACCGAGTGGTATTTCCACAGCAGGAGTCGGAGTCGGAGACGGAGTACTTTCAGCCCTGACAGGGTCGAAGTTGATCAGGCGGGCGGGAGAAACCATGATGATGCAGTACGTGTGTTTGGTCGCCTTGGTGGTTGTTGGATGGGTACGTATGCGTCCGTTCTTTCCGGCGATGAATTGTTGTTGAGCATGTGCCCTTCTTCTTTCTCCTCATGAGTACGCAGAATCGTACGTTCCCGTTTCCTATCCTTTCTGGGAGAGAGGGAGAGATGCACGCACGACAGGATCACAACACACCGACGTCACACGTTAACAGGAAAGCCACGGCGGCGGGACGTACGGAGCTGTGGACTGACTGCACAGTCGCTGCGTTGCATTGCTCGGTACGATGTTAGGGGGTGGGGGGTTGCATACGGGTCTCGTACGCTGTACAGCCACAGTCAACCTGTACAAAGGCACTGGAGATGGATTCCATGTGACGTGTAATAACAGGACAATGAAGAGATGGTCATACGAGTAATTAGCCGTCCAGTGAATGGCTAGAGAGCTCTGCCTGCTCGTCCCTCGGCCCCGCCTATTCGGGTATACCGCAGCTCGGTAAACAACAGGTAGGGTAGATGAGATGTATCTGTATATGTACGAGTATGCAGTAATAATTACACGGCAGCAACAAGTCCTGTTACCATGCAAGCAGATTGGTGGTCTGTAGAGCAGAGGATCATAACCAGGGGTCCGGGGGAGACTATCCCATTTCCCCCCGGGCCGTGCCCCTCTCTCAGAGTCTCACCCCAGGAAACCCCAGGAATATATCCCCCCCCCCCCTTCTCCAGGTGGGAGGCACGAATGCGGGGAAGTAAAATGAAAACTAAAAAAATGGAAAGGTTTTTGAAAATATGAAGATAAAATAAAAAGAGGTACCTTTGTTGAATAACCGAGACATGTGAGGGAGCTCCTCTCTTTCCTTGGTTGGTAATTTTGCACCTGGACAGTAGAAACCAGGACACCTCCGAGCATGTGCGATGGCGTGTTGTTTGATCAGGGGGTCTCGGGAGGTTTCGGTCGGACGGTTATGTGAGTTTCAACCCTCTTCTCCCTTGTCTCTGACCCTTCCGTTTCTTTTCCTTCTCCTTCCTTTCCAAGCCACTGTCATACTGTCATCCCTCCTTCACTGATCTATTGAATGCGGGAAGGAGGCACGCAGACTGTCATGTTGCCCACGGGATTGAGAGATATGGATCGAGATGGTACTTATTACTGGTAGTAGTAGTCTAGCTGTATATACGTATGAGTACGCTATTACGAGCAGTTACGGTACTAATAGCTAGTAATAATAGTCAACGAAACGTGGGGAAGAGCTGTATAACGTCGTAATGTGAGCCCAATGACTGGTGCGCAATTGGCATTATCATTATAGTCTACCCAAATTTTTTTCTATAAAGAAAAGCACATTTATGTTAGATGCCGTGTTGTTATTAGGGACATCCTCCTCCTTCTCCTCCCCTCCTCCTCCCCTCCTCCTCTAGGCCCTGGGCCCTATGGAATTGCGCCACCACACAAGTGTTACCCTACCAAAGAGGGAGAAGAGTGTGTGCTGCTATCGGAACCTCCCGATAACCACTCGGTGAAAGTCCGTAACCTCTATAAGAGAACGAAATCGAGATGTAATGTATGAATGAGTAAAAGGAATTAGGCACCGTTATCAGGCAATGATGCAAAAGACACGGAATAGAGGCGATATGGTCCGTTAGCTCCGCATGCTGCCCGAAGCCGGAGCAGCAGCGGAAAAGGCGAAAGAGAGGGGAAGATGATACTACGAGTCTTCACTGCCAGTGAGAGAGACCGAGGACTCTCTCCAGGCCCACGAGGCTTCCACTTAGAAATCAGTAGATGGCCGGCTATCCACTGAAACTACCCACTGGAACCACCCACTGGAAACACCCACCACTCGCTGTGACTGTGCCTATCCACACCACCTGCAACCCACAACCATCACCACCACCACCTTAGTGGGTAAGAGCTAGCACTAATACCTACTACCTGTTGCACCTCCCAAGTCCTGATCAACTGTTCTTTTATTGTTTTTATTGTATATATATATATATTTTTTTTTTTTTGGTTCTCGGTCTTAAGGTTACCTTTTTTCTAACCCTGCCCTTCTCCTCTTTCATTCTGTCCCTTCTTCTCTCTCTTTTTTTTAAAAAGGTTTTTTTTCTCAAACCTACACCATCTTCTTTGTCTGGCTCGTAATAATACCGATACTACTAAGATCATATTCGTGTCATCTCGTAGTCCGTACAAGACCAATTCTTTTGTCCCAGCTTTTTTTCCTCATCCACTCCGACCAAGTTCCCGAGTTCCCGCTTCTCTCCGGTTCCGGCCCAGAAAAAAAGAACGCGACTGCAGGAAAAGACCGCGCCTGCGACCGTGTGCCGTCCCAGAATTTCTCAGCACATTAATCACCACTTCTCCTTCTCCTCCTCCTACTCTCCCTCCAACATCGCAGTCGCCCGCAACCCGACCATCAACACCCACCCACGCACACACAATACCTCGACAAACCCCACTCCCGAACCTCTCTAGCAGAAGTCACAATGCAGACCACTCGTGTTCTCCGTCAGGCTGCCGTTCAGGGCGGGCGCACTCCCCTGATCCGCTTCCTCGGTCCTCGCACCATCCCCTGTAAGTCTTACTTCCTGCTTCCCGCACCCATTCTCGCTGTCGTGGCCCGGCTACTCCATTCCTCGGCCGTCGCTAGGCTCGATCCGACCTTGGCAGCCTGCTGACAGCCTATCCTCCTACAGCTTCCATCGACCACACCCCCAAGCCTCACCCTGCCTCCCCTTCGGGCAAGCTCCCGGAGGGCTTCGGCTCCGGCCCGCGCCACACCTCCTTCAGCTCCTACCGCGACCACGCTCAGCAGCACGGTCCCCTCCAGAAGTCGATCCGCCCCGAGGCTGGCATTGGCGGCACTCCCGGCTCTGCCCTCGGCTCCGTCGCCGCCCCTCCTGGCACTTACTTTGACGTCTCTGAGCTTCCCGCCCGCTTCCATCGCGCTCCCCTCGATGCTGCCGAGATTGAGGCTATCGAGTCGGGCGGTGCCGCCCTCCTCGGCTAAAGCTCGCCGTCGATGAATAGAGCGACGGCGAGAGCTCTGCTGGGAGCCAATACACCACTGGTCACGCTGGCTCCAAGCACGAGCTGAACGTCACCATAATTCAGGGAGAACAGAGGGTCTACACACCTGGACGCTACATTGGCGGGACCTTGTATCGATACCGGGCGGTGCGGAGAGGAGGGTTCATGTCAACTGCGGCTGCAGCAGTCTTCCGATGCCTCCCATCTGCTCCTATGAAACCCATCTTGGAGAGGGTGGGAGAAGATAGAGAGAGGGGTGTGTGTACGTCAGACGAGCCGAGACGATATAATACCCCTTCTGCACGGAATTGTCACGGCCTTGCTTTTTCTTTTACTATTTTCTGTTTGCCCTGCATTACTGGGGCGCACTCCCCTCTCCAAAAGTCTTGTCTACTTATCGGACCCTGCTCCCACAGCCCAACATGTCCGCTCACTTGCTTCTTCCCCGAAGCCCCAGAGGTTTTCCTTCGACTCGCAAGGGAGACGGTCTACTTTTTCCTCGGAGGAAGTGGAAGGCCAGCGGTGGGAGAGCGTTGGCCACGATTTTCCTATTTGCTCCAATGGGCGGCTTTCTGTTCTTTTGGGAGAGATTCAGATAGACACAACTTCGTCCCCAATGCTCTTCTGGCACGCAAGCAACGCACAACCCCATCTCTCTTATCTTTCATTTTTGTTCTTTCTTTCTCTTTCTTTTGGAACAGCGCTTGTTTCCTTTACTTGGTCTTGTCAGATAGACCTTGTCTGGACGATGATTTGAAGCAGCAGGGCCAAGTTGTTTTCGAAGCACGGAGTTCAAGCATGGATAAACTTGAGCATGGGCAGGTCTATCCCATGTCAAGATGTCAGATTAATGAAAAAACATGTGTTTTCCGGTGGCTCTGTGATTCCGGCTTAGTTCGATGGTGAGCATGTTGTCTGTCAAGAGTCGATCAATCGATCGGGAGATGATGGCTATCATCTTCATCCCATGGTTATGATACCCAGAATGTCCATTCTTGCGTTCCTCCTATGTGATTTCGTTGATTCCCTTGCCTGATACCAGTGAGATGTATATTCACTCTCCTCCAGGCGTGATTTTCGATATGCATATGCAGGGTAAGTATTTTACATGGGGGTTGAATCTCCATGTACAGCGAGGTAGTAAGTAGTAGTCTTTTTGAAGAGATTTTCTAGTTTCCTTTTTATGCGTTCGAGGGAATTTCATGCGTGAACGGCATGTGGAAGAGGGTCGACCTCTGCAGGCTTCACCGTGATATACAAGAGCCATTGCCAATACAGGGTGAATGGAACGAAGACATCCTGTATATTAGTCGGCGGAATGACGGTGCTACCAACACCATTCTCGTTGGTATTTTACTTACCCTATATCCCACACCGGCCAGATAGGAATCGGCATGTAGGAGACGAGCAGCGCTGATTCCCAACGTTTCAGTTGAGTAGCAGGGGCTGAAGCGAGCCCTGGATGAGAGTATCTGGTAGATATATAGTTATTTTCACGGTGGTGATACAAGTACTACGGAGAGTAATGTCCTCGTGATGAGACTAAAGTTGATGGAGACTCGACGAGGCACTTTTTTTAATTCCATCCATTTTCTTCTCCAATAGTTTTTATTGGTGAGTCCTTTGTTGTTGTGTTTTACTGATTTTACAAAACTGTAGTATGTAATGATACCATCTGGATATGTAGGCAGACACATCCTAACAGTCTGACTAGGTTTTGCGTCCATCGAGGTAGTAAAGTTGACTATAACGTTATCGCGCACCAGGGCTGTTGGTAGGACAGCAACAACAACAACAACAACAACAATGACGACGACGACGACGACGACGACAACGGCACGAGGAAGAAAATCGGTCGAGCACATGCTTCTATAGGGAGTCCATCACGGATACATGTACGTCCTTGGATAGACACAGCCAAGATACAGGCACACGCTACTCTTGATAGGGACATCGGTAATAACCAGGCCTACAGAAATGACGCATGGGAAGAAGTCCGTGGCGGGTCAGACCTGTCACCCTGTCGTCTCACGAAAACGTGCAAGGGGAATGATACCACGCTCATGGTCTCTCACAAGTCATATGACACATGCAATACAGGGCTTCGAGATAGTAATATTGTTCTGATGGTATGACATGGGCTGATAGGTCAGGAGACGCCGATATCGTGTGGTCCCATACAGGTAGAAGAAGCTGTCGACTTGCAGAAATGAAGAAATGACAATAATGGACAACCGGGACTGGGGGCCAAATATGGTCTGATACGCATGCCACCCCCTCCCCTCCATCCTTGCGTGGAATAGGTAGATGCATGGAAGGATGAGAAGAAGGAGTGGTCTCTGACGACTACGCCGCACCTACATGCTACAGCGGAGCAAGCCAGTTATCGAGCAGTATTACGGAGTACATGTACGGGTGTTGTACCTGGGGCGTTCCGGCAGCATACAAGTAGCTTCTTTCTCAGAGGGAACCCAAGGGGAACCGGACCGCTCGGAGGGACGGCCATGATGGGAAAGAAGGGGAAAAAAACCCCTGCCAGAGGTCACCGGTGACGGGGTCTTATCGACTAGACTGAAAGGGGGACGTTTACCGCGCAGTACGTTGCATTCCTTTGCCTGTTGTGTGGACAGGGTCACCTCTGGCTGGGCAGAGCACTGTCCATGCTGGAAGGGACCCAAGGTTGCTGCCGACTGCCACGGCTCCCATGAGCGCACTTATACTTGGCCAAGTCTGTCTCATCTATATGTATCAAGTTGGTAATACTTATATATGTGTAATCTGTGATCCGTACAGAAGAGAGTATGGATACAGTCCAAACTACGTTGAAATACCCGCCATCGTTTTGCCCTCTTTCTTTCTCTTTTTTTTTTTCCTCCAAAAAAAAAGCAACGGATACGCATTTCCATCCCGTGACGGGTATAAAGATATAAAAAAAACAATAATACAATAGAACTAAAAACACATATGTAGTCATTTCATGCCGTAAAAAAACAAAAAAAAAGGCAGATCTACAAGTACATGCTGTCATACCCGTACCGACAACACCTTTTTATTATTATTCAATTTTTTCTAAACAAGGGTTTTTTTTTTTTTTTTTTGCCGAGACAACAAAGCCAGCCATTAACCCCCCACCCCATCTCGACTTTTCAAGTAAACAGTTTGTTTGCTTCGCATGCCTCTGTGTGTACTCCGTACTCTTACGAGTATTAACTTGTCGCAATCTTTATTATTATTATTTTATTTAGGTGGAGATGGGAAAGCTAGCTGTAATCTGTACATGTACATGATGATAATGATGTACCCACCTCGGACGGTCGTGACGCGATTGGCCCATCGCCAGGGACTGATAGGCACAATTTCCCCCCGTGACCAATGAGGAGCTTTGCGGTATCAGTCTTTGCCACGGGAGGGCGATGGGTACCTTGTACATGCGTGTACTGTCCCTAGAACTTGTGGTGTTTTTTTCTTTCTTTCTTTCCTTTTTCCTTCCAGAACCTTTCTACCAGGTGGATCATGGATGCTCTTATTTCCTCTGGTCCTTTTCACGTACGAATTCTTTACTTTTCGCACGTCCGTAGAGGTTTAGAGAGACGAGAGCAGAGAGAGAGAGAGAGAGAGAGAGAGAGGTGAGATCTACTACTCCACTGAACATGAAAGAGAGTTTGCGGGGAAATCTCAACGGATTTCTTTACTATTACGTACGAAATCTCCACGTGACAGTTATTCATTACGTACAGATTCCGGGGAAGAGTAAGTGGAGAGATATAATATATATATATATATATATGTGTGTGTGTGTGTGTGTGTGTGTATATATTCAACGATAATATCAATATATTTCTCTTTCCCCAAAAATCTCAATCTCGCCAGGTTTCAAACTCCCGGTTTTTTTTCTTTCTCTTCTCTCTCTTTTAATCTCGGGCTTGTGATGTAGCTGAGCTCGCGCCCCCCCCCCTCCAAGATGATGACGGCGCCTAATACGCTATAATAAATATGAACCCAGTCAGTGGAGTTTTCTTCTCGATGTGGAGGCTGACAATAAAATGAATAATAATAACAAAAAGGTCCGACAGCTTAAAGAATGGATTAATTCTGTATTTCTCTCTACCGCATAATATGTAGTAATATGGACTGCGCGTACTTCCTACGAGTACATGCGTGCACGGCTCATGCCCTTCTCCTCTCTCGGGCGCTGGGGCTGTGAGATACACACACAACACAACACACACACACATATTCCGTGACACTGGGCTGTCTCGTAATCAGTCTCTTTCTCTCTCCCCCTCGTCACCATCAGTAACGCACAAACAACCAATCAGTCCCTTCTAGAACACAACACCCTCCCAATTCTTAGCGTCAAGTTATTACGACCTGGGACTCGTACGACGATGAGAATGACCCATTGATTGAAAAGAGGAAGAGGCAGGAACAAACAAATAAACAAAGACAAAAAAAAAGGCCGAAAGATGGCAATCGGCAGTGTTACTAGGCATGTTACCAGTTATATCACATATATCTATGATGCCTCACGGTATCAACGCACAAAAGTATCAGGTACGAGGTACGGGTGAGGCTGACCGGGTATCGGGGCGCTGTATATTAGCTTAGCGTGAAGTGTGTTGTGGTTCGGAGTAATACTACGAGCAATATCACAAGATGTTTTTTGCTTTCAATCGTTCAATTTTCCATTCTTCTTCCTTCTCTCTCTCTCTCTCTCTTCTTCTTTCTCTCTTTTCTTCTTTCTCTCTTTTCTTCTTTCTCCTCCTACACTTGCAACCTATGAGAGCTTATATTGGGTGTCACATCCACGCCACCGCCTGACACTCGATACGAGGCCCCGTGAGTTTGACAGACGGAGGGGGAAAGATCGATCCCGCAAGAGAAAGAGGAAGGAGTTGATGAGCGTTCCTTACTGGTGGCTGTCCGCCATCCGTCGTATTAAACAATGTGAAGGAGCCTCAGGAAGGCCACCCCCCCCCCCCCCCTCCTTGTCCTCTGCCAAGACGGACAGAAGCTGTCAGTGCTGTCATGGTTCTCTTCTCTGCTGCCATCTCACATGCTTTGACTATCCTCTCATCAAGATAAGTTTTGGATTTTTGTTTCGCTGTTTTTTTCTTTTTTTCCTTTTCTTTACCATTTTTCCTTCTTTGTCTTTGTCTTCTTCTTCTTCTTCTTCCTTCTTCCTCCTCTCTTCTGAAGAAAAAAAAAAAGACATCTTTCCATTTGGAGAGTCGTCTACTTGTAGACCACGGACGGGAAAGAGGGTGGTAAATCAGTTGACATCAGCCGCCCACCCGTCAATTGGCAGAGAGCCTTGGTTGAACTTGGGTCTTGCTTACAAGTACATGTACTGTATACTCGTACCGTTATCCTGCTAGTATGAGTACATTATACATATACATGTAAACTTATAGTGATTAAGAGCAGGTCATCTGTCTTGTTGTCGTTAGTCGCCGAGCTTAAAATGAAGAACGAGGCCGGGGGGGGGTCCTTTAGCGGGAAAGATGATACGGAGCTCTTCATCCTGGATACATTGCTAGTGCTCGTAGTGCATTACTTTCCCTCTTTTCCCCCATCCTTCTTTCTTCTTTCCTTTCTTTCTATTGTAGATGACTTGTCAGTACCGCTCATGCTTCCGTACAAAGAGCACTCGTAGGCTAGGTGAAACTCCCATCGCTTACTGTTATATCGTATGTACACATTATCTCGATAGTGACGGGGTATTATCCTCTCWCMSKMCCRARAGKSSGGSGGGTGGCGCACACACTCACACACATGATCCCCGTGCTCTCCCCCTCATTCTCTCTTGCTACTCGTACGGACTACCCGACCTTTGCATCCATGGGGTGGCACACACACACAGCCAACAGAACCAACCCTTCGTCGAAGCTAGCAGCAGAAAATCACAAGTACCGGATTGTAGTAGCAAGGTTCTTTTGGGGTCTTTGAGAGAGTGGGGCTCGTCGGTCTTTTTTATTTTTCCATTTTTTTTTGGTGGTTACCATGACGAGTTGTGATAGGTGTGTGCGTATGCGTAACATATAATAATACTGAGTACATATTATAGTCTCTTCGTAATACCACACCATGACGGAGCGGGACGATATCGATTCATTGACCCGGGGGAGGGGGGGCTGGTAGAGGGGAGTTTTGAAAAAGCAAAAAACTGTATCCGTACTCACTCGTACTCTGTGCCCAAGATACGGAGAGAGAGAGAGAGAAAGGAAAAAAAAAGGATACCCACTTCCTTCCTGTCTGTCGTTGGTAGGTTGCTTCGTTTTGAATGGCCCTCTATCGAGATAACGTGTCTTATCTAGACAAGTGATGCGACAGTAATTTCTACCTGTAATCATCCCATCTCTCTCTCTCACTTATTACACAACATACACACACAAACTCTCTCTGTTAGTCTCCCTCAAAACCATGTGACCTCTACTCTCATTATTATTCTTCTTCTTCTGTCTCGATATCGATAATCGGGAATATCACTCAATCATTCGAGAAACTCCAAACTGTTGTACTCGTCTTTCCCCTTCCCATGAATAACAAAGGCGGTGGGATGGGGGGGGGGAATAAGAGGAGAGGAATAGAGAAGAAGCAGAAACAAAAGGCTGTAGATAAGAACTGGGGGTGGAGAAGGTGTAGGGGTTGTGGTGGGTCTGCACCTTCCCACTCTGGTCCTAGCATCAGGCAAGTACAACGGACCCTCCTTCCCATCGCGGCATCCGGATATCACTAGCCCATAATACTCGTACATGTACGGATACAGGTATTAAGTCAGTGTAGCGTTCACACACGCACACGACACGCGCACACACCATCTCTCAGACTCTCACCAATTATTATTCGTAGTTTGTAATAAATACGTACCCGTATCGCAATCAGTACAGTCAATTACTCGTGCTTTTTTTTTTGGCCTACCCTGCCGTGCTCCATCGACCTCTTTATCTGAATTGTATGTACGGCGTATCCGTAGATACTGACATGATACTGCCTACTCCCGGCAGCGCTTACCAATGGCCGAGACGAGACGCACGGCCCCAACGCCACTAAATCATACGCCGCCGCTTGTTAGCCGGAGCTATCCTAATCCAATCCCGGACTTGGAGCCCTCGTCACTTCTCCCAAGCTTCCAAACCCCCCCGCTCGCATATCTGCACCTGTAATTTTGTCCTCCTGTAGGTTGGCTGTCCGTCAGTCCCTTGTCATAATTTGTACCCGTGTATGTACTCGTCGTTGTACCGGATGGTAGTGATACTGGGCCGTAGCAATGCTATTACTACCTATACTCGTATCAACAACAGCATTCCGTAATTCTAGTAGTCGTAGATCCCGCGAGACACACGCCATGCCCACCTGGAGAAAGAGAGTACTCTTGGTCGCAGGTATCCGTCGTGCGCGAGATGCCGTCCTCCCCCCCTCCCCCCCTTGTAAGTATCCTCGATTGCTGCTCCTGCTCTTCCTCTTTCCTCTCCCTCTGATCTTCCTGTCTCTTTAGCATGCGACCCAAGCCTGGATGGCATCCACACCCCCCCCCTCCCATCCCCATTTTCAATCCCACTCCCACTACTCCCAATCCTAAAGTTCCCGCTTGTTCGACGTCTCGACCAGGGTCCTTCCTTTGCTGTTAGTGTCCGTTTATAATACGTCCTTGTTTTCCCTTCCCTGTTCACCATTCCATTCCCCTCCCCTCCTTAATAACCTCCCTTCCTTCCTTTTTTTTTCTCTTCCACTTCTTCTTCTCCCACCCTTGTCCCACTCTCCTCCTCCTTCATTCTCGAGAGAGAAGTTCTCCGAGACTCGGTCAAGAGGTATCGATTGGTGGTACGGCTCCTCAAACTTCCCCACAGGAGAAAAGGCAACCCGGCTTGTCGCACATACCGTCCCATACCACATCATCAGGACACGACCATCGTCGACATGTCTCCCAAGGACTCCGTCCCCGTCGGCAACCCCGTCGACGACGGCGGTGAGAAGGGTGTGCCTGTCCCGATTTCCGATACCTCCACCGGCACCCTCGGCGGCGGCGGCCTCGGCGTCGACGGTGAAATCCACAACACGTATGCCGACGAGAAATTCCTGACCCGCAACGGCCTCAACTTCGAGTCCTTCCAGTGCAAGCACTATGGCCTCGGCCTTGTTGAGCTCGACCGTGCCATGAAGGGTCGCCATCTGCACATGATTGCCATCGGTGGTTCAATCGGTGCCGGTTTCTTCGTCGGTTCCGGTGGCGCCCTGTACGATGGTGTAAGCAGCGTTGACTTCCGTTTTCGAGTCGGCAGCTGTATATGATCGAGGCTGACTTTTGTTCGTGCAGGGCCCCGGTTCTCTCTTCGTCGACTTCCTCATCATTGGTGTCATGATTTTCAACACTGGTATGTGATGTACCCGAACGATCCTCGTCTCCCTTCCCCGCCGTTTATGCCTCGAAAGATGCACTCGTTTGCCGTGCGCCTTGCTAATTCGCTGTGTGTCTGTGAACTCGTAGTCTTCGCTCTTGGTGAGATGGCGACCATGTTCCCCGTATCTGGTGGCTTCTACACGTACTCGGCTCGCTTCATCGACCCCTCGTGGGGTTTCGCCATGGGTTGGAACTACGTCTTCCAGTGGGCAATCACTCTTCCTCTCGAGCTGACCGTGTGTGCCATCACCATCGACTACTGGCCCAACGATGTCCCCATTGCCGTCTGGATCACCATCTTCCTCATCTTCATCGTCATCATTAGCATGTTCGGTGCGCTGGGCTACGCCGAGGAGGAGTTCGTCTCGTCCATCTTCAAGCTCTCGGCCACCGTCATCTTCATGATTATCGCCCTCGTCCTCGTCTGTGGTGGCGGCCCTTCGGACGGCCGGTACAACGAATACTGGGGCGCCCGTTACTGGTACGAACCCGGTGCGTTCAAGAATGGCTTCAAGGGCTTCTGCTCTGTCTTCGTCACCGCCGCCTTCTCCTTTGCCGGTACCGAGCTTGTCGGTCTTGCTGCCGCCGAGAGCAGGAACCCCGTCAAGTCACTTCCCGGTGCCATCAAGCAGGTCTTCTGGCGTGTCACCCTCTTCTACATCCTCGGTCTCTTCTTTGTTGGCCTGCTCGTCTCCTCCGAGGATGAGTCCCTCCTGTCGGAGTCGTCCTTCGCTGATGCCAAGGCCTCTCCCTTCGTCCTCGTCGGCAAGTATGCCGGTCTCCAAGGCTTCGACCATTTCATGAACGTTGTCATCCTCGTCTCGGTCGTCTCCATCGGCGTGTCGGGTGTCTATGGCGGTTCGCGTACCCTGACGGCCATGGCCCAGAACGGCTATGCCCCCAAGATCTTCACCTACATTGACCGCTCTGGCCGTCCTCTCACCTCGACCATCCTCATCTGCCTCTGCGGTTGCCTTGCCTACGTCAACACCACCGGCGACGGTGTCACCGTCTTCGAGTGGCTCCTTGCCCTCTCGGGTCTGTCCAGTCTCTTCACCTGGGGCTCCATCTGCCTGGCCCACATCCGCTTCCGTAAGGCCTGGGCTTACCACGGCCACAGTGTCGACGAGATCCCCTTCCAGGCCATCGGTGGTGTCTATGGCTCGTGGCTCGGTCTCATCCTCAACATTCTCGTCCTCGCGGCCACTGTAAGCTTTCCAATCAACCCCCCCGGCCTTTTAGCCAACATCCTGTGTGTGTGTGTCAAGTTTGCTGACTCGTGTGTACCAGTTCTACACTGCTGTTGCTGCTCCCATCGGCGAGTCGGGCCTGAACACGGCCGAGGGTTTCTTCCAGACCTACCTTGCCGCCTTTGTTGTCATGTTCTTCTGGGCTATAGGCTTCGCCTGGAAGCGTACCGGCTGGCTCCGTACCGCCCAGATCGACGTCGAGTCGGACCGCCGCGAGCTTGACTGGGACTCGATCAATGCTTACCGCGCCGAGGTTGCCTCGTGGCCCAAGTGGAAGCGGATTCTCAACAAGGTTTGGTAAAGCCTTACGGGTCCCTCTTCGCGTTGGCGGGTGTGTTTTAGCCCTAGTTTGTGGAGTTGCGCCTTGTTCAAGAACATGTTCAAGGGCATGTTCAAGGATGTGATGACGTGGCATGTTTTAATCTGTATATGATTTCTCTTTTTCGTCCTTTTTTCCCCATTTAGATACCACTCTCAATAAAAGCATGCCATGGAAACGTACCATGGTAGACTTGAGTTGCCATGTTGGTGCTGGGTGTACTTGAATGCCATGAACGTCGTGCGTCATGTAGATGGTCATATGGCTTCTTGTTGTAGATGTGAATCAGGCAAGACATTTGTTTCTGATAAGTCGTCGGTGCCAAACATCATCTATACAGGGTTGTTGAGGAAGGACATGGTTGTGTCAACAAATGGGGAGCTGCAGGGTCGGTCGTCGAAGCTGCCATGTATATGTCGCAAGTGTTTCGGAAACCGTGACGATGGTGAAAGGCCATTCATTGTTTGGAAAGAGAGGTCCTGAAGACAGGCGAAGTAAGCAGTGAAGAAGAATACCGAATGTAAGGAGGGAGGGGAAAGGAAAGAGGAACAACGGAAGAGAAGAGATTTGTATACAAAAGAGAAGGAAAGGATGGAAGAGCGAAGTAATATGAATTATTCAAATGGAAGAGCGGGTAAAAAAAAAGGGTTTAATGCAGGTGGAGGAGAGTTCAATGTTGGCAAGAGCAAGCGAGCCCCTCCTCCCCATATACTTTTCCTTTCTTTCTTTCTCTCCTCCGACTAATATGTACTAGCAGTAGTCATGATGAATACTACTCCGTACATATAATATGAATTATATTCCGTATGACCCTTCGCACGGGGTAAAATTGTGCCGTAGATCTTGGCGGAAAAGAAGTTTCAACATGGATGATTTGTGTTGAAAGTGGTATTCCTCTCTTTTTTCCACAGGGTCTGATCGACATAAAAAGGAGGAAGAGTGTCTTTATCGCTCTCGGGTACAGCAGAGAGCATATACATATTCCTGGAGGAAAATAAATAGAAGGAAAAAAAAGATGAATGAAAGAAGACGGTTCTATATGGAAGAAGGCAGGTTTATGGAATGTCAAGTCTGAACAATGTCAAGCGCACCCTTTGAACATGCCGATTGTGGAGAGTGTGACCCACAGCCCCCCCCCCCCCCTTCTCCACTTGTAAGTTGTAAACGACGCCCTTCATGTCGACCTTGTCGAAAAACGATGATGAAAGGCGCACGCTATCTCCGACACCTTTTAACTTCTCGTTCATCTCATTTCTACCATCATTGTTTAATATAGTTCACATAGTGGCAGGCACTTGCATGTCTTCTGACCGGGGTTTCTTAAGAGATATTGAGAGTAATATTGTTTATATACGAAAGAGGGCAAGCCAACTTTGAGGGGGTTGGTTTCATCGTTCAACCATGGTACGTGCATCTGCCACGGCCGCCCTAGCCATCTTCTTGAGTACGATCCTGTCGTCCGCCTCGCGAAAGCGCTCCCACGTGTCCAGGCCTTCCTTTGCCTGGATGCTGAGCGTCTCGTAGCCTTGTTTTATAACGTCCGACACCTGGGCGGTTGTGAGGTTGGCCGCCACCTTTTTGCTGCTGCTGCTGCTGGCCGTGTTCTTACCACCGTTGCTGTCGGAGAGGATCTGCTTGTAGTGCGTGCAGACGTTGAGCAGGGTGTCGATGGAGTTGCTGTGGCGGTCTCCCAGGCGGTAATTGTCCTTGAAGCGGGCGAGCACGTCGCCCGACTCGACCACCTTGTAGAACAGGTCGTCGTAGGCGGCCGGGGTAGGCAGGAAGGCCTCGCCGGCCGACAGCGACAGCGCCACCAGGTTGACGACGTGGTCCAGCAGCGTCTCGATGTGCGTCAGGGACTCGAGGTCCGACGTGTACTGCGTCAGGAAGCGGATCAGCGACAGCAGCGACCGGAACAGCTCCGACCAGTGGTACCGCAGCCGCGTCCGCGTCCGCGACAGGTAGGAGATGACGCGCAGCATGATGCCCACGCACAGCGTGTACAGGCTCACGTCCAGCCGGCGCCGGAGGTTGTGGTTGATGCCGTCCACCATCGTGTCCAGCACCGCCGTCGCCAGCACCCGCTCCCCCCTCACCAGCGGCAGGAACGGCTGCCGGTGCCGGCACAGCCGTACGCTCATCTTGCTCTCGTCGCTGCACACGCGCTTGCAGATGCTCGCGTCCTCGATCAGCAGCCGGAACACCATCAGATTCAGGTGCGCATACGCCGTCGCCCGCGAGGACAGGTGCGCGTGCTGCAAAAAGTACGACGTCAGGGATAGGTAGCTCGATATCGGCGCCTCCTCCGTCTGGCCCGGTGACGACGACGGTTTGCCGCCGCTGCTCACCAGGTTGATGCAAAACATCTTGTTGGCGTGCGCAAAGTCGTACGTGGCCAGAAGCAACGCTGCGTTGGGTCCCGGTCTGGGGGTCGGTTAGTACAGCTGCGATAGAAAGGAGCAGGAGGAGAGTGGGTTAGCACGTACAGCTCGGAAAACATCTGCTTGGTCGTCTCCTCATCGTAGACGGGCTTCTTCTCCGGCTTGGGCCCCGGCGCAAAGAAGCCCAGCCCAATCAGGTTGAGCGTCCTGCTCAGCGTCCAGCCTTCGGGCAGATCCTCCTGCACGTCAATGTAGTCTGCGCGCACGGCCTGGCACGCGTACCCAACGCACTCGATGATCTTCTGTATCGTCACCTCGTTGACAAAGTCGCTGAGTCGCATCTGGTACGGATTCTGGAACTCGAACTTGTTGTAGTTGGCAAGCAGGCCGATCAGGGTAAACGGCTCCAGGATGGAGCCCGGCTTTTCCGTATCTTGGACGAACTATTCGACTAGGTCAGCGACCCAATATCGCACACGCTCATTCTGCTTCTCTTATTCTCTTTTTTATCGTCGAGGTAGAGACTCACCTTCATTATTGACGGAAACAGATCCCTCTGCAGCATATATGTGAGGAGCGTGGTCTGGTAAGCGCCGGCGGTGGTGCTGAGCAGTACCTGGACAGCCTTGTGCCTGACGTCAACTGTCCATCCTCGAATTGTCAGCTTCGCCTTTGTTTATTCTCTGTCGCACATGTATATCTGGTAGGGATAGCCTTACGACTTGGGCCGTTCCGGATGATCGAGTCCAGGGTTCCGACAAAGTCTGTGAGGACTGGGTCGATGTGGTCTAGTCCGGCGAGGACAGCGATTATATCGGAGCTCGGGTGGGGGTATTTCTTGGCCAGGACGCATGAAAGGAAAACGCTCAGCGTCTGTTGTATGATGCAAAGTCGGTCAGTTGGTCAGTCCCTCCTTTCGTGTGCGTATAGTCGGTAGGTACATACATCTAGAGCGTTTGGTCGCGCATTCCCGCGATCGCTCTTCATGGCCATTATAGCTCTCAAGAAGAGCTGTCGCGTCTCCGACTCGAGCTGCAGCACCTCAGTGGGCGCCATGTCGCTCAGCATCCTCTGCAGCGCGGCGCGGTCTGGTCGCAGCAGGAAGAACTCTTGCCAGAAGCCTTCGGACTTTTCGTCTTCTTCTTCCTCGTCATCCTGTACATCATAGAGACACGGATTGTTTTGTCAGCATGCCATCACAAATTTCTTGTGCGTGCGTGCGACCGTCCACCCGCGCGCAACTTCACCCAAAGGGGGGGCAGGGGGGGAAGGTCCGACGAACCTCGAGCTTGAAAAGCGATTCGTAGAGCTGTATTATCTTGGGGGTGAAGACCTCGGGTTGTGGCAGCCGAGTAAGAGGTGAAGCCTCCATGTTGGATGCTCGGTTTTCTATCGTTTTCGTCGCTGTGTACGTCTGCGGGCGCAAGGAGGAAGATAGGGACAGCTGTGCAGATTTTGGGCGCTTGGTCGGTTGCTCTCTGTCTCTCCCCTATCGCGCCTGGCAAAGATAGTATGTCTGCGGTAGGTAGGTTTGATTTTCGATCCTCCTCTCCCGAGAGGCGGCTATTGAGTTTTTTATTGTCCGCGAAGTGCCTTCAATCCGTGTTTCTGCGTTGTTGTTGGCTGTTGGGGGCGTAGGTGAGCTGCCAGATGCGATTTCCTCGACAAGGTCCCGCGGTTGGGCTATAGGTTAAGTGTTTTTTCCGGCGGTTGGTCGTTTGGACTTTAATCGTAGGCGGACAGAGTCAGATTGATCATGATTTTTTCATCCGATGCTCCTGATTACCATTCACCTTCTGCTCATCTAACATGTCTAACTGAATTTCACGTGAAAGTGGAGTAGAGTTTCCTGAAAATTACGCATGCTTTCTCATACAGAGAAGTGGTTAAAATTGTATCAGATGTAGCGACGCGCGGTCTTGTCGATATACCCGTGTATTGGCTGGAAATTCTCAGTGTCTTAATATAGGGTAGGCTTTTCTCGAACGACGTTTAAGCGAGAAGTTGCCTAGATGAAGACAGTTTTCAAGGTGTTTTCCTTTTTCCTCCTTTTTTTCCCCATAAGATTATACTGCTAGGACCATGAAGGCTGAGCGGCGCATGTCTTTGGAGCAATTGGGCAGTCCAAAGCGCTCCGTAATACGTATCAATTCCATTCTTGAGACGAGACACGAACTGCATCGCGATGACCACTTGCATTTGGCCGTGGCATCCTAGTTAATTTCTACTTACCCTGTATCACAGCTTGGCGTCCATCTTGGATCTTGGAGTCTGATCAAAACCTCAGCCGTCCTCGAGGATCAATTGCCGTACGATATGATGCGTACGCATTCAATGCACAAGATGCTACTCTGGGAATCATTATGGCGGGAAGGAAGAAACCGGCCCAATCATCCAAGTTGGCTGAACATGATCAAAAAAACCTGGTTCGATGTCATAAGGCGTCTGGACCTTTATGCAGGTGTGTAGCTAATATAGTAATATCGAAAGCATTGACGACGATGTGACATCTATCATCTACCCATTGTACCCCAGCAGGAGTACACCCTACGAGCTCAACTAGTCTCAATACTTCGGTGCAGCAATAGGTAAATGCCACACGAATATCGCATTGACGTGCACTGCGTATTCCACCTACCAGAGTTGCCCTCTGCATGACTAGGGTTTGGATGAGGTTGTGGTGTGTCAACGTACGGATGTGAACATACGCGGAGTACCAGCACGCGATGTCCGGTCTCAAGTAGCACGGCAGAGAGTCATGCCTTCCTTGCCTAAACGTCTGAACGAACGAAAAAAAAAGTCATTGGAGCCGGGGGGGGGGGGGGAATTGCCACTTCTTGCGTCGAGCTAATCTCCCCTGTTGCTGTCAATTTACAATTTAATAACACTACTTGCCAAATGAGGAGAGTAGCGCAACTGGGTTGACTGGTGGATTGACAACCCAAGAAGAGCCGAGGAGGGGAAGTGTGTGGCTGGGTTGCCGGGCAAGGGGTTACCCGATTTAATTACCCGCCTTTTCCACTACTCTACAAGTACGGAGTACATGTACGAGTATTGGTATGTCTGGCGTCGTAATACATGTAGTCGCTCGTACGAATGAGCACGTGTACTCGTGGAAACAGGAAGAAAGTCGTCACCGAAGAGTTGGTGGTTGTTGCTCACTCTTGGTCGTTCATGGACAGGTGCCGAGCTAACAGTAGGAAACGCACATATTCAGGTACATGGCTGTTGCCACTAACGCGATGGGGCGTTCGTCAGTGATGCAATCTTCGAGGGGGGGGGGACGACTATCTCTCCCCCTCCGGCACTCTAGGTCTCCACTGGCCGACCAGAAAGGGAAGGGCTTCGACCTCGTGGCGCCTAGTGAGTGTCATGTCTTGGTATCAACAACGAGAAGACTGACGGAGACGGGGCGGGGGCAGACCGTTGCAGCAACATTGGGCAGCTAGTCTGGATGACACCAAAAGGTCCCGAGAGAGAGCAAACGGGGACGATGAGAGGAGCCTGTTGATTGAATAGCCGTAATAACACGTCGTAATCACATCTCCCTCTTTCGTATCGGGCTGCCTAAACATAGCATAGCCAACAAGACTCTCTCATCAGACGACCGACTCCAGGGAGGCTAATCCCTAGGCCTAGTCTGTCGGGACAGAAGGCGGTGTCCTAGACTACCGTATGGCCGGCGCCTTCGAAAGGTGGATCGACAAAAGCACCGCTTGTATGTACATGTACCCGTCGTTCTGGAGGAGGAGGATAGTGATGGGGATCATTGAAGTCTCACCGGAAATATGGGTCGGTCCAAGACATGGGATCAAGCTCTAGCTGAGTCGAACGGGTTCTGGCTGGCAGCCGGATGCTCATCATGTGGACTGAACCATAATATAGGTGTGTGATTGTCACGGGGGGGGGGGGGGGATTTAGCAAGGCTAGGTAGATAGATTTCCCCCACACATGTGTCAAGTATGGAGCATTGGTGTGATGGCATTGCAAGGCAATCGCTTGTCCATGGGTACTTGATCACGTTGCGCACATGTACTTGTATAATTACACCTAATTACACCTACGCCATGATAGTATTGATAGTATGAACCAGTTGTCTTACCCGTAGCTTACGAGTATTACTCATGGTAGATGTTTGATTCTCGAGGGGAAGAAACCTGGCTATCTGTCCATGGGTCCTCCCATGGCATCATGACAAACAAAAGCGAGAAGGAAAGAGAGCAGAAAGCACAGGTAGAGGGGGGGGGGAGATAACACAGCTGCGTCTCGGTAAAGGCAAACGAATGGAGACGATGATTCGAGAGGACGGTGGAGATCAAGAACGAACTCCATCTACGTGCAGTGGCTTCACAATGGGTTGAATCCATAGGACCATGTACGGTGTATTGCGGGTAAGCAGAAGTCTATGGTCTTGGACGTGCTCTTTAGCGGGAGGACAGGTCAATGTCGAGCCCTTCTTTTCTGCGCGAGACTGATATATATATACCAGTACGCACCTAACAGCTAGTTCCATGGTAGCAGGCAAGAGCAATAGCAGACTAACACTGGCTCATTTTCTCCGGTCGACCTGCATCGTACGCCACGCTCTCGCTACGATGCTAGCAATGGCACTGAAACGACGGCACCGTTCGCGGACCGCGACGGAAGACCCGTCGGATGGCGTTGAGAACAGTTGCTGGGAGCCTCGGTACTGATGCATCGAATACGACATACCAGCGCACATAGCATTGTAACCCTTGTTGTCACTGAGGGCGTGGGTGGGGGATCTCGCAGTCACTACGAGTACACGATCTTTGACGGGGGCGAGCGGACAACAAGGTCTACCGGATGAAGGCAAGGAGATGTCTGTCAACTCTAATGATGAGACATTGATTAATACCGTTAAACCCACGGGTCTAACGCCAGCCTAGTACGGTGATACTACTACTACTACTACCATGCTCCGCATAGTACGCAGACTTCTTCACGTACGTGGATATCTTTTGTTGTTCGAGGCATTTTCATTTCCTTTTCTTTCCTGGTTGCAGATTACATTGCGAGCTTCAAAATCATACACACACACCCCTCTTTCCCCTTCCCAGGTTGGTACCAGTGCGGTAAAATAAAGAATAAAGAATAATAATAAAAAAGGCGCCATAGAGATGGAGCATGATCACCATCATATCTCTCTTTTGGCGTCATGCACGAGTTAGGTCGCATGCGTACCCAGAACCATGGAGCACGCCTGGGAGGGGAAAAGAAAAGATACTCCACCGAGAAACAAGACAAGAAGAGAGACCCGCCCTCCACCTCTTGGTGCAACTTGGCAGATATGTCCCTCCTGGTCGGACCGTGCCACATGACGGACACATGGGACAATGCATGTCCCAAAAGACCTGAAGAGAGGGGGGGAGGGGTTTCAACAATTGAGCCCATCAATCGTCTCCAAGACTCCAGTGCGTTGTGTGTCAAAATACCATGCGGTGGCAATTGGCATCCATCCCAATCCGTACGGATGGATTCATCGAGTATCTTTTTTTTTTTTTTTTTTTTTTTTTTTTTTTTTTTTTTTGTAAATCATCGACTCCGTAAGTCCAAAGGTCACGAAAACGCCATAATACATCTGAAGCTCTATAGTGTACCATGGACGTATCAGCCCCTACTAACTCTGTATGGTATCGTTTTGCATAAGTGCCGGTTTTGACTGACTGGCACGGCATGTGTAAACTCGTACGAGCTCGTAGCAAAAACTCCTCCCCTTCTTGTTGATTGAAGCCCATACTCACTTGGAATCAACATGCACGCCCCTCCCTTCCCTTCGCTGCTAGTGCTATTGCGGGTACATGTACCCTGCAATAACAGTGCTTATTATATGAACTAACTCTCTCACTCTCTATTCTCTTTGATCTGGTTCATCGATAGACTTGCTGTTTATATAACAGAACATGGGATGCTATTACTGTTTTGCAGAACGGTCCAAGTATCAATAATACAGCATATAGTCACCGACAGCGGCGGTGCGCACCGACCGTACGCCGTAAGCGGTGAGCTCTCATATCAAACCAAAAGTTGACATGCTATAAGGACCAGAGGAGTTGGCTGTAATACTTGTAGCAGTATCTACCTACCCTTGGACGCAAGACGCAGCAAGAAGAATTGCGAGGGGAGGGGGGGGGGGGGGGGGGTTGGGTTCGGTTGGGTTGAGAAGGTACTAGAGTATACGAGTATGTAGAGGCGTAGGCGATATTAGATAGTAATAATANGGGGGGGGGGGGGGGGGGGGGGGTTGGGTTCGGTTGGGTTGAGAAGGTACTAGAGTATACGAGTATGTAGAGGCGTAGGCGATATTAGATAGTAATAATAAGTAGATGGTAAGAATGCATCCACAAAGTG